AGGTTTCGAGAGATCTCTATGATAATAATAACCCTTCAAAATTGAAGTTAAGCGCCAAAAATCAAGCGTCCACTAATGAGGGAAACCACTGTAGTTCGAGTTGATACATGACGTAGAAGACAATTTTGGTGCTGATAACAACAAGCTGTCGTTTGATGCCCTTCTTTACAATCCTGCATTCGACAACGGGATTTAATAGTCTAGAAATGGACATTTTTGTTTCAATTATGACGTGCGTATATTTTCATCAATTCTTCGCCCACATCTTTATATTGCAATTTTCTCAATCCATCGCATCTTCTCAAATCCTCTTGTGCCATGCGCGTTTGAGATCATTACTGCCTGGACTACGCATCGGATGTAAACGCTATCCTTACAGATCCTTCAGAAGGTAAATATTCAGGGTACGTCTTTAGTTTCATTTCAGACGGCCATTTCAATTGGCTCAAGGTTCAATCCCCGTCCTGGTTGAGGTTAAAACTGCATATTTTCTGTTTGCTATTGGCCAATCAGTAGACTCATAAAAGACCAACACCCATGACTTTGATCGCCCTCTGTGTCATGGGTGCATTTCATGGAAACAAATTACAAAATACTCGCGAGTACGGCGCTTGCGAGATTTTCTCAAGTCCGCATTGCCCAAAGATGCCCACGAAATGCCTGGTTCATGGTAGTTCGTGGAGATAAAAGACAGTATAAAGCGGCGTGAAGACCTCCACGGAAAGTGCATTGTCTAAAGTGTGAATACTGATCTCCCCCCGACTTCGAAACGGTCAAACTCGATAATGTATTGTGCTCTGTTTCGAAGTGGGGGGGAGATCAGTAAAGCGCGGGAACGTTCATACAGATTGTGACATGTTCAACCAACATTAACTGGCACCATCTTCGAGGACAGCCCAAAAAAGCGGCGATATCATCATCTAGGTGCCTTGCCGTGGGATTGGCTCGTCGTCTTGCGATACATCTCGACCAAGATTGAGACAAATCCATCCTACACTCACCAGCTCCATCCTTCATTCTCATGAGCATCTCGCACTCTGATTGGCTATACGATGACAACAACCGCCAATCATCGACTTGCACGATGACCATACGACACGCGCAGCGACACTCCGCAGGCACGACGTTGACGAGGGTCGTTCATTTCGAAACAAGACTACACATTTGCAATGGCCCCCGAAGTGGACCTCTTCCTTGTCTGCGATACAACTGCCTCCATGGGCCGGTATATTTCATCGCTGGCAGCAACCATTCGCCAAGTATTTGCCGTCATCAAGTTGCTCTTTCGCGGTCGCGTCAAGCTCCACGTGGTGTCGTACAAAAACTATTGCGACGGCAAACTCGTCGTCACGCACCGCAGTCAGCGCACGCACTCAAACAAGCAAATCCTGGAATTTGTCGCCGACCTGGTTCCGCATGGTGGTGGCGATATCCCTGAGGCCATCAAAACCGCCCTCAACTTTGTGCACAGCACCGTCAACAGTATTCGGGAAGCGTCCGCGATTTCGACGGAAGCCCTCGTTTTGATCTTCACTGACGCGCCCCCGCACCACTCTCATACCCTGTCTCGCTATTGGCGACATGAAAGGGATGCCATTCAAACCAACCCCACATACACCGCGGGTTACGACTGGCTCTCGATTCGTCGCGCCTTCCAAGTCGCGAGCATTCCTGTCTTCACCTTCCACTCAAACCTCGACTGCGCGTATCGAACGGCACAATCTGTTCTTTTTTATTCGGCGCTGGGGCCTGTGGTGCTTGTAGAGAACGAATCGACGACCGAAATCACAAAGGCCACGATGGGGCTGCTTCTGCAGCTCATGGGGCACAAATTTGAGTTCTCTGACTTGTTTACTTGCGTTCGCGTCTGGGCCGACTGTGCTGCGTTCGGCGGTGACGCGGAAGATGCTGTGTTTCCCGACGTGGATGCACGCCTGACGTGCACGCGTCTTCCGTTTCAGTTTGACGCGTTGCCCTGGATGGACGAGGACGTGAGTCCCTTGCCCGCGCTGTTTGAAACCAATGAAGAATACCAGCGCATGGTGTATCACGTTTTTGGGGCGCTAGTCACGCCTACCAACGTCCTGGCGCTGACGTACAACACGATCTTGGCCAAACTCTGGCGACTCATCTGCAAGCGCCGATCGGATCCGAGGTATGCGTCGCTGACCACGACGCTGTCGTTGTGTGTGCCTGCCTTGACTGGTTTGGACAAACAACAGGTCCAGCAATGGATTCAAGAATCACACAACGAAAGCCACGCCATTCGGGATACGATCATGGCCCTCACCCACGACATTGGCTCAAGCGACCGCAGCATTATCGTGCTCGAACGAAACACTCTTCTCGACTCGGTCGACCCTGCCGACTTGAGATCTCTCGCGCGAGCGCCCACCCCCAACGCGATTCGCACCGTCCAGTCGATCCTAACGCACTTGCAGCTTGTGACCCTCGACGATGGCCGCCCGACCGATGGATTGATCGATCGTGACGGTGTTCCGCACTTCCTTCCTCTCGACCTCCCCGACATCAAGCTCTTTTCGTTCCTGTGCCACTTGGTCGCTCCAGGCACGGTATTTTCAGTTCGAGGCAGCGCCGTCGTAGCGATGCTGTGTGTGTCGTCGAACCATTCGATCATGAAAGATCGCGCGCACGATTTCCTCCACAGCATCCGCGGCACGTGGCTCCCTCTTGACGTGGCAACGGATTACCCTGAAATCCTCTCGGTCGAGTACATCAAGCTCCTCCACCGGCACAGACAGTTCTTGACGCCCAATGAACTCGTCGTGTACGATCGACTGTACGCGATGCACCGCATGCGGCTCGCCGCCACGAAAGATGTCGACGTGACCGTGGGCGCAACCCCTGTCAAGGCCCAGCTCCGACTAGATATCAAGGCCAAGTGCCTCAGCTGCAACACCCACGTAAGCGTGAGTCTCATGACGACCAAGGACTTGTGCGCGATTTGCGTCGAGTATGGCCTTGCCGACGCTCGGGCGATCCAACGCAAACACATCACCCCCGTCAACAAGTCGCACATGGTCGAATGCACTGTGTGCCACTGCCTCTATGCCGTTGTCCAGCCAGAACTGCTCAACATTGCTCCGAAATGTTTTTATTGCCGACAATGGGTCAAGCCGCGCCCAATTGCTCCCGTGGTGGAGTGCGTGCGCTGCTTGAACAAGTATCTGGACCCTGCTCATTTGATTGAGGCTCCGCCTGGAGACGTCGGATGGACGTGCACCCCCTGCCTCGCGGTCGCACCCCAAGCGGCAACGATGGTGAAAACCGTTCCCTTCAAGACGATAATGGAGTCCAACCTCGAGTTGTCTCGGGAGTTTGGATGGACAAAGCCCAAGCGAGCTCAGGAATTTGTCGACCTCGCCTTCAATCAGCACACCAACTACTTCAAACTGTACACACAGCATCATGCGCTCCTTTTTGGCGTGAAACCAGCACAGACACAACGTCACAGTCAAGACAAGGTCATTGTCGTTCTTGTGGATGGCAAGCCTATCCACGACGCTGAGTCCTTGTGCAAGGCCTTGGTCTTCAACGTTCTCGAAGGGTCGCTCCGAGATGTATGCAACCTTTGCTTCGAGGAGTTCTCGCTCCCGCAGCTCGACAGTGCCTGCGGCCGGTGTCCCACCCGCGTCTGCCAGGGCTGCATTGGTCAATGGTACGGAGAAGTTAAGATTGGCAGGGTTCTCTTCACGTCGCACTTGACTTGTCCGTTTTGCCGCCAAAAGCCCCAGCCCAGCGTATGGCTGCGATACAACAAGGCCGCGCGCGAGTTGGCAACGTCGCCGATGCCCGCGATGAAGGCCAATGCGTACTACGGCTGGTGCAGCACTTGCGGCAAAATCAAGGAAATGATGCCAAAGTCGTGTGCCCGCGACGTGCCTCGCCTTGCCAAATATGAATGCGACGATTGCATCGCCAAGTCGGCCATATATCCCCAGTGTCCCCGTTGCAAAGTCCAAACCGAGAGAATCGACGGGTGCAACCACATCTTGTGCATCTGTGGCCAGAACTGGTGCTATGCCTGCGGCGAGGAGTTTGAGTCAGCGGACAGCACTTATTCGCACATGTACCGGGAGTGCCAAGTCGGTCTATAATGCGTCGACAAACATGACGATTGCCATGCACATCTCTGCTGCTCGAGTCTGTCGGGTGCAGCTTATATAACTCTACTTAGCTCATGAAGGAGTGACTGACGCATAACTTGCGCGGAGCCTTGCCTTGGAACGACCAAGCGAAGCCTCGCGCATCATCTTGGGGGCAAACAACTTCCGGATAATATAGTCTCCTCTCGATAAAGCGAGAGTACTCTGATTGGTGGCATTTTCGAGTACACGTCTGTGATTGGTAGATAGAATCTTGCTGTGGTGGGAAATGGCCACCGAACTCTGCACCAGAAGAGGAAGCGACTGAGAACGAAGCTTGCGCCGACTTCGGGGAGGTTGCGCCGCCGCTCGTTGGTGTTGTTTGTGAGCCGTCTCCGCGAGACACGACAAGCCCATCTCACCGTACACAGGTCATGGGCGGAGCTAATGGAACGCAAAGGTACGAGGAGGACGGTATTACGACTTTCCACGCCTGCCGGTGTCGACCTTTCGACCGACCGACTCGGCTAGGGGCGGATGCCGTTGGTCATTCTCTGAAAGTTGTCGTACTGGTTGGTGCTATAATTGCCGTGGCTCTTCCGAATGAGGTAGAGCATGTGGGACACGACTTCATGCTTGGTGAGCGACGCCTTGAACCGGCCGCGGAAGCGAGATAATATGTACGCCGTGTCCTTTTGAAAAAAGCACGGGAACGGCGAGTTGTGGGCCATAATCTCGACCAAGTCGCACAGCTCGTCGCAGTGTTGCTGCAACGCCAAGAACCCGCGCGTGCACAGGGTCACGTACTCTTTGAACCCATCGGACTCGGGGCCGCCCATGCACTCGACCATTTCGGTGGTCAGTTTGAACGGCGCGGTCTCGATGCTGAAGCTCCCGCCGGGCGCGATCCCGAGAAGAAACCCGTAGTCGATGTGGATAATGTGGCCTTCGTTGTCGAGCATAATGTTGCCGTTGTGCCGATCTTTGATTTGCAAAAAGTACGACACCAACGAGTACCCCGCCATCGATTGAATGTACTGCGTTTGGGCGTCGAGGAAACGAGGCGACCCCGGAGGTCCGTACGACTTTTCAAAGTGGTGCAGGAGAGACACATACCCGTCGCGTTTCTTGAGGCCGTCCAGCGAGATCGCGTTCACGAGTGTCTCGATGATTCCGGTCGACGAGCTCGTGGCGATGATGCGGTACACCTTAAGCCAAATGGGGAGGTTTGCCGCCTTGAAAATGTCCATAAACTTTTGAATGAGCTGCAGCGTAAAGACTTCCTGCCGCATGTCGTCGTTGCTCTTGCCGATCAATGAAACAATGTCCCAGCCCGGTAGGTGACCGTGGGGACTCTGCGCCTTCATGCGGTCTCGCTTGGACGCCCACGACTCGCCGAACGCAGCCTCCAGGTCTCTCCTTCTCGCCTTTTCACGCTCGATCACTTCCTCCGACATGTTCATGTGGGACAACTCGATGGCTTGGCTAAACACTTGGCTCTCCACCTCCGACCCGTCGTGCGTATCGATGATGTCTTCTTCGTCGGACCCCATCTCCTTTTCCACGATCGACGGCGTCGTCGGTGTCGACTCGGCGTCCGCCGTGCCCCCATTCTCGTTCTTGTCCAGGCTCTCGCGGTTTATCAAGTGGCGGACTTCGTCATCGTCGTCGTCGTATTTTGGTGTGGTCGCTCCACCGAGCACCGACGTCGCTGGCTTGCTACCACCAGGGGACATGATGTTCAAGCTCGTGCTGGCGCCACGTATGACCTCAAACACGAGCAATATGGGGACCCGTGCCTTGGTACTGAATGCCGTGCCTTCGTTGTGGGGAAGTCGAAGGACCTGCTCGAAAGGATCGGTTGCTTTCACCAATGGGATGTATGCCATCCGCGGCAGCTCAAACGTCTCCAAGTGCTTGGCCAGCATCGGTTTTCGCTCCGTGATGGGAACAAAGCGCAGCTTTTCCGCAATGTCCGTGATCTGCTGGACAAACGCGCACTCGTCGCTGTAGTATGTTGCAAGGACGGACAAGTCGGCGTCGCTGATGGATTTTTTCCGACGAGCGGGCGCGGGTGGCGGCGACGTCGTGAGCGAGTCGGACCGCTTGATCCAGTCCGATACGCTCATGATGGGCGTTTGTCCTGCAGATGGCGGCTTCTCTAGCCCGGACGAAGTCGACCCGGGTGCAAGCAAGTGCTGCTGAAAGTACGAGTAGTCGGAGAACTTTACATCGTCGACGGTGGACGACGCGATCGCAGCGGCATGCTGCTGCTCGGCCTGGTGGCGGTATTCGCTGATCGTGTCGAGGAGGCGGCCGACCAGGTGGAACTGTTCGTCCGTCATGGCCGGGAGAATACGCTTGGACGTGAGAACGTCTGCCCGCGACGACCCGATGATGCGGACTTCGACCTCCACGATGAGCCGCACGACGCGGGCGTACGTGGACTGCGTCCGGAGCGGGGACAATGGGTCGGCGGCGTCTTCGAGTGCACCGCGCAGTTGCCAGATCAGGAGCAGCGCCAAATGGATGGACCGCGAACAGATCGACAAGATCAAGTCGTCCATCCAAAACAACTTTTCAAACTCAAACATGGGCACATTCAAATACGCGTGGACGAGCTGCGGCCAGTAAAACTCGACCTGGTTGATCTTGGTAAAGGAATACGCGAGCAGCTTCTCCACGATCGGCTTGAACACGAGCGGGTCGCTCTCGAGGTTCTGGTGCAGCAAGATGATCGCGCGAAACACTGTGAACGTCGGCAAACGAAATTCCCGATGCAGACCGAGAATCTTAATGTCCAGCGGAATCTCGGGCTGCTCCACGGTGTGGTCCAAATACCGCTTGTCTGCGAGCAGCAGCACTTCAAGTTCCTCCGCCGTGATCGCGCCCTGTTTGAACAGATCGATGGCGATGTTGGTCGCTTCCGTGTGCGACGGGCCCATTGGCATGATGAGCTCAATCGGCGCTTCGGGATTCAGCGGACGGGGGTACACGCAAATGCCACAATCCAGGCGCTGCGTGATAGCTTTGAGGTAGTTGACGAAAGTCTGAGCGTTGTAGCAGTCGTCACAAATCCGCATGGCCGAGTAGTACGATCGGTGCGGGAGGGGGAGTTTGTGTTGTGAGTGGCGGTCACAAAAGGTCGCGTCGCAACTGGAACATTTGAACTTGGTGAGGGCGGCGGCAGCAGCCATCGCAGCCGGGTCGTCCGTAGACGTTTGACATCGCATGCATTTTATTTGTGTGTCGAGTTCGACGACGGAGCTCGCAGGCGACAGCAGCACCGCGCTGTCGCAGCTCGACGGACTGCTGTGCAACGTCGCAGTCAGCACCGGCACGCTCGTTTCAATGTTGAGCTGAATCGCGCGATGCCACTTTTCCTTGTCCATCGCCGTGTCAGCGTACGCGTAGAACACCTTGTTCTGCGCCGTTGCAAACAGAAACCCGTGCGTGTAGATGTGCATGTTGCCCTTTCCGTCCCAGTCCTGCACACCGATGACGTCGACTTCGCCTTTCACGCGCATCATGTGTTCGGCATCTTCTTGCGTGCTGAAAGTACACATGCGTCCGTGACGACACAACCTAGTGTATGGCGCACCTGTAGTAGTAAAAGCACGTTCCGATCAAGAGGCAGTAGTGGCGGAGCATCGGTGGCGGCGAGTACGGGCTCGTGCGAAACGTGAGGAATCCTTCGCACGACGCACGAGGACCTTTCATCATGAGTTGGCCTACTGCGAACGCAACATGAGACCAACGCGGACGACGATATCGTCCCCACTAGCGTACCGTTGACAGTCCAGCGCCGTCGTCCAACTTACTGCTTGCGTCCGACGGGCGGTTGGATCTCCCTGGCGCGCCTCACTTCTTTCGACCCCCAACAGCCGTTTCTCCAGCGATCAACAAAAATATGCCTCGACCAGAGGATATAACCCTAACCATTATCGTCGCAACTGCGATGCGTCCTGGAGCGCCGCGCTTGTGGACGTTGTCGGCGGCAGAAGCCTCCCGTCGACAAGAGGCCCCAACATGACAGCACTCGATCGCGTGCTTGCGCGCGATGCGGCTCGGAGGTGCCTGTCGCGTCGTAGTCGACCTTTTATTGGCACGACGCCTTCCCAAGTAACATGGATGTGCCAATGCAACCATACACATTCAAGAGCCAAGGTGCACCCAGCATCATTCACGCACAGGCAGCTTGCTCGAGAGGATATCTTTTGTTGAGTTAGTGACGCGGCGCTCCAACCGAGACCGCGATGCCCGCCGGAAGGAACCCGATGGCGTGTCCCTCAAATTCAATACTGTGTCAAATCATTGCATATCAACATGTCTATGTAGTACTACTAGATCCATTCTGCGCATTGTGATACTTAGTACTCGAATAATCCAGTGGGATACTAGGCATCCAAGGCTACTATTTAGTACCCGTACAGTGAGATATATTGGGCCTCTGACGTTTGTGTACGATTTATTTCTATACGATGGAAATATATATTTGTTATCACAGGACCTATATAATGCAATGCAATGAATTTGAATTCTGCCTTTGAATTTTGGCTGTCGCGGCGACCCTGCTCTTGCAGAATGGAGCATGACGAGGACCACTTCAGGAAGGCCCAGGAACACATTTCAGAGAACACGCGGCAGGTGGTGTTAGCGCTAGAACAATCTGCGAAGGAACACAGCAAGTGGCTTGCTGCATTGTGTTGCAGTATCTCGCTTGACATTCGACGGCCAGCGGTCAATGCCAAGAAGAGGCGGCTCGACCTAGATGCTGCGCATCGACTTGCCGACCCACTGCCTGCTCTGGAGAAACGTCAAAAGTCTATCGAGGACAAGGGTATTGCTGAATCTGTCAAATCGCCCTGTCCCGACGAGAACACTTCAGCTCAATTGGCAGAAGATGTACACGAACAGGCGAAGTTACGGTCGTCACGGAATCCCTCCAGAAAGCGCTCTATCCGCGACAGTGAGGTCAATGAGGAAGCGCCAGAAGAACTCAACCCGTTTGCGATGAAGGTTGCCGAACTGAAGCAAGCATTGAAGGATAGGGGGCTCAAGACGGCAGGTTTGAAAGCGTCCTTGATTGCCAGGTTACTCGAAGCAATCGAAAGCGAGAAGGTGTCGTCGGTAACCTCATCGCGCCCAACGTCTCACGGATCCAGCGCCTATCCCCAAATAAAGACCGATTTGTCGAGCGACCCCGCTGTTGACAAATCTGACGAGATCGTCGAAGAGAGCGATGCGAGCTTCGTCGAGGCACAATCGCAGCACGACGTCAACGAGAACTCCACCACTATACACTCCCCTGCACGGACAACACTTTTTTCAAACGAAAAGGGCACTGTTGCCAAATCGACTGTAGGCAAGAACGACGATGATGTTGTGGTAGTGAAGAAATCCACTGTTGGATCGACGTCTGAACGACCAGCGACCGTAATTACAGATCTACCTCACAAGCATCCGACCTCTCCAAGCAGACTCACGCCTAAACCATCGAGCGATGACCAGCATGATACGAAGCACTCTCGAAAAAGTCGTATGGCGAAGTTCGTGAACCTGCATCCGCCGCTTGTGGCCGATCCTAGCGATGTTGAAGACAACGACGACGGCGACAGGATAGTCAAGCTGGAATCGTCGATCAACTCAGCCAGTGCAGCGGCAAATCTCGTTGACTTGGTGTCTCCAGAGTCCGAGAAGGATGGACCGTCCAGAGCATCCCCTGCCTCAAGAAATCGATCACCGATTGCAGCGAAGAAGGAACGTCCGCCGTTTTCCCGCGAACAAGCGAACGAGGCCTCCATTGTAGTCGACCTGGTGTCTCCGGAGAAAGAAACCCCTTCTCCCAACAAATCCGCTCGGAGTCAGTCGCCCGAGTCGAAGAAATCCTCACCTGCAGTGGTGAAAAAGACCCGCCATGCTGATCACCCCACGACGAAACCAGTTCCCGCCATCAAACAAGTCGCAACGTCGCTGTCCATGGCCAAGGCGCCATCGATTCTTGCATCTCCACAACGAAACCACGACAGGCCAGACGCGACAACACAGCCGTCGGAAAATTCAACAGTTGTGGGCTCGACGAGTCCAACACGGGTCCAGTTCCCAACCTCGTCTTCACCGCCACGAGTGGGCCACGAGAATTCGCCAGGCTCCCCGAAATCCCCTCCCGACCAACGCGTGCGAAAAGAATCGTTCCAAGATGTCCAAGTGCCTTCCCATCCGACGAAATCTGTCAAAGCTGTAGCTCTGTTTGATACCACCGTGTCGCCGTACCTTCCACCAGCGCGCAGCAAATCCAACATCGCAACGTCGTCGTTTGATGGCAGACCTGGGCATTCAACAATAACTGCAATTGATGAGCCCAAGACGCCGACCGACGAGACTCTCCAACCCATGCAGGAATTGCTAGTTTCTCGTCGGCCTCACGAAAATCAGCCGTTGAACTCGATTCGCAGCAATCGCAAGCTCCTTGACGACAATATGCGTCTTCAAGTCCCGCGTGCTCAAACTCCCCAAGTATTTGGCGCATCCGAGTCCAGTCGGCGACCTCTGTTTGGTGGCGACATCTCGCCCATTGCATCGACCGACGACAGGTCGAACCTGCATTCGAAAGCGAGCAATTCGCCCCCTCGGGCGTTTTCGATGCAACCTCGACGCGAAGACGATGCTGTTGGTGTGGCGAAATCGGACTTGCTCATCTCCACTGCAGCGTCGTTGTTTGCGTCGGCGACTTCGCCGATTGTCAAGGGTTTCGCGTCGTTCAAGTCGGCATTTGGACTGACCAAGACATTGGACAACGAGGCAACCAACTCGTCGGACAGCATCAAGTCGCCCGTGCCAAAAGTGCCAGCGCCAAAGGTGTTTCAGTCCAAGGCTACATTTGCCTCCAAGCGACAGGGAGTGCCTGCAACATCTTTGTACGAGACACTCCAAGCTCGAAACACCGCTGTCTCCTTAGCACCGCCCATCGCTCGTCCTGGACAACAACAAGAGCTTGGCTCCTCTGTCAAGAGATCTCATAGCCCCGTTGCAAGGAACGTGACGACTGGAATGGAAGACCTCGTGGCGTCCAAGGACCGGGAATTTCAACAAGCAATTGAGCGCGAGTCGATACGACTTCGCCTTGCAGCCAAGGAATCGGCGAAGAAGCGCATTGAGCGAGAAATGGATACAATCAAAGCTGGGACCAATTCGGTGGCCGCGTCAACGGAGGACGTAAGCGATGACCAAACTGTGTCGAGCTCGAAGGCGAGCGTTGGTAACGTGAGCGACCCGCACGACTTGAATGACCAGGACGAAGTCACCATGTCGCTTCCATCGGTGGAATCCTCTTTGAACGAACCCAGCGCCTCCGAGGTGGTGGCGACCAGTATTGCTGCGGGAATAGCGAAGAAGCCATCGAATCTCGTCAGCGGGTTGCACTCCCTCACAAGCCTAGTCGTGAAGGACTCAAGTGCACAAGCGCAGAATCCATCCAACGCACGTGGCGCTGGGCCAAGTGTCGTCAGCGCGTTGCGAATGGCCGAGCGGAATCGTCTGACAGAACAGAAACGTCTCCTCGATAAGAAGAAGCGCAAAGAGGCGCTGTTGAAAAAGTACGAAGAACAGCGCAAACTGGACGAAGAGCGGCGGAAAAAAGCCACTTCTGCCAGTGCCAAGGAACAAAGCGAGAGAGCGGCCAAAGAGCTGCGACTCAAGGTAGCCCCACAATTCAATGAATGTTCCACCATGTCCACATGTAGCGGGAACGAGAAGCCCGCGAAAAGAAAGAGCGAGAAACAGAATTGGCCAAGAAGAAGCAGCACCGATTGCAAGACATGCAAGCGTTGGATGAGAAGAAGAAGCAATTGGCGAAAGAAAAGGAGCATGCCATGAAGGACAAGGTCGAAAAGATGGTAGCCCCCCCTGCCTCGTTTGACCACAACACTTGATGGAGCTCCTTGGATGTAGCGCCAAGATCTTGAGGCTGAATCCAATCAACCTGAAATGGTTGTACCCCCACCCTCGTCGTCCGTGACAACTTACTCCGAGAAGAGCGTTGCCAAACACCCAAGCCCGTCAGTCCACTCGGAAGGAGCTGTCGCGCATGTAGCAACCCCTTCGCTCGCTCATGCAGCCCCCCCCGTGAAGCCACCAATGGCCAAACAAAACACACCGTCGAAGAAAGAGCTCACCAACTACGAAATGTCGGATGGCCCAGAAAGGTATGTGAATGCTGCTTCTCCCCGCGCCGTCATTGACTTTATCCGCAGTGACGACAGCGGAAACTCCGACTCGGAGTGCAAGAAAATTCCGTCGTGGGCCCAACGGGACGCGTTAGAACAAGCGTTGGCCCGCCAGTTTGGCCCGAGTGCCATCGATCCGACGCCAACGATCTTCCCGGACTTTGTCGACACGTGCGACCTCGAAGGTAACAAAACCGTGCTATCTTTGAACGTGGCTAACGCAATCATGGATTTGCAGCCATTTTCCAACCCGCGGACGCCTCCAAGAAGAAGCGATTCCAAAAGCGCACGAGCTCGGGAAATTGGCTCGCTGACCGGCCGACCATGCGTGACAAAGTAGCGTACAAGCGGGCGATGGGGTTCAAGTGAGTCGTCGCGGTCCATCATGCACCGCGCTCTATTATTATTAACGTTCTCCAACACGCGCGCCGATATTTACTACGGTACTCGACCCCTCGCCAACCACCAACTTCAACGGGGTCACTGAACCTGCGCCTCGGTGGCGGCGATCGGAACCCATCCGCACAGAACGCCGACACCAAACTCGGACGGGTGGGTCCGTCGGTAACAACAAAACGCGCACCGTCAAGATGGACGTGGCGGGCGTGCTGGCCATCGACTAGGTGGGGGGGCGCGTGAAATTAACACAGGATCGCAACGTCACGGCGGCCACTCCAGTGTGTTCAGCGGACCCTGCGCAGCGACGGAAAGCGAGGGGGCCACCGCGTTTGCGCGCTGCCGGACGGCGTTCGTGCCGCGAGGGTGTTTTTTTCATGCCGCATTGCGCCGCCTCGTCGAGAATGTCTTGGTTTCTGTATGGACGTGCCTTTTTTTCCGTGGCACCGCCTATCCACGACTTTTTTGAAATTTGAACCCGAGTCCCACGGCGGTGCCAGCCACACAGGCATGGAATGGCAGGTGTCCGTCGGAGCGCGCGTATCTACTCGGGCTTCTTATGTGCGGACCAGTGACACTGTCGAGCGCGAAGTTGGTGCTGGACCAGACCACACGTGTCTGCTCCAGGGAACGCGTTTACAGTAGCGATGTGTGGGGTCGACGACCGCGTTGGGGGAAGCTGGTGGTGCCAAGGCGGCGTGGGTTTCTTGAACACGCACGCCACCTTGGCGCATGTAACGCGCTATGTTCTGCTGGTAGAGCAATGTCGACAGTACAACTACACGTTGATCGCAAACGGGAAGTCGGCACGTGTTTGTGCATCTGTATGAGCGCGAAGATTGTCTGAACCGACTTACGAACGCCGGAAGCGAGTCCCACCCCAAGAGAGTCCGACACCCGATGCGTCGTCGAGAAGGGCGAGGCGCGGGCAGGACTCGACCCCGCGGCGGCCCCCTCCACCATGGACGGATTGCCCTACGGGGCGCGTCCATTCGGCTTTACCGCGAAGAACATGATGCAACCACGTGGTGGCTCAGCTGGGTGGCACATTGAGTTTGCCCGTTGTAGAGGCGACACCCCTCCCCATTCACTTGGTTTCACTATAGCACGTCCACCTGGGTGCTCCACCACAGCGACATGATCGTCGTGTCGCACTCTCTCGCGGAATATTCAACCTTCAAGCGAGGACCCCGACGACGTTCGCTGGGTGACTCTTGGGCTCGGGGGGGAGTCGACGGTGGCATGCACGCCACACACCTTGATATGTCCTTCCGTCGACCGCGCGGGCCACGCGACCTCCCGTCGACGAGGGCCACCCGCCGAACTAGGGGAATCTTACAGAATGTTGGTGAGTAGCACCTCTAGAAACCCAGCTGGAATCTGGCGCCAGCCATCGTGGGACGACTCGATGCGTCCAGAAGCGTTAATTTACACTCTCCACGCATTCTCGGGTTAGTTCGCCGGTGGCCGAGACTTGGAGTGACGAAAGACCACCAACTTCCCACGGCGATGAACTGCATGCTCTCGCGCGCCGCATGTTCGCGTTGAATTCGAACCAGTGCAAACGTTTCTTGTCCAGGAACGACATTTGGGATATGCAAGGGAAACCGATACAACGCTGTCTGGAGGGGAGTTTAAACACGGTGGTGTCCAAAAATTGGAGAGCGTTTTGGGGGTGACTGGAGTTAAAACGCCATTTGGCAGGGAAAGCAGCAGGGTTGACCCAAGTAATTTCACGCAATTGGGTGGGTGCTCACAAGATTTCCCTTATATGAGTCCACCACCTGGGCCCCGAAATTGCTGTTTTCGTCGAGACTGCCACTTGGCCATTTGCATCGCGTCACCAACATGCATGCCTTTCCTCACGCTATGCCGATGGTATCGCTCGATGGACGCCTCATGCACGTCGACCCGCATGCTGACATGACTGCCAACATGTCGTCGCCGCAGCCGTCTCCTACCACGACCGCTGCTCCCGAGCGTCGTTTTGTGTGCACTGAACCGGGCTGTGGCAAGCGATTCAATCGCAAATTTACGCTGAAAGAACACACCAAGACGCACACAGGCGCGCGTCCGTACGCGTGTGACTATGAAGGCTGCTCGGCCAGCTTTAGTACGTCAGGCAACTTGAGTCGCCACAAATTTACCCACACGGGTGAAAAACCCTTTGGCTGTTCGTTCGAGATGTGCTACAAGCGGTTTTGTACGAAAGAAAAGCTGGCTCGCCACACCAAGACGCATTCCGGCATTCGCCCGTTTACTTGCAAAGTCGACGGATGCAACAAGCGCTTCAGCACGTCTGGCAACCTGGGTCGCCATCTCAAGACCCATCGCGACGCGAACGATGAAAACGTGTCCCCGACGCCATCGCCCACGTCGTGGGCTACGACTGACGAGCAACATTGTACACATCATTCGAGTCCAAGCACATCGAGCAGTCGCAGCAGCCACAGCAGTGCGTCGTCCGCGTTTGAGGAGCTGTCGTCGGCTGCGATCGATGAACACATCATTTCCGTGTTGCGGTACGACACCAAGGCAATCCCATCTTCCAAGCCGCCTGCGTTTCGGGCGCCCGCCGTGTCTCTCCAACGGAGCCACTCGGACTTTGTGCAGAACCGACCGCATCATCATGGCCATTCGCACAACGCCCCGCAGCTCCCACACACGTCGTCTTACGCATACCACAATGCGCAACACAACTTCCACCCGCAGGCGCCGCTTCAAATCGCCATTCCTGCCTACACCCATCCAGTCCAGCAGCCGTCGTCGGGCCGCCTCACGTTCAACATGGTGGACTCCCCGCCTGCGCAATGGCAGACTCACTTGGAGAACACGTTCCCAACCAAGTTGCCCCCGCGGTCGTCGGCGCCCCCGTCCAGCATCCCAGAGTACGAACCCCTTCCGTTCGACGCCAACGGAGCCAACGCGCAGCCAAAATTGGGACGCTCGGTGTCGGAGGGGGCGTTCTTCAACCTGTGGCTATGACACGTTGTCACGCGTACTGTTAGGACTAGATCTGCGGCATGCACCACTATAATAATAATATTAAGCTATGAAGTCATGACGGTGGAAGCAGTGCGGCAGCCAGAAGCCTTGCGCAAAACACGCTGGTTGAGGCCAGTGCGCCCGACCTGGAAGGTCCGATGTCGCACCAGCGGGTGGCGGCCCCACCACTCGACTCACACGCACGACAGAGCGGCTGCCTGTTGCTTGGGGCGCGCGCGTGGGACTCGTCCGCCGCGTGGTTGGGCGGCGGGTTGTCCACACCGTACAATACGCACGCCATGTCGAGCAGGAACAACCCGTCCAGAGAGTGGGTCTTGTGTGCACGCGGGTCGTCGAACCGACCACTTTGGTTCCGCAGGCGGGTAAAACTTGGGGTCCGCTCGAGGATCGGGACGGCGCTCGAGGTTCGTTGTTCGACGTGCTGACATGCGGCCATGCATCGACCGAGTGCGTACAAAGATATCCCCATCACGTGTCGAGAGCGCCCAACAACGCCATTTGTCCCTTCTGTGCGTCGTCGGGGCCATGGTGCATCGCGCCGAAGCAGCGCAGCCTGTACAAAAGATACCGTTCTGGGTGGAGGCAGCCCCATGGGTGAAATGTGGGTTCCAATCGCGCGGCGCCACCCCCACGGCCCCCCTGCCGCGCTGTGGCCCGTGAACGTCGTCACGCTGTGGGTAAATATGTGGATGACGGCGGTGGAGGGGGTGTTTTATCTCGCCGACTTGCTAACGCGTGGACGTTACGGTAGCCACCGCACTGTACTCGACCCATCTGCACGTACCAACATCATCCAGGCTTGGTCCGGCGGCTGCGTCTCGCGCGATGGGTAACCGGAGCGCACAAGGACGAGCCGCTGCCTTGCCGCCAAGTTGCAGATCGTGGTGTCGTTCCTCGACTAAGCGGCTCTCTTCCCTGGGAACGTTCTCGCGAACGGTCGACAACACGCCATGCGAGTCCGATCCACGTCGTCGGGGAGGCACGACCGCCCCCCTCCAACGTTCATGCGCGCTGCCCGCGTACGGCGCGTCGCTGGGGGCTGTCGGTGAGACCCGCGTGATGCTGTGCGTGGGCCGCTCCATCCACCCTGTCGTCGCGACCTGTTTCTGAGACTCCCATGTGTCGACCCAATCAGACGCCGTTGTAACCTTGCCCTGCACAAGGTCGTCACAACTTTACATGCGCGTTCTCGCGACAACGAAGACGACGCTTCTTCTCGGCGAACTCAAGCATTGCTTCCGCACCATGTGTGCCTATCTCGGAAGCTTGACGCACGCCGTCGCGACGGCCGCGCTGCTACCGGGCGTCGTGATCCACATCGTGTTCCTGGACCCGACGTCCACGGACGATTCAGCGTCACCACGGTTAGTTGCCGTCGCGCCCCCGCCAGACGACATCGACTTGCCACCGCTCAAAGAGGTACGACAACATGGAGACGCTGTGAACGTCACGTTCATGTGTAGGAACCGCTGCCGCCGGCTGCAACGCCGCTGTCGCGGTCGTGCTTTGACGAGCTGACAACGTTGGGCGCCGGGCTGTTTGGCACGGTCCACCTCGTGCGCCATAAACTCAGCGGCCAGTACTTTGCCCTCAAGGTTATTGAGAAGGCGTCGATTCCGTCCGTCCAGTTGGCGCGCCAAGTGGTGCGTGAGCGAGACATCATGCTTGCCGTGCAACATCCGCTCGTCGCGACATGCTTTGGCTCGTTCCAAGACGACGAGAACGTGTATTTGGTGTCGGAATACCTGCATGGCGGGGACCTGTACCAGCATCTACTCGACACGACCGACGATGCGACGTCCCCACGAGTGGCGTCGCTGAGCGTTGCCGCCATCCGTTTCTACGCCGCCAACATGGTCAAAGCGTTGCAAGGCCTGCACGACCACGGCATGGTGCACCGCGATATAAAACTCGACAACATGATGTTCGACTCTCTCGGATATGTCAAGCTCATCGACATGGGGTTTGCCACACACGTGGGCATGTGCCGCGACAACGACGCCTCCGTTGGCGCAGACAAACGCACGATGACTGTGTGCGGCACCCCCGAATACATGGTAACTCCGCCGTGACAATCATGTATACTCACGACGTCATAGGCGCCGGAGATTCTTGCTGGGCAAGGGTATGGCATGGCCGTCGACTATTGTACGTCGCACATGGATAACAACCAGTTGACGATGACTGTAGGGGCGCTTGGCGTCGTGCTGTACGAGATGGCGATGGGCGGCGCAAGTTTGTTTGGCGATGCTAGTCACGCCAAGACGATGGCGCGAATCAAGGCTGTGGCATCGCATGGTCTCCCCACAGCCCCAGCCTTTGACAAGTTGGACGTGGCGCTGCAGAACTTCATCAGAGGACTGCTGGTGTACGACCCGTCCAAGCGATTGGGCTGCACAGCGTCAGGGTTTCAATCGATCGAGGACCATCCATTCTTCGCCGGCATGATCGACTGGAAGGCGCTGATGGCCAAGCAAGTCCGCGCTCCCTTCGTGCCGGTTGTACCCTGTGATACATGGCACGACAGTCCACCCGACGAGTGCGATGAGAATCCGATCGAGGACGAGTCGACGCTGTGGGGCGTCGACAAGGATGAAGAGTACTACGACGGTGGTCTTTCCGTCGACCCCAAAGTTGCCCTCGTGTTTGAAGGCTTTTGATGTAGTTGTTCGTGCCGTGTTACTGTTCATGATGTAATCGAGCGTGTGAATATGTGTTTCCATGCGCCGTGAAATCATCGCAGCGCCGTCGGCAGCAACAACACGACGAGCTCGTCACGAAGCGCTTTCTTCTTTGCTTGTTTGACCGCATGGAGTTGCGTGCACGCCGCTTGGATGTCCATGTCGGACCGTGGAGGGTGCAGCGATGGTGGAAATACCTCATCCAACAACCGCGACTCGGACGCCATCTAGTTGAGATGTAAAACAATTCGGCCGTCGCCTTGGTGCGTACCAGCAACGACCGGACAGAAGTTGCATGTCTCGACCACTCCTCGCGCAAGTTGCGACACACCATGGCCGACCTACCCACCGTCCACAACGCTTGAGCGACGACAGCCACCCATTTCATGCAGCGCATACGTGAGCAAGTGGACTCGCATGTCGATCGCACTGCCTGCTGGCTGACTGGTCTCACTTGCAGGTCTACAATCGGATTCAAGAACGGCCTCCACATTCCTTCCAACGTACAAGTCGTTGGCATCCAGATAGCGTTCCCACAGCTCCCATAGCACTGTCGTGCATTGAGTAGTCTATCAACTCTGTGCAGCAGCTCGAGACAGCATGTGGTTCTCGGACGGGCGGTACCTGGGATGGACGGGTCGTCGTTCCAGACGCACGTAGGAGGAAGCATTCGTCGTGGATGTCACAAGCAGTGGAAAATCCAAAGCCGAACGCACGAATGAGCGTGTCGAGGTCGCCGTGGAGGAGTTTGCTTTGCCAGATATCGGCAATTGCCGCGGATCGAGGTAGACTGCGTGGTAGCACGTGGGCGTCGATGCCGTGGGCTTCGCAAAGTTCTGCGAAAGCGCGCAGTTTGCTGTCGCAGTCGGCATCGTGTTCCCAAAGGCGCTGGAATACTTGATATGGAGAATCGTCAGGCACGACACGAGAGTGCAGCGTGGGTAGTGACGGCGGCGGCGTGCAAGGAAGGCGAAGGTGTTGACGCAACGTCGACAGAACATTCGATAGGCGCGAGTGCTGCTCGTCCCTTGACAGCGACGGACACATCCAGAAGCGGAATCGGACAGATCCAAGCTCAAACTCGGTGTACACGGGAACGGATGGACTTGACGCGACCACCTCGGGAGGGCGTTCGATGTGGCCGTGGTCGATCCAGTATATCTTGTCCAGGATTCGCACGTAAAGTCTAGATACGGCAGGCTTTACAACAGCACCATCCATGCCGCGCTTGACCGGCGTAGTGGACGAACTGCCGCGCTGCAAAAAGAAGGCAAAGTCAAACTGGGTCTGGTCGCCGTGCGTTGGTGCAAAGGAGCAGAACGAATAGTCGTTCACGAGGAACATGCCATGCATGGTCGTCGGATCTATTTGCTCCATTGCATCGCATGCGTCCGGCACGTCGTGGACGAGCGCAAGCCATGGCTGCGTCGCCAAGAACGTTTCGAGCTCCATTGCCAGTGCAGGTTGACGAGCTCGACATTCATTCTGTCGAAAAAACATATTTTATACCTTGAATTTTGTATATCCGGTGAATTCATGGAGGTCTATGTATTAAAAACTTGGACACCGACGGGAGAAACCCATCATCCTCTCGCCGTCAGAAACATGGTGAGGTGGTCTCCAACCTGTTTTCACCACGCTCAATGGCGCTGCATAGTCGTTTTCGCTGTCCAACAGACAAGTGACCTTGGTGAAGGAGCTAGTGAACTTTACGGGCTGCGCCCGCGAGAGGGCCATCGAATTGCTACGGAAGCACCAATGGAGTGTCTCGGCTGCTGCCGACGTTTTCTTTGAAGACACGGCGAACCAGTACGACGTAACGACGGCACAGATGACATACTTCTGACACCAATGTTGTAGGGCGGCTGTATGCACCGTTAACGAAGGCGCTGTCATCGCGTGGTTTGACAAGTATGCTGGTACGGACTTCGTCGCATTCCCCATCACGACAACGGACTCCCATGGCCTTCGCTTGTATATGAAACGCAGATCCCGACGACCCCGACAGCATGCTTGATGAAGGCATCATGGCATTCTGCGACGACATTGGGATTGATGCCCAGGACACGGTTGTGCTCGTGATTGCGTGGAAGATGAAGGCAGCCGAAATGTGCTGCTTTACGCGGACCGAGTTTGTCCGCGGAATGCGGGAGCTCGGGTGCGTCATATACATGCGTGATAGCTCACCAACGTTGACGTAGCTGTGAGTCCGCGGCGGCTCTGCGCGCCAAACTCGGCGAGGTCCGCGAATGCATTGCGGCCCCGGCGGCCTTTAAGACCTTTTACTTGTTTTGCTTTGGCTACTCCAAGGAACCAGGCCAGAAGAGTCTGAGCAAGGACATGGCGGTGGCTATGTGGGAGCTCGTGCTGTTGCCCAAGTTCCCCAAAGTTGCCGACTGGCTCGCGTTCCTACAAGAGCATCCCAGCTACGGCATCACGCGCGACACGTGGGACCTCTTTTACGACTTCATGGTCAAGGTGGAGGCCTCCTACGATGGATACGACGAGAACGAAGCGTGGCCCGTCCTTATCGACGACTACATGACGTACATTTCAGAAACCAAGGGCGGCCAGCGCCACTAATACACTGGACAACTCTACTTTCGCGTGCTCGAGTCGCTGCGGCTCATCGAGACAAAGTTTGAGTGCCAGTGGGTGCAAAACGCTCTACTGCCATTGAAGAGCTCGTTCTCACAACCCTCCGCGAACTTGCGTTGGTTGAAATGTGTGGCGGAATCGAGGCTCGGGCCCTTGGTAGAGTACCTCGAGCGTTGTCGATCGGCGACGTCTTGCTGAGACCTGATGTGGAGGATGAACATGGATGCACGCATTGAAGTGTCTGCCGCATTTGTCAAACAGATCCAAACGATACGTTGGCTGGTTTCAGGTCTGCATGGACACTGCCACCACCAATTTCGTGGTCGACACTCCATGAAAAGGTCGACGAAGTCGATGTCTAAATACAATCTGCTGAAATTTTTCATGAGGCTCAATAAGGTGCCACATGCAGCGCGGGTTCACCAACAGTGGGCGTTGCATTCGTTTGGTAGGCTCTGGCTGGGGCGGCATGACTTCGCTGCTGGCTGTTGGACCGGTGGTCGTGGTGCAGTCCCCACGCGGTCTTGGAAAACTGCATGTACATGGCAATGAAAAAGAGCCCGACCGTCGCGGCCAAGTACGCCCACCACGCAGCGCTGATCGAGTACACAAAACTGCCGTCGGCCAGCTGCACGCGAAGCGCTTCAAGATCACTTCCGGAGGGGTACTTGCCGGCAAAATACCCCACACCCCACACGACGGCGGTGGCCCCAAAGAAACTCGTCGCGATGATGAGGAATGGGCGCTCCAGACACCGTGCCAAGAGCCCGCCGAGGATGCCCAAGCCCACGATGAGAATGTACAGCATACCGCTTGGATTCGACGGCCACAGCTTGTACCCGACCGTGTTGTTTACGATGAACGCCAGCAAGACCCCAGCGGCGGCACCCACAATGAACACGCCGAGTTTCCAAATGCACATGACGGTGGTGCCGACGACGAGCCCGCCAGCAACAAAGCATATCCATGCCGCCGTCACCATGTACGTTTGGTTTGCAAATATCTTTTCGGCGATCAAGTAAAACACAACCGACCCGACGGCAAACCCGCACACAAACAGCACTGGGCGAAACAGCTTGTAGCCAAAGAGAGCGACGACCGAGCCAACGCCAATCGCCAACCCTGCAACCACACCCGGCGCGAAGCTAATCTTGGACCCGCTGGCTAATAAATCGTTCGCGGCACGGTCAAAGTCACTGCTTCCATCAGTCAAATTGGGCAAGGCCGCAACTGTGATCGATGGGGCAGAGGTCGTCGTGGCTGCCGCAAAGGATGTGCCTATGAACGCCGTCACGAGGACAGCCACCGTTAGAGATATCTCGAGGCGCGTCAAGCCAGTCGTCATGAAGGACTGCCAAGCCGAACTCGCACTGGCGTGCGCTCTGCTTGGTCCTGATGCCGAGGCGGAACGTTCGTTGGAAGCCGTTGCGTCGGATTGGATACGAATTGGACCAATCAAGCTGCTGAAAACGTTTTGTTTTTCAGCGCAGTCACCGCTTGTCGGCGCGTGTGGAGTCAACATGTCGAGGAGGAGGGCGTTGGGGCTCCATGGAGCGGCGGAGCGATGCGCACACCACGACAGCATGCAATGGATGTACGTGTATGTGTGCGCCGGGCTGTGGAACTTGCACTTGATTCGATACGTTGTCGCAAGGCAGACATGTGAGCAAAGATGGGATGTGCTACTGAGATAAACCAAGCTCCTTCGCCAGCGCAAACCCAAGTAAGCGCAAAGGCATTTCAATGCCAGCTAGGCCGTTGGGTGACTCTGGGATTTCACTGTTCCCGTTCATACCACGCCCTCGACAACTTTAGAGGCGTGGCTATTTGTGGCTATTCGACATGGCTCCATGGTTTTACAGCATATCAGATCGAGGACTCGAGTATGCAGCCAAAAGCGTGCCGGCGCTATTCAGATGTGTGCATCTCCATTGTCAGCTGGCACTGTGATTCGACCATGCGAACAAACACAACGACAGCAAGGCCATGACAAATCAGTGCGAGAGATTGTCCTGTACTTAGCAGCTTTAGACATGGGAAATGGGCTGGCCTCGTTGAGGCGTTGCGGTCGTGTACACGGCGGGAGCGGCGTTGGCGTTCTTTGCTTTGGGGTTTTGGTGGAACACTCCCAATGCAGACTTGTTGAACTGAAAGTACATCGCGACAACGAAGAACACGATCGTGCCAGCCAGGTAATACCACCACTCTTTGGGCAAGTTGTACGAAAACGTGCCGTTGGCCGCGTCCGTGCGCCACTGGTCGAGTTCCCGGCTATTGGGGTACTTACCTGCAAAGTACCCGATGCCCCAGACAGCGGCAGCCGCACCGAAGAAGCTCGTGGCCACAATGAGAGCAGGGCGCTCAAACCAGGACCCGAGAAACCCGCCGATCAGGCCAAAGACAATCACGCAAATCCACAGACTCGTCTCGGGGTTCGAGGGGTAGATGAGGTAACCAAACGACGTGTTCACGTGGAAACCAAGCAGCGCGCCAGCGGCAGCACCGACGAGGAAGACACCCCACGCCCAAATGCTCATTACAGTTGTGCCGACAAGTAGCCCGAGCACGACAAACATGATCCAAGCCGCCGTTTGGAAGTATGTCTTCTCGCTGAAAAATCGTTCGGCCAACATGTATCCAAGGATTGACCCGACAGCAAATCCGCTGATGAACATGACTGGGCGAAAGAGCTTGTATCCCCACAAGGCGACGAGCACGCCACCGACGATGGCGGCAGACGCGATGAGACCTGGGCCAAATGTGATCCCTTGGGCCGACGCAAACAAATCGTTTACGGTCTGTGTCACCGTGGACGTTGTGGTGGGTGTTGGTGTCACAGCAACCACGCATTGAAGGATGACGGTGAAGATGAAGGCCACATTGGCAGCGGCAAGAATTGCGCGACCCATCGAGCCGGGTCAGAGAATCGCAAAATGCACATGTGGAACTTCTCAAACCTGTGACAATTGATATCCGACACAAGACGAAGGAATTCGAACGGTATGATTGGCCAACACGTCCCAACCCGAAGCGTCACACACCTCTCTTGCTCGGCGGACACGTAAACGAAGCGGGCATTAAACTATACGCCGCAATTCAATACACGAGTCTATTCATGAGTGTTGTTTGTGCCGTTGAAGTGCTTCCGCACCCGAACAACTCGGTCTTGAACAGCTGACAATGGTGTTGCAAAAAGCGTGAGTTGATGCCACACACTCCGCGAATAAACTGTATAAATGAATAAAACGTAGAGTCGTTGATAAACCCATCCACATCGGCTCTCGAGCCCGTTCCTGTACAGAACTTCCATGAAAGGAGTGAGGACAAGCGGCGAATGGGTTCGCTCGTGGTGACGGCGACGTTGGATTCAAATCAGACGTGTCACTCGTAGAGGCCGGCCGGTCCTGCCACATCAGATGGTGCTGGACTGCCTCGCCAAAGCATCCGCTTTTTTTCCGGATGCTTGCCATCAAGTTGTAACCGACCCCGGTCGTCGGTTTCGCTTTGACCACCAGAAGTGCCAAGAGAGCCACAAGGATTGTCATCGCCATCGTGCAAACCATTCAGCGATGAACCAAACGGTGGCTGCGATGGACAAGTGGGTGGAACGAGTACTCTTCAGCGGTTAGGACCTGCGCAGCCGTGGGGAGAATTGCTGGACATTCACGTGACGACGCGATGGACTTGCCGCCGTCGATCCTCGCAGACTTTGTCTCTCGAACAATCAACCCCGTGGACATCCAAGATATACTTTCACGCGTGCGGGAATTCATCGACGACCTTGAAGCGTATCCGAGTGTCATGCGCAAGGTCTCCTCACTCTGCGCTGTCACTGCCTCGTCCACGCAAGTAAACAAGTCGCTGCCTCGAGCGTGAATCACCCGACGCGAATGTTTCAGCTGAATGCTATGGCAGTGGGCTCCCAGCAATGCATCGCCAAGCAAACGACATTCAACCGAGGTGTGGAATGCGCGGGGGAGTGTTAAAACCTCGCGCATTGCATCTTGTGAGCAAGGCAAGTCGAGAAACCATTTGAACCTCCATGGCATGAGGTTGAAGTAACAACTATTGATTTGTCCTCACAACTGCTCTGTCCAGCCCATTCTCCAGTTGTTATCACCGTCATGGACGACATCACCGACATTAGTTTGGGCAAGTGGGGCGATGCGCCTCTTCCGGCCACTGCCGTACCCAAGCAGCATAAAAGCATACTCGCAGTTCCAACCGAGAAAGCATCTCCACGGCCACGTGTCAGCATCGATAGTGACACTACCAGGCATATCCAGACCCCCCAAGCCTGCAGGTCGAGCAAGCGTACCATAGACGTTCCATGCGTCGACGGGGTCGTTTACGTCCGAGTAGATGCTCTATATACTACTTGCATGCCCATCCGTCCTCAACGTCATCCTTGCTCCAGCCATCGCCATGCTGAAGCGTGGAAAGTACCGGCGTGAAAGTGTTGATGTAACACCGCGCCGGCAGTGGGCGTCGGTGTAGCAGAGACAAGCCCACCATCCGTTCATCTCGTGTCGATGGCGACCGAAAGGCACCTTCTGGACGTGATCTGGTCGATTCGCGCGATGAGATTGGGTGCGACACGGGTTTGTATGGAGAGACGTTAACGAAACTGCGGCCATTCCGCCGCAATGTTGTGGATGAGTCGCGCTCAATGAACTTGTTTGGAAATGATGCTGGGGGCGACAAGGGTTTCCGTGATCGGTTCATTCGCCAGACGCTGCAAAACGTTGAAATTGGACGGCTCCTGGTTGAAAATCACGCCCAGGCGTCTTCGGAATGCCACAAGTACTTGGCCAAACTCCATGTACCCCTAGAGGCACCCCATGAGCGCAAAGATGGACCAAACAGCCCAACGCACCGCGCCCATTTCGACAAACAGCCGATCCAGGATCGGAAACACCATGCAAAAGAGGTCTTCGAACACTGTGTTGATCGAGTCGCCCGATAGATCGTCCCACGATTCGTACTGGCCCAGGTTGCCGTGCATGGATTTGCGCATCAGCATCGCGTCGCCGTGCTTGTCGACTTCGTTCGCCAGCAGCACGACAAACGTCTTGGGCGCCGTCAAGGAGCACCCGTCCGTGTGCGACCCGGCGTCCCCGAGGCCAAGCATCTCCACGAGGGTCGCCACCACGTTAATACATGCAATGGCAAACGGGTAATTCTTCAAGTTGCCTTCACTCACGCCGAACCGAATCCGGTTCATCGTGGCATTTGTGACCTTTGGGTGGTGCTTGACGAAATAGATGACGCAGTGGAGCCCCAAGAGCCCGCTTGACCGCAAATCTGAAGCAGGTCCGCCTCTGCAGTCCTGTTTAGTGCACGCAAAGCTCTATACGCGGCAGAATACACGCACCGTTGGAATCCCATTTCTTGCCATCGCACGTCTGCGTTGGACGTGTACGGCTCGTCTGGGAACACGAGGCGCCACAGTTGGCGCAGCATGAGGTCGATCAATTTGTAGTCCTCGGGCGGGCCATGGCTCTCGGCTTTGACCTTGGCCTTGAGTAGTTTTCGCAGCTTGACTACAGTGCGCAACGTCGTGCGACGAATCTTCTCCCGCTTGTCCATTTCGGCGTCGATCACTTCTTTCGGCAAAACGCGGGCCGCCGCCAACGCGTTGTACCACGACTTGGCTTCGGCCGTCGAGTCGGCCACGAAAACATGGCGGCCGAGCGTGATTGTGCATCGATCGGCGTCGAGGGTCGCCGGCGCAAGGCCGCGCAGGGGCAGCACAAACCATGGACGCACGTATGGACCTGGTGCATCATACGAGTGAATCCAGTCGCTTGACCGGGATCATGCCATCGTACCGGCTTCCGGAAAAAAGGCCAGAAACATCTCGTGCAGCTTTACGTGGAAGCGGCCCTTGATCGTCGCGTTGTGCGAGCCGTTCTTGCGGTCCAGGACGCCCGTCTTGAGCGTGAGCTGAGCATATCGTTTGCCCAACTCGTCGGGGGACACAGTCGCCCCTTGACCGGTGGATATCATGGAGGACGCGCGAAGGGCGAGAATGTGCTGCAAGAGCCCGAACAAGTCGTCTCTCGCTGGTTCCGTCTCGAGGTAACATGGCCACGACCGATGACCGTCCCAGAGGATCTCTAGCCCGTAGCCCCATCCTTTTTCGAGCTCGGGCGGAGCTTTCTTGACGTCGCGCAGCTGGGCAAACGTCAGCGTCGTCAGCGATTCTCCCCGTTTCGTGTTGATGATAACGCTGTCGGCAAAGTTCAGCTCGAGCACACGGGTTTGGACGTGGTTGCGGCCGCTGCATTTTCGAACGCCGTAGTGGACGAGGAAGCCATGGATGCCGGCCTTGTCCCAGAACGACCGCATCTCGCTCAACTCTGCGTGCGCCGCCACGTGAGCCCAACGCCAAAAGAGGCGCAACGAGTACCGTCAAAGGCCAGCGTCTGACAGTCGTAGATAGAACTCTTGATGGCGGCAATCCACGCGTTCATCTCGACACCCGACATCGCCTGGAGAAAGTACTCGCGCTGGGCAGCATCCACCGACGTGGACAGCTTAAATTCGAACTCGCGCTCCTTCTTGGTTGGCACAACGGTGCATTGGGTGCTCGACGATAGCTTGATCACTTTTGGGCTCATGCTAGTCTTGCCCACCTTCGTCGGGGAGGCTTTCTACACAACCCCACGACGTTCATGACGTGGCAAGTTCTCGTGCAGGTTTGTTTGCCTGTTGTTCTTTGCCATACGTCAGGATAGGTCCGTCGGGACTATGATAGCGATGCGTGTGAGCGTAAATCTCGAAAGCGCGTTGCGGCACCTGTGCTCGAGTGTAAACCATCGTTTCCGCCAGGCGGGGACCACGCCGCCCCGCTTCATGAGCCATCCCTGGCGCACAACAGTGCCACCGTTAGTCTGGGGAGTGGAGGCCGCGCCAGCTAGCTTTTTATCGGTGCAGTTGTGGATCGCCAAACTCGTGGCCAGCGACGAGAAAAAATGCGCGCGGCCCAAATTGTGCTCGAAACTTTGAATGTGCTCGCGGGCGAACTCGACGGCGCTTGTACTCGCCCTTCGATCAACCTTTCGGTCTCCTTGACCACTTCCTTCTCGAGCGACTCCTGAAAGCTTTTTGCTTGAACTTGTTTCTTCGCTCCGCCGGCGACCGCCCATCGTCGAAGGCAACGGACTCGCGGCATTGCTACCTGGTGAGCATTCTTCCGACAATCCGGACGTCTCATCCACGTCGCGTGGTGGAATGTCGATTCCGAGCCCAGGATTCCTGGTGCTGACGTGGTCTGTGAGCGACGTGGGAGGAGGCGGCAGCAGTATCGCAGCGTCAATGTCGCATGTCGAGCTGCTGCTGCTGCTCTCGATCACAGACAGCTCCTACTTACGTGGATCAGCGCGGCACTTGTGTGCAGCATTCCTACCGAGAGGGTGGTGAGTGTCTGTTGAGCAAGCAGGTCGGGAGCTGTCGTCGCCGGGGCTCCTTCGACTGCCATCATCGCGCTGTCCACGTTGGTTCCCTCGATGGTCTGACCTGAATCCATTCGTGTAACAGTCGTCGTGGTTGTCATAAAAACTGCCACTATACAAATTATAGTATACTTGGTAGAATTTTATTCCCTCCACAGACAAGATATGGTATGGGCGGCCATCTCGAAACTCACTGGCGACCTCCAAGGTGCGGCGGCCAGTGGTCTGAACACCGTTGCAGACACCGTTCCCGTGCATTGGGTGCTTGCCACGGTAAGTTGATCTTCCGTGGATCGTGCAGCCCCATGAACGATCTGACGAAGCGCCATGTCGTTCCATAGCTCTTGGATCTGTTTCGTGAGTACCCGAATGGCGTGACCGATGCAGTCGTGCGAACAGAGCTCCTCGTGCGGTGGAAGCTGCACAGATCACACGATTCGAAACATGGGTCAGGGTGGACGACGGATGATAACGAGGTCACATGCGCACAGATTACCGAGTACTTGGCGTCGCAGCAGATCCTCGTGCTACGTGAAGCAATATCCACTGACTTGGACACTAACGAGAAAGGCACTGTCGTCAACTCCACCAAGCAACACCCCATGCACTTGTGCGTAATCCTCTCTTCCGGCATCAAACTCATTTCCATCAGCTGACATTCCCTCTCAATAGATTTTTACACCAGCGGTTCCATCGGTACTTGCCTTCCTGCATGTACGTCCGTCGTGCCCTTCGTCGCATCTTTAACCGTGCTGCGCAAAACAGAACCGCTTCCATGCATCCGTTCAATACCATGCGCCGGGTTTTGCTCACTGCGCTGCAGCCTTTCGAAAGGCGACTTCCTCGAAGTTTGTTCCCACGATCTCTCGTCCATCCATGTGACCACCTCGACGGCGTTAGGCTACAAGCAATGCCTGCCCACCGAGAACATGGTAATCATTCTCGACCCGTCCAACGACTCGTGGGACCGCGCGCTGGTTGATGGCGCATCATGCATCTCCACCTTGCGAACGTTGCATGCCATCCCTTCAGACCAACTCCACGTCCAGCTTCTTCGAATGCAGGTGGTTTGTCCGCTGGGTGAGTCATCTCACGCGCTCGTGTAGGTCGTGGCCGTTGAGCCGTGTCGGTCGTGCGCGTCCGCGGTGAACGCTAGCCGTCGACTTTCCATCGTTGTAGCTGCATGCGATGCCAGCCACACGTTTTTGATTGTATTGTGGGACAACCAGACGCACCTCGGCGCAGCGTTTCATCCGGGAGACACGTTAATCATGGACTGCCCGTACTTGAACGTTAGAGATTCCGCCAACAGTGAGCACCAAGCCATCTTCTACGAGAGCCCCGGCCATGCCTCGCACTTGTTCATGGAGTATGGGTCTTCAACGATCCTCTTTGTCGTTCCTGCTCAAACTTTCCTCGCCGAAGTTGTGACACAACCCAACAAGGTCGCATTCACTGCTCCGGTGGACCCAGTGACCAAGTTCTCCAACTTGGCAGGGTACCCCCTACTTCTAGACGAGTGGACCGCCTTGCCCGAGAACTGCTACAACGCGGCGTTTCTCGGGCAAGTCGCGCACGTCCATGTGGGCCATGCCAGCCCGTTGCGGCAGCAGTTTGCCGCAACTTACTTTGGCGTCAACGGCATGGCCTCGTCGCTAGCCGATACCTCGCCGACCGTCGTTTTGACGCTGCGCTCGCTGCAGCCGCCGTTTCCACTGCTGTCGATCGAAGTCACGGGCGCGGACCAAGTGGCATGTGCGCTGGCCACATGTGACGTAGGCCACCTCGTGTTGGCACAAAACGTCGTGCTCGTCAAAAGTGGCCACACCACGATGGGTCTCTGTGCCGACTGGTCATTGCTGCATCCAGCATTTTCGAATGGTCAGGTCGTATTCTGGAACGTGCTGCGCGGGTATTTGAACTCGCCAGACTTTTATTCCGTGATCCTGTTGTCGCAATTGCGACCTCGAACGACGTCTCCGTCGACCGTAGCGTCACCGCTGGCAGTCGTCCGCGTCAGTTTTGTCTCGAGTGAATGGCTCGAGCCATCTGCCACCACCATCATCCACCGCGGCTGCCGTCGGAAGATTCACCCGCCGAAGAAAAACGACGCCGGATGGACGTGTGACTTTTGCAACGTCTCGTGGAGTGACGCCCGACGGAACATCGCGATGGGGTTCAGCAGCCTCGCGATTCAGATGGAAGACGGGTCGGCCAGCGTCCGCGCTGTCATGGACTCGAGGTCGATCGATCAACTGCTCGGGTGCACAGCGATGGCTTTCGACCAGCTCCCATCAACCGACCAGACTGCTCTCGTCAACCAAACGTGCTCGGCAGGGCTAGTGTACGTCGCGATCGTGTCGCCATGTCCAAGTGTTCACAACATCGTGTGGCGCATCGACCAAGCGATTCCACTCGACAGCCAAGTTCCAAACCAAATCATTCAGTTGACAAAGGCCTAGAGGTATCGTTGTGGTCGCCCGAATCGGTCGAGATTCGAGTGGATGGCTGCGAGGCGCGTGGTACATTCTGAACAAGAGCCGAATCCCCATCGTTGTTTGCGTCCCCTTCGACCGTTGTCGCGAGCACGCGTGCGGGACACAATGCACATGCGCATCGGTGGACTCTCGCGCTCAAAACGACCCACTCGAGTTGGTGATGCTCGCCGTTCGGGTGCATGACGTGGCAGTGCCGGCTGCACCATCGGCAAATCGGCACGACGTTGCATGTGGCGCAACGATACTGCATTCCAAACGGTGCATACTCGGATCGGTGGACGTGGTCGCACTCACATCGGCCGCCCATCGCAGCCGCCACGATGTCTAGCAAAATGGTTTCGATGCACTTTCAACTGTCCATGACGATGCATCGCCGTACCGCGTGCTGTAGGCCGAGCGGCCGACGCGTACGCCTCGGATACGGTCAGGAACGGCGCGAGGTGTTTGATGGGGAATTGACGGAATCGATTCATGGTGTTGCTGTCGTCTACAAAGACACAACGTGATTTTGCGAAAGACGTGATCGTCGCCATCCATGAATTCGACGCAGTCCCACCTCGACGAAACAGCACCATCGAGTGCGCAAACCCGACAGCGATTTTCAATGCAAAACGATTCGAGATGGCTTCGACCAGCCATGGAACACACGTCAGCGTGCGGTTGGCGCCGTGAGCTGTCTTGCAGTACGAGCCATCGCCCCACGCAAACACTTGCCCAGTCACTGCGCCAGGCGAGTCGTGACGAGCCTGGCGCAGAGATCGACGCACCTAACAACGCGACCGAGTACCGATCGCCCGCAAACACTTGGGCCACTCGCCGTGACTGGGAACGGTATTCAAATTCTTGGACGCATTGAGGGTTGTCCGAGTGCGAGATGGTCGCGTTGATACCGAGCTGACCGAATCGATTACTTCCACACGAGTACACGTACGTCTTGATACCGACAACGCAAAGCTAGCGGAAGGTGTGACGACGACGTGAACGGGGGCATCGTACAAAGAGCGAGTGGTCCGATCCCGCCGACACGTGGCACGTTTGCATGTGTCTGAAGAAGAGCACTTCGGTTGGCACGAGCACGTCTCGGTCGACAGGGCCACCGATGCCCAAGCACCCCGCCGTGTTGTGGCCCCAGCTAAACACGCGAGATCCTACCATCGTTCACTCAAAGCGTCGTGAAAACGCCACACCTGAGATGGCCAGCGCATGCGTCGACCCGAGCGCGACATCGACGACGCACGCTAGCCCTTCAACTCTCCGCGGGGACAGCTCGTTGGCGGTCGAGTCTACAGGGAAGTGAAGCCAAGTCGCTTACCACGGACAGTGTACGAACTGTGCCCGAGCTGTCCATGCCGACCGTATCCCCATGTGTATAAGTGCCCTTGAGACGTTATTGCAGCAGCAAAGTGAAATCCAGCTCGAACAATCGTCACCCGGACGTGCATCAACGCATGCACGATGTGCGGAACCTTCAAGAGGGAATTCGGACTTGGACATCGCGATAGCTTTCGCTCTCCTTGAGTGGGCCACAGCGTACCTGATGCTTGGCTTCACTACCAAGCCCTAGCTGGCCAAACGTCCCGTTGCCCCATGCAAAAAGCACACCTCCTTGTGCGTTCTCGGTGGCTACTATCATGCATGCGGCAAGTGGGAACGGCATGGAGCGATGCGCGCATCCATACCCGATCGGTCGGAAGTTTGCAAAGTCGACCTTCCCTGGCCAACAAAATCGGACACAATCGTCTCGGGCGCTACGTGCGTGGTGACACGATGGCGTTGAATCGGCGGACGGACCTGAAATGGCGTAACAAGCCTTGGTGCCGGCGGCTGTGGTTTGAATCGGCGGGAGCGCGTGAATGCGCCGTGGAATCCATTGGGAGGCTGTCGTACAGTCACTGAATTGGCCACATTGATACACGTCGCCGTGTTCTACGCTAGCGTGTCAGCATGTCGCTCGCGACCGTGGAAACGAGGCTTGCTACCACTGACAAAGAGCGACAGGTGTCTGCCTGCCGAGAATTGTTGGATCGACATACGGCGAAATGTTGCGATGGGTTTTGGAATGTCGCAGTTGGCAGTATCGTTGTGTCCAAGACTCCCTTCGACGCCATATCCCCTGCACGACCATGAATTGCAGCACGCTCGAGCACAATGATACCATGAGTAGACATCCGTCACCAGGTGTGCTGACGTTGCGCGAGAAACTGTAGCCACCGCCTTGAGCGCCTGGCTGAGCATCGAAACGGGATCCGGAGTCTCCATGGCCGCAGGAAACACGTCCATGAGTGTGTTGTAGTCTTTAAGAGAGTCGAACGAAGCATCGCTCATGCTTCCCTCGCCGACGGCACGCCGTTGTCGCGCCACGAGATCTTTTGCGGACACGTCCGTAGAATATCCGGATGACGACGGCAATGTAAAAATAGCCTTGCTGCGTTCGGGTTGCATTGGCGAGCAAGAACTTCGACAGCACGCGCAGTGACGATGGGGGTGTCGCTCGTGTCGAAGCGCTTCCTGAACGTGTGGAACTTCATCGTGCTCATCTTGGGGTTTGCGCTGCTCTTGATCACGCTGTACATTCTGCTGTTTCAGAGCGACACGTACGCGATCCCGAAAGTGGGGTACTGGTCGTCGATCGTGTGCTCGGGGCTACTGATTCTCCTGGCGGCGCTCGGGTTGTACGGGCTCCGCCAGCAGCGCTTGTGCGTGACCCGCAACAAACGGAACTACGCTCTTGGCATCGTACGCTCTACCTCTCGGTGTCGACATGGAAAAAAAGCTGATCGAGTCATGTGTGGTTTGGTTCCATAGTACTGTCTATGCGGGTTCATCACGGGCGTCGTCCTCGTCATGGCAGGCAGCATGGCCCTCAAGTTTAATATGGTGATTAACGACTCCAAGGCGCTCGAGTTTGCGCAGACGGCCGAAGTGTACCTGGAGGAAGCCATCGTGGACAACCTGAACGATTACGCATCGACGGACCCTGCCAAGTGGAGGAAAACGCAAGATAGTTGGTTCTGCTGTGGGTACTTCGACCTCTCTCGAGTTCAAAAGTACGTGTGCTTGCTGATCGTTCCGCTGCGTCATCGCGTCTGGTTAGTCACATTGGCCTCAAGTACATCACGATGGCCCAAAGTATCAACTCGATCCAGGGCATCTACTGCTCTAGTAATTGCACAGTGTCAACTTCCGCAAGTGCCCTCCCATCGATACTGCCTTTTCTCAACTCGACGCAACCTGTGTGTCCAAAAGCTGGGTCGTCCTGGTGCCGCGATGTTTTCCTCGAAAACGCACAAACCAACAACGTTTATGTTGGGCGGGTCGCCATTGTTGGCGGGTCGGCGCAGGTACCGCCACCTATACGATCCAACGCTCAATGGGGATTCCGTCTAGCTGCTGGGGTTTGCGCTTGGTATATTCCTTCTACTCTGCGACGTCCGCATGATGCGGCTCGGAACGATGCAGCCACATGCCCTGGAGCAAGCGATAAAGGAGGCGCAGACATAGACACCATGCCCAACCCCGCTCGGCGGTTGGAGCCCAATCCACTGAACTCGTGTATGCGCTCTCTTGCTGCATGATTTTCCATTTACATACAAAAATGCTCGTCCTTTTGAAATGTAAATGTTGCCACCGCCGTTGCCATCATCATTTGATACGCTCCTACGTGCCAAGTTGACTCCCACAAGTGCCACGAACGATTCACTCAGACGTACCGCACGACACAACCCCCATGCGCACTCCGTCCGGCATCTCGACCTTTGTCGGACACGCGTCCATCTTGTTCAACGGCGCGCCGTTGCCCGCTTCCGGTGATCCCCACCGATACACCTACGCCAAGCACCGCGATCCATTCATGGCATGGCCACGGACGTCAACTACCCGTACCTCGCCGGTAGTCGACACGATTGCTGTCGTGAACGACCCGCAACTGACTTGAGTTGCCACAACTTGACCGATCGAAATCTTGTGCGGAGTAGTTCGCATGTCACCAAGAGTGACTGCGATATCTCCGAGCTGGCCCGCCAAAGCGTCCCCCCATCCGTACACGGTGCCGTCGAGCAGCACCGCGACTGTGTGGTACGCGCCGCAGCCAACAGAGGAGGCCTTGAGCAGCGGCACTTGCAGCGGTACGACGTCGTTTTCAAGGGAGCCTCGTCCGAGCGCCCCGGACCCGCCAAACCCCCAAGTGTACACGTTGCCGTCACGATCAATCGCAGCGGAATGACATTCACCGGCATCGATCGCGACAATGACGGGAGTATTCTCAATCACGACTGGCGTCGCCACTGGCACGTCGTCTTCAGAGCCAACGCCACACCGGCCTCCATATCCTGCTCCACACGCCAGGACTTGACCCGATGTACACAGCATCAATGTGTGTTCTCGTCCACAAGCGACTTTACTCACAGGTGGCACGTTGGTCACTTGCGAGGGCTGCAAGCACTTGCCGCTCTCACCGGTGCCCAGACGTCCGGCTTCGCCCCATCCAAATCCAAACACGCGCTCGTCCGCCGTCACGACCATCGTGTGCTCACGACCACACGAGACATGGCTCACCGGAATACCAGTGAAGAAGTCGACGTGCTTTGGTTGGGTGACAGCGTTTTCGTCTCCGTGCCCAAGCCGTCCGCATTCGCCGTAGCCCAACGTGAACAACTCGGCCCTCGTCGTGATGACGGCCGCATGGCGGTAGCCGCAACTGACAAACTGCACCGTATTCTTCATGGGTAAGGGGAATTGCAGCACGTTGAAGTCGATGTTGCGGACTGGAGCATTCGCTTGCGCGTTCGAAAACGCATGGAGCGCCGGGTCCCGCTGCTGGTTCGCGGCAATATTGCGCTGCTCGACGTCTAGGCTCATGCCCATCATGTTGCCCTCGACGAACGCAAGGCCGTTTGTGGCCCAGAACGAATTGTCGCATAAGTCGAAGGGTGGGATCGCCTGCAGGTCGTCGAGGAGCGCTTTGGGTAGGTACATGGCCCGCAGGCCGAGAAAGTGCTGCTCGACCTTCTTGAACCAGTTTTTCGGCTCGAGGAACTTGGCTAGGTCTTGCCACGATGGCATGCTCTTGACCAGCAGCGTTAGCATCGCGTAAAATTTCTGAATTGACACGTTTTGGGTGGCAAACGTCTTGAGAACTTGACGCAACTTGACGAGTACGACAAGCGATAGCATGTGCGACGACGATTCGATCATGAGCTGCGAAATGTTGCCGGGTCTAGGGGGATGTACATGTTGTTTCCCGACAAAGCCACGTGCAGGGCAAATGTACCGAAACAAGAGCCGCAGCCACCTCCACGCGTGAATGTACACGGCGACAAGGGTTTCGACGGCCTGGGGCGGCTCGTTTTCAACAAGGAACATTTCAAGGAATACCATGACAAGATAAACGCCGACTGGAACCAACGCGTGTGACGGAAGGAGATCCATCGTCCTTTGGACATCCGTCAAAGTCGCGCGGACGGCCGGAACGTCGGCGGCCCTAGGAATATCGCACGTGAAGTACACGAACTGTCAAAGGAGGAGTCCATGCCTAGCACACGCCATCGCCTTGTGCAAATTCGCAAGAAGACTGCGCTCGATTCCGTACTCCTCGACGTTGTCGCTCGTGCCTTCGAGGACCCCCGACACGCGTTCGTCGACTGTGCGAAAGAGCTCGAGATATCCATCGCCCTTGCTCTGTACGACGTGTCCCGCGGTGTTGTGCTGGCGCATCGTGCTATGCCGCGACGGCATGAGCGTCGTCTGGTACAGCTTTTCGAGATGCAACAACTGCTGCGTGAACGACGTGAGGTCTGTGTGTTGGAGGTTGGACCAGGCCGTCACAAGTTTCGTCTTTTGAAACGATACGATGTCTTCTTCTTCCAACGGCGGTAACTTGAGCGTATTACCGTCGGCGAGGAGCTTCTTGATCACGCGGCTGGTCAGAGTCAGGCGCAGCGTCCGAAGCAGTGCCATGTACAGCGGCGCCGGGTTTTGCCTCAATCGGCCATGAAATAATTCGGTGTTCATGACGCTATGGGGCACAACCGAGAGGGCTGTGGGCAAGAAGCGAGTTATTCCACTGGCATGGATCGATCGGCAAATACGACGTCAAAGCGTACATGCGGAATAGGGGCCGAGGGTGCACCACAGCGGCAGATCAACTCCCCAGAACTGACTGGTATGCGGCGACGCTTCCGCGAGCCCTTGGAGGATCGAGTTGAACAATTGTACGGCAGTGGGTGTGCGTGCCTTGTCTTTGTGCCGCACCAACTGATGTCGAAGCATGTGCTACACAATGCCACCCATGAGCTGTCTCGCTCAACCCGACGTCGCCCCCACCTTGGCGACGCGCGCGACGATTTCCGACATGACAACGGTCTGTGTACCATGTTGTACCAACTAGTCACCGATGCACTGCAGCTTGTTAGTCGACGATGCATCGAGCGGCGTACCGCCAACGAGCCCAACACAGCTGGAAGAAAACACAAGTTGATGCCATAGTTGCGCATGTGCTCGCGTAGGTGGTTGCCGTCGGAGACGTAAATGACGTCGCGGCTGTCGACGGCTGGTTCAGAATTTTGCATTGTCATCGTGGCATGTTCTTGTATCGCATCGCCCAACGTCACGAGGCGAGCGGCAAAGTCCGCGATCGTCGTTGCCATCGTTTGCATGATGTTTGCTTCGTACCGCTCGACCTGGTCAACATGACAGCAGTCTAGAGTGAACACACCCTCCCCCGACTCACACATTCACATGCAAAACCAAAGAAGCAGGATCGTCGGCAGCCAACGTACGGAGCTCGATGCAATGTCTGGCTCGCGCAGCATCGACACGTAGTGCTTGATGTCGCCCGCAGCACGATTCAGCACAAACGCTTCCTTCAAATCGAGAGGGAGCCGGCTGTGGGTCGGGTTGTACGTAAAGACGACGTCGCCGTACACTTTGGACCCGACGACATTCGTCGCGCGCTTATTGACCGCGGTCGATACAATGTCGGTGGAAAAGTACATCAAGTCCAAGTACGGCAGCAGCTCAAACTTGCTCTTGATGCCTTTCATGTTGAGGTAGTGGACGAGCCCCTTCTTGCTCTTTTCCAACTCGGCCTTCATGTTAGCCAAGTCGGCATCGCTCAGCATTTCGATCGGACGAGTCTCATCGCAACGCACAAAACACCCCGCCATCGCCGCCGTCGGGCGCAACGACGTTCGTAGCACATTGGCATAGGGGGATTCGATTTGCATCAAGTACATGTCATCGGAGACTGTGCTTCTACCATTCCACGCCATCAGCACCGTGGTGTATGAGCCCCCGAGGACAATGGACGGAGATCGCACACCGGTAGATGGACGAAAAGCGGGGCAACTCCTTGTACGGGAGCGCATCGAGGACCTGCGCGGGTCGCGTGAACTTCATATTTGTCAGCAACGCGTGGATTTGTTGGCTTGGAACGCCGACTGGGTGCGAGTCCCCAATCGGTTGAGCAAAGACAGCAACTCGCATGTCTCGAGCCTGTTGCATTCGGATCATGTGTACCATGCAAAGGACGTGCAACGTCGTACTTCGAGCGTCGAGACGAGCGGAAACTTGAGCTGCTGAACGTCGCGAAATTTGTCGCCCTGCACTGTCGCGATGGCGAGTGTTCGGAACACGTCGTAGAGTTCCTTGAACGACCCGAGGAACCGCATGTCTTGCTGGAGTTGCTTGGCACAGCTCCAGTGTTGCGCCGCCACTTTAAGAATCAACGGGCCGACTTGGTAGATGATCATGTGGGGCTGCGACGGGTCGTACCACCACCTAACGCACAGTGCCGTGTCAACTCCACGACCAAAATCGAGATGGAGCGTACTCGCGGCTGTCGGTCTCGTTGTAGTCGCGCTCGAACTCGGTAGGGTCCGGACTGTGGACAACTGCGTCGACCAGCATGAGGGCATACTGGTTGAATTGAAGCCACAACTACATGCGGCATCATGGGCTCCCTCATGGTACTGGGTCGAGAAAACGCTTTTACAACGCACCCCATACATTCGCTTCATTCGGCGCACTTGCATGGAAAGGCCATCGCCGGGCTGTGACCGCAAGCAGAACTGCCACTCTTTGTTCCAGTCGCGGGGCTTGATCTTGAGCACAAGCGTCCGCCGCTACCAAACATTCGTTGGTCGTCGTATGATGCATGTCGACCGTACAGTCAAAATGTATTGCGCTTTCAAAGCGTCCTTGAACCCTGCCGTCCACTCGCGCCGTCCCGCGGCGTTTTCGTCTAATAGAATGTGACGTCGGCGGCCAGCGGTCGGACACACCTGCGATTTCCTGCATCATGTCGTTCCATTCTTGGGCTTCGATTTCGGACGTGAACCCCAATAAACTCGTGTTATCTTCAAACGTCACGAGAAACGTGATGTACTGGTTCACTCTCGTCAACGTGGATCCGATGACCGTCTACATCCGAGTCAAGCACGATTTTCGTGAGGACATCAACGTGCCGGCACAAAGAATTATGTGTGTACCTCGACCAAGTCCCAGCACTTGCCGCGGGTACCTCTACGAGATGCGGTGACGAACAGTTCGTGAAGAGACGCACGTACGCTTGCTCCTTGTCCCACATGAACCACCCATCGCTGAGCAAAGTGAACTGACGAGACCTCCACGGCCGAAGAATCCCTTGGTTCTTCTTGTACCCTTGCGTCGTGGCTACGATCGACATCGTCGCCTCGCCTGCCGAGCTGCTTGTGCGAGCAGTAGAGACAGGATGTTGTGCTCTGATTGGTCGAGTTTATTCGTCAGTGGTACGATAAATAACGCAATAGCTGGCGTCCGAGCTACCCCTCGCTCTTGTGTACGCAGGACGGCGCGCTAGACCTCGCAACGGCGGCGCGTGGGCCGCGACAGCGTCAGGATGCGATTGCACACAACAGCGCAGGAACGGAAGCGTTCCAGCCCCGCCTTCTAGTCGCATGCACGCCCGATGGACGATTTGAAAATAGTGCAAATTGCTCCTTACATTCGTATAATGGTTGCGTTGTTGGGGTGCAGGTGAGAGAAGTTCAGTGGCAAGGGCGGCAACTGGAGCCCCACCAAGACCGTGCGAACTTGCGCCAGATCTAGCGCGCCTACGTCATGGAGCACTCCAGCGACACTTCTTCACTCGGTGCAGAAGTCGATGCCATCAAGTGTCTTTAGTTCGAGCGAGCCGTCGTTGGCGAGACACAACTCGCTTGGCCATGGGGAGCCAGAGACGACATGCTCAAGCTCACGGGAATAACTTATTAGGAACACGCAACACGGTCACAGATACAGTCCGACGTCGAACGCCATGGAGGACCTTGTGTCTCGAAAGGCGCCGCCAAAGGATGCGGACGTGTCTCGCATGCCGAAGGCAGCAGTGTCACGTCCAAAGTCGACGGACGTTTGGGTGAATCGGAGCGACTCGAGACTGAGGGCAGTGGGTCGCACGGCAAAATTGAACGAGTTGGCGCGGGGACTCATCGAGAACGAGTGGCTGGGGTTGCTCGTCGGACTCGCGATCGAGCGTGACGACGGCGAACACACAAACGAATCGTCGCGGGTCATGTCGGTGTCGATCACCGGGCATGACGACCGAGGGGACGAAAAGCAAATGGACGGCTTGTGGCCTTCAATTGCTTCTTCGCCGCGCTCACTGAGCATCGGGATGCCTCCAGAGCTCCTGTCACCGACACTATACCTATTGACGTGGTCTGCACCGCCGACAACAAAGAGTGACGACGACCGATCGTCGAGTGCGACCGATGGCGCAGGTGACACTACAATCGGGGCCGTGGAAATTCCAAACGACGGCGACCGCGGCTCGGAAGGGGCGGCATTTATCTGCGACAATATCCTGTTAGCGCATCAAGCAATGGCGACAAAGCATGTACCACAGAGGCGCGAGCAGATGCACCGGACGACGACGTGGCCGACGATCGCCGGACTGGCTGCGTAATAGGGACTTGATGCAAAATTGTCGACGAGTTCGACCGGGCGTCACTGGATGCCGACATCTTACTTGATTGATCAGACACGGATGAAGACGTGCGGCTGAGGCGCGCCGCTTCATCGTGCATGGCTTGAATCTGCCGAAGCAGGTCCAAGTTTTCCTTCGTCTGGCGTATCGTGTCGTGGGACGATGCTTCAATGTCGCGGAGGTTGGCGTGCGACGTGACGTGCGTCGTACACGGCGGGGTGCGGTCAGGGCTCTGCACCACGACAGCCGACAGGGGAAATGGACATGACGATGGAGCGACGGTATCTGGGGAGAGTTTAAACAAGCGAGCCGATGGCCGAGGTAAGTTGTCCGGGAGATCGCTCGTGAGAAGGGAGAATTTCCGTGTCGGGCCTGGTTGATGCGTCACTGCAGCGAGCGTTGACAGCGTTTTCAGATCCGCCGAGTCACGAAGACATCGAATGGCGTCTGCGACAGATGATTCATTCATCGTGTGAGGGTGTGGTGGGTACTCTTTCAGCAGCGACGTTCTTGCTGGTGGTGGTGCATGGTTCGATTCTAGTGGGTCCGAGAACGTCGTGCTAATCATGGGCTTGTCGCGGGTAAACGAGCCGTCATCGTCGTCCGTGTGGGACGCTTTAGGAAGGCGTTGTTTGGCGTACTTGGCGGACATGCACGTGTTGCCCATGGCGCTCTACCTGTCGGTCGATACGCCGACACACCACGCGTGGATGAATGGCGACGTCAATTGCACACTGGCGATTGCGAACTCGAGATGCTATAAATAATAAACCTCCATCCAAATCGAAGCCATACATTCTCCAAGTGTGAAAGGCAGAATAAAATAAACAATTCCTTTCAACTTATCGCAATTCCAATTTATGCCATGTACCGTAGCGAGCTGCGCAGCCAGTTTGAATACAGGTGGCCAAGGTGGGCGGCTTGACCGGGGGGTGCCAAGGTCCAGGCAAGGCATTCGTCGCCTCGTGTGGAAGCCGCGAGAGGCGCGCTATTGCTCGCCGCGGCGTGGACACTCATGACAGTGTCAGGGTGCGTGCTACGGCAGAGTGGAACGTTGCTTGTGTCGGCAGGCTCGTGCAGGAATGTGGACGGTTCCATGATTACATGTCGAACTGAAATCTCGCCAGGTTGCGCAAAGCCAGGAATTACGGTGGGTCCTGGCCCGTGTCGTTTCGTCCGGGAGGAGTGGCCACAGAGGCGCGTTTGTGTGACTGCTCTGCATTGTTTCGATAAGCCGACCGATAGCCGCCTCCGTCCTTTCGCTTGAGCAATCATGGTGGGACGGCGAGCGATGCCCGCGGCAACTCTGTCGTTGGCGCCCCAACCCAAGTGTCTACACCTCGTAGGCGTGTCCACTGGAGTTGGATGGCACGCGGTCTGGATGCATCACATGATGCTGTCAGCGTTTCCATTTCGCCGCTCGACCGAACTGACAGGTCCGACCGGACAAGGTACTTTGACGGATCACACAACCAAAATGTGCATCATGTGATGCATAGCAAGCTGGTCGTGAGGCCAGTGTTACTTTCGATTCAGAGCAAACGGTGGTACAAGTACACGAAAGGACGAAACAAGCGCAAGCACTGGAAACTTCCCTGTCATTCACAAGATGTGGTGTCTATCGTGTGTTGGTTCACTCCTTTGGACGGTAGCAATAACCCAGCGAAAAGGTCGACAGCTCGCATTTGACGGCACTTCTTCGGATAACGACTTTGTTCCGGACAATCTAGAGGCGTCCTCAATGCACAAACCAGGACTCGTACTTCCCCAGCCAACTGTTCGTCAATGAAATGAAAACGCGGAGTCTTGCGGCACGTTCCACCGGAAGGGGGGTCGCCACGCCACAAACTTCCACGACGAGGCGTGTTCGAGATGATCGGCGCCTCCTGTCCATCGCACGGGAGGGCTGCGGATGGAGTGTTTTCAGCAACAGATGGAGGTATCACCGTTCAACTCCTCGGCACGGATTGAGTCCCACGACGCAGCAATGAATGCTTCTTTCAAGGCGGCTAGGTTGGCATTGAATTCCCGGATGGCCTCGCCCTTGGCGCCTTCTTGGAGGATGTCGACCTCCGCACTTATGATCGCGCATACCGTGGTTATTCCACACGGCGCCTCCAGCAACGTCGCGTGGAGCACGCGTAGTTCACGTACGACGTTGTCTTTGAATGCGCGATGCTTCTTGCAATTCCGAAAAACCTAGCGCCCGGGGTCACATGTCGCTGTTCGTACTTTTCCCGACCACGACCAAGATCAACTCGAGGTGTTGGTTGCCGTTGCGTTGCATCGAGCGGATTGTCAAAGGAGACACTCGACTACCGCCTCACTCGAAAACGACCTCTAGGTTGAATGTCGAGTCTCTTAGCGCCGCGCCGCCAGGGTTGTCCATGGGATGTAGCCACGCATTGCCCTTGCCCAGGCAAGCAAGCCGACGAAATTTCTTGAAGTGCAACCCGCACCCGTTCAAGATCCAAAAATGTATTCGCACTCCATTTTTATGTTGCAACATGTACCATACAAACATCCTGTGCGACGAAGGGTGCGTTGACTTTTTTTTGGCATAACGTTAGACATGGATGTTGGAGACCATAGGACGGCGGACGACACGTTCGCCCTCGTCTTACTCTAGCGACAGTGGCATCGATGCATGGAGCGCTGCTATTGTGATGTACATGCAGGCGGGTGCTGGCGCCGCTGCCTGGGCCTGTGCTGTGCGCTGACCAATTTATTGGCCGTTTCAACGCCTCTACAGTTACGTAACTGTCACCCACATCCTTCAAGTCGAAGCGGCGCAGGCGATGGCAGGGCGTGGAAATGCCAAGCCGACGGCAGCGCTCGACACTCTCGACCCCAAGGAACTCGCGACGCAGTACCTTCAGGCGAACAAGCTGAACGAAGTGTTCCAGGTGCACCTTCCACGTTGTGTGCCCGATGTGGCGAATGCATCCCTCGTTACTTGTAGGAACTTTGCACGTTGATTTTGCACCGCCGACCAGCAAATCCACGCGAGTTCTTAATCCAGCAGCTGGAAGTCATGCGATCGTCGCGTGAAAGTCGAAGCGCGGTACGAAGTGTCGCTTCCGTGGACCGACCAATTCACCACTGGGTCATTGAGTGTCGTAGGCAGCGTTCTTCAACGAAACCGATCTTAGTACCATGTTCACCATGTTCGACGTGACGAATCAAGGCACGATCTCGATTGCTCAGTACGACCAAGGTAGAATGTGAAATCTGAGCTCCACGATGCGCCACAGCCTCGCTAAACCTCAGTGTGGGTCTCAGGCTTGAAAAGCTTGGGCATCGACCGCCCCACGCTGCGCCTGCCGGAATCCATTCACCGAGTCGACCGCACGCTGTTTGTCCGCAGTTTGTAAGTCCACGCTGTCCTTCCACCTGTCGCCGATCGGCGCGTGTGCTCCTTCCGTAGGGCCCAAGAGCTCAAAAACAACTCGTACTTGTAACATGCCATCTGAAACACTGCCGTACTGTTGCCTGTAACATGCCAACACGAATCATTGATTCCATGTTGTCCATTACAAGATCGTCAAGTCGTCGTTGAAGTAAATGTGCACAATCGGCTTGAATTCGTCCGCATCCATGCCGAGCTTTTCAAACTCGAGCGATTCGTCGGGGATTCCATTCTCTGCCAGAGTCTTGGCCATGTCGAGCGGGACAAATTCGTCTCCGTCCAAGTACTACCAGCGCCTTGTCAACCAAGTGATGGTAGTGGACGGGTGTACCAACCTTCCACGTGTAGCTCGCCGCATGTGCGTTAAAGTTGAGGTCGATGTATCGGTATTGGATTTCTTCGACCGTTTCTTCCGTGCACACGTCGAGCGAATGCACTTGGTGCGTCAGTGTGTTGACAACTTGGATCGTGCGAACTCGCTGCGTGATAAACCCAATGAAGTACTGGTCGTCCTACATGCACATTGTTGTGAAGGCGCAGGTGGCGAGCCACACGAGAGGAGTGACCGAGGACTTACGTTCCACCACGGTTTGAGGTCGAGTGTGTTCCAAGTGGAGACGGGTTCGGGGGGCGGAACGTGCAAGAAGCGTCCGTGCGGTAAGAATGGAAGCCGGAGGTTGCGATCAGGATCGATGTGGGTGCGCACCTGTGCGCAGAGTTACGTCCCAGTGAATGCAGTCTGAATGCAGTTGGCCTTTCATACATCGCGGGTATCTGGATCGAACCAGTGCGTGAGGTCCTCGCCAGCATGATTCACGATGGGCTGAGTGAGCGCGCCTCGATGGTTGGCCACGAGTTCCGTCAGATCGAGGACGCGGGAGAACACAACCACCCAGCAGTCCTACGGCGGTGGGGTTGGATGAACCAACGGACGGACGACGGTACCTCTGCACATTTGTGCACCGACACTTCCTCGGGGGTGTAATGTCGTCGGTGGATCTTGGGCAAGTCAAACTTGGGCATGTCGACTCCTCGTTCGTGGAGGTTGACGGGATGCGTGGGTGGGTTTGCAGCTGCTACCGTTTCAAACACCATGAAACCGATCAACACATTCGTAACCGTTTGTGTCAGCACTCCGCGTGGTTATTGCTATGCGCCGACGCTACTGCCCTCGCCCCATCCGACGACGATTTGGACCTCTGGAGCTCTCTGAATATGCGGACTTTCGATTGTCGGGGGAGCGTTGTGGCATCGGCTGGGGCGCCAACCATTCCGGCGCCTTTCGGGTCCAATACATAGTTTGGTTTGGGCTCGCCAGGGAGTACTATCGGGTGACCATTAGATGATTAGACGATGAATCTTACCACGGTAGGACGACAGCGCTTCTGCTATGAATGACGCACGCACTTGAAATGCGGCGGTGGGTCGAACTGAAGGAGCGTCCTTGAGACTCTTTCGAAAGATCCGCTGGTGTCGCTCTGCTTCCATCCTCGCCGCGAAATGCTGCTGTTCCTGGCGTTTGTCCTCAAGTAACTTCTTCTGCTCTGCCAACTCGGCACGAATTTTGTCACGCTTTTCCCGACTCTGATTGAATTCGTCGGCGGCCTTTTGCTTGAGTTTGTCCTGGAGTCGTCGCTTCTTTTCGGCTCGCTTCGACGCTTTCGATGTTAGCTGAATGGATGCTGCTGCGTGCTGTTTGCGTGCCAATAACTTTGCCTTGGCGTCAGCGATCTCGCGATCACGACGCGCGCGGTGCTTCGCCTCGGCTGCCACAATGGCTTCCTGTCGTTGCATCTCACGCAGCTGTCGTGCTTCATCCTGGGCAGCCCGTTTTCTCTCAGCATCATCTCGTTCAACCTGCAGCTGCATCGCGCGGTGTGCCTTGGCGAGAGCCTCTGACTCTTCTGTACGCCACTTCTCTTCTGCTCGTTGCGCCTCCTCCGACCCGACGTCGATTTGCAATGCACTGAGGAATTCCGTCACGATTTCACTCGTAGCCACATTCGAGGCTTCTCGCTCGACCAACGTCAGGAACGCCATTTCTTCGCAAGCCATTGCTGCGGCCCTTTTAGCTTCCGTCATTTCAACCAGGCGCTGTTGCCGTACAGCTCGAAATCGTAGCTTCACCTTCCACCCACGCAACCTGCGTTGTATACAACTAGCTGCATTGCGCTCCATCTGCTGCCGATGCAGTTCTGCCAATACTTTCGCGCGAGCTTGAGTCACGATTGCTTTTGCTTCATCCTCTTTCATCGCAGCCAGCAGTTGTTGGTGGGCTTCGACCTCCCGCCGGCGAGCCAGCGCAGCTGCAGCAGCTTCCTGCATTCGTTTGTCGCGTACTCGCCGATGCTTCTTGAGCTAGCGACACACGTGGACATATCAGGATGGCGCTCTTGATGCCAAAGGAGAGGTTTTCACCTTGATCCGTGCCACAATCCGGCGAACAAAACACTGCAACGAGATGGCCGCACGTCGAATGGTCTCGGGATTGAGTCGTTTTCGTCGGTCGCGGTGCATGCCAAGCACCGCCACGGCCATGGAGTGCGCCTTCCCCAGTGAAACATGCAACACTTTGGGCGGGTCGACGGTCCCTGCTTTGTCGTCTGTCGCGGGCACAGTCCACACGACGTGCGGCGTTTCGTGGTTCCGCTCGTCTCCCGTGCCAATTTGCCCCTCTTCGCCAAATCCCCACATATACAACACGCCGTTTTCCGTCACTGCAGCCGAATGGCCAAACCCACACGCAACCGCATGAACGTTTTCGAGAGCTTTGATCGCTTTGGGGACAAAAGCATCGTGACACGAGCCCAGCCCCAACTGTAGCCATGAAAAAGTTAGCGGCATCTTGGCCCGGTTGTGGAATACCTGTCCAAAACTCCCCCATCCCCATGCAAACACCTCCACGATTCGGTGTCAGATCCAGCGCCGCGATCCTGGTGTGCTCACCTTTTTGCACGACGTCAGTGCGAGGGAGTGAGCGCCCCCGCAACTGAGGGACGTGACATGGACATGCCGGAGTCCATCAATACACTTGGCACTACAAATGAACGGGTTGGAGTCGACGTTTGAGATCGCAGAGAGCCTTGCCTTGGCTGGGAATCTTCGTTGCCATGGCCTAACCGTCCTTGCTCGCCCCACCCCCAAGTATACACGACTCCCGTGTCCGCGACGCCGGCAGAATGATTCATCCCGCAAGCGATGTGAACGAAGGTGGTGGTGTTTGGCGACATAGGCACCCGACACGGGTCCCCGACGCAATTGACATACGTCCCAATGCCCAGTTGTCCAGCGCGACCGCCTCCACAACTGAAGACGGCGCCGTCGGATGCCAAAAACAGCGTGTGCTCTTCCCCGCATGCAACTTGTCTAGGGCCCACATGCGATCGTGTTCAAGTCAAGAATGCACAATAGCATGTCGTACCTGATTACAATGGAGTGCATGGCAAAGATGGATGTGATTCGGCGAGGGGTGTACGCGCTAAAAGCAGAAACCATTTTAAGCACGCTGTGTGAGCAGCATTCAAGCATACTGATGCTCGTCGCCGTGACCGAGGCGACCGGACTCGCCCCTCCCCCAGGTGTAAACCTCCCCCGCATCTGACACTAGCGCCATGTGTCCAGGACCGCAGCTCATGCCTCGGATCACGACGTTGTCGAGCCCAGCCACCCGCACTGGAACTTTGATATTTTGGCTAACGTCGAGCGGCACTCGACCCCAAACGTACACGTGGCCGAGCTCGTTGATGGCCGCGGAGAGCAAGTCTCCACAAGAGAGCTAGAACCATCATGATCGTTTCAGGGTAAGGCAGGTATGACCATTCCGATGATTCTCACCTGCACACGTTCTAGGTTGTTGGAAATATGGTACAGTGCCAGAACGAGATCTGGCGTCCCGCGGTGGCGGTCGTCGGCAAGCCCGAGCTGGCCGTGGCTACCGCTGCCCCAACTGCGCACCTCCATTGTCGAGTAAAAGTCCTCTGCTGTAGTTTTCACCTCTTTGGCCTTGGGCAGGGTATACGCGCCCTTGTAAGGAGACGGTGCGACGTCGTTGCGTTGGAGGTCGGACCCGAGCCGTTTGAGAAAGTCCCGCTTTGCCTGCTCTGTTTTGGAGAAGCTGAACGAGGACGCATGCCGGGAAATAAAGTGGGGCGAGGTCCCATCCGACGGCGCCGCTGGCCTCGCGCCAGCCCCTCTCCGCTTCATGTGTCGGTTTCAGTGTAAACGTTTCAATGGAACGGCGGCCAAGCTGGACCTGCTCAATTCCCCCATGCTTTTCCGCAGTAATTTTTAAACATTTCAAAATAAGTTGCGAAGATACAGCATTTGACGTGCCAAAAAACTAGGTGACTGGCATCAGCAAGCTCGCCAAATCTGTGTGTCCGCCGCGCTCTCGTCAACGTCGCTTGATCGACTACTGCGGCGTGCACCCGGCCATGCACTCGTGTTCAGTATGCGCCACGTCCACTGCTTTCCCCAGTATTATGCGAAGGAGATCCTTGTATGGCTCAAGTGCTCTATCCTGCCACTGTTTCATGTCCCGGACCAGCCAACCTTATTCATCTCATGTCAATATAGTGTCAATCCCGAGAGCGCAGACGAACTTCTGGTTGATTTTGTACACAGCAGTGGCCATTCGATAGCGATAGTCCTTCCATTCGTACATGTAGTTGAAATGATGAGAGGACGTTGTACATGTCGAGAAACGCAGACACCCCGATCTCTGTCGCATTCGTGTGTTTGAAAAATCTCGTATGTGCTTTCTACGGGATGCCCGCGGGGTGGCTTCGACGGGAGACAACAATTGGCGTCGTCGGGCATAGTATGTAGAGTGACGCGTGGACAGAACCGACACAGGCCCTCTGTACATCCTCCAACACTGGACAATCCTTCTCTGTTACCATTGAACGTATTCTGGCGCGACTGCGACCCATGGCCAGTCACACTCTTGCCGCAAGTGCCCCTCCGACTCCATTCACCATCACGATCGACATGATGCCGACCGATTCGGCGCGGCTAAGGGCTTCCACACTGCGCTCTCCAGTCGATGGGGTCGTATCGTTCCATCACACATCGTACGTACATTTTTCCATGTTTCCGTGCGAAATGGTTAGTACATACCAACATTCCTTCTACAAGGTACTTCTAGTAATTACTACACACCACCCAGCGAGTGCTTTTGTCGCTTGTACTTATTATACACTTGGGTGAAGATCCTCCTCCTTTCATCGGTAGACCTGTCCATATTCTGAATGTAGTCAACTTCAGACGCTCGAATCGAACGGACGACAGCGGCCTGATCCTTACATTTACGGGGAGCAGTGCGTGTGGAGGACAGGGATGAGAAAAACCCGATTCTATTTCGGGCAACAATTGGGTTTTTGGTTTAATACAATAAAACCCGATTTTGGAGCAAAACAAAATGGTTTTATTCTCGCGCAGGTCGAGCATCGATGTCGCGTTCATTCTTGCCATTCCGGTTCGCTGTTGCAATCAGAATCATCGGATTCGTCCAGCTGTGCGTAATCGTAGAAGGCCTGCAAGTTGCTCTTGATATACGTGAGCTTGTCAATGCTCTTCGGGTTCAGACGATTCCACAAATTCGAATGAATGAAGCCCATGGTGGACCAGTTTCGCTCTGAGGCAGCGCTCGACGTTGCCATGCTGAAGAACTTGACGGCGATCTGGCAAGACGCGTCGAGTCGCAGGACTCGTCGACGCGAGAGCTGTGGCCTATTCTTGGCGAGATCAACGAATTCTAGTGATTTGAGCCTTGAAGGGAATAAAACCGAATAAAACCAGATTTTGCCGCCGCAGAAATAATCGTTACTTCGAAGTATTTTTTAAATAAAACCGAATAATACCCGATTGTAAAAAACCGCGCCGTGCCACCCCGGTGGAGGAGGCGACTCTGTCGTCACCCTGGCAGAGTACAAATCCGAACTCAATGACTGTATGATCTTATACAAAATGCTGGAGGTTATGGTGGACGCTCTGCGTGGGCGAGATGGCGAAGGGACCCAGCCAAGGACGGAACATCGGGCCGGTTGCTCTTATGCTGAACAACCTCGAATGCTTCCTCCGTGCATGGGAGCTGAATTCGTTGCACGGAACCTATTTCGGATCGCGACAGGAAATATCCACCTCCGCACTGTCGCACAACTCGTTTTGCGTGCACTCTGGTGGTTGGTTTTTTTAATACTCACAAATCCATGTTGTCGTGATGAATTTCGTGGCAACATTTAAATAACACGGTACGACGACTTTGAACAATACTAGTACACAAAAAAATACATGCTAAGTCGCCAAAGTGGTGAATGTCGGAGGCGGCAACATGGTCGTGTGGTCGGAGGAATTCTCGCCGAGGTTGAAGGTGAATTTCAGCTACGTACGTCATGCTGCTGAACGCGCCAAGTTCCACGCTGCATCGCTCGCGTCATTTCCCAAGTACAACTGCATGCGATCGTACCTTCCTCGATCACTTCTCCATCGCCAAGGAAAGCCACACCACAAATCCAATGGAACTCGCACTTGTGGCTGTTGTCGTCATCGCGTCGCTGGGCGCGGCGGCTAGCCGCTGGAAAGCCAACACAATCAAGGGACGGGTCGCCCTCGTGCACGTGGGCCAGGGAGCCTCGAACGAATCCAACCCCATTGACGACACAAGCGATTGCTACGCCGTGGTGAACACGCCCCGACAAACGTCGTCGTCCCTCGGTTTCTTCAAGTCGCCGCCACCAAACATTGCCATGGAAGCTACCATCTAAGACGGGAGGTGCTGGCGATGTGTATTTATTTCGATTCCGCGCCATTTGTGTTGCAAAAGCCGACATCGTTAGCGGATCTACACTTTGCAACGTGCTGACACCTGACAACAGAGGTAGCAGACAACTCTTCCTGCTTCAGGGTTCATTCGATTGTGTCGATCTGAGCCGCCAGTCAAAGCAGGGGCGTGTGGTTGCCAAAGCGTGCAGTAGTGCACGCCGTACATCCACCCCGGGCACGTGCAATGGTCATGTCATTACGAGGGGCGACATGTTGAGTGGCTGGCTAACCCGCGGGCTTACAACGTGCTATTTTGGTTGCTGTAGCCGCTTTGGCTCGACTTTTCAAACTCTTTTCGGAACTTGCGCAGGGCGAACGACACCACGGTCGCCTTGGGGCGCTTGGCCGGGTCAAATTCCAAGCATTGGGTCGCAATCGCGAGGATATCTGGCGGCATTGTCGACGAGAACGTCGGCTTGAGCTGGTTCTTCCTCACCAGCTCCATGATGCCGTGGTCTTGGAGTCGCCCGCCGTGCGTGTTGGTGGCGTCGTTGTACGGGACATTGCCTGGCGCAGGACAAACCCCGATCAACGTCTCTCGATCGGCAATACGTGGTCACGAACGACTTGTCCTACCTGTATCCATTTCGGCGAGGACACACCCAAAGGACCAAATGTCACATGCGGCGTCGTACTTGTCGCCGCGGATGACTTCCGGCGCCATCCATCGGCATGTACCGACACCAGCCGTCATCGTTTCGTCGGCCGTACGATTTCGGGAGATACCAAAGTCGGAGAGCTTGGCGCCGCTGTCGGCATCGATCAGGATGTTGCGCGACTGCAACACATCGACGTGAACAACACAAACGCCAACCACCCCGCGAACGACGGTACCTTCAGGTCGCGATGGACAAACACGGGGTTGAGTGTGTGCAAGTACACGAGCGCGTCCGACACGTCGATCGCGAGGTTCAGCTTGACCGTGAGCCACGGCAGCTCCTGGCCGCTCTTGACGCTTCGATCGAGCAGCGATTTCAGGTCGCCGCAGTTCATGTATTCGGAGATGGCTTGGATGTTGATGGCATTTGACCACGACGCCCCGATGAACTTGACAATCTTGGGGTGCTGCAGGCGCGCCATGAGTTTGATTTCGGCCGCAAACATCATGGCATCGTCAAAGTTCTTCTTGTCCGGCAGCAACTTTTTGATCGCGACCGGGTTGTTTTGGTAGATGCCGCTCCAGACTTCACCAAACCCACCGCGCGAGATCATTTGGATTTCCGTCACCTCGGCTGCATTGATGCGAACCGCGAGGAGCTCGGGGTCGTCCAGGATGCCCAGCGACCCGCTAGACGGATACGGGTACGTCATCTGGCCGGACGGGTCCGTCACGTTGTAGCCCTTGGTCGGCGGGTCGAGTGCGGTGTGGTACCCCGTGTCTGTCCGGCGCTTTCGAAACATGACAAACGCGGCCAATGCGAGTACGACAGCTACGCCGACGATGATCCCGATCAGAGCGCCCGAGCTTAGACCCGAGTCAACTGTGGTCGGGGATGGTGTTGGAGTCGCAAGAGCTACGTTGGGCTCGCCCACGACGCATACTCGGACTCCGCCGACGGCGTTGATCAACGGATTGGCCGCCGGGTTGAAGCCTGACCCTTCAGGGCACTTGGTCACGGTGAAGTCTGCTTCAAACTTCTTCCCGAGGGCGCTCAGTTTGCGAACTTGGTCTGGTGTCAACACCACATTGGTTAGGCCGTTGCCAGTGAGGACCCTACACGACGATTCGGTCACTCGATGTCAGCCGTGTGATGTGGGCTTTCAAAGACGGGGCGGTGGTACGTACAGCGTGTCGAGTTTGGCCAGGTCGAAGATAGCAGGCGGGACAGTCGTAAACTTGTTACGCGACAGATCTCTAGATGGAGAAAAGGTCCGTCGAGTCACCAGAAGGGGGAGGGGAATGGCGTACAGTTTGGTGACGGACGCTGGGATGTTTGTGATGGAAGTGAACGCGTTCCCACCCAAGTACCTACGGCACCGTCAGCACTTGGTTGGGCTAGCGGCAGGTCAGTACAGTTCCGTGAGCTCCGTCGTGTCGAGAGGAGGCAGCGACGCCAAGTTGTTGTTGGTTGCGTTGCTATGCTTGTGGTGAGCACAGCCATGTCCACAGCGACCTGACGTACAGGAACTGAAGTCGAGTGAGCTTGGTGACTTCCGTGGGAAGAACGTCGAGATTGGCGTTGACGATTGCGAGAAACTTGAGGTCAGGGAGGAGCTTGGCGTCACCCATGGCGTTCGCAAACACGTCTTTGACATCCATGTTGAAAAGAAATCTATCACATGGAGGGGAGGATGGTCAGTGAAACCATCGGAGAATGGAAGCCGTGGAAACAACGCACAAGCGCTCGAGCTTGGGATATTTGCTGAAGAAGGTTGGAGGGTACGAGATCTTCTTGAACGTGCCTTTGGGCTGGTTGAAGGCCGTGCCAGTGACTTGGCTAATCATGAAGATGAGTTGCATGCGGGATAGAACGTCTCGACATACAAGGTCGTGATAAAGTTGCCGCCGCGATTCGTCGTCGTTTTGGTCAAGTCGTCCATCGCCTCAATGGGGGCTCCAACGTAGAGCGGGTTGCCGCTGCCGACGGCAGGATCACCAACATAAAAGTTCCAGAACGGGTCTTGCGTCGAGTTGCTCGTGGCACCATTGCCCATGGTTGGGCACTGAAATGTGAGCAAGCATTCCTTCGTCCCCAGGCTGCGTACGATATCGCTTTGTGTCACACACGGACCCGATTTGGCGTTCACGGACGTGCAGTCGGTCGCGGACTTGTACAATACGCACGTGTTGGACCCAGTCTGTTGGCATGTCAGTGGGCATTCCTGGCCCACGGTCAAGATCGTCTTGGTAAGGTCGCAAGGAGTAGTGGAGCTCATGGCGTTTGCGACCGACACGCAGGATGGCCTGCTGTCTCGATCTGACAACCGACCCTCCCATACCAGAGTACATTGCAATGTACGTACGACGTACGAATTGGTATCGTACAAGCGTTGGCAATTCGACGGCCAACGACTCGTGGTCGAAGTTGCGCTGCGTGACGATTGGAGCTCGATCCATGGCGCAGTGCCGGATTCACACAATTCACCCGTACGCGACTCCATTTTAGCGTTCTTAACGATGCAGCACAAGGCTCTTGACGTCACGGCCGACGGAAAGTGGACGTTTTTGAGCTATCTGTGGACAGCAGAGTCGACAGGGTTGTACAGTGTCGATGCCGTGAAAGATTCACGAAGTGAGCTGGTGTACCGAGTCGGTCATTGCATTAAGCAATTTAGTTGTGCTGGGCATCCGCGCGGCCGGCTTGACCAGGTCACAACTAGAGGTTGCCTTGTGCCATGAATGGCTGGAGTCGGTGGGTCGACTTCGATTGCAGATCAATATCGATGGCCTCCACCATCCCAAGTCGCCACGCACGCACCAGCTCGTGGTTGATAGTATTTAGTCGCTATATGGAGACGCTGTGGTAGATATTGCGACGGACGACCATTCTAATAGCGGGTTTTGGCCAGTTCGTCGGAAAAAAGTCTATTTGCTGACAGGCAAAGTACACCCTGATGCATCATAGGGTTTCTCCATTATGATTTAGCTTGACGTTGCCCCCACGACGCTTTTTCCCTCTGTGCATGGAACAACTCAATGATGGCAAGCTCCAACCGAGCCCCGGTTGCATCGCCAAGAGCGTCCCTCAGCTTCATATGACGTACGCTATTGCGAAAGTCTTTCGCAGGCACCGTCACGATCCAATTGCAATCCATCCACGCTGCTAAGAGGACATCAACGTTGGCGTCGTGCTTGAGTTGGTCCTGGAGAAGCGCTGCTACGAGGTCGCTATGCTGCCATAGCTGGTCATATAGGCCCTCGTTTGGTGCCAGGGAAATCAGGGTCGTAAATTTTGAGATGGGTACGTTGGCAGAGCTGAATAAACCGAGGAGAACAGCCCAGTCACATGGTCGGAGACAATCAGCAGCAGCAAGTCTCGGGGTTTCCGACTTTCCAAGCAGCCACTTCTGAATGCGCAGATATGCTTCTCGGCCTCGATCCTCGTTGATATCGCAATTCTGCTTGGAAATAGGAGGTGATGGCTTGTCATTAGCGCTGATTGTGTGCAGCATGTCTTTCGCAGGCTTGATCGAGGGGGGAGTATTGTGGGGATGTCGAAGCAAGTCGACCAGGCTACACGACACCTCCGGTAGCTGCACTTCGAACTCGTCACTTGGTGAGACGCGAACACGCATCCATGCTAGTTGCAGCCAGTCTTCGTCGACGCCTTTCTCGTAAAGATGGCGGAGGATGCTGTGTGAATTTGGTGGCGGAGTTGTGTCCGTCACTGAAGTATTGTTGACTACCTCTCCTTCTGGATTGAGTGTTACAGTCGCCGCTGTGACATCACAACTAGGTGGCTTGTCACGCTGCTGTTCCGGTGGAGGCTCATTGAGTTCTTGTGAAGCTTCGGGGCTCTTTGGCAGGGCCAACAGCCGCCGCTTTTTCATCGTCTCAAATTTCGACGACAAAATTGTCCGGATAGTTTGAATCGTCCGGTTGTTGGTTTGACGAAGGCAACCAAGGCTATTGCACACGATGGACATTCCCCGGTGCGATGCCGCGCTTCACGAAGCTCTAAAGGAGCCACGCCCCAAGAAGCTTGTAGATGCTATCAACGCAGTGGGGTATACATCTGTCCTCTTCAGGTTGCCCATGCCTGCATGCATGTGTCGAGTAGTTTCTGAAGCAGACGAAGAAGAACGCTGACGACCCGACGTCGCTGGAGTTCATCTGCCTCGACTGCAAGAGCGAAGGTTGGCGACTTGTGCTCGCGGCGCGCACCCATTGTACCCTCTTGCATACGTAGGTGTCGAAGGCAAAGCGCGGGCATTCTTTGCGTCTCCCCCTGTACGCAGTTCCATCACCATGCAACTTGCTATGGTTAAATCCGATATGCCACCCTCTCCGCAGGCGATTGTGCTGTGTGCAAATAGACTGAACACAACCGAAGATGTGAAAGAGGTTGTCGTCCATGAGCTCATCCACGCATACGACGTACGTGATATCCCCAGATCATGGTCATGCCTCACAAGCTGCATTTTGCAGTACACGGTGCGGAACATGGACCTGACGCAACCTGCAGTGTTGGCATGCAGGTGCAGCTTGTTCCAACTCTCTTGTACTCATGATTTACTCGTCCTGATCTCGGCGTGCCCTCTCTTCCATGTAGTGAAGTGCGGTCGGCGCGTGAATCGGAATGCTACGAGAAGGCTCAGGCGCTTTGCAAGAACCCGCAGTTGACCGTGCTGTTGCAAGGGTGTGAGTGGTGGGTGAAGAAGTGTGTCAAACAAAACGCCGTACTTGCCACATCGGTACGACACAACAATCGTGTTTCACGAGCTCCAAAGGTGACCGTCGGTGTCATCCTCTGTAGTCGCTCTTTCCAAACGATGCCGAGAAGCACGTCGACAAGGTTTTTGACGCATGCTTCAATGACCACTCTCCGTTCCATAAATAAACCCGTCGCACACTGTCCATTTGGCTTTCTTGGGCTCCTGGGGTGACGCCTAGGTCGCTCGGCACGCCACCGCCCAGAAGGAACTTACGGCATATGGGCAGTCGCTTGGTATTGCTTAGAACAGGCTCGATTGCGAGCGTTGTGACCACTCGTATCCCACCGCATCCTTCTGCCGCAACACGCACTAATCCTACACACACGTGCGACAAGTGTCGTCCTTGCCATCTGCGTGTACCTCTACACGACGGTTGGCTTGGTCTCTATGGAACCCTCTCTGCGGCTTTCGTGTCTCTGCGGTACGCAGTGTCATGGCTTCCTCGTGCTGCCCCATGCATTCTCAACGGAACAGCGCATGTACCGGCGGCGCCATCATGGAATCACGCCACGTTGGAATACTTGCGACAAGTCTAGTACTAACAAAACGTGATGCGAAACATCGCTGTGACATGTGTCCAATTTCACCAAACGTGTCCAAGAAGAAGTCGTCAAAAGGTAACACGGGGCGAGAGGAGGCGAACGTCCAAAGTATAATTAGTGCGCAGATGAATGATTAAATAACGGTCAGAGCAAAAAATGAGCCAATCATATGTTGACAAATCGATATTTTTAACCAATGAAACTCGAGTATTTTGTTTTCCTCCAAGGTCGGCTCCAAAATTTCCAGTCGCCTTTTCGTTCATCCACCGCACTTGTCGCAGCTTCAGCGTCGACAACGACGACGACGCCGAGGACCGACGGCATGCAGCACACTCACCACGACGCCCCTTCTGTGAACCCCCAGCTTCTTCGAGATATGATGGACTGCGTGGATACGTCCGATTTCCCCATGGAGAGGAAGCAGTCATGGGTGACCCTTCGCTCGTTGGTTTCGGGCAACGACGCCAACTTGACCAACGATGTCAACCGCGGGGCAAGCTTGGAGTCCATGTTTCAATTTGGTGGATGCAATGCAGGACCATCGAACGCCCAAGCCAGTGGAGGTGCCAAGACCGAGGGCAATCCCACCACGAATTATTCCAAATTCAATGCCAAGGACAGCGCCGCCAAGCTCAAACGGCTGTTGAGTTCGGGAAGCTTCTCCACCATGGAGAAGAAAGCAAGCGTCAGTGCTCTATTGGGACTGCTGGAAACGCAACAAGGCGGCGCTGCCATCAGCCGCACGGACGTGAACGAACTCTTGCGCAACCTCGGAGCAGACTACTCGGAGGACGAACTCAAGCAACTGAGCGGTCAAAATTTGTTTCGATCGTTCATTCACACGCCTGGTCCAACGATGGACCGTAAAAAGAGCTTCGACGTGATTCAGAGCATTCTCAATTCGTGTTCCAACACAGCGATCCACAAGCCGATGACGTCCCAGGACAGCTTCCGCTTTCAGACCCTCGCCAACTGCTTGGATACCATCGAGACGGCCGTTGCCAAGTACGAAGAAGACGCCAACGACGAGGACGAACAAGTTGTGGCTGTGGACGACAACTTGGACAATTTGCTTGACGATAACATTGCCCAGTCGCCCGCAGCTTCGTCGACGAACACGGCTGCTGTTCGGAAATCCGCAAATGCTACAACCGATCCATTTGGCCGAATCTCCGCTGCGCCGTCAAGTGCGCAGCCCAACGTCGCGGCATACGGGTCAGCCGGACGAGCCCTCCAGCAACACGGAAGCAGCGGCCAATACAATTTCTTGAACGCTACCCATCACATGGACTCGACTTGCTTGCCTGCAAACGTGCAACAGCAGACACAGCATCTTCGACGGGATATCGTGTCGTTCGAACAACAGCAGCAAGTGTTCCCGCACCACCAGCAACAGCAGCAGTCACAACAGCAAGGATTACATCACCAACAAGCAAGCCACATGTATGGCAATCCAGACATGGCCTATGGCCGGAGCTCGCTGCCCCCACCATCCCACATGATGGGTGCGGCGACTTCCCATCCGAACCAGTACATGTACAATTACACCAACCACCACCAGCAGCACTTGCAAGAATTGCAAAGTCACCAGCTCTTGCAACAGAGCCATCCACACCCCCACCAGATGCCCCAGCACCCCCCATCCAACTATACTTCCCATGGATTGTACCAGTCGTCGTCCCAACTGCCGTCTCCGCCGGTGGCGTACGGATACGGCTACGCAGGCCAGCCCAGCGCTGTCCCGCCTACAGCCTCCCAAGCGTCCCGCGATCTGTACCAGCAAGAGCATACCAATGGCAGTGCCGACAGCACGCAGTACGCCAAGTTTTGCACGTCTCTTGGTTGCAACAACATTGCGCGAACCAAAGGCATGTGCAAAGTTCATGGTGGCGGCCGTCGTTGCAAAGTAGACGGCTGCATGAAGAGCGCCCAAACCGGCCATCTCTGCATAGCCCATGGCGGCGGCAAGCCGTGCCGCATGGAGGGATGCACCAAGACGGCGCAGTCTCGGGGGCTGTGCAAGCAACACGGCGGCGGCGTCCGTTGCAAATTTGACGGGTGCACAAAGAGCTGCCAAAGCGGCGGGTATTGTCGCGGCCACGGTGGTGGCAAGCGGTGCGAGTTTGCCCAGTGCAAGAAATGGGCGCAGCGAAATGGGTTTTGCGCCAAGCACGCGCAAGAAATGACGACGTAAGCCACATCCTGTTGGCGACAGGGACATGAGTAGGTCCACGAGTACAAAATTCCTCTCCCACCACCAATTGAACTTCAAACAGATTATCAACGACGATGTGCGGGCATGCTTGGCGGACTTGTTTCATTCATTTCACTACGACAACGTGGGCTGCTGCTTAAGGAGTGGCAGCGTCAATGCTGAGTGGCACAGGACACGTCCACCGCTGCCCAGGGGTGCGTCCCCTCTGGAGCTGACTCGGGGTAGACGGATTTGCCTTACAGGGGACCGAACGAGTTTTTGAGGCGTGATGACCGTCGCCTACGTTTGGCATCGTACATTGAGAAGAGTCCGTTGTACACGATAACGCACGGAGTTGGTGCTGGGGCGGCGCTGGACCACGCGCGGCGGAGACGTCGAGGCGGATGGCGGGGGCTGGGCCGAGCAACTGTTGTTGCCCTGCTGCTCGTCTTCAACCGACGGCACTGATACATGGTGGTCGTCGGTGGCCACGACGAGGTCGTCCACGACCTTGCGCGACCGCCGCTTTCGGCACGCGGGCGTTCGTATTCGCAAACTCATCGACTTGGACGTGGTGTGCTAGACACATTTCGTTAGATTCAGCACGGGACGGTGCCGACGCACTCGATGGTGGTCCATGTGATGGTCCAGTGCGAGGACTCGGGGCGAAGGCAGTAAACTCTCTGTGGTCGGTGGTGCTTCCGCGTCGTTCGGTCTGATACTGTGTGGGGGAGGTGGTAGTCGTTGCAGGGATGCCCGGCGGAGAAGTTGAGCGGACGGCGGGGTTTGATCGATAGGGTCAAGCACTGGCTCCGACACAGTCTGGACGCGCAATAGTTACGTCGCACGCAGCATGAATTCACTCTGGAGCTTCTTACTCTTGGCATCCCTCGGCCGTGGAAAGGCGGCTGCCTCCCTTCCCACTGTACCCCCGACTTGACAACGAGCCCATGGGTGATGACGACGCCCTTGGCAGGACTTGTGTCGTCGCCAAAGCAAGGACCGCCGTCTCTGTCATTGCTTCCAACAAAGAGTGGCTCGTCCGTTGCCAGCAATGCCTACAATATCCCATCAGGTCCGTCGGGGACTTCTCCAAACCAGCTCACCGCAAAGTACGCGCGCGTCCGAGCGGTTTTGGTGCCGCTGGGTGTCTTTGGCAACTTGGCGCGACTGGACTTCCTGGATGAGCCGCGAGAATTGTTGGTCGGTCGCGCTGTGCCGACGGTCGCGGCGTCGTCGATGCGACCACTTGGAGGTGGCAGGGTCACCGTTGGCTCAAACATGACGTTCGGGATGTGCTTGAACATGTCGCGTTTCGACCGTCGGGACACCAAGTGGCTGGCTTCGCCGACAATCATCTCGGAGTCCTCTACGAGGATGACCTCCGACGCACCCCTATCGTTGCCGTCGACGAATGGATCGTCCACGGAAGGAATGCCTTCGGGAGAGGGGGGGGCGACATCGCCTACACTACCCTTCCTCGAAGGCTTCGCATCGGGATCCACAGGATCGATGACAAGCCGAACAGCAGATCGACTCCGTTTGGCGTCTGCTTGCATCCGAAGCTTCTCGTCTCGTTCACGATCTTCCAGCATCTTTTCAATGAGCTCTCGACGTTCCATGTCGTCCGGAGACAATGGCGCGTCGCTGGCGTTCACAGTTCGAAACGCGAGATCTCGAATGGACATGGTCACTTCGGTCTCGACGACAAGAGTCGCCAGCGGCTGCAACGACCGCTCGGGACTTCGGCGACCGCCGCCGTTTGGTTTGTTGGTCGGGGAGCGCTGTTGATACGACGACCGATGGAACTCGCTGCCGGCCTCTTCCGCCACGACTCCGAGCCCAAACGAACTCGAATACGATACCCCCCGAACGAGCGGAGGCTTGCGCTTTTTCTTTGCTCGGATGTACTGCTTGGACCAAATGTCGGCCGCACAAGGCGTCGGGGTGGATCCAGCCTCGTACGTTGCCGGGTTGTCTTTAAATTTGGTGCTCAGGTCAATCGTGACCATGCTCATCATGTATATGAGGCCGTTCACGAGCTTGAGCGAGGTGAATTCAAACTAGCCAAAAGCACGGACCCGACCTCGTCAAGGCATTGAAAGCAAGGAAGGGCGATAGATGCATGCATGGAGAGGGTACCGTATTGTCGGCCTTTCGACCTTCGTCAATGGTGGCGCCGACAGCATGCAAGACGAAGTCGACGACCTGTGACGCGATGTGCTCGCCATCTTGGGCACGCTGGAACGCGAGAAATACCGGCGACGTCGTCGAAAACTGGGCGCTTGACTCGTCCTCATGTTCCGCATGCTTTTTTCCATGAGAAGCGGCCACGCAGTGCTTGGTCATGTCGTCAAGCCAGCCCCGTGCCCGCTCTAGCGCATGCTATATATAAAACGCGGCGAAACCCCTGTTGCGCCATGGAATAGCTCCACCCACGACATCATGGACACAATCTCGACCAACGTCGTCGGCATTGTCCTGCGTCGACCCATTGTAGAACCACAGCTGCTGCTGAAAGTCCATGGGGCACGTCGGTCGCGAAGAAAGGGTACGCCACACCCCCCATCGAGTCCCTGGTGAGCGCCGGCGAGCCAAAGCCATGGATGTGTCTAGCACCAAATCGGCAACAGCCACGGTGGTGCGAATGGCCATTCGCGCCAGACCAGCAACTACAGAGGAGCACAAAATGTGGGGGTTTATTCAAGGGGTGTCTAAGCATATTATTTCTTGTGCGTTGCCGTTTGGGCTTGGCGGATCGTGTCGAGGAGCGTGCCGACGTTTGTCTTGTACCGCAAGAGGGTCGCGTGGAGGTCTTTCCAGTCGGAGAGGGCAAAACCTCGCTGCAAGCTGCGCGAGATGACGACGCTGCGGCCGAGCTGATTGATTTTCGCCTGGATCAAGTTGGCCGTGATCGCTTGAACGACCCACGTCTCTACTTGGGCTTCTGGAACTTGGAGCTTGGCCATGATGTCGTCAAATGAAATGTCGTCGTGGCCCGTGGGGTACGCGCACAGCGTGAGCAGCCGCATGTTGGCGGTAGCAGCCGCCGAGTCGATGCCGTGCTCTTTCAGTACACCCGCACACGACTTTTCAAACGCCAAATAGTCCGTCAACGTTTTGCTCGAGAAGATCTCCAACAGCTCAAACACCTACACCAGACGTAAAGACTTCCAGCAGAAGCGAAGAACGGACCTTGTCCACACCCTTGAGGGCCTGCACGGCGGGCAAATGCAGCAAGTCCACGTGCGCCACAAAGCTTGCGATAGGCGACTTGATCACGAGCACGGCGGCACGCACGGCGACGGCCTTGGCCTTGGCGGCGTCTGCGGCGGACACCAACTTCAAGTACTTTTCCAAAAATCGAAGGGCGGCTTGGGAATCCTGTTGTTTGGTCTCCAAGAGGTCTGCAATGGTCAAATAGAGCGTCTTCAAGTTGTCCACGGACGCGCCGACAAGGAGGGCGTCGATGTTGTCGAAGTAGCTACGTACATCATGGCCGCGTGTCCCTTCCAACGAACGAAAGCAGTACCTCATGACGAGCGCGAGGTTGTCGGTCGTACCAGCAAACTGGATGGTCGCGAGCAAGACTTGGAAGCGCAACGAAGACTTGGCAGCAGGCGTTCCGTTGAACAGATCGGCGAGCCTATGCCATAAACGTCAGCATGACGGCCGACACGACACAGTTATCGTTTCCTACACACGGAGCTTCAAGACAGCGTTGTTGCGGTTGGCGGTGACGACCTTCAACAAAGCTTCGACGTGTGTGGTACCGGTGGCTTTGACGAGAAGCTTGAACAAGCCTTCGACGTCGGTGTTGTGCCCTTCCACAGCGAGTACAGCCGCAGCCTTGGACAAAACAAGAGCGGCAGCGTCTTCGACAGAGAGGGACGGCGATTCTGTCGGGTTTTCCTTGAGGATAGCATTCACATAGGACACCAGGTCCGTCGCGGTGGTCGCATCTTGGTCGGCCATCGTTGTGCAATTCGCGAGTTGACTCTCACCACCAGTTGCGAATGGGAGGGGTGACGAATACGATATTCCACGAATTCAGCGATTGGATTGGATAAAATCGAAACTCTTAGGAATAAGTGCGTTTGATTGGTTAAAATAATCTCTCCACCTCGGAAGGGCAACACGAACCAACGACCACGACACAAACGATTCATTCGAAACACGGCTAGAATTCAAATTACTTGGCTTGGGTCGGCGGGAGATCCCCTTGAGCTGCGGAAGGTTGTGCTGCCTCTGTATCTTTGGCATCGCCATCCTGGTTGGTCAGCGTCACGCGCGACTTGCGCAGGTTCTGCTTCATCTTTTCAAAGATCTTTTGATCTGCCTTGGACACTGATGGAAACACGGTCTGGAAGGCTTGTTCGAAGTGCTTTGCAAGGATCTTGAGCTCCGTCGTATGTACTGTCGACTCGCGGAGCACCGAGACGCCGGCTTCTCGGACGAGCGCGCTGAGATCGGCGCCGCTAAAGCTGTCACAGCGCGGGTCGTGTGCGACCTTTTCCAGATCCAACGACGGGTCCAACGAGCACTTGGCCGCGAGTGTTTTCAGAATCTGCAAGGAAAAGGCCACCACTTAGCACTGACTTGTGTGTTCAAACGATGAAAGGTTGACTTACGTGGTAACGATCGGTCGCGGTCGGCAGCGGCACGTACAAGAGCTTGTCCAAGCGCCCAGGGCGCAACATCGCGGGGTCGATGATATCAGGCCGATTGGTGGCGGCAATCACGACCACATTCTTGCGAGCGTCCAAACCGTCCATTTCCGTGAGGAGCTGGTTCACAACTCGTTCGCTTACACCGTTTCCGCCATCGCTCATGCCTTGGACAACAAGTTAGATAAGTGTTGAGTGGTTGTCAGCCAAGACTCCCAGCCACAATTCCCATGGACGACGCTTCACGCACCTCGGCGGGGACACAGCGCGTCCAGTTCGTCAAAAAATACAATGCACGGAGAACTCGCACGAGCGCGTTCAAAGACTTGGCGAACCGCGCGTTCGGATTCACCGACGTACTTGTCGAGCAACTCTGGGCCCTTGATCGAGATAAAGTTGGCCCCACTTTCGTTGGCGATCGCTTTTGCCAACAACGTCTTACCACACCCAGGAGGACCGTACAGCAACACACCGGCCGGCATTTTCAGCCCCAGGGCAGTGAATCGTTCGGGGTGCTGGAGTGGATGCAATATCGACAGCACGAGTTCTGCCCTTACTTGCACCAACGCCCCAACGTCGCTCCAAGACACGTCTGGAATTGTGGCAAATCCTTCGCGCTTGGAGCTGGGCTGGACTTTGGGCAATGCGTTGAGAAAATCGGACATGTCGACTCGAAGCGGTTCCATTTGCTCGGCAGTGAACGGTGCGACGCTGCGGATTTCGTCGTTCACGGTGCGCTTGTCGGCCTCATTCGCACCGGTATCGTCGCCAAAGTCTACTCCATGGGGTGTTGCTGGTGCTGGCGTCGCAAGCAGCGTCGAGAACACGCGGTTCACAGCTAAGACAGCGGCTTCTTTGGTCAAACTGACCAAGTCGGCGCCGACAAATCCCGGCGTGCGCCGCGCGAGGTCCTTGAAGTCCATATCCCCAGACAAACGCATCTTGGATGCAAGTACCTACGCCACCCAGTCTCTCGAAATCCTCCAACAAATTCACGACCCACCCGAAGGATGCGCTCGCGAGACGGTTCGTCAGGAATTCCGAGGCAGATCTCCCGGTCGAAACGGCCCGCGCGACGGAGAGCTGGATCGAGATCGTTCGGCCGGTTGGTTGCACCGATGATGAGCACGGGCTTGCCTCCCGTGTTTTCCAAGCTGAGCGTGTCCGTCGACGTCAAGAGCTGCGCAACAATGCGCTTCTCCATTCCCCGCGACGAGTTTTCTCGCTTCGGCGTGATCGCGTCGATTTCGTCGATAAAAATGATGGACGGCGCGTTTGCAATCGCTTGTTCAAACAATTCGCGGACCTTTTGCTCCGACTCGCCCGACATGCCCGACACAATCTCAGGCGCGCTGACCTAGACAACGCATGAGACTCAGCATAAACCGCTGGGTGACATGATGGCTGTGGTTACCTTGAGGAAGCAAGCACCAGATTCCCCGGCAATGGCATTGGCCAGCATGGTCTTGCCCGTCCCCGGCGGGCCGTGGAGCAGGATGCCGCGCGGAGGCTCGACGCCCAAATGCGTATAGATTTCGGGGTGCGTCAGCGGATACTCGATCAGTTCCTGGACTTCCTTCAGGATTGAATTGATGCCGCCAAAGTCCGTGTATCTGCTTGAATCGTTAGCGCAACAGGCGACAATGTCTTGAAGCCGTGACGTGGATGGAAGCGTTACCGCGTGGTGGGACGTGTCACCACAAAGTCAGACGTGGACGGCGGCGAAGGGGTTTCGGCACGGACTCGTTTCACTTTCTTCGGCTTTTCGTCGGCGGCAGCGACGTCGGTGGACTTCTCTGGTTTGCTTTCGGCAGGTGCAGTAGCCGCATAGCTCTTTCGAATGATGTTGTTGAGGAGGTTGGTTGGTGGTGGCGCCGCACTCTCCATCTGTTGGGCCTGCTTTTCGTCCTCGTCCGACGATTCCGAACGAGGTCGCTTCCTACGCAGTCCAAGACGATGCTACTTTGTCCTACTGCATGACGCAAATGTACCCGTCGGCTTTGGGTTTGGGAAGGAACTTGCTGACCAATTTGCGCAACGGGCCCTGGGAGGATCAAGTCAGGGGCGGCTGGTATGTGCGATGATCGTACCGCAGGCTTTCTTGAGTATTCTGGGTACGTCGACACAAGGTACTGGACGACGGTCGACTCGGTGATGATCAAGCCGGAATCTGCATTCTCACGGAGGAACTTCTCGACGTGGAACTTGACCTTCCTGTCCATGGCGGCGCTATATTGCTTTGGTCGTTTGGACCAACCACAGCCGACGACGGCGTTGATTGGTCACTTGCCGATCTAGATATTGAGATTTTTCGAAATATTACAAATTTACAAATATCCGATCGCCCTGTTTCAATTTCCCCCAAGCTTCGTAGTATTGGGAGAACCCAGAACATGACCCAAGAATTAATTGCACAGCCTTCAAGTTTGTCATGAGTCCTTTATAACCCGGCGTGGAACTGGACGAGAGTGCCGTCAGAGCAATGGGAGGCTCCGCAGCAGACGTAGCTTGCTTGCAATCCCAAAAGGCCAGCGAAATGGTCGCATGCATGACAAGAGTTGAGTTCGCTTGAGACATGGGCAAGCCAAAATTAGTCCGAAAATTTCTCACGTCAGCGACGCGATGTGTGCATGTGAAACGAACCGTCCATCATACTTTGCAAGGTGCATCTATGTTTGGCGTTGACTGGGTTTGAGTCGCAGGGCAGCGCTCGTCAATCAATCGTATTCTTGAATTGGCTCGCTTCTGACACGTTCCCCATGCTGGCCATTCTCCACTCGAAAACCGCGCTCTTCTCCCTACGTGCCATCACGATGGTTGTCGCCGCCTTTGTCGCAACATACGTCTGGGTGAATCAGCACCGTCCATGCGACCCAGCAGCCGAAGCTCGATACGATCTTGACCATGAAGACGTGCCGTTGATGACGTCAGCCCTTGTTATCACCATTTTCATCCCTGTGTGGATGGGTTTGCACCGCTTCCGGTTCAACTGCGTCGTCAAATTCAATTATGCGTGCGAACTGTTGAGTTTCGTACTCGTGTTCGTCCCGACCGTGTATTGGGGCAGTTCCCGCACCGCGAGTCTCGCGTGCGACGGCCGCAGACGACGCAAGTCCGTCTGTCTTCAGAACACATGTACCATCGTCCGCGCAAGTATGATCGCATCGTGTGTCCTAATGGGAATGTTGGCGCTGTCCAGTATTGTCGTACTACATCAGTGGCGGGCATCTGCCATTGTGTCGCTCAACAAATCGTTGGCGGCGCCCGACGGCGAAGCGACAATCATCGACGTCGAAACCCCACGCGGCACGGACCACACAGAGATTCAAACCCCCATGACCGTGGATGGAAGGACCTTGTCGATTCAGTCGTCGTTGTGAACATACAGGTCGTTGTGCCGCCAGGCAGTCGAATTCGTCAAATACACCTGTCGTCCACGTCATCCTTCGTTGTAGCAGGCCAACACCGAGGTTTGCCTCGGCAAAGCGAGCGGAACCGAAGTGCACATCTACGGCACCATACATAACGTAGGGACATGAAAGGTGGTTACACGAGTGGTGTAACTGGCCCAGGCGCCAATGAAACCGCCGAACCGTTTCATCGCGATGCCATCGTGCGACAAGCCACGTGGCGATGCGGCGTCGGTTTGTTGACAGCGATGCCGAGAGCTCATCATCGTTCAGTGACTTGTCCACGTCGGTATTGAATGCAAGCGGCATCGGGTCGCGGACATCTCAAAGGGACGAACCGTCGAGCCAGCAGCAATCGCCGTCATCCGTCGACGAGAGCAGTTCAGATGATGCGTCGTCGTTGAGCGACTCGAGCTCGTCGGAGGAGGACGTGGATCTCGTTCAGCAACTGCAGGAAAAGGTTAGGGCCGGAATCCGTGCCATCGTAGGGACGCGGGAGTCCAGGTTTGCCAACAGAACCAACACTAGTTTGAAATGGAAGGAAGATGTGGCGTACGCTGCAGCCGAAGCTGCATACGTGGCGCAAAAGCAAGCAGACCAAGACAAGCTCGTGGCCGCGCATCACGAACGAAAGCTTGATCGCAAACGGGCGAAGCTGGCAAGGAAGCAAGACAAAGCAAACCGAAAGAAGGATCGACTCATGGCGAAAAAGACCGCTGAATGCAACATGAAGGCCGCCAAGTTGGATTGCAAAATGACAATCTTAGCACAGCTGCGTTTAGAGCGACTCACCGAAGTCCGGGCGAAGAGCATTCACGACGAATTGCCGTGGATGAGCGCCCAGGAAGCCGAGTTCGCGGACACGTTGGCTGCGTTCACTTCTAAGGAATCGGCAAAACACGTGGCGCTGGCTGACAGCCTCAACTTTGCCGATGAGATGGGAAGAAAAATTGGGACACTACCAGCCATCCGTTCTCCCAGCCGTATCCAGCACCCCGACCAGATTGAAACGACGACGACGCTCGTCTTGCGGTTGGCGTCCGCTCAAGTCAGAGTCTCTGGCGAGTCGACTCAAGAAAACACCAGCACGACGATGGAAAGGGCATCCAAACACAAAACGTTGTTCACTGTCAATCTCAAGCGCTTCCGGCATGTCGAGCACTGCCAAGGGGACAAGATCGGCGAACGAGGGTGTGTTGAATTGGGCAAGTCGCTGCTTACGGGGGCATGTCCACGTCTGAAGGAGCTTCATCTTGGGTGGAATGGGATCAAGTTTCCAGGGGTAGCGTCTTTGTCGGCGGCGTTTAGCCGGGGTGGGGGATCCCAGCTCACGTTTCTGGATTTGCGAGCCAACAGCTTGGACGCGAAAGGAGTCGGCACCCTCTTCGATGCCATGGCGAACGGCGGACTACCAGAGCTTGAGACCCTCATATTGGCTGGAAACATGTTGGGGGACTTGGGAGGCAAAGCAATTGCTCATGCGTTCTTGAAAGGATTATTTGGCACGCTGCGGGTCTTGGACATCAAATCGAACGGAATTCGGAACGACGGATGCCGTGCTATGTTCACGGCGTTCACGGCGGACTGTTTTAACCGCCTGGCACCCAAGTTGCACCTCTTGGACATGCGGCGCAACTGCATCAACCAAGTCACCGCCGACACATTTGTCCCATGCCCAAAGCACATATCGTTTTGATTGGCATTTTCTATATTTCAATACACCAATATTTATGTTCTTGCGGTTTTCGTAGAATAATTTGCGTGCATTCATTTATCCGGATAATGTGATCCAATCCGGTTAGAAATATTCGCCCGAACTGTCGTGATGGATGACGCGGTCTTGCGCGCGTTGGCTGCCAACGAAGCGTACGTCGACGCACTCCGTAGAATGGTACTGTCGTTGGAGGAAGAGGAAGCTCGCATACAAGATTGTATGCACATGCTGAGGAGAAAGAGACACCGAAGCCAAACCAACCTGATTGCAACCCATGTGAGAGACTTCAAGCGACAGGTGTTGGGGTGCGAAACCATCTCGCCAGCAGCATGCGACGACGTCTCCCGGAAAATGAAACGTGTACGTGCAAGTGTCGATTTTAAACGCGGCTACTTTCAGACGCCTTGCCTCACTCAAGTCGGCGGGAAGCTAGTCGATGGTGTAGCCACCCCGGACGAGTACATTCAAGCAAGAGCAGTACGTGAGCTTCGCGCGGCCGTGCTTCCTCTCCAGCTCCCTCCACCGATTGTGTTGACGTGGACCCTAAACGAGCAAGCATTTCTGACGAAGGACTTTGCTGCATGGCGAAATCACCACCGCGAACCCACAAACGAAGAATGGGACAAAATTTGCGCATCGGCAGTGGCGACCATCGGTGAGAAGAAGAGGCGGTGGGTTCGGCTGAAATGTATTCATCACGCGTGGTCTCCTGCCGAAGATGCACAGCTTCGAGAACTGGCGAACAAGCGCGGCCTGCCGCTGGACTGGAACGGCATCGCGCAGACGTTGTCATCGAACACGATGGTTCGGTTCCCTGTCGAGTGCATGCTACGGTACCAGCGCGAATGCAACCCATTATGCGTCGGGATAGAATGGGACTTCCGAAGGTGGAACGCCGCCACGCATCTGACGCTGCATAAACTCGTGGACGAGCATGGAGAAGACTGGGCGGCCATCTCCGAGAGAATCGCCTACCGCTCGGCCAACGAACTCAAGCGCAAGTGGCAGCAACTCCAGGCAACGGCGACTGAACCCAGTGGAGTCGACTGGAAGTCCTGCGCTACGTATAGACTGCTTGTCCTCGCTGCGTACTGCTACTCCCATCAATGGATCGACGTCAGATGGAGCGACGCGATGCGCCACGTGTCGCATCCTCCGAGTCGATTGCAACAGATCGTGCAGATGTTTCAAGCATCGTTGAGTCCCCACGGAAACTTGGGTCCAGTTGATCTGTCGTAGCTTCGCTCAGGTGGGCTAAAGCGTACAACTAGCAGGCGGACGACACGCAATGTGTCCAAAAATTAGAGTCAACGAACTGCGTGCCAACATCGGGTGCAGATGAGTTGCATCATTTCGAATTGCTTGGATGTGCATTCCGTCGGCGATAACGTTTGGAAGCTCGCGTCGCTGAATGGGTCCCGCTCGTCGAGCGCGTCAAGTACGCCATCGAGTATGTCTGCGGTACATAATCGCGCGACGTGATGGGCGGAGTTTGCACCGGCGTCTTTAGGCGAATACACGCACACGTTGCTTAGGACATTGAACGGGTTATCATTTGTGTTGCTAGCACCGCCATGAGGGAGCTTTCTTAAGCTGAACTGCATGGTGCGGACCCGTGGCGTGTTGGCCCGTCATTGTCTGGAACTTCAATAATCACATTCGTAAACCAATTCAGGTTTCTCACACTATTTGCGTCGACCAATCATCAGTCGGTATGGAATTCACCAATCAAACTCGTCAACCCACTGACCATGGACTGCGTCGAGGCGGCGCTGGCAGCGAACCGCGCGTATGTGGCAGGGATGGCGGCATTGATCGGCCAGATGGAGGCGCAGGAAGTCGCGATCATGAAGAGAATGAAGTTTATTAGAGAAACTATGCGCGCGGAGCAGCGTGCGGCCATGGAGGACCACTTCGCCGAGGCCATAGGTCAATCGTCGAAGCCGGCATCGGCGACGAAAGCAGGCACCTCGAAGAAGCGCAGCCGTGCGTACTTTCAAAATGCTTCTGGCGGGGCCTTCCATGAGGTGCTGGTATGGCAAAATCCCGATGCGTTGTTTGTCCGGGCCGTGCGCTCGAAATTTCAGAACTTCAACTTTCCTCCACACAGAAAGTGGCTCCCCAAGGAGCTATCAGCATGTCGAGAGGCTGTGGATGCAGCTCTTTGGCGTGATGGCGTGCAATGGCACCGAATTCCTGTCGTCGCCAAGTTAAACGGACGCACCGGTCACGCTTGTTACCTTCAGTGGACGATGGAACGTGTTCGTGCAGTTGAAGCGACACATCCATGGACGTCGGATGAAGACAATGAACTCCGCCGGCTCCGCGAGTCGGCGATGACGTGGGGTGATGTGGCAAGCACCATGAGTCAACTCTATCCTGAGCGTCCCGTCGTCTCGTACATGCTGAGATTCCTTCGCCACATCCAAGGTGTCCAGCACAAAACGAAATGGACGGACGCCGACGACGCTGCGCTCAAGGCCGCCGTCGCAGTGCATGGTGGGGAGGCAAATGTGTGGCAATTGGTGGCCGAATGTCTCGATGGGTTTCTTCCCAACCAGTGTGGCACACGGTGGCGGCAATCAACGTGTCCATTGGTGAAGACGGGGAATTTTACTCTCGAGGAAGATCGACGGCTTCTTTTGGCGATGGGTGCCGATAAAAAAAGACAAGTGGAGATGTTCCCAGAGCGGAACATGTCCTGGTACAAACACGTCGACTGGAACATGGTCAAGGAGTTAGTTCCCCAGCGGACAAGTGCCCAGTGCCGCGAACGCTTTAACGATTCGCTCCACCCAAACCTCGTCACATCCGCCTTCACGCGAGAAGAAGACGAGTTGTTGCGGCACTGGGTGTCCATTCACGGCACGCGAACGTGGCGCCTCATTAGCCAGCACCTCCCCGGGCGCACGAACGATCAATGCAGGCGACGATGGGGCACACTACACTCAAAACTCAAGGTTGCTGCCACACACGCCTTCACTCAACCAGCCACTGCAACTAGCCCAGACAGCCAAGAATAGTTCAAAGATGATGGCCCTTCGATCAACCAAGACGCCACCTCTGGAGGATATTGATATTTATAGGCTCCACTCACGAACAAGGGCACCGTGAGACCAATGGAGTCAGGAATAATTGCATGCAAATAGCGCCGCACAGACACGCCATTGCCACATTCGTGACGATGGAAGGACTCAGCATTTCTGCCGTCGGCGTTCGCCGCACTTCGTCGTCGTCGCACGGGTCTGTGGGCCGCTCCAGCACCACCGGTTCTTCCTCCCGCCAAGGCTCATCCAAGCACGTCAACGACTCGAGTCGGTACAAGTTGTCTGAAGGGTGCTCCGCCAGCGACGAGAACAACGACATCGAGGAAGGAAAGTACCCCGAGCCGACCAAGATGCACCGCCCCAAGGAGTGGTCGCCCGAGGTGGAAGAAGGTAACGTGTAGTCTGTCAAGGCGGTCGACAGGATATGCTCACCATCCACTGCGCTAGCCTTCCGCATCCAACAGACAGGTTGGCGCGATATCAACGACTACAAGAACAAATACGGCGAACCCGAGCGATGGGAGAACGGATTCATTCGATGCACGCGGGTCAAGGCCAGCGGGTATTACACGTACTGGTACGCTGGACAGCTGACACTGTGATGGATGAGGCGTGCTGGTTTTGACAGCAGTCGCGAAGCTGATTTGGATGTGGCGCTGATGTTGTGGTGGTTGTAGGCGCAACACGCGAGAATGCGAAGACAAGCACTTGAGCAAAGTCAAGGTGTTCGAGTACTAAACATAAGCCAATCCATTCCAATACATCCCAAGGATTTCGCAGTGAGTCATTGCGCTTCTCGTGTATTCTAGCGGTCTCCGTGGCGGCATCCGCTTCTCGAACGTCTGCAAGGAGGGCTAGCGACTTGTGTACTAGCGTCCCCATATGAAAAATGCTACAAGGGCCGCCAGAGCAGGTAGGAGCCCTGCGATGGCCCATATGGCGGAGGAGCCCTGCGACGCCACTGGGGCCGGTTGGTTTGTGTACGAGCTGGGACTGCCGTGGCTATCATCGTCCTCGGTGACTACGTCGGCCTTCTTCGAGGTTTCGTCGAGCAAGCGGCCACCCCATCGCTTCCTGTCCTCGGCTTTCGCCACTTCCAACCTCTCTTTGCACGTCGTCCATGCCTGCAGTTCCGAGTTGAACATACAAGAACTCAGGGGAGAAAATGTTCTACCTGACGGATGGCCTTGTCTGTGGGGTTCAACGACGCGGCTTTCTTTAATACGACGGCAGCTGCGTCCAAATCGTTCGTGTTTAAATATGCCTGGCCTTTGCGATACAGCGCTTTGACGTTGTCCTTGTCTATTTGCAGAGCTAACTCGCAGTACTCCAACACTTTCTTCATGTCGCCGTTGTCGAGGGCGAGGTGGCATGCTGCCAAGTTCAAGTACACTGCACGGATGCGCGTGGAACCCCTGTTAGATACGCTGAAGGATATTACCTGGAAGTCGCACGTCATTCACGACGTCGCGATGGTTGTCGAGAAGCTAACATATTTAACAATCCACACATGGAGAAAAGGTCAAAGTGGGCAGCAGGGTACCTACCTCAAAGGCCCACGTTGCTTCGTCAAAGTCGACGTGGTACAGCGCGCGTTCGTAGAACTGAATCGCGCGATTCCTCTCGTTCGCTTTGTGCGCTTCGGCACCGAGCTCTTTACATTGCTTGGCATCCTCGACGCGTGTTTCAAAGATGAATGATCGCTCCTATGAGTCCACGCACCATGAGGCATTGCACACAACCACGAGGGTGTTTAGCCTGTAGACCTTGGTCATGAGTTCTTCTTGGGTCTTGAGCGGCGCCGCCATCGTCGTTCGTGAACGTGGCGAAGTGCCAAAGTATTCGAGCACGTGGTTACTGTGATATTTTATATTTCGTGCATAAAAACGCGAGATATATCCAATATGAGAGGTACATGAGCTTCATCCCATCGACGACGTTCCAGGACGCAGGGTGTCCAGGTGAACATGAGCCTGTCGGTCAGCGCATGCACTTATCTCGCCGCAAGTTCAACAGTGGCGACGCCTCCGTCACCTGCATGTGAATACCCTCCTTGCGACCTTTCAATGAGACACTACAAGGCTAGCATAGCTAAAGCAATCGATGCCACCGCGACTGCACGACACACGACCGAGTTAGGAATGGAACGCAAATGGCGTGATCCAAGTCACAGACGTGTTGTTCGGAAATGTCGACGAATCCACAAGCATGAAGGGGTCGGACGGGGTGCTCAAATGTCCTCTGCATACGTCGACGTCTTGGCCAGGAGCACGGGCAGCGTAAACGGTTGGTTGGCAGCGATGCGCGAGTCCAGATCAATGGCGTCCACTCGAAAAGTCAGCCACCTACAACAGGCAAAAAGGACATCATCTATCACCCGACACTCCGGCGGTCGCCATGTGGTTCATCATGACAACGATTTGCTTCGACGTACTCTTTCGTGGCTTGGACCGTGTACGGCATCAGCGACTGAGGAACGCTTTCGCCGCCAACGTGCAGTCCTGCAACCCCTTCGAGTTTGTCCGACAGTGCATCCCACTTGTCGTCCTTGTCGGCGGTCGGGAGCGGAGTCGTTTTCGGCAGCTTCTTTTCCTCCGTCTCGGTGGCGTTCTGGGACAGCACCTCGATCCACTCGCGCTGCTCGTCATACGACGGCGCGCACAGCTGGAACCGCGACGTAGGCCCGTTGTCCACGTAGAAGCAGTTAAACAGGATGACGCGGTTCCCGTTCGATTGGTCGATTTGGTTGGCCATTTCGCCGACGCGCGCGCCGAGGACGGAGATTTCACGTTTGATCGGGCCGTTTTCCGAGTCGGCGTACCCGAGTTTGTTGTTTTTAAGGGAAAAGTACTTGGTCTTCCACTGGTTGCGGTACAAAAAGCCCTGTTTCAGAAGCTGACCCTTCTTCTTCCACGACACGTGGTGGTGGTGGTGATGGTGGGGCTGCGTCGTCGCGGCGGCAGTTGTGGGCATGTTGTCACCGCCCGCGGGCTGCTTCTCGCCGGCCAGTTGAGCAGCATACGTCTTGGCGGCGGCATACACAGATTCGAGCATGCGGTGAAACTGTACCTGAATCTTTGGGTCCATCTTGGCCGCAGCCAGTTCCTTCCGGTTCAAATCTTCCGACACGCTTCGCGTTTTGCGACTTTGACGGCTGTGTGGTGTGTTTTCCTCCGACTTGCGTCCGCCGCCGCTCGAGTCGTTGGTGGGCGTGCTGTTCCCGCTCGAGTTAAACCCGCGCGACATTCCACTCGATCCACTAGGAGACGGCACCGTGATGGTCAATGTTGGCGACGGCTGCGGGGACGCCCGGGGAGACGACCGCGGCGACGAGCTCCACATGGCCCTCGGCGAGCTCACAGACCCAAGGCGCTTGGATACAGACTCGATGATGTTGCTAGCGCTGTAACTTCTCGATCGCTTGTCAGTATTGTTTTCTTCGGGGCCCAACGACGACGTAAAGTCGGCACCGACCGCGTCAATGTACCGCCGACTATGGGGCGGTGTATCAACGAAGGACGACCCCTTTTGCGTCCACGCGTGGGGCTTCATCGCGCGGTACGCAATCAGGGTGTGGAAAAAGTGGCGCACTTCGCTGTGCCAGTGCAGAAACAACTTCATGAACGTGTCGGGTTGAGCCAGTTCATAGCGGAGCTTGTCGGCGTGGCGCTCGGGGAAGCAGTCCCACGTGTTGTAGAGAAATTCAAGCGTCGTGAGCAGAATCTGCGTGTGCTCGGACTCGAGAAGGATTTGGAGCGCGGACGTGAGAAACCGAAAGTCAAAGGTCGGAGGGAGCAGAGACACTTCGTCGCCAGCCGGGATCGAGTACTGCGCGTCCTGGTGAAAGTTCCACCTGTCGTTGTTTTCGAGATGCGACAGCCGGTACGACCCGAGGCGCACGCGCCACGACCGGATCATGTACATCCAGACGCCGAGCAGCTCGACTGCACCAATCACGGCCGGTACTTCGTGCACATTGGTCGAACTGAGCAAGAATTTGGTCATCGGGTTGATAATGGTCGGGTTGCACAGCATCGTGCACGACAGTTTGTACAGCGTTGGGGGAAGCCACCCCGACTTTTGGCCTTTGAGCTCGAGGAAAAACACCTTGAGCACTTGGGCATATCCTGGCAGGTGGACCCACCCGATCTTTTGATTGAGCACGGCCAACGTGTCCAGCACGTACCAGAGCCACTGGTCCACCAACAAAATGTTCAGCGTGTTCGTTTCGCCTGCGATGCGACGGAACCGCACGCGGTAGCTCTCGACCGTGACTTCATACTTGTCCTCGGCTTCGTCTTCTTGGGCCTTGAGCGCCTTTTCACCGTAGCAGTCGCACAGCGCTTTGTGAAAGCGGCGCCAGTCCAAATGGGCTTCCAGACCATCCATCGCAAACAGGTCTGCGTCCGCGTTCATTTCAAACTCTGCCGCGAGTTCCTCAACCGGCTCCAAGTACGATTCAGCCCACACCGAGTACAGCTCGACGCCAAAACTTGGCAGCCGAAAGCACAGCACCGACAGCATGCGCGCGACGAAAAACATAAAGTTGTTGTTCATGACGCCACGGACGCTGACAGCCTGCAGAACGCAGTACTTGGTTTCGACCAGCATGGACCGCAGCTTGAGGCCAAATTCAAGGTCTTTCTTTTGAGTCTTGTTGCCGCCGTGAAAAAAGCCATGGCTGCTCGACGATACCGAGTCGAACCCAAGCAGCGGCAAGTCACTCAGCTCGGCGCGCTTTACGAGGTAGAACAGGAGCTCGTAAAAAATATTCCGCAGAGCGTAGTGCCGCACACGGATGTTTTCGAGGAGGAATTGCCACAGCCGGAGGAGGATGCTCTTGGTCTCGTCCAGCGCTTCCGTCGACGCGTACACCCACGATAGCATGGAGGCTTTGTGCGACGTCTGCAGCACGCGCAAGATCTTTGTCGCCTTGCGAATCTTCCCTTCCTTGTCGTCCTTGGCCGTCGTCGACATAAGCTGCACGAGGTCTTGGGTCTTTTCCAGCACGCGCTGGGCTTCAATCGGGATCTGGACCTTCGACTTCCGCATCTTCTTATCGTTGGACGTGCCGACTATGACGCTGCTCGAAGACGAAATGCCGTTCTCGCTGATGACACCACTGCGGAGCTGCCGGACGTCCGGAATTTTCGTGAACACCACCGACCCGTACACGACGCCAACTTGGTGTCCCTTGAGCGTCAGGTTTTGTTCAAACTTGGAGGTCAAGCTCGACGCCTCGAGAGGGTTCATTTTGGCCGCAAGATCTTCCATCTCTTTCGAGTCTGTGCGCCGCCGTAGCCGTTCCTGCAGCGCATCTTCAAACAGCTTCTCGAGCGATAGCCAGCTCTGTCCAAACAGGACTGTGTTTTGCAGTTCGGCATCCATCGGCACGTCAGGATCGACTTCTGCCTATAACCCAAGTAAGCATCCTTCTGTCAGTAAAAGACCATCGTCGTTGCGCTCTCGACGCCGTTCGTGGAGGGCCAAAGGACGGAGGATCAAACGCACCGTTTCCTTTTTGTACTTTTCAAACATGAGCAGAAACCCGTTGTCTGCATCGGACGACATTTGGCCGCGGCCGACAGACAGGTTGCGTATCTAGCAAACGTCACACAGCGTCACAATTCCTCCAACAACATGGCCGGATCGAATAAGTGAGACAGCACGTACTTCTAGCTTGAGTGTGGCCGACATGAGTTCGTCGAACGTACTGTATCGCGTGATGGGCGGCAGTCGGTCTGCAGCGGAGCTCCAGCTCACGGCGATGGGTTCTTCTGGAACGACAGCGGATGACGACGACGACAGAGGTTGGTCGCTGCTGGACGGACCAGCGCCGCTACTTCCACTGCCAGTGCTCTCGAGATCGTCGTGGTGGGTCGTCATACGGGCCATGTTGCGATTTGACAGGACCTTGAGTCGCGCAAGCGCTTGGAAACTGATTTCTTGGATGTTTTCGAACGGAATCTTTTCGGCAGGCTTCAATGTGTTGCCCATTTGGAACGTTTCGGATGTCCCGATCGTGCACTTGTACGAGACAGCGTACTTTTTCAGCGGCAGCGACGCGTCTTCCTGAAAATCGTGGCCTTCGGGCCGGTCCAGTTCGTTCCCGATTGCAGGCATCATGAGCCCAATGTCGCTGACGCAAATGTTCCAATTGCTGCACTGCTCCATGTAACAATTGAACACGACACGTCCGTTCGAGCAACCGAGCAAGTGGTGGTCGTGGTGGACGGGCCCCGTCGCCACCGAGAGGAGATCGATGACCGCGGTCCCGATCAACGTCTTGCTCTGGAACGTGCGGCTGCTAAATACTTTGATCGTGCAATTTTTCTCCTTGAGACGCGCGACGCTTTGTTTGTACTCGAACGAAATGGTCACGCCTTTGTACGTCGGGTTCAAGTCGGCCTTGATAACTGGGGTTGTAAACGGCGCTTCAATGTCCCCCCAGTAAAACTCGACAAATGGATCGCTCTTCCCGCCAAACTTGCGAGGTTCAAGATTTCGGCACTGAATGCCGCTGATGCGCACGCGGAACACGCACTCAGTCGCAGGAAGTTGCGACGCGTTCTCGTCAAACATGGACCGCGCCAGCTTGGGCGACTTGGACGGGCTGTGTGGTCTGGATGCTGTCACATTTTCTCCGTACTCTCGGGTGGCAGAGCTCAACTGAAAGTTGTCTACAGGATGTGGCATGTTGATGGAAAGGACCGCCGGTGCCGGCGGCAGCGAAGAAGACATCTTCGCTCGCTTGATCCCAAAGTGAAACACCACCTCCGTTACCGGATAACGCGGTAAGCATCCGGATTACAGAGATCCTATTGCACGTGACGGCCACGACCACCGTCGCAGGCCGCCGCGGTCGTCGGCAAATGCAGATCTACGCAAGCTGTCCACACAAGTGCCATTGGAATCACACCAAGATGCATACAAGAAGTTCTTCCCCAAGCCACGCGCAGCTTCCCCGTTCGGGTTCGGTCGGGCAGCGTACATAGAACACGCAATTTCGCGGTGCGCTCGATATCACTCTGAACAGGAGGCAACGCCGAGCACCACCAAGCATGAACTCATCCCACTCAACTTCAGTATCCTTGTGCAGCACGTCCCGCGTACTCGGAAGTGTTTTTGTCACATCGCCATGGCCACCACACAACCCATCGCCGCCGTGGACCTCCCTCGCGACGCTTGCCCGTTTCGGAGATAACCGGAGGTTGTCCGGATAATGTTCATCATTTGGCACCGAATTGGAGGGAAAGTCGCGGCGCACTTTGGAGGTTGGACCGGCGAAGGCGATGAGCACCGACACCAAATGGAATTGGAAAGAAATATGCAGCACCAAGCAAGAAAAGGTTGAAAGGCAAGCTTCGGCCCCGCTGCCTGCTACGGGCGGGGTCATGCACAGCAGCGGTAGTACGGTAATGGCCACCAACAAGAGAGCGAAAACAGCGCACAGAGCACCAGGTCTGACACCAGAGCAGAAGCGCGCAGCATCACACGCGAAATACGGTGTCGGTCCGTCCCGAGACTCTCTTGATACAGCACGTCGACGAGACGAATTGACCGCAAATTTCCACGAGTACAGCAACCCAGAGATGACTGTGCCAAACAACGACAAATTCCGCATCTACAACCCTGGCGTGTCGTCTTCGACGACTGCAAGCAGCACGAACGACCGTCATGTGGCGGAAGAATTTTCAGGACTTCGTATCAAGTCCCGTCTCGTGCCGGCCGAGGTCATGCGGGAACAAATGGATGGCCGGCAGATGATCCAACTGGCCAAGCTGGAGACATCGCGGCGACAAGATCTCGAGAACACTCAGGTACCTGCACGTTTTCAATTTCCCAACACTTAACTGAAGCAAGCAACTGGCTAGGTTGATTGGGTCACGATCGGCGTCATGACGAGAGCCAATCTGTCCAAAGCCGCGTCCGGCGCGCCGTTCGTCGTGTGGACGTTGTCCGACCTGGAGACGTCGATGGCGTCGCTGTTTCTATACGACGACGCATACAATAACCACTGGAGAGAAGCCGAGGGAAGCATCGTGGCCGTGATCAATCCGGCCGTGTTGCCAGCGAACGAAGCGGGCAAGTTTGCGCTGAGCATTCGCAGCGGGCTCAATGTGGTCAAGCTTGGTAGGGCCTCCAAACTTGACCAGCCAGCCGTTAGCATAAACAATGTAGGCACGTCCATGGACTTTGGAATATGCAAGAGCCTTACAGCTGGCGGCAGACAGTGCAAAATCCCCATTAATGTTACCATGGGCGACTACTGCGTCGTCCACGTCGCGGCAAAGTTCAAAGCCGCGGGCAAAGGCCGCCAGGAACTCAACGGTGCCGGAACATTTCGTACCGACTTGTTTCGAAATGGCGACAGTGTCCGCAACGTATCGGCGGGGACGTATGGTATGTTTGTCTGAAACGCGAGACGATCTGTCATGCAATGACGGCATGAACGACAATTCTAACAGCGTTTGTAGCGCCCAAGCCGTCGAAGCATGATCCAGCCAAGCGGAAACGGGACGCCCGCATGATGTTAGTCCCGACGACACAAGTAGATGCCGTGGGCCACGTCAACACATTTCAACCCACTTCCAAATCATCCGCTGGTGGGGCTGCGCCTGCCCTTGCTCCTGAATTTGTACGGAAGGCCGACCAGTCCGCATCCATGGAGCAATTGCGCAGTGCGATTCGCGATACTTCGTCACAGAACCAATCGTCTGGCGTCCCATCAAAGAAGTCGCTCGTGTAAGGCCTTGAACTGGAATTCCACCCTGATGCATGACGATGATTGTGTACAGGGCGAAGATCCTCGGCGTGGGAAGCGGTGCCAAAAAGGTCAACATGATGGCGATGTTGATGAAGCCGTCCGTGTCTGGGCATGCCGGCGCATCCCAACCCTTTCCTGCATCCAAATCCCTCCAAGCCGCAGCACCGTCCATAGCCCCATTGACCACACTTTCTCGCACAAGTCGGCCTGTTCCAGGATCCACTAGCCAACGAGTGCAAAACCGACTGACACAATCCCCATCGAACCGGCGAGTGGCATCGTTGCGAGCGAGCGGCATGCTGCTCGAGTAATCCATGCTCGAGTCACCACAAAGCGGTGAGCAACGTTGCGTTCGAGTTTCGGCAGGAGACGTCACGACATGCAGATCCATGTCGAGTTGTAGCGCACAAGCTAGTCAGCGAGAAGGGATTTGTCAAGCAGGGGACGTGGCGGGCAGGTTGACTGAAATGGGCACCTGGCCACGCTTGCAAGCCTTGGCAACTACATTCAAGCTGATGGACTTCCCATGGAACACCAGATCGCTTGTGTCTTGAAACAATCCGAACGACTTGACTCGTGTGACGTTGCAAAATCCTGCCTCGGTGAGAAACGAGTCCAAGATGACACGGTCAAACCCAGTCTTGTGGAAGTCGTGGCCGTCCGTTTGGCCACCGTACATCATGCGCATGACGTGAAAGCGCTGTCCGGGTGTCAGCGTCGGATCCACAAACAGCATCGCGAGCACGGACAAATCTGGCACGGATAGAAACAGCGCGCCTCCCGCCTTGAGCACGCGATGCCATTCAGCCAGCGTTGCCGACACGTCTGCAGCATGCACGCCGTAGCCGCAGTGCTCGAGTGCGTGCGAGGAATATATCGCCGTGACGGTGTTGGCGCCGATGCCGTGCAAATCTTTCATTTCACGCACCAAATCGACATGACGGAGCCGTTGAATGTTCACCACGGTCCATCCGTCTCGAGGTACCTATAGATGTTTTTTCTGGACATGACGACCTGCCGTGCAAACCAAGACATTCGTACGTGGCCGCCAATATGGAGAAGCAATGGCGGTTCGCCAGTGCTGACTTCGACGGAAGTACTTGGTTCTCGCGACTCCTTCGCCTCGTCGTCGTCCTTGGATCCTTCTTCGTCTGAGGAAGGCTGCGCCGTGGGGCGCGATTGCGACGGGATGACCACATGCATGCGATGGAGATCCGTGGTGTGTGTGTGGCGCATGCTCTTGGAAATCGAGTCGGATGCGAGCATCGCCCACGCCTCTCGCTGCCACTCCCACGTGGCCATCAAGTTCCGGCCAAACCCTATGGCGAATGATCGCGTATCGAAGAGCATGGCAGAATTCCTGTCCCGAGATTCAGGGCAAGGCAAAATGGAGCGAATGAATGGCAAACCTTTGGCGTTGCAACGCCAGTCGCAAGGACGCCAGCAAGCGAGGATGTCGAGCTAAACGCACGGCAGTGTCTTCGTACTCCTTGTACGAATTCGTCGTCATAACATTCAGCCGATGGTCGCCCATCTAACGACCGATGAAGCACCCGACCTTGACAACGTGGCATGTACCGACGCGACGGCAGAACTGGCCGCCCGATTGCTCATGCGGTCCCCTTGGAGCGTCACGAGTGGCAACCCTTAAAAAAAAGGAGAGTCGTTCAACCCACATCATATTGGTAGAAGCCGCGTTACCAGCCCACAACGCATCCACGATAGTCGTGTGGCCATTCTTGAGCGCTGTGTCCAGCACCAAGTCCGCCGCTTGCTTCACCTGACGTAGTTGTGCCAGGTTTCAACTCTTCTTTCCAACATGGCGGTGGCATCGCTCATCGATCGACAATGCAACGTTCAGAGAGAAGGATGGGCGGCGTACCCAAGTATGGTTGATCCACGCCGTCATTGGTGTGAAGATAAAGCGACTGGTGCCATCGATGCCAAACTGCTTGGCTTGCCGAACGAGGTTTTTCTTGGCGGCTGCATATCCCTACCAGGATCGACTACGCTGTTAAACAGCGCATTCGCGTCCAGACCATACAGAGTATTGCTGGAACCACAAGACGCTGTGGGGCACTCGCTGCAAGATGTGCATCCACGTTGCAAACGTCGTTGGGTCCATTTTCTACCCCTCCTCGGTAATATCTTGTTTCACGAGAAGGAAAACGTTGTCGCTCGCACCTGCCAATTGCTAAACGTGGCAAAAACGAAAGCCGACCGAGGGAGCCCTGCCAAATTGGCCTGAGATCTCGTGGGCCGGGTGACACCAGGATGCACGACATGGCTCATCATCTAGTTCGTGCGATATGCCGGTTGCTGGTCCATGGTTTTGAAAAGTACTTGTTTGTGGTCGTTCACGATGTAGTTGTGCGGCAGGTACACCATTTTCTCGGAAAATGACTCGTGTACGTGCAAAGGCGACGCTGACATCGGGTCCACAATGAAGAAGTCGATGAAGGAACTGCCCGTTGTCAAGGGGTACCCAAGAAAGGTCATCTACAGCACATGTAGGTCGCTCACTGTCATCGAATTGGTGGAGCATGCCTGCACAGGAGCTGGGCGATGGCTGAATATGGGCAAGCCAGAGTGTAGCGTGTGGCCATTTAAGTCGACAAGCACGTGAATGCCAAGGTTGTGAATCGCCGACGCAGCCGATTCATAATTGACGCCGTTGAGGGAGATCATGTGGTCGACTTGGCCCGTGATGTTGGTACGCCACCATGACTGGGCATCTGTAAGTGCAAAGCAGAAGACCTACCAGCACAGCCATTTCATGCACAGCGTAGGGCATGCTTGAAAGGCACCTCAATGGTATTCGAGGGAAGCATCGCCATGAGACCCCTCACGAGCGTGGCGACAGGGTGGATGCCAAAATCGGACGAGACAAAGCCTACAACTTGGGTTGGTAGTGCACAGGATTATGGTAGTAGCTGTACCAACTTTGAGCTTGGGTGTCGCTGGAGGAAGCGGCGAGTCGCAGCACAAGGCCAGTGCGCTCGGCTTGGAATGGAGGGCGAGCTGGCTTACTTTAAGGGTAAGATCGTTGGGTATGGCACCAAGGTCTGCTGCAGACACGAGCGACGCTTCACCCTGAAATACAACCATTCACAAGAAGATACACGACATGGCAGGGGCTACGTTACGCGAAGTACGTTCGACGTCGTCGAGTCGACCACAGCGTCCTGGACAATATCGTGGTCGGTCCAATTGGCCACCCAATTGCGAGCTTTGAAGAGTACGCTCACGTCGGTCGTGAGGTTCTTGTCCACGAGTGCGGTTTCGAACACGCGGATGGCATCCTCGACGAGGAACTGGCTCAAGAAGCAATCTCCTAGATGCATGTACACTTGTCCATGGTTGGGATGGAGGACTACAGCCTTCTTAAAGGACTCAGTCGCTTCCTTTAACCTGCCAAGGTTGTATTGCGCCACACCGAGGTACTCGTACACGCTGGGAACCTGCCCGTCCAATTCGGCAAGCTTCCGTGACAACAGGGATTCACACAGCTTTTCGAGGCCACGCATGTCACGATTCGCATTGTAGTTGGACAGTCTGATTCGGTACTCCGAGATCGAAGTCGCCAGGGCAGCTATCCCAAACGCCACGACGGCCCACGCCACCGCAACAAGACCCCGCCATGGTTGCCGAGGCGGCATGGCTCTTTTAGAAGATCGCAAACTCATCCGGATATACTCCCATTTCCGGATAATGACTTATTGTCATCCAAGGCACAACGATGGATATGCGAACGGTGCGGGTCGCGGTGGTCGGTGACTCGGGCGTCGGAAAGACATCGCTCGTTCACTATTTGTGTCATGGAGAAGTGCTGTCGCACCCCACATGGACGATTGGATGCACGACAGACGTTCTCGTAAGTAGGCAATTGCCTTCGCATCCAGCATCATCCTTCGCTTGGTCTTGTTCTAGCTGCATCAACCCGACACTTTTGTCGAATTCGTCGACATTGGCGGCAATCCTAGGTACGAGCTCAGCCGAGCTGCGTTCTACCATGAACTGCATGGTGCGTCGACGCGTCCCATATCGATCGTGGTTAACACATCTTGTACCTAGGCATCATCTTCGTCTACGATATGAGCAACATTCGCTCTTACAACAACCTGCGCAAGTGGATCGCGTAAGGTTCTCTACCTCGACGAAGGCAAGTCAGATCGTTTCGTATCGGCTAGAGAGCTCTCTCTCGCACAGAAGAACCGCCCCAATGTCGTCGCCAACCCCGACAATGTACGAATCCGATCAGGTTGGCGTGAATTTTGAAAGACATTAGATCGGTCCTTTGCCCACGATTGTGATCGGGAACAAGCAAGATGCGATTCAGACGCAACGGATGGCACCTCTTCGCGACCTCAAGATGGATTCGCTCGAAGCCGTACGTGACTTGAATTCAACTTCATGCACACGCATGGTATTCTCATGTAGAGTGCTTTGGAAGGCCGCTTGGACATGTCTCGATTCCATCTCTTCCTGGACCGTGTGGTGGCCACTGCGTTTACGTCGACACCGCGGCAACCTTCTGGCCACGGCATCATGCGAAGCAGATTCATTGCGAGTTCATCTCCACACGGTACTACTCCAACCTCGTCGACGAGCTCGTGGTGGTCGTAATAATGCAATATCCATATTTCCACCTCGTTTGCCCCTTACCACGCAATCATATACGACGTCATATTTCTTCTTCTTTATGCTAGAATGGTTTGCTACGATCCACTAAAACTCGATAGATCGATGGCTCGGCACCCGCTCCCGCAGCGCTGCGTCATCATCGCCATCCACATCCAGTTCAAAGTCGCTGCCGTCCGACCGCTTCGAATCAGTCGACTTGATCGCGGCGGCTGCAGCGCGTGTTGGCGAGTTGAGTTTAGCTGCGTCGAGTTCTTGGTACAGGGAGTCCTTCGTCGACGGCGAGAGGAAGGTATCGCCGACCGTGGATTCGTAGTCCCCGTCGATGTCCATGCTGTAGCCGGTCAATGTGGTGTCGCGCGGATTGGTGGGCTGCTGCAGAGGAGCTCCGGTTGGAAACGGCGGCGAGTGCACAAGGAACCCTGGCTCGCTCGAGTAAGAATCGACATGTTGGGGAAGGCTGTTGCGGGCCTTGAGCGCCTCGATGCGCTCGTTGACGCTCGTCGGCGGACGGTGCACAGACACTCCACCATTTGTGGGCGACTGCACCGACATGTACGGCGCAGACAAGCCATCGACGTCCACATGGTTGGTGTGAATCGGGGGAGGAGGCACCGAGGACTGCAAACTTGACGACGACGATGCGAGGTAGGCTCCACGGCCTTGTGACGGGCGGCGGTAGAAGCTCGGGCGTTTCGCTGGCGATGTCTGACTGTTGCCGTTGGACGTCAGCGATGCCCTTCCAATTTGCTGGTTCTCGCGGTCCCGTCGCTGCTTTTGTGCTTCGGCCAAGAGCCGTGCGTGGTTGTCGGCCTCGCGCTGCTCCTCCATGGCCTGAATGGCTTCTTCCCGCGCTTTCGCCTTCCCGCGGCGTATGCAAATGAAGCAGCATACGACCGCCACGAGGAGGACAAATGCTCCGCCGCCGATGATTACCCACCACACCCAATCGTCGAGGTTGGCAAACCCACCAAACGTCGAACGACCCGACGAAGACGACGACGATTTTGTTGTGGGCGAAGGAGTGGCCGTGGTCTCGGATGGCTCGGGAGTTGATGTTGTGGTGGGGGTGGCGGCCCTGGTGGTGGTTGGTCCTCGGGTGGTCGTCGCGACAGTCGTGGCCGGCACGACCGACGCTGTCGTGGTGGGTACTACGGACGCAGTAGTCGTCGGAGGTGCCTCCGTTACGACGGGGGACATCGTCGTGGTGGTCTCAATCACAACCGGCGACACCGTTGTCGTCGGGTCGGTCAGTTGGGCGTGTAAAATGTCTACGTGGCGTCGTCGGTGTCATGCGGGCGTCATGAGGACCGTACCTGTAGTCAAAAGGAGAGCCGCAAGACATCGCAGCAGCAGCAGCTTCATCGTGGAACGTATTGGAGTCGGGGCGGAACTCGATTCTCCACGTCGGTCCACGGTGGCTCAATGCCTTCGTGTGTAATTTTGTAATTTTGTTTTTCGTATCTATTTTGATTTCCGTTACAACTCTGCGCCAAGCCTCTGGTACGGCAGAGGAATCCAATTTTTTTCGGAATGGAAAAATATTTTGACAGAAGTCACAATCGTGGAGTCATGTTTCTATCAACAACATATTGCAAAACGATGGGAAAAATTCCGACGACAACAAAAATTTGCCAAAAGTTCAAATTTTTCTGCGCAATGGATGCCCACTGGATTTATTGGAGGTGCCGCAGCAACAATCTTGCCGAAAATGACCATGCTGCGTGGACAAGCTGCCACGTCACTGCGACAACGAAGTGGCAGGCTTCGGGGCGCCACCTAGGCCCACTTGCTCTCGCCGGTCTTGGCGTTATACAAGTACTTTCGGTTGTTCACATCGTCCCATGCTTCGACCCATTCCGACTTCCCATTGCCAGGCGCTGTGATCTGGAACCGTGGTGGCGGCGTAAGCACATTCGTTTCAGCGGCGAACAGGGCAAGTCGCCGGCGTTCTGCTTTCGCTGCCGCAGCTTCGGTCGCCTTTCTGTCCTTTTCGCCTTGGACTTTTTCGTGATTCGATTTCACTTTTGCCATCAGCGCAAGTTCATTTTCACGGTCGACAGCAGATTCGACCAAAAAGTCAGATATGATCTTTTGCTTGGCGAGCCGCCGTTCGCGCTTCCGTCGGTCTAGCTTTAGGGTAGCCAGCATGGCCTAGATCGTATGGTTTAGGATGTATGCACAAAAGACCATTCGGTAGAACCTTGCCAAGGCGAGTGGACCTGTACGCGCGGAACTTCCTCTGGATGCGTCTCGCTGCAGCATGGCGCGCGGCCACTTTGACCGTGATTTCTGCCACCGCAACTACCATGTTACGGCAATTCTGCCGTCGTTGGCGTGTATGCCGCACGAACCGCTAGGATACAATCGATTCAAGTTGTGGCCATTGAAACGACAAGACAACCTGGATGGTCTTGGAACTCGCGTGTCGCCGCGCCATCTCTAGTTCCTGTGCTTGCCGTCGAAGATGCAGTGCCATCCGTCCTTTCTTCTTGCGCCACGCAGCTTGGACACGCAATGCCGCCTGGTTCGACCGTGCTGTCTGCGCTGCTTGCGCAACTTTCTTCATCGCCGCAATGTGCTGCTTGGTGTGGTTTCTCGCCAACCGCGACCGCACCATTCGTTGGATGGACGTGGCGCTGCGTCGAATGCGAGCCACATGTTTTCGAAACCAGCGCTGCGTTCGCTGGCTTCGGTAGATTGTCTGGACGACAACTGCGGCGGCAGTCAATTCCTTGTGCCTCGATACCTTTCGCCGCCAATACCGTCGCCACACTGTCGCGATCACACTCGATGCACTGTGCACGATTGAGTTGTGGAATCGCTCCCGGAATACCAGTTGCAACGGCATCGACTACAGCACAAGTCAGAAACGAGGCCGACGACCCCAACAATTCTACAACCAACCTGCAGTCGACACGCCCGGAGGTACATTGGAACGCACGATTTGGTCATTGCCAGTCGAAACAAGACCCGATCACGATACCCTCTGTAGGTGGCTTGGATGCAATGGGCTGCGAGTAATCGTCGCAGTCGCCGTTCTTGTCGCGTCTGCGTTCGACGCTGCCTTGCGACGTATTCCCGCCACGTGCGTTGCAAGCTAATGGCGCTTCGTCTTTCAAGCCGCCGCTTGGTCACACATCTTCGCCCAATGAACCCTCGAGCAGCGGCCTGAAGCACTGTCGCATGCCATGCATGCATGCCCAACTGAATGGATTGCGCCAAATGTGCGATCGAAGCGTACAAGGGACCTCGCGAATGTAGGCGACTCCGTCGCCAGGCTCGTTGAATCGTGGCTGCACGTTTGTCCTGACGAATGCGGCGACACCATCCGCGAGTCAAAAATGCTCGCACAGTTCGCTGAATACATGTAGCAGCCTCTGTTGCCAGGACGTCGCGCCATCTCCGTCGCAACCACTGCATTCGATAGATCGTGTTTCGCATCCATCGTTGCAGTACCACAGCCGCTTGCGACTGCACATACACGAGCAGCGCGTTGAGGAAGGTGCGACGTGATCTCTTCCGGCGGTAGGCTGCTTGGACGGTCGTAGCTGCGCGGCGGACGGCCTCGGCTTGCACCAACCGTCGAAATGCTTTGCGCGTGGTGTGGCGGCGGTAGTTGGACTGCAGTTGGGTGGCGGCGCGAGTTCGACGCATGGCATACAACAAGTGACGACGCTGGAACATCTTCACCCATCGCTGGATTTCCGCTGCCGCCGCGTGGAGCTCTTGGGTTTGGCCGCACCTGACTTCGACGTGCCACATGTAAAATGCCCGGTCCCGCTTCCGTTGCCACGACCGCTCCCAAATGTCTTGGAGAGACTGCACAGCCTCGCTTCGAACGAACTGAGCTACAGCTGCAGCTTGCTTGTCGCTCACGACAGCATCATGCCAAAGGGAAAAGGCAGCAAGAAGTCGTGCGTGGAGGATTCGTCGAAGAACGTCGACGAAGGAGGAGATCTTGGTGCGATTGGATATGACTCCCTTTGGCACCGAGTGCAATGGAACGTTGTTCTTTATCCACCGAACGTGCTCATCGACAGCGGCACTGGCGGAATCCACTGCAAGGGCAGCGCGAATGGCATGGCTTCGCAGCTCGTTGTGAACAATCGAGCTGCTGGGTACTCGCTGCTGTAGCCATATTCGCAGTTGCATGGAATCATTATGGTCGCTGGCTTGTTTGTGTGCTGTAGGCCGGCGGTGGCCAGCAGCGTGTTGCGGTTTCGACTCTACAGTCCGTGCAATCTTCTTTTGTTTGGTAGGGGACTTCTGGAAGAGATCTCGAAGCGCATTGGCGCTGAATACTCCAGGAACGTGGGTGGGAAGAGCCTGGACAGTTCCTGGGGTGGCGTGGGATGGATCCAAGATCATCAAGCCAGGAATGCCGCGTCACCAGCGGTGGCACTTGACCCGAAAGGCAACAGCGGTTACGCGAAGTATTTTATCCAATGAAAAGACACTCAGTTATCTTGAACATTTGGATTGGATAAAAAATGACAAATCAAATTGTGGAAAATATGTTGATTTATTGGGTCGTTGCCAAAGCAGTAGAAGCAACACACGACACCGCGATGCCTCGAACCATCGCTGGGTACACCGCGCTTCCATTCCCTGGAGAATTCGCGAGCTACGTTTATGTGAAGAAGCACATCAACAAGTCAGAGGGAAATGAAGAGACCGAGCTGGCAGCAGACAGGACGGCGTACGTTGTGAACCTGCCGGCGCGGGCGACGGCAGACCAGGTGATGGAGCTCTTCAACGAGGTCGGACCTGTGCAGTCTGTGGTGATGGGCAAAGCCAGTGATGGCACAATTGCGTCGAGTGCCCACGTCGTGTTCAAAGCCAAAGCAACGTTGAAGCAGTTGCTAAAACTGACCGTCCTCCCTAAATTCCCTGGCTCAGACGACGTCCCCGATGCTTTTGAAGCAGCCATCCAGAAATACAAAGCAGAACGTCCGGGGTTGCAAGTTCTGAAATCGCGTGCCGACGATTTTATGGCCAACTTCGACGCGGAAGAAGAAGCGGTATGCCATTCGACAGTGGCCACTCCACTCCTGTGGTGACATGCGTGTGTTGTAGGAGCGAAAAGAGCGCGAGCAACTCAAATCCCATGTGGATTCCGATGGTTTCCAGACAGTCGTAAACACAAAGCGAAAACGAAAAGATCAAGACGAGCTTCTGACGTACCGAAAGAAACAAAAGTCCAAGGAGTTGCAAGACTTTTACCGGTTCCAGCTCCGCGAAAAGAAGCGCGGCCGTACGTTTTCCCCGTCCCATTCACATATACATACTCGTGCTTGATTGAACTGCATTCGACATGTAGAGCTCAAAACCCTGCGCGAACGATTCGACGAAGACCGGCAACTGGTCGAAAAAATGAAAAAAGAGCGCAAGTTTCGACCCGAGACCGGCACCGACTAAGTGCCCATCAAACACTGCATCCTTTTTCCATACTCATTGCTTGCTTTCCTTCGAACATGCCACCGAGTGTTTCCATCCTTGCGATCAGCGACCTCCTCATGCAAACGACACACTTCACGATTTGTTCTTATCCGGTGTATATCGATTATCCGGATTTCGTGAACAACCAATCCAATTGCTTGAATTCCACATAGGACACGCGGATTGGTTTAAAAGTTCGGGATTGTTTCGTTGGCGTGGGTTCGTGGTTGGTGCGACGAGCGTTGAAAGGTTGGCAGCACATCTCAAGTAGCTGGAAAACAACAAGATGGTGGCCACTAAGAAGACGGTATGATGCGACTATCTATCGTTGGAGTGGAATGCAAGCGTGCCGGTGGCCGGTACACACACGAACGGCGGGCCAAGCGAGCTCTGTGGCGCAAGCGCTAGACTCGCCATCCCCCACACAGCCTCCCCACGCTGTGCTGCGGGTCAACCCCTGAACGTCTGGCCACCCACCACGCCCATCTTCTTCTCCACGCCTCCGACCTCGTTGGTACTCATGCGTGTCTGTGCTCTTTCAGAAAAAGGCTGTTGACAACATCAACTCGCGCTTGCAATTGGTCATGCGCTCGGGCAAGGTTGCCCTTGGGTACAAGGAAACCTTGAAGAACTTGCGCAACGGCAAGGGTACGTCGCAAGCAGTGACCACTTGATCCGATTGCTTACCGTGTTGATTGCAGCCAAGTTGGTCATCTTGTCGTCCAACACCCCTCCCCTCCGCAAGTCGGAAGTGGAATACTACTCTATGTTGGCCAAGACCGGCGTGCACCACTACGCTGGCAACAACAACGACCTCGGTACCGCGTGCGGCAAGTACTTCCGCGTGTCGGTGTTGGTCGTCTTGGACGCCGGTGACTCGGACATCCTTCGCTCTTCCGAATAAATATAGATTATTGCTACTTAATCTATGAAATGGGCAACCATTTTGCGGCCACAATCTCTCCCGAATGTATTTGATTAATTGGTCTCGAGAATGTGAAACCATACGTTGTCGATGTCGTTGTCGTCATGTAAGCCGCGGATGTGCAGCGTGTGATGGCCAGGATGCAGCCCTACGAGCACGCCTCGGTGGACTTGCTTGGTTGCCGCAGCGTCAGTTGACGGTGGAAGCGTCTGGACCTTAACTCCGTCCAGTAGCACGGTCAGCTCCATGACGTGGACGGCGTCTACGTCGAAAGCAATCATTGCTTCCCTTGGAAACGCTGAGCCATTGGACGGCGAACGAATGACATGGCGGTCGCTCTTTTCAATGCCGTCACTCAGATTGGCATCGCATGTCTTCTCTGGGGACGATGGTGCAATGGATTTTTGAGGTAGCGACAACTTGAAGATTGGCGAACCTGGAGGAACCAAGTGAAATCGCCGTTCGACATGCACGACATCTTCCCTTCCTCCCGGCAATGGTACAACGAGTGTGATGGTCACGACGTGGTCGCCGCTCGCGAGGGTGTGTAGGGCATTGGTCGAGAACGGAATAGGATCCCGTCGATGGAGAATTGCTAGGTCCGTAACGAACAAGACACCATCTACTTGAATGGTGTACTGCATGATCTGGCTCGAGTTAGTCGTGTTGGATGGCGCATGCAATTCGAACTCAATCACGTTCCTTGATGTGACTTGACCTTCCAGGGGATGGAGAATTGTCACGGTGCAGTTGGACGATATATTCTGCGTGGGTAGGGCGAATTCGACTTCCCAAGGAATCCCCTCTAGTGGACATAGATATGCGTACGCGCACGCTGCCAGGTAGAGCATCAAGACCACGATGACAGCGTGCACGAACAGCGGGTTATCTGGAGGAGGATGTTTCTTGGGGTTGGTCGAGGCAGCTGCTGCAGCGGGAGGGTTGGATTTCATCGCAACCTCCGAGGTGGACTTGGTGTGACCACTGCTTGTGGAGCTAGTGATGTGGTGGAGCTCCTCGTCGGAGAGCACTTCCAGCGGGGGTAGGTCCGGCGGCACCATGGCTGGCGCAAGTTGACCGCAGCGTATCTTTTGCGGCTTCCACATTTCGAGATCCGGTAACCAACATCCGGATACGAATTCATCGATTTCACGGCGCCAGCCCGGAGACAAGGTGCGTACAACGGTTCTCGACATGCAAACTTAGCATGGTTACGATGGTGCAGAGACGATGGATTGGGATGAACGGAGACAACTAGCCCACGACATCGCGTCGCTGTCGTCCGCGGACCAACAAGGCGTGCTCTTGCGGTGCCACCTCGCACATCCAGAAAGTGTAGGGTTCCACCAAGACCATCCTTTCAAACCCGAGGACTGGGACTTGATCAAGACCAGCAACTGGGAGGGAAGCTGCGTGGTGAACTTGGATATCCTTGACGTGAAACTCCTTCACGAACTCCGTGCGTACGTTGACGCGTGCTATATCCCCCACCCTGCTCCCCGAGACCAGTGTGAAATCTGCTGCGGCCTGTGGTCGTGCGGTCGAGTGATCGTCTGTGGCAACCCAACCTGCTCGACTCGCATTCACGAAGAGTGTTTTGGTATGGTCATTCGAAGCGACTCGAACGGTCCTTGGCGCTGTCCGTCCTGTGTATACGGGTCGCCACTTCAGTGCTGCTTGTGCCTTCAAGACAACAGTGGCGCAATCAAACCGACTTCGGACGGGCGGTGGGCGCACGTCATATGTGCACTTGGCATCCCCGAGCTCACACTTCGTGACGTTCCGACCATGGAACCCATCGACGGCATGTCTGAAATCGATCCATCGCGCCTTCGTTCGATGTGCAACTTGTGTAAGCGCAAGGGTGGCGCTGTCGTCGCTTGCGAAGTGGACAACTGCGGCACCGCGTTTCATATTTCTTGCGCGGCTGACGCGGGGCTGTGGATCGGTGCGGCTGCGGACCCGACCGCGATCCCCCCCACGGCCGTGAAACCCTTTGCATTGTACTGCGAAAAGCACATGCCTCTCGATCGCGTGATCGGCGCCAAGCGTTTTATTGCAGAGGAAGACTTGGTGCTTGAAGCGCTGCCACGGCCCTCTGTCGTAACCTCAATGAGCACCGAGGCTACCGCAAAACTGGACGACTACATGTTCGTTTTGGACTCGGCGTCGTACTTGCTCGAGCGCCACATTTGGAAAGAGCGGGTTATGACAGCTCCTCCACCTGCCGCGCTAACCTCGAATCCGTTCCAGTTGTTTCAGGTCACGCCAAAGTTATACAACCGGGGACGGTTCCCGGTCAAGACGCTGGTGACAGACATGGTTCTAAAGGTTGCCGCCGCGGAGGGCCAGGTCTTGACGACACCACCTGTGGCGGAACCATTCCCACCTCCTCGACCTACCAGCAACATCGGATTGCCGCCGTTTCCTGAAGGCCCTGCTCTTGTCGGTGGTATCGTAGAGGTGTACTGGGTCGGGTTCGACGATTGGTTCCGCGCCAAAGTGACTGATTGGGACTCGTCTCGTCGGGTGAATCAAGTTCACTACTTGGGAGAACCTCGCATGGAGTGGCTAACTCTGCGTGCTGGGATGTGTCACGTCCTCCACCTCCCGTCCGACCCCCCAACCAAAGTCAAACTTGCCAAGTTCTCGCACAATGGCGCCGCACCACAGTGGCGGCCAAAACCCCGCACGTTTGCCGCGACAGACTAGCTTCCATAACTTGCAACGACTCGTTTGATCCACATACGACAGGTCGTCGCTTGTCTAGTGTGTCCACTACACACACGGCGACCACATATTGCACAGCATGTCTTGCCAACCCGCATCTTGGTTCCAGGGTCAAACGAATGCACTGCCTCGAGTTTCCATGAGCCATGCTCCTGGTCCAGGTAGACCGAGCGCGATCCTCGTCGTGCTTCCGCGAGACAAATGCCGCATGCAAAACAGGTCCTCCGGATAAAGGTCCGGATACCTCGTGAACCAATTGGCCACAGCGTTTGGTTGGCTGGCGAGTTGACAATAGGCGATGAGGCGCCCACTAATCCTTTTCATCGCTTTAGTTTAGACCCCCCCCCAGCAAGATGGTGTTGACCCAACGTGAAGAAGACATCCAAAAGATGCTCGCCGCCATGGTGCACATCGGCACGCGCAACGCCGACAGCCAAATGGCTGACTACATCTGGCGCCGCCGCAACGATGGTGTGCACATCATCAACGTCGGCCAAACGTGGGAAAAGCTCATGTTGGCCGCCAAGGTCATTGTGGCCGTCGAAAACCCCGCGGACGTGATTGCCATTTCGGCGCGCCCGTACGGCCAACGCGCTGTGTTGAAGTTCGCTCAGTACACTGGCGCCCAAGCCATTGCTGGCCGCTTCACCCCCGGTACCTTCACCAACCAAATCACCAAGCAATTCCGTGAACCCCGCTTGTTGATCATCACGGACCCCCGCACTGACTCGCAGCCCGTGCGTGAATCTGCCTACGTGAACGTGCCCGTGATTGCCTTTGTCGACTCGGACTCCCCGTTGCGCTACGTCGACGTGGCCATCCCTGCCAACAACAAGGGCAAGCTCTCGATCGGTCTGTTGTACTGGTTGTTGGCCCGTGAAGTGCTCCGTCTCCGTGGCACGATTTCGCGCGCCCTTCCTTGGGAAGTCGCCGTCGATCTCTTCTTCTACCGCGACCCTGAGGAGTTGGCCAAGGCCGAAGAAGTTGTTGGTGCCTCGGACGAGACCGCCCGTGCCGGTTGGTCGAACGAAGCCGCGGCCGCCGAAACTGCCCAAGAGCAACCCAACTTGTACACCCCGGAACCTGCCCAAGACTGGAACACTCCCGGTGGTGAATGGGGCGCTGACGCCGCCGCTGGTGGCTGGGATGCGTCCACCCCTGCCCCTGCTACCTCCAGCTGGGAATAAACCAACCAACGAAAGGATTTGATGTAGATGAGGAATGCTCCATTGCATGGACAAAACGACGGTGTTAAGCGATGGCACCTGGTTAATGCAATTCAACGAGTGTCCCTCATAACTTTTCGATCTTGAGCTCGTCGACGTCGATGTGATCTCGTTAAGAGGACGACGCGAGTTTGCTGTACAGGCCTTCGCATGCGTCTTCGAGCAGATCCAGCACGGTGTCGAACCCTCCTTCGTACCAAGGGTCGGGAACGTGATCCGCTCCAGTGTTTGTGACACAGTACGATGTCATCTTGGAAACCTACATGAGGAAGATGAGCAATGGGTGACGGCCCGAATATAGGACGAAGGAAACCTTGGCATTGGCGAGGGCGATGTATTCTGGTCCCCAGAACTTGGCCGCCTCCAAGACAGCGCGAACGTTGTTGCTGTCCATGCAAATGATGTGGTCGAACAAGCGGAGATCTTCTGCGACGAGGGGGCGCGACCGACTCGTGAGATGGTATCCCCGCTTCTTGGCCTCTTTCTTCATACGCGAGTCCGAACTCTCGCCTTGGTGGTACGACGACCCGTTCGGTTTGTACCAGTTGGAGCTGCCGCCACCCGTGCCACAAGAATCTATGTGGAAATTCTCCGGCCTGTCATGCGACTTTTGCACGATCGCTTTGAACACGCCTTCCGCCGCGGGGCTGCGGCAAATATTGCCTAAGCACACGAACAGCACGTTGACCGTCATCCTCCACCAAGGGTCCTCTGTGCAAGTGTTTTCCTTGTCATGACACGTTTAGCCATTCTGCAAAAAGGTATCAAATACACTCATACGATTGGTTCGTTTTCGACAATAATTGGTAGATTTACTTCAATACCCCAAGAAGATTTGCACACTGGCTCAAAGCCACCGTCGCACCGAGGACTGAACGAATGCCCCACTTCACCGCGTTATTTGAGCTTCTTCACTGCGGGTGTGGGTTCAGCAGTCGTAGCCTGGCGCTTTCGCTTCTTCTTATTTGGCTTGGAATGCCCTGCTGCCGCCTTCTTGCCTTCGAGTGAGGCGGCTGTGGACGTTGCGGACTCTCCTGTCGCCACTACTGTTTTTTCGAAGATGCTGACGAAAAAGCCGTGGGTGTCCTGTGCGTGGGACGCTCGCACGCACTTGGGGGCCATGCGGCTGGATCCTTCGCCACGCTGGGGCCAGTCCGGCAGAGCTTTTCCAAGTCGCCACGTTCCTTTACACAATGCTAAGATTCGATCGACAACGTCTTCGTTCTCCGCTTGATGGACGGAGCACGTCGAGTAGACGACCGTACGCATGTTTGGCAACAACATTGCTTGGCGGACGATAGCAACTTGATGGTCCGCGAACGCTTGCACTTCCTCCTTTGAATGTTGAACAGGGGCTTCTCCGACTTTGACATTGCCTGAGCCAGAGCAGGACGGATCGCACAAAGCCAACGTGGCTTGGCTCCAACGCATATCGTTGACGTCAATTGTCAAAAAGTCCGTTTCCATGACGGATACAATATCGTTCGCGCTGGCCTTGTCGACGGTGGCTCGAAGGGACTTGGCCCGCGCCGGAGCTCGCTCGAACGCCACCACCTGCACACGTCGGCTCTTCGGCTTTCCAAGCGCAAGTCGAGCTGCCAGTTGGGTCGTTTTGTTGCCTGGCGCCGCACAAGTGTCGATGGCAACGTCGTGGTCCATCGCTTGCGCAGCCACACACGCAACGGGGAGACAGCTGGCCAAATCTTGGACGAACAAACATCCTTTCTTAATAAGCGGGTGGCCGTGCAAGTTGGTGCCTGGTGGCAGCACCAGCAGCTCAGGAACAAACTCGTGAACGCGCACGGGGATATTTGCCTTGACAAACACGGCTTTGGCAGCGTCGGGGGTCATTTTCAGCGTGTTTACCCGCACATACCGCGGAAACGCGTGGTCGGTTGATGCGACTTTGGCTTGAACAGGCTTGATCAATGCGCTGTGATGGGTCTCCAAGTACGTGGTAAGGGCCGGCGCCGCGTCTCGGACAAGTTGGATGGCACCGGTGTGACGTCCTTTTAGCTTTCGGCGAGGACCCACTACTAACTCGTAGACTAAAACGACGAGAAAGTTCTCTGGTGAGAAAGATGGCAGGGAGTTGAAGCGCTTGGCGTCGATTCGCTCGGCAGCATCTAATTCACTGACGGCATCGAGGAGACCACAAGACGTTGCTGCGGCAACAAGGGCATCGGCGTGCTTTAGGCTCTCCTGCGCTAACGCCTGCACTGTCGGGCGAAGAGTGTGGTTGATGGGCAGCGCATAGAGCGCGGATCGAATGCCACTGTGCTTGGATCGCACGCGGTCCACGACCGCCGCCGCCGCGTTGTATATGTTCATCGACCAATCAAATGTGAACCTTTGAAAGTTAACATTGATTATGGGAGGTAATACATATTCCACCAGAATCCTCGCCCAACATGGCCGACCAAATCACGCACATGCAGGAAGACATCCACAAGCTCCAGAAGATGGTTCATGCCCTGTTTGATAAGATGTACGGCCTCGTAGTGTGACGATAGGTCAGAGGACAAAGGACTGACGAGGATGGCGTTGTTCTAGTGAAGATGAGAAGTGCGAAGCAAGCGACGTCTACGGTGAGTTCGACGTTCATCCACGTTTGAGCCGTTTGAGAGACCCACGCGTGCACTATGCAGCTGACAAGGATAAGCTGGTGGAGCTGATCAATCGCCTCTGCACAAAGGTACCGCGAAGGTGTTGTTCGGTGGGGCCCATGTGTGCATAGATGGGCGATGCCAACATGCTCGAGCTCACAATTTCGCCTGCAAAGGATATTGGGCAAGATCAAATTCAGGTAGCGTACTCGATGGTTGGAACCCATCTACTTACGATGCTAAACTCGCACAGGAATTGAAAGAAAACATTGCTAAGCTGCAGTCGGAGCGTCAAAATTTACAGCGTCGAACGGCCGCCTGCGTCAAGGGCATTTATTAACACGGCTAACGCAGCACCTACAGGAAATGCCTTTCTTTGGACACAAGCTACCTGCATGTGGCATAATTGTGGAAGGCAGGTGGAGCTGCTTGAGTTTAATTAGCCGAACTGTGTTGTTGCCGTGTCCTTCCAGATTGAATTCACCCCATCCGGGACCACGAGTTTGACCGCATGCGGCGAGTACAATCCTGACGCGACAGATGACAAGGGTCTGCCCCTGTGCATTTCTCATCAGCTTTTTAGGAACCGCATACTGCCGGTCGTAGTCACCCCTGGCGATTCCATCACTCGAGCAAGATATGTTACAACGCTATAGCTCGTCCATGTCGGCAGCAACTGCAGGTGTCTTTGTCGAAGTTTTGGTCGACGTGTGGGCATTGCTTTTTGCTTTCTTTTGGACGTCAATGCGGGCCCGGATCGCGTTGAGCGCAGGGTAGATGTCGTTGTCCATGAGTGGGAGAAGCGCACGACGGAAGCTGTTGTACATGTCTGGGTTCAAGCTCTCTTCTTGGAACAGCATCTTCTTGACGCGTTGACGTTCCTTGGGCTGTTCAAAGCATGCAGGGCAGTTCTCGTTGATCACAGGCAGGCGCGACGAGTACGCAAAGTGCTTCAGCGCTTCCTCTCGGACGTACACGAGCGGCCGCAGGATTTGCACGTCGTTCGTGTCGTTCCAGTACTTGGCCTTCATCGTCCGGACTTGGCCGTTGTACATGGCGGACATGATAAAGCTCTCCGCGAGATCGTCCAAGTGCTGGGCAAGCACAAGTTTGTTGAAGTTGTGGGTGCGGCAGCACGAGTACAGCAGTCCCCGCTTCATGCGCGAGCAGTACGCGCACAGCGAGTCCCCTTCCATCTCGCACATCGCACGCTCCACGATGTTCTCGGACAGGTAATGGTACTCGACGCCAAGCGTGCGCATGTAGTCCTTGAGCGGACTCGGGTCAAAGCTAGGCGTTTGGGGGTCGACCGTCGCGCACGCGATCGTGAATCGGACGGGCGCGCGCTTCTGTAGCGTCAGTAAAATGTGCAACAAGCTCAGGGAGTCCTTTCCCCCAGACACGCCCAAGAGCAGTCTGTCGCCGTCCTGAATCATCTGCCACTGCATCATGGCCTGCCCCACGAGCCGCATCATTTTCTTGGGAGGCTGCGGGAACAGTCGAGTCGTCGTGACTTGCTGGGCGATTTTTCCGGTCGCGGCGATCGCTTGCTCGAGCCCTTGGAGCGGGTTCGTGCTGGCTGAGGGGTCGCGAAGCGGGTACTTCTCCGTCTTGGGTGCGATGAAAGGACACATTCCAGTGAGGCAAACCGGTTCAGCGGAGGGTGCCGACGAGCGAGTGGGCTCGTTGATGGCGGGTGTGGATGCGGGGGAGCCGTACAGGTGGGGCTGAATCGGGCCAGTCAAGTCTTGAAGTGGCATGGACTTGTCTCGGACGCTGGTGAGCACTTCCGATGGGTAGATGAACCATCGCAGTGATTCCTTGGACGTGTCGAGCATGCCGGCATGGCTCTGCGGTGTGCTGCTCCCCTCCGATAGCGCTTGCTCCGCCAAGAGTTTGGCTTGTGCCAAGTACTCGTGTAACGACGCGAGAGGCGGCGCGGGCTCTGCCGGCGGCACGGACAAGAAGGTGGCTTTGGACAGCCATTTCCGCGTCGGAAATTTCGTGAACCGCGTGCGGTGCTTCCACTCGCCCGTCTTGTGGTTGAATCGGTACTGCGGTAAAAATTTCCATCCGTCGGTCGCGACAAAATCGAGGGCCGCCAGGATGTAGTCCACTTCGGCATCGTCCATGATGTATGGAAAGCTGACGCGGGACATGCCGGGGCGCAATACTTCAGTCTTGTCGATGAGAGCGGCCTCCAGCGCGCGCTGGTGGGATTTCGAAATACCCAGCAGCCTTTGGCCGTACGGCCCGGCGCACTGACACCCGCCACGGGACTGGATGCCAAATAGGTCGTTCAGCAGAGCACACACAAAGTTATAGTGCAGAAAACGGGCGCCGGAACGCACGAGGAAGGAAAAGATCGGGAGGCGGTCGGCCGTCGAGTGCCTACCGTACACACAACCGCATGTGCTTACCAGAACTTTCCCAGACATGCCCTCTACAGGCAGCGTCTTACCCCAGCAAAACAAGGTGGCTGTGGTTTTGCAGCGCTGTGACGACTCGCTGGACATTGCGATGTTCGCGGGCTAGAATCGTCTGCGACCCGATGCGCTGCTTGATCTCGAACGCCAGACCAAGTCGAATGGACCCTAACGTGTCAGGGGTGCCGCCCTCTTCGCGCTCTTCTCGGTTGGACAAGTATCGATGATCTTCTTCGGTCACGTAAAAAACGGTGCCGCCACCAGGAGCCGTCGGAACGGCGTTCCCGAGGAGGCGCTTCTTCACCACAAGTACCCCCGGCGACCCTGGACCACCAAGGAACTTGTGACCAGACAAAAAGATCGCGTCCTTGTACACAAACGGTCGGGAATCACCCGCGACGACCGGATTCATATCGATCGGCACGTACGGCGCCGCTGCCGCGTAGTCCCAGAACGACAACGCTCCATGTTGATGCAGAAGACAAGCAATGGCGTCGACGTCCGTGAGAACCCCGGTCAAGTTGGAAGCCGCCGAGAATGATCCGATCTTGAGGGGGCGGTCAGCATACTTAATCAGTTCTCGCTTCAACATGGACACGTCCACAATGCCTTCCGACGTTTCGCTTATCTGAACGACGTCGGCAGAGCTTTCTCGCCACGGGAGCAAGTTGGAATGATGCTCAAACGGACCGACAAAAACGACAGGTTTCGGACGGCCATCCACAATGGGCACGTGCAAGCCGAGCGCCTGGACTAACTTCGCAATGGCACCAGTGCTTCCGCTTCCAGTGAACAGCACCACGTCCTCCGCTCCGCGACCAGTAATTTTGGCGTTCACGCATTGCGCAATGATTTGCCGCGTTTCATGGCGAAAGCACGTGGTTTGCAAACCTGTGATGGATGTGGTCGTGTGGGTGTTGCCGTACTGAGGCAGCACTTCCGTCTGCATGTAGTCCTCGATGCATTGCAAGGAGCGTCCGCTAGCCGTGTAGTCAGCATACACAAGGGGTCGCGTACCAAACGGCGTGTCAAAGGCGCTATTGTGGCCGATGACTGTCGATCGAATGTGGCGGAAAAGGGCTTCGCCTTTCAAGAGACCTGTCGCGTTGTCGTGTTCCGTGGTCGTGGCAGTCAAGTCTTCCTCGAGCTCGTCGCAAAATGCTCGCTCAGCTGCTTCAGCGTGAGCATGCACTGCGACCACGGCCGCCGGGGGCGCCGAAGTTTGGACGCCGTCGTCGTGCGCTGCCATGTCAAGTGGATTTGTTTGGTTGTTGACACCACTCGTGGAGAAACTCCAGTGATTGGCTCGTCTCTGGTGTTTTTCAAAATATCGCTCTTCTATACTCACATCAAGTTAACATTTAATCTTCGTATTTAAATCCTGTAACGTCGGCGAAACCGTTACCGTCATGATTCCTGTGCAAGATGGCTCGTGAGCGAGTGCCAGCGGCGGACATCGATGTGGCAATACTGACCAAGGAGCTCGAGGTTGGTGTATTAAGCCTACGAATTCATGTGCCCAGACACGGGGTAGATTGCGTTTGCAGAGCAGCTCATCAAGTGCACCAAGTCACTCCAACAGGAGGTGGTCGCAGACCGCGAAGGCGCGACAGCTACAACCCTGGAGTACCTGTTGGCGCAAGTAGACTAGTACGTTTGTGTGCATGAATTTCCTGAATGCATAGTCTCCTCACGCGACGACGTCAGCAAGTTGCTCCATTTCAAGCAAGAATTGCTCGACGAAGTGCACAAGTACCTGGAAGACAAGCCTCCGATGCAAGTACGTTCTTCCAACCTTTCTCACGTATGGAACTTGTTGCATTCAAGACGATACGCAAGCAGATTCATGCGCAGTGCGTCGCGGGTGACGTGAAAGAGGTGGAGATCAAACGTCTCCAACCGCTCCTTCTGATGTTGTCGTGTCGCGTAGAAATCTCCACTTGACCCAGCCGCCGATGTGGACAGCATTCGATCCGCAAGCCTCGTGAGCAATCCGTCCGAGCTCGAAGTCCTGGCTCAAAACCACCTTCCCTCGTCCGAAGGCGACTGCGTCCATCCGATCCATGCAATCCTTGAAGAAGGTACTATATCTGGAGCGATTGCCGCGCCCCTAACATCGACCGTGGCGTCAGCAGCACCGCCACGTGTCAACATCGCTGCATACATTTTGCAGTTCACACGTGTGCACGCTCCCGAGAAAGCCCTCTACGACTGCCACTCGGGGGAGACCTTGTCGTACGAAGCCCTCGTGGACGTCGTTGGTTGTCTGGCCCACAACCTCCACACGGTGCACGGGCTTTGTTGCACCGACATCATGTGGTTGCCCATGGTGACCCCCTCGCCCCTTCGGTACTGCCGTGCGACATGCTTTTCGCTTGCAGCGTTCCCTTTTCGTGTAGAACGTTCTTGGTCATACTTGCCGTGTGGACTCTTGGGGGTGCAATTGTTTGGTCGACATCGCCTCCCCCCCTCGCAACATGGACTTGTTTGGAGTCGACCGCCAACCGCTCGACAAAATCGTCACAGTCGGCAACGGACTGCCCCGGTGGCTTGGTGCTGCGTGTATGCGCTCACACGATGTTCATCGACGTGCCACTCATTCCAGCGACAGGTTCTGCGGCTTGACGAGATCATTGATCGCGACCAAACGCCGACGGACGTGTGGTACTCTGACCTGGTGGCCACGCCATCGACGCCATGGAGCGTTCACCCAGTCAAGGCGCCCCACGTACGTCATTTGGATTGCCGACGTCAGGATTGACTCGTTCCCTCGTTGTGTGTCGTCGACAGTGGGTCGTTCCATCAAAGGTGGCCATGACGGTGCAAGCGACCACGACCAGCGATGACGTGACTACGTTCGCGTACAGCCATCGCGACATCCTCGTGGCCTTGGAAACGTCCGTCGAGACATTTCGCCGCCGATTCCAGCATCCCCGCACGACGTTCTTGTGCTCGTTGCCCTTGGCCGCTCCCGAAGCCCTTACCTTTGCCATCCTTCCCAATCTGTTCTACGGCACCACGTTGTACTTTTTGCCGCCTCCACATCTCGCTGACCTTCCAAAAGCGCTGCGAGTCGCCCGGGTGGGCCCTTTTCACGTGTGTCCACTTCACGATACGATTTGTCCACGTAGCCAACGGTTCTCGTCACGACGAGTTTGCACTTGTCCGAGCTGGCCAAGGCCAACGACGCCGTTGCGTGCGTCGAGGAAATCGTGTGCATTGGCATGTCTGTCCCGAGCCTTCCTCGAGCACTACGAGCACTGCATACCCTCAGCAGCAAGTGGTGTCCGGATCTGAAATTTCGAAGGCTCTATGCATCTCCCGCGACTGCGGGGGTGTGCATGCAGGCTCCGCCGACGTCGTTTCCAATTCCCCCGACGCAGTTACGGGCGCTCGGGAGCGCTGTGTCCAACGATGTCCAAGTTTGCGTTCGAAGCCTCGCCACAGGCGTCGTGCTCGGCCCGAAGCAGGTACATGTATGCACCACAGCCGCTCGTCCCCCTTGTCTCAAATCTCTTATTTGACAGGTCGGCGAGCTGTGCGTGCAGCATCGCGACCTCAACCACGCAACAGAGATGTTTGCGACCAAGGCAATGGCGTATGTCGACATGGCGGGCCAGGTGCACGGCATCGGGTCCAAAGATGGCATTGTGAACTTGGGAGCCGAGTCCACGACGACGTTGGAGCTGGAGGAGGTTTTAGCGTCCCACCCGCTCGTCGACGATGCTGTCGTGGTGGTTGCTGCGAACGCTGGAAGCATGACGGCCTACGTCAAGCTCGCGCCGGCCGCCGCCACCTACATCGACGACGCGCTTCGCAGTGTGTCAATCTTCGCAGCCAAGCAAATACCCCCCGCAAAGCAACTCGGAGGAATTGTTCGAGTGCGGGACATCCATCGGGAGTTAGACGGCCAACCGAGTTTCCCCGTGATGCTGCAAGAGGCCAAGGCAATCAACTCATGCTCGTGATAGTCGACGGACCCCTTCTCGACGCGACTGAACTGGAGGAAGTGTTGTTGAAGATGTTGGAGTTTCTTTTTACCGAGAGATGACCTAAAAAAGCTAGATGTGGTATGCGTGGGTCGTGTTGGCTGACCACGACGCTGCTGACAGACTGCGACCGGTCGAGACAGCCGTGGCGGCCGGCGTGAGCGCCGCTAGCGGGGGACGTAGCGTCGGCAGGACGGACGACCCACCGCCATGACCATGATGTTGCTGGAGTGCCATCGGCGATGGTAGAAATGGTCTGGTGTCGTGAAATGTTTGCGGTGGTGGCACGATGCTGCTGAGCAGGCGGAGGTTGGAGTCTTGGGCGTCGGAAGAAGCGCCGGTGGGCGTGGGCGTCCGTTGGAGGGAACGAATGCGCTGTGTGATGAGTTCCTGTGGCATGGATTCCGACAGTTTATACTTGAGCGAGAGGTTGAGAAAGAGGCGCAACTCGCGGTTCCGGAAGAGGCCGAGAATGTGGTCGACTTCGTGAACTTTGGACGGGTTGAATCTGTAGTAAAAGTTGAGCAGTTTGTCGCGGTACGTAGCACCAGGAAACTGGTTGAGCACGGAATCGCACATGGATTCCACCGACCGGTTGGTCCCGTTTCGCGGCGTCGACGACGCGTGTCGAGGAGATGGAAGCGTGGGCCGGGCAAGGGACGGCGGCGGGTGCAAGTACGTGGGGTGAGATTGGCGTTGGCGTTGGTTTGCCATCGACGACGGCGGCGCAGTAGGAGGGGTGACGTGAAGGGGAGGGGTCGGTGGGACCATCGGCGGTGGCGCACTGTTGGTCGGTTGGCCTTCCTCCCAGCTCCGTCGACGTCGGTGGCCCACTTGACGTTTGGAGAGGGCGTCGCGGTGTTTTTGAAGGTACATTTGGACCTGCTGCGGGGACCGCGTACCAATGACCTTGGCTATATCGTGGTACTGCCCGTCATGGAAGATCGAGAGCGCATGCGTCAAGCGGTGGACTTCGTCTTGCGCCCACGGTCCTCTCGACGACGACGATGCTGAATAGGACGATACGTTGTTGGATGTCGCTACATCCACGACATCAGGGCGCCGTCGCCTCGCTACCTCGGTGTCTTGCATGAACGGGGAGTGCCGAGCGTCCCCACCGATCGGTTCGGAAATGAGACATCAAGCTCCACCACGAAGAGCAAGAAAGGTTCAGTCCAGTAGCTAGTAATACTAAGCCCTACCCCCACCACCGGAAGAGTACTATCCACAGAACCGGCGAACTTCGTGGCTGAGACGACTGTGGCCAGCGCGGTGACCAGGGCGGTGAAGTGAGGCGAGATCATACTTCTTCCCCTCGACTCTGGGGCCGCTGTCCAAGTGTAATACAGATAGCCAAATGCCCCCAGCAGCCGATGCGTGAAACGAGGCGTCGCGGCCTTTTCAACGCGGTGCTTAGAAAAACGACCGCGCCTCGAGGTTGTGTTGTTCGTGTGCTTTCTCTTCGTTCGTGGACAGTTCTTCGACGAACGCCTCCGACTCAAACGGTGCCCTGGACGCCGAGATCCGCAGGGGGGAGTGATGCCTGGCATGGCTGAAATACTCGGCGGAATTCGGGGATCGAATCCACGCCCTGTGGGCCACATCCAAGAGAGGATGCTCTCTACTGAAGTAAAATCCGTCCCTTTTTTTGTGACCATGGCGGTGTCGGCCGGGCTGGCCCTTTCAACGGTATGCATGCATGGCAGTGCTGCGGCGGCGAGTACGAATCCCTCGTCGCGATCGAGTTCGTGCGCGTCATGATACACTGCGATCAAGAGTCAAACACGATGCCTCGCGCATGTATTGCGATCCTCCATGTCGTCGTGATATGGCAACTTGTCGGTACGCCAGTCACCATTCCAAACGACACGAAGTCAACCGCTGCTTGTCACGACGGGGGGAAGCGGAGGCACCAGCAGCGAGCGACAAGGGGCTGTAGCTGTCATGGGTTTCCGGCGAATTGGACGGCGGCATCCAGGATCCATAAAAATATCAGGCCGACTTTCTCACCCACGAAAGTTCTAAATTGCGATGGGTGCGTGCGGGAACCGTCATGAAAGGGGGCGGCCACCACGTCCAACGAAATGGAGACGGTTGGAAGATTGTGGTCGAGTGCGCTACGAGAGGCCACTAAAACGAGGCGAGAGCGATGGACCACCGCCCTTATCGACCGACGAAAACGAACGTGTGGCAGCCGACACGCCTCCAAGCCAAGGGCCAGGAAGTTTGCCCGTTGTGAAGTATGTTCCAAGAGAACTCGCCATACCACCACCTGGTGCTTCTGACGTTGTTATGTGCTGGTCTTGTACCTAGTCCAGCGATACGGCGGTTGCCTCGGTCGCTTCATGCGGCCAGCTCCACCCGCTGAACACACACCATCGATTGCGGCAGCCACGAGGGCACCAAGAATACCGATCCAGGGCATTGCAATGACTGTAGACGAACGGAGCGGAGCGCGTTTGTGGGTTTCCACACAACTTTTGTAGATGGGGCTCGGGAGGCCGAAGCATGGGGGGGAACGGGGGGAGCGACAAATTGTTCCTTCCACAAGAGTACAACACAAGAACGGTGCTATCGTGTGGTTGCGCCGCCGCGGGGGGAAGGAAGGGGAGCTGTCATCGGCGGGGGGTTGGGGCATGCATCCCCTTCCAAATCAGCAATTGCGCTCGTACAAGATGTTCGATAGATATCACGTCAAGTGTTAGAGCGCGTTGTGGTTGTGGCCAGAACATTTGTTAGGACGTGATAATGGTGGCAGGAGCTTCGAGAGAGAAAGCATCCACATGTGTACAGTGTGCCGTTAAACGGAGCAAGGCACATTATAAATTCCAGTAATCCATGCTGACGCCGTAAACCTCACGTCGCACCAACGACGGTTGTCAACGCGTCCTTGCAGCCCACGTTTGAATCTCTTTATCGCGGCTCTTTGACGAAGAGATCGTGTGCGACGCAAGGGAGGTTTTGTGACTTGATGGCGTTAACAAACGCGAATGCGTCTCTCTCGATCTGCTTGGGGCTGGAGAAACCAGTGGTTCCCTCTGACTGGACCTAAACCCCACGCTTGCGGATGGATCCCGGTACGACTCGTGAAACTTGCCAGTATGGGACACACAATCTGCGTGGTGGGCCGATTCGCAGGCTTACCCGTCGTCCCAACCAACGTATATGGAGCGTGCTTGATATCGTTGCGGGCGTTCTCTCGACCTGGAAGAAGTCGAGCGCTTCATCTCTCTATGTTGTGTGTGAACACAATGCCACAAACCAATTCGATGTTTGTTCGCCTGGCGAGGAATGAGATTCCCAATGCTCTCGCCGCGACGGGACTCACGACTGCTGCCTTCCCGTGTGCGATACTCGAGAGGATTTCGAGACAGCCAGCGTCCCCGCCAGTATTAGTACGTGGCGGCGACCCTCACCACGACCGTCCTCCACAAAGTCTACCTGACACTGACATTACGTAGCGGCAACGTTGCTCCCTAAGTCACCGTGAGTGCTTTTGTGTCTGAAGACAAGTGAGAGGCAGAGCATTGTTGCGGCTAATGATGCCGGGATGCTCACCATGTCGCACGTTTGCGTTCGCCCATTCGCCTGACGGTCTTGGGATCTTGGAACGTCACGCTCGATGATTGGCTGCTGGTTTTAGCAATTGTCAGAACATGCCGAGGACATGCAGCTTACGTTTTGTATGAATTCTGAAAATGTTACGAAAATAGAGACTTCTTCTTTTGTCAATATTTGAGACTTCTGATTTGATAAAATGCGGATTATTAGGCCAATGAAATCGTTCGATGCGTGAAATCGAAGTATTCGAGCCCAAAGTCCAACCTGTCGCCATGTCGACATACGCGATCCAGGGCATCGTGTTCTTCTTGACGCACCCAAGCCTCTGGCTCACGCTGCTCTGCCCGACGATCATGACTATTGTTGTCGCTCTGTGCTCTGTGATCGGGCTGTTTGCTATTGCGCTGTATCCAACTGCCGTGCTCTACAAGCACGTTGGACTTCCTCCAGTGTGGGCGTGGGTGCTTGCGGTCGTGACTGTGCTTGCCGAAGTCTTCCTCACTACGCTCATCTACTCGTTAACGTGCTCGGGATGCTTTGTCGACAAGGTCTTTGAAAAGGTGTTGGTCATGCGAGGCCATGGTCGCGTCGTCGAAGAAGCCGAGGTCCGTGCGCGCTGCTGTCGGCAATGCAAAGCATGCTGCAACGTATCGATCTGGCTGCGTCTAGTCGTGCTGGTCGTGACGCTGCCTCTTCATTTGATCCCGATTCTCGGCACGATCGCGTACGTGTGGCTCAATGCCAGCCTCAAGGGATGGGAAGCCCACTTGTACTATTTTGAAATGAAGGGGTACCGATACGAAGAGCAGAAGGCCATCTTTGAGAAGCGCCGCCTTCAGTACTCCTCGTTTGGGATCCAGTGCATGTACTTGGAGCTCATTCCATTCTTTGGCTTTTTCTTTCTGCTTACGAATGCCATCGGCGCTGCCCTCTTTGCCGCCGACATGGAAGACGAACTCCAGAACGGCAGCTTCGCCGTGAACCCCCACAACACTGGTCTGCCCGAAGAAAAGCAAATGTTCGTGTGACGTGTTTTTATCAAGGCACCGCGGTGTGGCACCAAAGACAGGCACTCATAACTACACGGTTTACTCGACCAAATGCGAATTTACTATGACGCGCCTTTTCAATTGGTCAAAACTACGCGATTTGAACGACTTTGATTGGCTGTCGAGTGTGAGGGAGGCCGCGTGAATTACATCGAGGTCGTTAGTTTGTTGTTGTCGTTGGAGTGCAATGACGACGTACGCAATCCGAGGACTCATGTACGTGGTGGCCCAACCGAGTGTATGGATGGACTCGTCGCTGGCGCCCATGGCAGCGACAATCGCATTCGGTATGTGTGTAGCCGGGGGTATCGTGGCGGTGGGGTTGCACCCGCAAGCGTATCTGTTCGAGCGAGTTGGCCTGCCCGCCGAGTGGGCAGTCGTCTGCGCGATTGCCGCCGTGGTTGTCGAGGTCTTTCTGACCACAGTGATCTATTCGCTGCTATTCGCGCCGTGCTATGAGTCTATCGTGGTTAAGAAGGTCCTTGAAGCGCGTGGCCATTTCATGGACATGGCAGCACCCTGGGCCACCCTTGATTCGGATCACCCTGCCAGGTCATGCTGCCGGCGAAGAGTGCGATGGAAGCTGGCGGTGTTGATCGCGTCGATTCCATTGCATTGCGTGCCTGTTGTTGGTACAATCGCGTTCGTGTGGCTCAACGGAGGCCACCTGGCCGGGTGGGACCCCCACCAGTGCTACTTCGACTTGAAGGGGTATTCCGTCACTCAACGAAAAGCAATCTTTACCAAGCACCGTGACACGTACACATCGTTGGCGACTCAGTCGATGTGGCTCCAAGCTATCCCGTTTGTCGGGTTCGTCTTTACGTTTACCAACACTGTCGGCGCGGCCCTGTTTGCAGCGGATCTCGAAGATGAACTCATCACGCAGTCCCAGTCCATGTATGGATCGTTCCACACCATCAACAAAGAGAAGATGTTATACATTTAATGAGAAATTGAAGGTCGACTGGATGTGTGACGTTAGCACCGATCAAACTCGCAAGAAAATCCCAAACAACACGGTGTTTGGCGCAAGCGCATGCAGTCTCGCGCGTCCGCAAAATGTTGCTTTGTATAGATCAGAATTGGAGAGAGTCGGGGGGCCATGGGCATTCTCGGCTGCAATCGTATTCGACCGCACAACGCTAGTCCTTGAAACTCAGTTCCTTGGAGCATCATAATCGTCCGTCCTTTCGACGTCATTGCTTTCATTGACGGCTGGCTTGCGACACGTCGCTGAGAGAGGGTCCACGGTCATGATTCCAAGCACGATTGTCTCAACACACTGTTCGTACGGCCAGTTGCTTGGAGCGCGTGATGCGACATTGCGTCTATCAGTGTGGATACAGGGAAAGACTGCTTCCCGAAGATTGCATTTACGTCGATATTTATCCAATAACATTCAAATACCAAGAGAGTCGACTTCCTATTGGCAGAAAAGAGTTCCCGCAGGTCAAAACAGGAGGCGCACACTATCGCCAAAAATGTGGAAGCACTGGAACTGCTCAAGCCATATTAGTCGCCGCCATGGAGCTTGGAGCACCAAGCGCCGTCGACCCCATCGAAAATGGAATCTATGATGAAGGTGAAGCTGCTATTCAACTGGACTGACCTAACGTTAGCTAGTTTGCCGCTGACGTCGTCCAAAACGGGGCGAGGTACATGAGCGATGCCAGGGCTTGATCCTTGGACACCGTGGTAGGGTCCGCCGCCACGGATTTCAGCACAGTCAACGCAGTAAACAGCAGCGGGTGCATGTTGTTGTGGTAAGGCAGCAGCGCGGTCGCGAGCGCGTGCAACTCGGGGTGCGCTGTCCTGTGGACGAGCAAGTCGGCGACAGTCACGACGACGAGATTGTGCAGCCGGGGAAAGACGTCCGGGAAGAAGGTCGTTCCGCCGACCCACGCGTGCAGTGCAGTCGATTCGCACCAAATCTGCAAGGCGGCAACCGCTTGGGGCACGATCGACGCGGGGGCGGACAGCGTCCCCGTTCGCACAAAGTACCAAGTGTACAATTGCACAGTCAGCGCACGCTGCTTGAAATAATTGCCGCTCTCGGCTTCAAAGATCTTCTGGCATAGAAGGAGATGCGACGTGTCTTGGAGGCACTCGGTGAGCCACGGCACGACGGTGGTCGACATTTCGAGCATTTCGTGGACGTGGGTGTGCAAGGCAGGGGACGCAGCGAGCGACGATTGTTTGGAGAGGTACTCGATGGCTAGGGGAAGCATGACCATGTCGGACGTCTGGCTCAAGGACCCGCCGTGCGAGATAGCCTCGACTGCCGCCAGTCGAGCGACGTCCCGCACGTCCACATCGTCATCTTGCAATAGGTCCAACACAGCGATCCACGTGGGAACGGCCACCTCGTTCCGATCAAGGGAGCAGAGGACATGTGAACTCTGCACGCTCTTGGCCGTCGCCAATCGCACAGCCAGCGGCTTGTTCTCGTCGCTCAGGACAACCACACGTTCGACAAACGCTGGTAAAACGTGCGGTACGAGGTGCACCACCAGCCCGAGCAATTCTAAAGCAGGTGCAGTGGCCTGCGGATCGACAGACTCCACGGCCAGCCCCAAGATTCGGTCGACAGCCCCCGAGACCGACACCACGACGGAAGCGTTGCTGGTGTTGGACTTGAGCAATGCACAGAGTAGCGTCAGTTGCCGCGTCCACGTCGGCGGGTGCGTTTCGTGCACCAGCTGGACACTCAGCGCACGAACGACATCAGCCATCGACGACGTCCACGAAAATTCGTCGAGACGGTCCGAGAACTCACTTGTGGTGCTTCGGCGCAGTTCAAAGACTGGACTGGTCAACCCTCGGAGGAGGGCCGGCGCTGCTGACTCGTCTTGGATGGCTGCGCGGACAAGGCATGATGCGACTCCTTGAAGGTACAGATCTTGGCCAGGGGACGCAACTAGAGTTAGTTGGAATTGACTGGCAGAGTCGCAGCTCGAATACAAGAGCGGCCACAGCACCGAGTTGAAGTTCGATGCCGACAATCTCTCAAAAACTTGCAATGCCAAGAACACAAACACCCCACGGTTGGTTTGACAACGCAGCGCCAGCACACGTGGCAGGACGACAGCCATCTCGGCGTCCAACTTCTGCATCCACGACGACTGCCCCCCGGACAACGGCGGGCGATATTTCTTGACAAGGGCATGCAATTGAAGCATTGATCCATGCAGCTTGTTGTTGCTACAACGAGGGTTTTGTAATGCCTCGACAAGGGTCGCGGCGACGGCTGGGATCGAAGCTGGAGCGACAATCGCCGCCAGGGCATGCGCGGCCATCCGGCGATGGAAAATATGCGACTCTTCGGCACATGCCATGACGAGAGGGACGAAGGTGTCGAGTGGAAGGATATCTGACATGGTCGAGGCCTCATGCTGGTCAGCCACATCGTCGGGACGCAGACGGCTCAGGAACAGCAGCAGTGGGTACACTTGGGCCTTCAAGTGCTGCAGCAAAAACGTGTCGAGGCCCTTGCATCGCGTAAATACGTCTTGCGCAGATACACCGACGGCAGCAGCGCCGTCCGCGACTTGTTTGTCTCCGATCGCGCGTTGCGTGGCCGCTGCAAAGAGCATCATGGACGAGTTCCGGACAGCCCACGATGTCGAAGCAAAGCCATGGACGGCGACGGTGAGCAGTTGTGGAACAAACACGGCCATATCTTCGGCAAGAATGGCATCTTGTCCTAGCAACTTGAGAATGTTTAGCGCATGCACGCGGGCGCGCTCGACCGTGTTGGCATTCCTGGCCAGACGCAAGAGGGTGTAGAGGACATTCGGCAGCAGAGTCGCCGCGGCATTGCGAGGCTCGGCGCGCAGAATGGCCACAAAGCTGCTTGCAAAACCGGCGCTTCGACGGAGGATGAATTGTTGCTCGGCATGTTCCAGGCGGTGCAAGAGCACATCGCACCACTTGGCCGGACACTGCGCCAACGTTCGCCGAACACTATCCGACGACAAGCTCGCCGACGCCGTGTGGGTCAGCAGGGCCTTGCAAATGTCTTCGTAGGCCACTGCCACAGTTGCTACGGCGCCGCCGTGCTTGAGCTCGAACAACGCATTCAACAGAACGTCACCGGCGCGTTGTACAGACGCCGCAGTCGTTGGGGTGTCCAGAAGGGAAGGTGTGGTCAGCGCGGCTTTGACGAGGGTGGCCAAGACTGCTGCCGTTTCGCGCGCGGCGAGCCAGCTGCCGACCACAGCGCGTTGCTCAGCGTCTCCGTCGGCCATGTCAGGGTCATCCAGAATCAAATGTCCTCGGCAGTCGACTTTGGCCCGGAGAGGGGGGATTGCCGACACTTCACCCACCACGGCGTAGGTCGCGTCCAGTGCTTGGGTACCTACACCAGAAGTTGCATCTCCCACAACAACTAGCGCAGTGTCGAGCGCCCGCCACAATACGGAGAAGAGCGCTACCACAGTGGCGTGCCACGTGTGGTCCATGGACGGTGTATCTTCGAGCATGTATCGTGTGGCCAAGAGCAGGCCATGAATCAACGGGGGCTCCCCGGGGACGTTCCCCGCTTCCAGTTTGTCCAGTCGCGTGGACAGCAGAGAGATGATGTGGCCAACACAAGATTGTTGGGTGCGAGGGGCTGGAAGGAACGTGAGGTGGTCGTGCTGCTTGTACAAGAGGCGCATGAAGTAGGCGCCTGCGTCGCTCTCACGCTGGCGAGGGCTGCAACACAGTGTGACGGCCCAGTCAAAGAGGGCGTCCAACCCGTCGTCATATCCAGGAAGTGGGGACGGGAACGTTTCCAGGATCGAGAACGACAGGATGCGAACACGGTCCCAGCAACTGATCATGGCGTTCAAGAGGGCATTTGTGATAGCGGGGGAGTGCAACGTCGCTGGTTTGTCGAAAATTTGCGTGTACAATTGAAGGATTTCAAGGCCCATAGTGAGCCGCTGGGGAGTCGCGCTCGGCGTAATGCAGCTCACAACAAACTCTTCGAGCCATGATGTAAAGCGCAAGACCGGGCTGTCCGAGGTCGCAGCGCCGTCGCGGCGACACGTCTTGCGGCCGCCTTCGCGAATGCGAAGCAAGATCGCTTTGAGCCCAATGATGAGTTTCATCCGGAGCGAGGCGGCGATCGACTTGGAGCTCGACAGCAGGAAGGTTTGGATGAACCCAATATCCGACTCGGATGGAAGTGACGTCGTCTTGAGATTGGTGCACAGCATGTCGTACGCGGACATGCGAATGTCTCCCGAAGCATGCGTCAACCCAAGGGTGATCTCCGCCGACGTCAATGCCGGTGGTTCCATCATGATCTTGCGGGCGCACTTGACAACCTCGAGCAGAGTCCACAGCCGAGCGTCCGAGTCTACATAACAAGTACACCATGAACAAACGTAGGATGTGCACCGGCCTTACCAGTACGGGTACGAGCAGCGTCCAGCAGGATGGCGACGCTGGCAGGCTCGGCCTTGACCAGGATTGGAACCACGTACGTGGCAATGCGAAGACGAAGATGAGTGTCAGAAGTCACAAGGCTATCGACGACGACATCCACCCACCACTTGCTCCAGGCGACAAGGTCGGGCGCGTGAGAGTTCGACCCGCCTACCTCTCGGAGCGCCTCCAAGAGCTGGACAAACAATGACGCGGCCGATGCGGCGACTTCTTGGTTGCCCACAGCCATTAAGACACCATGTAGAAGCGTCGGGTGCTGCTGGAGTAGCGAAACCGTGTCCAGCTTCGGCAACAAGGTGCACAGGGCCACATACTTGCTGCGATGGTGTTCGGGCTGCTGCAGCAGGCGGTTGAGAATGCCGGTCCAGTCGAAAGTAGCGTTCAATGCGAGGACGGTAACAACGTGGGCGAACATAGGTGCCATGAACTGGTTGATCTTCTTGGCTGGGTGCTCCCAGTTGAGCAGAATCGTGTCGAGCAGCGCATACATGGTGTCCATCGTCAGCACCAACACAGGCTGCTGGACGACACGTCGCAGGAACATTTCCAGCACTTGGAACGCATACATCCTCACAGTCAAGTGGGCGCTGTGGCAGTGAGCCAGGACCGTCGTAAACAGGACTTCCACGAGGGGTATGCGCGACGGTGGCTCTTGATAGACAAACGACTCGTCCGTGATGCTGTTGAGGAAGCCGCGGTACAGCGCGAGCTGCGGCATCGCCGACAGACTCGCAATGGTGTCCGCTGGCATCAGGGGCAGTGCACAGCTGCCGTCCCCCAGCAGCCAAGACGACATGGCCCGGACGTACGTAAGCTCGGCGCCGTGTGCCGCGCTGGTTTCGCGCACGTGTACCTTGAGAAGAAGTGTCGTTGCGAGCCCAACCGTCGTGACGAGATCTTTGTGAACAGCCGACGTCGCCAAGAGTACCAGGCTCTGCAGCACAAACTGTTCCAAGGTGCTAACAAGGGCAGAAGAAGTTGCATCGGACGACGGTATGCGCCCCATGAGACGGAGACTCGATGGCTTGTCGACTGCCGTGCACAAAATGATGACACTCTTCAGGACGCCCAGGCAGCGCTCGGACGCGACGACGACTTCGGACGGTTGAGTGTTGCCATCGGTGTTCTCGTCGTTGTCACCAGCGTCCGCAGAGGCTACATCATTTTGATCGTGGTATGCTACAATAGGCGCCGACAGGAGGCGCAACTGGTCGCTGCAATGCTGGACCAACTGCACCAAATGCGGTGCCTTCAACGTGTGGTGGAGAACCCACAGGGCATCAGTCGCAGTAGAGTATTCGCACAGAGCAAGAACCTGGTCCAGAGGAACGATGGCATCCACGTCGGAGGATGGGTTGAAGAGAATGCCGTCGAGGAACCTAGTGACTTCGGACACGACAATGTCGCCGAGGCTGCTGCCCGTGGACGCGACGAGGGCAGAGAACGTGACGTCGTAGATCGACAACGTATCCAGGATGGGCAAGATTGTTTTGCGCATTGCTTTCATCGACGGATGAATGTACAGGCGAAAGATGAACCGGAACGTGTCAAGGGACACTTGCCAGAACGTGGACTGGGTTTCGGAGGGCAGAGCTTGAATAGTCGCAGCCGCCGTGATCACGAGCTTGAGGTGGGACCGGAACAACTGCAAGACTTTCAATTGCGCGTACGTGTCTGGCGCTTCCACGAGGTTTCCGTGCAGTTCCTCCAAGTTGAGCTCCAAGTGGGCGGTGGTGTCCGGGGCGGTCGAGATTGCCAGCCTCACCGACCCCGACGTCGGCAGGTCAATGTCACGGATGTCCACAGGCAATGGTAGCGTCGCGCTGGCAAGACCTCGTGTCTTGACCAAGCAGTTGACAGTCGTCTTCCTCTTCTTCCGCACCATGCTGAAGTTGGCGCAACAACCACTGGCCGCAGGTGCCACCCAATCCTTGTGTTTGATTGGTTCAAATTAACTTATTTCAACCAATCATTCTCTACCATCGACCACCTAGCGTGACTGCTCAAGATCCGATCGAAGCACGGGCTACATGTCGGTGCTCTCGAACGAGAGGTCCATCGTCAGGCTCAGCTCGTTCGTCTCTGACATGGTCTCTTCGGCAAGTGGAGGCCCCACTGCGGCGTCGTGCAGCGACGTGCGCGTAACGAGGCTCCTGAGTGCCTCGTCCAGCATGAGAGCGGCGGTGGCATCTTCCGGGTCAAACGACAAAGCCTAGCCAACACCACCATCAAGATCAATACAACGGCCCGATATATGGACGAACTGTGTGGTAAGACTCGATAGCGTCGTCCAAGCGATTTTGCATGTGGTAGGTGAACCCAAGGCCAAAGTGGGTCGACGCCTGGTGTACATGAGCGACGTGACCGCATCAACCGACAACGTACACTTGTCGGACACAAGGCCAACGCTTCTTCGTAATACTGAATCGCGACCTTGTACTCCCTTTGCACGAATGCGCTCACGTTGAGAAACAACTTCATTTGAGCAACTCGCACCGTAGCTTTCGGTATGCTTGGGCCATGTTGAAAAAGGTAGGTTCCCATGCCACAAGCAACGCCTACCACCATCAACATTGGCATCAGAATTGGTCCAGCAACTCGCATGTGTCCATTCGATATCCGCACGTAAATCTTGTACCTGTGGCAAATGGCCGCATAACGTCAGCGCTTTCGAGAACATTTCAATCGCGGCGCGGTACTTGCGTTGGCGAAAATACACTGCGCCGAGCTCATTGTACACAAGTGGATCCGTCGGACACACCGTCCTCGCTTGAACGACGAGCTGTAATGCCGACGGCAGATTGTTGATGCGATAGTGTTCCATGCCCATGCACAAAAGTGGCAAGTGACAGCCGAGGTAGAGCCGAGAGGCCGTGCGATACGACGCCATGGCTTGGTCGCTCTCGTCTTGGAGTGCAAATACATGGCCAAACCCAAGCCACGCCGGGGCAAACTGCGGCTGGACGTTGGTGGCTTTACTACACACAGACGCCATGACATGCCATGGAATCACACGGATCGAAGTCAAGGACGACGCACTGAAAGAAGCGTTGGGCAGCGTCGAGATTTCCGACAGCAAGGTAGTAGCAACCGACGGTGTACCACGAGGTTGCCTTAGTCGGATACTTTGCGACCATGTCATGGGCAAAGTGGAAGAGATCGCTTCGTTTGTTGAGTTGCACCATCGTACTGACGTACACCGGGATTGATTTGTAGTCGAAAGGTGCGTCGGTTCGTATTCTAGATAAGGCGCCATGTCAGACGAGTTGGCTAGGTCGGCGTGAACGGCTACCGTCTGCAGATCTCGTAGGCTTTCTCCGTGTCGAGCTGGCAGTAATACGCTTCGGCTTTGGCCACCATCACGTCCAAATTTTTCTGAAGGCCATGGACTGTTTCAATTGTGTGGAATTTTTCTGGGACCGGCGGCGACGGATCGTACTGACAACGACGAGTAAGCGCAAGATGCATCAACTTCAAAGGTACCCGGCCGAGCTGCGACGCGTAAAAGCACTTGAGGTACTCGTCTTCCGGGCCAAGGAACGAAAGGGACTCGAACAAGTGGCGTTCCTGGGCCGACGATAGCATGTAGTCGTCCACGAGATGCATAAACGCCTATGTCGAGGGATGAGCGTGGAGATGGTGGAGACCCACCAAGACGCACATCGCAACAGTGAACGTCGCATTTCAAAGCCAGTGAATACCAAAAGGCCGCTCGTTCGCGGCTCTCGAGGGCCTCGCAAACGTCGCCACGTAAGCAACAGAGCGATGCGACGACGTTGATGTGGGACTGGGGATGGTCGGCGTTTGTGGCGACAGATCGCCGAGCAGCTTGCGCCTTACGAAGAATGTGATCTTCGCTGCCAACGAGAACCGCGTCAAGCATTTCTTGGCAATCTTCCCATTGCAAGATGGCTATCTAGACATGGAATGTGACGCAAGATCACGGAAAGAACGGGGAGTACGCACCGTCGCTTGGCCAAGGAGAAGGTAGGCACATAACAGAGCATGTTCGTCTGGAAGTGCTGCCCGAGATATCTTCGTTTGTTGTCTCAAACCAGGAGTGTGATGTCCCTTGTGATCAGGGCCGCTCTGTGTCAGTTGCTTCAAGGTGTGAATGGCTTGATGGAAGTCTCCCGTGGCGTAGTAACTCCTTGCCAATAGCATCAAGTCCAGCCCATCTCCAGTCATCGATGCCAATTTGCTCGCGTAAAACACGGCGCTAGATTGTTGGTTGGTAACCAAACACGATTGCACCATGAGTCGCAGGCTTTTCACCGTCTTTGTTTGCATGTCGTCCGCAAACAAGGTTCCACTTGACGATGCCCTGCGGTTAACAGGCGTTTCTGGAGTCGCGTGCATTCGAAGCTTCTGCTTCTTTGCTACAGGAGACGTGAACATGATGTCGCCGCGATGGGCCGCCGCTGATTGCACGACTGTATAAAATGCTGCAAGATTTTCCTGCCATGTGACAACCTCAATTCATCTTGCGTTCATTTAATGACTTGAAATTTGTATATTTCATTGTGGTTGCTTGGATTGAACATCCACTCCATAATATTATACAATTCAAATCGCTTTGGTCGCGCGAGGAACGCTTCCGTTCCAATTCGACGCTGCATGGGAAATCGGGAAATCCTCCTGGCGTGGACACACACGATCATGGGAGAACTTCTCCGTCGATGCGATGCATGGACGCATGGTCATCTTGATCACAAGTGGTGTTGGCGAGCCAAGCTTGTCAAGGCTGCAAGCCTGCTCGCACCAAGCCATCTTTCAACACCTGGTTTGCCTCAAGAACTACACGAGAAAAGGGTTACGATATCGACCAAATACGTGGATTTGACGAAGGATTGGTGGCGTTCGTACCTCCTTGCGCTCCCGCAATGCACGGCGCGCCCATTCGATTTCACGTTGAATGTCTGTCGGTGTCATTTGCAGCAAAATGTGTAGCTGCATATCTCGGTCAAGTACTGAATTGGCTGGGGAAGATATGATGACCAAACTGATAGTCTGCATGAGAGGACCACCCACCTGGTACGACGGCAACTCCAGGCGATGGCGACTCAGCTGTCCCCACTTGAGCCTCCTCAGCTGTTGCATGGCTAGCTGCATCGCAATTTGCGCTGTCGGATGCATGAAGTAACTCGACGGCAGTGCTGTACGGGATGGGCTCCATTGCCTCGGGCGCGCTGAAGTTGCTGGCAGGATCGTTCACATGGGAGAGATTCTCTGGTTTTGGCGACATTTGCCCTTCTTCGTCTTGTCTGTCGGCGTTTGTGCGAATTTCCGAGTTGATCTTTGTTTCTCTGCCATTGCCACTTACTTGACATGGTTCAACTGGCGAAATCGGTGGTGAGGATAGCTGTGGGTCGTCTTCGACGGTTGATACGTCGGCATGGACGCCAATTCCTTGAGTAAATGTCGGTCGGCATAGTATGCGCTTTGCCTTCCATTCGACCACCGTCGGTTCGCAATGCAGCAGCAAGTGGATGAAGTCGTCTCCTTCCAGTTCACGGAGAATCGCCTCGTATTCGCTTCTTGCCTTGGTCACTATCTGCATGCGAACTCTCCATCCACGATATGCCGCCTGGGCGGAGTCATGTTAGCATCATATCTTAGCTGGTCTCTGACTCGTAACTTACTTGAATACGCACACACGGGCGATGGACCTCGACATTGTGGCGCGGCTCCCGCGAAGGTGCCGCCGTCATCTTCGCACAAATTCACGATCTTGAATGTGATTGGGTATTCAGATACACGCATTTGATTGGCTCACTACTCGTCAAAGCAATTATGGCCCCGCAGGCAGCGTCGGCGTCGCTCAAGCCGTTCCTGGTCAAGTTGGTGCCGCTCTGCTTCGTCGCTGGCGCGTGCATGGAGCTCTTCATGGTCAAAACAGGGTTCTGTACGAATACATGCGCCTGGATGTCGTGACGGGTGTACTGAAAATCTTGTGTGTAGATGACATTGTGACGAAGAACGAGGCGGAAGTCCGAGCGCAGAAACGCGCCGAACGGAACGAGTACCTCCGCCAGCGCGAGCAAGCACACAATCCATCGCGATAAAGAATCGGATTACAACTCGTTCTATCACATCTATCACACATCTGTTCGAAACGATGCAAATGCTGCGTGCAGTTGGTCGAGCTGTTCGCCCAACGTCGATGTGCGCGTGATCGCAACATAGTCATCTGCAATCGCATGGGATCGACTGCCTGGTGCTTTATGTTGGGTTGGTGAAGGAGTAGGTGGCTGGATAGCTGCTTTTGCCTTCAATTTCTTTCGCAAAGCATCGACAATGTCCGTGTTGTTGGACGTCCGTGTCGCCATCGACGACGCAGCAGTTTTCTCTGGAGCCCCCTTGGAGTGCACTTTCAATGAAGCAGGCTGGACCTCTCGTGGCATGTACAGATGCGTCATACAGTCTGCGCGGCAGTCGGACAGTTGCGCTTTCAAAGCCTATTTGATTGTATTACCCTGGCAATGCCAGCAACGAATTGACCAGGACGCACTTGGTTTTCCTGCGTGAGGTGTTGGAGGTCGACCTTGAGCTCTCGAAGCAGGGATAGCGATGGGTCTTGGTAGTCCATCTACGCCGATGCTTAAACGTGGCGAGAGACGTCGAGGCGTACGGTTTGGCAGTTTTGCAAGAGCGCGACTTTGATCGCTTCGTGGGTGTGCAGTTTGACTTGGTGTTGGACCGCGCGATCGAGAAGACACGGGAATTGCCGCACTGCCATGATCGCATCATCCACCTTGACGTTGTGGGATTTCGGGAGGTGGCTCTGGACAGCTTGAAATGCATCCCAAATGGCAGCTTCCAGTTGCTTTGAGTGAGTCTGCATGACGTCGAGATGCCGTCGATTGTCGTCACTGGCGGTAGCCATGGCGCTTTCGTGATCGGCCACCTAAGGTGCATTGCATGACCACCACACATCGTACAACGACTCATGCGAACAACCTGCTGCCTCAACCTAGCGCACTCCTCGACTAAAGCGTCGTGAGCTGCCAAGTCCATCTTGGCCGCGGTCAAGTCGGCTTGCAATCGTCCGTGTGCCGTTGTCAAGTCGTTCCATTTGGCTTGGCTTTCCGCGAGTTCCTTCAAGGTTGCGTCAAGGGCATGCTGTGACGACGACTCTTTCGAGCGCATATCTTTCAATTCTTCCTTTGAAATATCCAGGCGAGCTATCAGGTTTTTAACTTGCACCGCCAAGTCCTGCCGCTGATCGTCCGCGTTTGTGAGCTACCCTTAGACTGTCAAGTAACCTGCTACATGACATACGAAGCGTGACACCTACTTCAAGCTTGAGGGCCTCGATATCAACTTGCGCCGTGCGGAGCGACTGGAGGCATGTGGTATAACTTTGCTGGAGCTCGTCGACCTGCTCGCTGGCTTCGTTTGCAACGGCAGTTGCGGCCAAGTATTGTTGCTCGGCCTCTACTTTGGCGCGGGTCGTCTGTAGGAATCGTTCAGTGAAAGCAATAGCTGATCATGCGTGGAGGTAGCACCTGCTGCAGTTCGTCGTGGAGCTGGAAAGTCCACTGGCGCATCATGTCCAGCTCTGTTTGGATAAGAGCGGCGGACGACTCGAATGCATCTCGCGCAGCGACGAGGTTGAATCGTTCGCGTTTCCACGACGTGTCGACCGTCGATACATGATGGATCAGTGTGTCCACAGCCACGAAAACTTGGTGCAAATACGACGAAAACCGCGGCAATCGGTGCACGAGTTGCGGCGGAAGGCGCCGTTGGTCAAGCATCGCCACGCGGGACACCACATCTCCCACAATGTACCATTCGACAAAGGACGGCGTCGAGTCGTCTTCGGCTCCGCCTTTGGCGTGCTGGTTGGGCAATCCAACGGAGCCGTGGGGAGTCGACGTGTTGACAAACGCGTCAATCAAGTGCAAGTCGGCCCGAAGTTGCCGCTCTGCCTCCGCGACAGCCGTGAATGTCTTTCGGTGAGGCGCCCTGTCCGTGACCAAGGCTTCAAATTCTCGCATACGGTCGCATTCCGTCTGCAATTGGTCCTACACAACTCCCTTCTGCTCGTGTCGAGAAACCAAGCCCAACTTACTTTGGTCTGTTGAAGGCTGGCCACTGATGCCCTCAACGAGTCGACGTCGGCTTTCAACGATGATGCCACTGCATTTGCTTCTGCGTGCTGATGTGCTAGATTGGTTGTTTCCGTTTGAGAGGTCGCTAGCTTGTCCAAGGCGTTGTCGAGCTGTTTCTGGACCACGTCAACCTTGTCCTGCCAATGCCGCTCGGTGTCCTTGGCCTCACCGATACTGTTCAACAAGTCATCTTGCAGCAACTTCATCTCGCGACACTGGTCTAGTTTGGCTTGGTACTCGTCATGCAGCGAAGCGAGGCGGTCGTCCTTGTCGCGGCACTGCTCTTGGACCTTGGCCAGTTTTTCCTTCAACGCGGTGGTCTCAACCTGCGCAGCGTCGTAGCTTTCCCGAAGTGCTGCATACCGCTCCGCAACGCTCTTGAGCTCGACTTCGGTGTGTTCGTGAAGTTGCTTCAGGGTGGCTAATTGGTCATTCAGCTCCATGTTCTACAAGATGGCTTTACTCGCGCGACTGCTGGACCGGACCGGCAAGGTTACCTGGGAATCCACCGCAGATTGCTTTTCGGAAAGCGACTGTGCATAGTCCATGATGGCCTCCTTTTGTTTCGCAAGCGACGCCAATGACGTGGTGGTCGCGTCGACGTCCGTTTGGGCTGCCTGCTCGATTGCAAAGTGGATGTAAACTTTACTGGCAACGCCGTTGCATTGTTTGATATCACAGGAATTTGACGCACGTGGATTGAGCTGGCCTTTTCGACTTGTAGCTCGAGAATCTGCTGATCCTTGGCCCGCAGCTTCTCTACCTGCCCTTGGATTGTGTGTCGCAATTCCGCCAGGACGATCATCAACTCGGCGTGGCCACCAACGTTGAACTCGACGGCTTTGACCTGCATGCCTTCTTCGAGCAATCGCACATACATCTTCTCTTCATCTGTGGTGAACTGGGGGCTCCCATCGCCGCACTAGCCACACGCGAGCAAACCTCATCCATGTTTGCCCGACTGTCCTGCGCCCATCAAGTTACCTTGGTGCGACACCGAGCCTCACGCAAGTCATGCAAAGCGTCTTCAAACTGCTTGAAATGCTCGACCAAACGCTGCTTGTCTTGCTCTTTCGCATCCAATACCGCCTTCATTTCCTGGAGTTTTTTCAAACTGGACTCGTACTTCTTTTGTTCCTTGAGGTACTTGGACTTCCACTCCTCGATCTCTTTGCCTTTGTGTTGCCCAGTGGCCCCGGCAGCCCCGCCATGCAACCGCGACTGCTGCAGCTTCTGGATTATCTTTTCCTTCGCAGCCAGCTCCTCGTGCAGCTCGCTCAATTCCTTGGCCTGTTTCCGGATCTTGGCGACTAATGACGACGTCGTTCCAGTGGACGAAGGCACTGTTCTGGTGGACGGTGTTTGACCCGTTGGGTCGCGGCTTGCTGCGAAAGACGCAGCCACTACCGACTTGGACGCTGGCTTGACACGCAGAGTTTGTAGTGCTTCGTCAGCGACAGAATCGAACTCGGATGCAACTGCTGTAGGGAGCCGGGTGGGAAAGCATGGAGAGCTCACTACAGCTTCCTTTGGCATGGCCACACAACCCGCGACACCACGCCGTCGTGCTCAAACTTCGTGACCCTTGGTGAAGATATGTGGTATGAACTCGATAAAGTTCGTTTCGTACTTAATGGTAGCTTGACATGTTCGAGCTCTTGTAGAGGGCAAGGGGGCTTGGCACAGGGAGTTGCGAGCCTCAACCTCCAGGAACAGCCAGGGCAACGAGGAAGCCGATGCAGTTGCCATCGAGCTGTTTTTGTGTGAGAAGTTTCCGGGCATAAGTGAATGACCCAAGACCCGCAACACTATGTTACCGAGGCATGGTCAAGTAGGCGAAACCTCGTTGATCGAAAGTTGTGCTCTGCGCATGGCTAGCCAGGCCAATTCAAAGGGAAGGTCGCCGTGGCACGCGGGCTTCGCTGCGGGTGAGTCATAACGTTCTGTTTGAAAATGGCATGGATAGCACGGAGGATTCGATTTAAAGAGCACGTGTTGGAGTTATTTTGACAGAGGGGTCATGGGCTCGTCGAACGGGACAGCTTCGTTGTGTTCGTCCGCTTCTTCCCGGATGTAGTGCTGGAAGCCGTAGAGACACAACGTTGGGAAGGCGAGGAAGAGAAGGATGGCGGTGTAGTCGCCGTCGAAATACTGTTGTGCGAGGGGGTTGAGCAAGTACGTCAGCGACCCGATGGCAAAGCTGAAGAGCGTCACGAAGGCTTGCAATGTGCCGTACAATTGCGACGGATAGCACATCACTACACAGGAATGATAGACGTGCTCGACGACACCGTAGGTTACGTACTGATGTAGGCAAACTGGAGGGTGTACAGGCTCGCCTGGGCAATCGAGCAAAAGACAAATCCAAGGAGCTGGACCTCGACGACGGGGACAAGCAACGTCGCGAGGAAGAGCTGCGTCAAGAACAGGCAGCCAGCAAACACTTGCTGGAAGCCGAAGCGTTCGATGCAGTACCCGATGAACGGGGCAAACAAGAACGTCGAGTTGGACATGGTCGGGAAGAGAAAGTTGGTGTACACATCAGCAGCAGCCATGTCCGTGGCGGTGCGGCGAATGATGCTTGGAATTGCGCCACCCGTGAACGAAAACACGAGCGAGAGCCAGCCAAAGAAGAAAGCAAAGTGCCATAAGTCGCCGGACCGAAGGGCTTGCTTGAGGCCGTCCAGCAGCAACGTAGGTTTCTACAGTGAACACGGCACTAAACTTGGAGGATTTCAACTCAAAGTGAAAGACGGACCCGTGGTGTGGGGATGTACAGGCTCAAGCCAGGCACGAGGAGGTGCGGCCGCGAATGGTGGATGTTCTTGGCGGGGTATGTGGCAAAGCAAACGCCAAGAGCTAGCGCCGATACGATACTACGATGGACAACATGTGCTGAGGATCAACCGAAAGCCGACAGAGTTTGCATTCGTACGCATAGGATCCGAAAAACGTGATGCGGGTGGTTCCAGGGACCTTGAGTAGCATGTACACGTAGGCTGCCACCATGACCGTATGAGAAATGCATGGTGCGTTTGTTTATACCTGACAAGTTAAACAAGCTGGACATGATGCTGCAAGGAATGCCTTGGTTCTCGAACAAGTTGATCACTTGGAACGATGAAAGGAAGAGGCCCATGCCCCCCATTCCAATCAGCCCGTACCCCGCAATAATGCCGATGCCATCGTACACCGTTGATTCCCCATATGCCACACAAAGATTGCCCACCGTCGCAAGCTTGCGACCCAACTGTCAGAGTCGACGAGAGTACAATGCAGTTTTACCAAGAGACCCACGATGGCTGCGACGCGAGGGCCGACGATATCGATGCACAGACCAAAGACGACGTTGGCAGCGCTGAGCAAGAGAAAGCTGGTTGAAAACACAACCTGTAAAAACACTTCTTGCGTGGGGCATACGTCCGTCGAGTGTGGAGGGCAGTGCTCGTGCCATTCCTCGCTATCAACGAGGGTCGTATAGAATGGACCAAATCTAACGATGGATGAGCATATACATCACACATGCGCAGGTCAATACCCGAGAATGAGACCCCCAGAACACACAAAGCATAGCACGCAGCAAATTGTGAGCAGGACCTCACGACGAATCGTGTACGACCCAGCACGTCTCGAGCGCGATGGATCGAGGAGGAGCGGCGAATGCACCGATGGTGCATCGTTGGACGTCTGCGGAATTGGCGACGACGCATAAATGCCGGTGGACGAGCGAGAGAGCGACCGAGACCTGGACGACGACTTGCGGTGCGAGTCCAATCGGTTCGACGACATGCCGATGATTTATTTCCCCTCAACACCCCGGCGACACTTCACACCAGCCAATCAAACGTCTAAAAAAAATCGTCGGCCAATCAAATTGCAGCATGGGCACGACAGAGTCCACAACGAGGCACGCCAAAGTTAGTCTTCCCGGTCCCTTCGAGCACCCCGCGACGAGCTAGAGCCATCGCGCGAGGCCAAAAAATGTTTGGAATGGAGCCATTACGTCTTACGATGGCTGTGAAGAAGAGCAGTTTGCACGATGGAGCGGAGCTGTGCAGATGTATCAGAGGGCACACTTGCTCGTAAAAAAATTGTCCATCCGACGGTGGGCGGAATACGACGATACGTTAGCTGCACCGTGGTTTTCCTTTGAGTTCTACCAACGCGATCGACGTCCCGTTCACTTCTAGCAGCTACGGCATCGTTGAGATTGTTGCTCGAGGAGAGCACGTGATGACTGCTTACCGACACGATGTCAAAGTGTTGCTGTAACCCTTCGAGAAAGTCAGCTTCCCTGTGGAAACCCATGTCAAAGCTCATGGTCCAAAGAATTCAGGTGCTGGTTGCCACGCACTTTTCTTCGTGCCTGATGCGATAACTTAAATGCACCACCGTCGTATCCGAGCACACCGCTCGCAGCGTCGATACAAGTGGAGAGTGGAAGTCAGGGTTGTAGATGAGGTCGGCTCCGACGACGTGATCAAACTTTGGTGGCCCGTTCGTTGATGGAAACGCTGCCTGCAATGCTGCATCATCACCCCTACAAGCCAACGTCAAGTACGGCATGATAATGCGTTAGACTTGCCACGGCAGAAAGGCAGTGCGCACTTGACTGGCCACTTGATTTCGCTTCAAGTTGTCTCGGAGGAGATGCATGGCATCGGCGTCGCCGTCCGTGGCCACCACCTGTGCACCTTGAATAGCCAGCTTCACAGCTAAAAACCCCACACCAGAGCCCAGCTCGAGAACGTGCTGTCCGTGCCAACGTCGACACTGGAGGCTCTCCCACAGAACCAAGGACGAGTCCCACAACGCGCCACCGGTGGCATTTACCGCGGCGCCAAAAAAGTTTTGTGTCAGCACGACTCCATCCACTGTCACTCGCCACTCGCACTTGCGTTCGGCGTTCTCTTCCGCGACAACATTGTGCGCCATGGACTTTTATCGACTCTTTTGTTCTGCCAGCCGAGTTTAACACGTTAAACCCCTCCTTGGACCAATAAACTCGTGCGTTAATTCACTTGGGAAACTTCCATGGGCGTCCCCGGGGAAGTCCTTGGCTCTCCACAATTGACACTCTGAGATCCGCCTCGTCGAGCATGGCAAAGCCACTAGCCCAGCTCCTGTTATTTACGTCGGCGTGGATGCCACTGCACGTCTAGTGATCGGGTGCACCCTCCATACTGGAGCTAGTTATCTAAACTTCGCGCGAGTTTCACCTGCGCTGTCGAACCCGAGAGCTGGGACAAAAGGAACAGCGACGAGCCACCGTTCGATGCTTTGCCTTGTGCTAAAGACTGTCCCGAGGGATGTGTTCGATAACGCTGGGCCAACTCGTCCTGTCGTGTCGAAAGTTGTGAACACACAGACGCTCGACGAGGTCAACGCAGCATACAACGTCATATTGAGTGGTCCCATCGTCGTGTATATCGTCTATCGACTTATAGGATCATGCGCAACGGATCTTCGACTAATTCCTTGAACGACGCCAGCCATTGAGCCCCGGTGGCGCCATCAATCACACGATGGTCACACGCCAGAGTCGCCGTGAGTTGGGTCGAGTATTTGTAGATTTGCTCAGCGTCCGGGTCGTCATTGGGGACAACACGCTTCGTAATCGTGCCGAGGCCGAGCGAGCACGACTGGTTCGGGCTGACGATCGCCGCAAACGACTTGACATCAAACATACCGACGTTCGAGATTGTGAACGTGCCGGTTTCCAAGTCCGATTCGGCCCACGCGACGTCGTCGCTCGAGCCCTTGGCGAGAATCGAACGCACGTCAGCGTTTACTTGGTCCAGACCCTTCGAGTTGACTTGGCGAACCACGGGGGCCACAACGCCTGGCCATTCAAACATGAGCTACTCCCAACGCCATGACATGAGCTTCTTACCGCCTTCAGCAGCCACCAACAAGTTGATGTGAACATTGTGGAATTGACGAATGACGTTTCCAAGCCACGCGGCATTTGCCGCAGGCACCTTCTTCATGGTCAATGCCGCCGCACGAAGGAAGAAGTCGTTCACGGACAAATGCTCTTCGGGCTTGCGGGTCTTGTTGAGCAAGTCGCGAGCTAACGCAGCGCCAATTAGGATTCGGCCACAAAAGCAACAAAGAAATAACGCACCCACGAGCAATTTGTCCAACGCAACGTCCACGGTCAAATGGTAATGCGGGACATCCAGCTTTTGCTGGGTCAGCTGGGCCGCCAGTTGTTGGGCCTTGGCAGTCAAGGGGAAATCGGTGTAGTCGCCAAACGACACAGGAGAAGTCGATGCAGCCACGGGGGAAGCAGCAGGGGCTGTGGTGGCGCCAACAGAAACGACGGCAGGGGCTACAGGTCCTGCGGCCAACACTGCGTCGACGTCGGCGCGAAGGATGCGACCCAATGGTCCCGTGCCGGTCACACTACCCAAGGCCAAACCGGCATCGCGAGCCACTTTCTTGGCCAATGGACTGGCGAACACGCGACCTGAAGAAGACGTGCTGGTTGCAGTGAGCACAGGCGTCGGCGCGGCGGCAACTGGAGCAGGGGTAGAAGTGGCAGCCTTCGGGGCTTCAGGTGCAGGAGCAACAGCGGCGGGAGCCGGACCACTGAGAGAAAAAGTGCCAAACGCAGCGATTTCGCTGGGATCTTCCACAGTGACAAAGATGGGCTCACCAACCTACGAACGAAAAGGAATCATGAACATCTGCGAATCATGACAACTACAGCGACAAGACTGCGCACCTTGACATCAGCCGTGCCTTCAGGCTTGAGAATCTTGGCCAGGTACGAGTCATCTTGCGCTTCAAAGTCCACAACGGCCTTGTCTGTTTCAATTTGACACACAATGTCACCTGCAGTGATTTTGTCGCCTTCCTTCTTGAGCCACGTCGAGATGGTTCCCGTTTCCATCGTCGGCGACAGAGCCGGCAAACCAACAACTTCATGGTCCGGAAGGGTCGAGAACGCTCGCGCAACACTTGCGGGACGGACAAGGAGTTGGCGCGCCACCGTGCGCTGAAGGACTTGCACCACACGCATATTCGATCGTCGTTGGGGTTTGAGTGACTGGAAACACTTTGCCCAACATGTCCGGATACGCCCACACATCATTCTAAAACCAAGTGATTTCAAATCCATCGTTTTTGATTGGCTAAAATCGACGAGCGCCCTGACGTCGGCGACCACCGAACGCTACGTGAGCCGATGGCGACCAGCCGATTTCATGGCTGCATCAAGAATGGGGCACGAAGGGATGTGCCGCGCCAAGAAGGGCCGACGGTCCGGAGGCGTGGTCATGGCATCGTCGAATTATGACCATGGAACGCGTCGCAGAGATCTAGCACTCTTTCCTCGATAGCTAACGTGCATTTGTCGTTTCGATGTACCAACCTTTGGCATGGTGTGTCAGTTCACGACAGGTCTCCAATCGAGGTACCAAACATGCACTTGGATGAGATCGCAGTGGCACCGGAGAGCGCCACGTTGTCTGACATTTTGCCCTCTCGACGCAATTGGCACTACTAGTATTCCTGAACCTACTATTAGTAGGCTTATTGAAACGGGTATGGGAAGGGTGTTTGAGGGAAATACCGGGCAGTGTCGATTCCATGAAACGCACCATTACTCCATTTTGTATTGCCATTTGTATGAGACAAAAACCTGTGCAAATGCATAATGTTTGGTTTCGAAGGTTTGAAACGTGGAACGTTCTAAATACCCTAAATAATGTCGAGCCGTTCATCCTACTGAAACCAAGTTAAATGCTTGAAAGGTGGCGTGGAGATTCAGCTTTATACAAAAATCAAGTGAAAAATTGAAAGAACGTTCTAAAGCCCTACACAGCGTCGTCGATTTCTCGCACGGGCATCCTAACAACACCCGTGAAAATCTCAAAGATGGAAGTCCAGCCGCAACCTCTGCATATGCCGACCACCCCAGGCGACTTCCCTGCTCAGAGCCGTCGCTCCAAGGCCAACTCGTACGACACGTCGTTCCTTGATATGTCGAAAGGCATCTCAGACGACCAACAAGACCTGCTGCGCAAGAAACAAGAAGTGGTTGATGTCTGTCTTGCCTCGCCGTTGTCGACCACCACCAGCCCACACAGCACGGGCCAAAAAGCAATTCGCATGCCCAAGGCCATGGCCATTTAAGCATTTGCAACGATTTCATGTGCTTGTGGATGCAGACATGGATCGATTGCCTCTATTGAGGTGCCCCGACATCCACAGTAACTCCAGTATTTAACACCGTCTCTGTGTATCCCACCACTTTATCGACTTCACCACAATGTTACTCAACAGCGCCAGGCCGTTGCGATGCACGACCATGTGATCCCTCGAACTAAGTTCATTCTTGAGTTAGGCCAACGCAATCTACCTCGCGTCATCCACCGACAGGACCAAGTACGGACATGTCGCCCATTCCTGGATTGCTGGGACAATGTCTACATGCAGACTTCCCACGGAAACGCTGGAGCATCGGCTTCGCAGAATCGGACACTCCATGGCGTTGATCGGTGGCGGTGAGGCCGACACCTTGAGGAGAACCTGTACCGGCACGGCACACCCCGCTGCTTCTTGGATACCACCGGCGGTTGTGGGCGACGGAATGGCATTGAGCAACTCCAGCCCCGTGAGCAAGATGGTGTCATTGCGATTGCGAAAAGCATCCAAAGGAGTCTCCATTGGATAGACCTGGCCCGCGAACGCAAGCAGATCGACGTTTGCCACCGTGTTGGTCGCAATTTTGTACGTGAACCCGAACGCCGCCATCAAGTCCTACATATGCCAAAGTCCATGCGGTGATGTCGAGGCAAAAATCCACTCACCGTCACGTCTACAATGCCAGGGCACCAGTATTCAGTCTGGCCTTCGTCCCACCACAGTTGCAAGAACGATCCCGTGCGCTGCCAATGCTTGATGGCGACAGACAGAGACATATCCAATGGCGCTGCATAAGTTGCTACCCGTGCGGGGATCTTGTCCAAGACAAGCGCTCGACACTCCATTGCCAGTGCACTTTTGAGGTCGTTGTTGTTGGTTGTAGCGACAAACGCCGCGACGGTCGCCGGGCTCGCCTGCGTGATGTCGGACAGCAGTGCTTGGAGGGCCAACTCGGTGTGATCGCGGCGGTGGTGAAACGAGTGGATAACGGTCTTGAGGAATTGGCGCAGTGGATGCTGGACGAGGGCATTCCGGGGGTGCAATTTCAATGGCAGGGCTGGAGGAAGCGACTGCAGACAGAGCTGGACGATGGCCAAGACGTGCTTCTTGACATGATTCGGTGAGTTGAGATGTTGAGGTAGCAGCACGAGCGATCGCAGGTCGATCGACACGGCGGCTGACGGCACGACTACATCGGGCACGGTCCACTTGCACGACGACGCGAAAGCACACATGACTGTCAGGTACTCTTCGGATGATTGAGTCGGCGTCTTGAGGACGTCTTGAAAGGATGGCAGGGGCAGTTGAAACTTGGATTGTTGCGGAGGACTGTTGGGGACAAGCAAGTACGGCCCAATGCACTCGCGCAGCAAAGCGCGGATCCAGTGTCGGCCACGGTGCGTTCTGCACTTGCGGCCATGGGCGTGTTGCACAAACACATTGTGGATATGCCCCCAGTTGAGTTGCTCCAACGGGTCACCATCATCCGTCTCCAAAAACGCCCGGACGATGGTCTGCAAAAGAGGACCGGTGATCATGTACACGCCGAGGACTAAGTCACTGCCATCAACGGTGCTCATGTCGACCGCACAGCCGACGACTTTGTCTTGCCTCGCCTAGGTAAACACACACAATTATCGCTCCATCGACAACGTCTTGATCTCAACGACTCGTACGCACCACGAGAGCTGCATGAAAAAACACGAGGCCACACAAGAGCCGCCATAGAACAATCGCCACGACATTCCGCACGGCCGGGTCCATGTTGACCCCCTCCAACGCGTCGCCGATCGCCGTCGAGAAAGGAATTGCCACCAGGCGAAGCAACGTTAATCTGAACTCTGTCGAAAACGGATTGCTTCCAAGGGGGTGGAGGACCAGGCGGTTTGGTTGGACAGCTAAAGGCACGTTGGCCACCGACAAGGGCTGGGTGTGTGTCGGTGCTGGAGTTGTCGGCACCACGTGCACCATGCGCGACGGCTGCATGTCGTCGTCGGCCGCATGACGCTGGTTCATGGGCTTGCCCAAGGTCGGCTTGAGATGGCTCACGAGCCCCACGGGGCGGTAATCCAGACGACGTTTCTTGTTGTACTGGACAACCGCATCCCACTTGTCGGGTGTCGTCATGTCCAACACAAACCACCGAAGTGACTCGAACGCGATCGGATTGAGCCCTTCAAACTGGACCATCGACGGCACCGAGTCGAAGAACCCCATGATGCTCCCGCCGTCAAGCGGCACGTGAAATGACAACGCGTGCACTACCGGTCGTTGGAGAAGCAGCTTGAGCACGTCGGGCCACATGTCGCGCGGCACAATTGTGTCCAAGACAGTATAGAGCAACTGCAAGGACGAGAATCCCGCGTTGGACACTACGCACCAGAACCATGCGTCTTGGGTGTTGTACAAGATCTTGGACCAGTCCTTGGGATGCCAAGTTCGCCGAGCAGCAGGCTGTTTCGGTTCGAGGCCCAACGTAAACAGCACGAGCTTGTCACAAAACGAAGCAAACGCTTCGGGTCGCCCAGCCAGCATCACGCCGAGACAATGGTACTGCGGGGGCATGCTCACAATCGATTGAATGCCGTCGCTGTGGACAGACGCGTCCGTTTGCTGTGATGGCTGTTTGGACGGCATCGACAAATGCCGCGGCCGCTTCATCAATACCGAGTCCCGGGGGATACCTTCGTAGGCTTGGAAGAGTTGTTCTGTCGCCGTCATGTCGTTTATTGTTGCATCAGTCAGCGATGCATTCCAGTGGGGCGGAAATAGGACATTGCGCTGGAGGTCCATGAACGACAACGCTTCAGCTGGAGCGTCGTCGGCCAGGTCATAAAGGTGTGGTGGGGATGCCTTTGCATCCTTGGCCGGCCCTCCTCGAACTTCAAAGGCAAGGAGGAGCAAGAATGAGGACCAATGGAGCTGGGGGATTGTGAGAGCCAACAACTCGAGCAACTTGACGAGGACGTCGCCAGGAGGGGGACATCTCGCCCCAGGAGCTTTCGACCGCCCATCACACGATTCCTGTGAAAGAATGCAATCGGTATCGAAATCGTTGGACAATCACAAAGTCGACGACGTACGAGACATTGGATAAAGAAAATGCGAAATCCGTACGGCTCGAACGCCATGACGAGATCGGGAACGAGAGTCGCTAATTTCTGGAGGGCGGTAAAGATTTGGTGGCCCAGTTGGGTCACGGCCGCGTAGCTCACGTCACCACGAGCTGCCATCGTCCGATGCAATTCCTGTCTTCGTTCGTCGAACGTGGCGCGGTGCTGGGCGTTCTGGTTGCACATAGTCGCCAACGACTCGACCTGCGGCGCGTCGTATTTGGTCTCTCGGATCTACAAGCGGTGGCACTGTCAGCGGCCAATAGTTTGTCCTCATCACGATCAATCGTACCATCGTCCGCAAGTGGACGAGCAATCCGTCAAACGACCGTGACATGTCGACTTCCATGTCCAAGATGGCCCTGGCAAAGTCGTACGCGCCGACACCAACTCTGTCGTTGCATACGTTGGCCAGTTCCATGTCGTCGAGTAGGACATTCTACAGCCCAGTATCGAGTCATGTGCATGCAAAATGGTACGAGCACCCACCTGCATGTCGTCCCAGCATTCGACAGCATCGACGGTCGCAACCTGGAACACTTCGGACCCAAATTCGCACAATGGCGCGGTCGTCGTCAGAACAAGGCGAAATCCGCGCTTCAGCGCGAGCGTGTGGCCAATGTAGTTGATGTACTCGACACCGTCGACCCATTCCGTGCCCCACTCGACCAGGTCTTGAAAGGTCTGTGTGCAGGACAAAGTCAGGTCCATTGGGTCCGGTCGGAAGGGGCGTACCGAGGTGTAGAGCCGAGGCGTGACATCGTTTACGATGAGTTGCTGGCCCATCGAAATGCACGATTCTAGCACACTTCGAACGTCCTTGTCCAGGGCCGACTTGGTCACGATCGAGTTGCATCCAACAGAATGCAGGACGTTTCGAAGCAATGAGTCCATGTGGGGTGAAAACGACGTAACCAGCACGACCGGCAACGCATGCGCCAGGATGTACGCAGTTTGCTGGCTGTGGCGCGAATGAAACAGACCCGCCGCATGCAGCCACAGCCCAAACGGCTGCGCCGCGTAGTTGTTCAAGATGGAATGGGTCGGGTGGATTTGCAGCGGTTGGCCATCTAGCTCGCGCGTCCACTCGTCAAACAGGTGTCTGCGCAGCCGTGGCGAGAACACCCCGCCGTACGTGATGACGGCAGCAGACACCACTGCCTCGGCGACCAGCGAAGCCTCGTACTCAACCATCTATAACCACACCTCCCGTCAGCAACCGAAAGTTCCTGTGGATTCGTTGGCTAACTGATTGCAATTGCTTGGTCATGACGGCTTGTTCCGGGCCCAAGATCTTGAGCACGGCGTTTCCTTGGACGAGAAAGGCTGTCAACGTTTGGCATTCCGCTTCCATGAGTTTCTATCTCAATTTGGTCATGCACAGTCATAGTCATGCTCTTGCCTTGTCCTCCATTCGTGCTTGGATCGTTTCTTCGATGTCGCTCGAGACTCTGTCCGCCTGCTCGACGTTCTTCTTGCACTCGGCAAATTCCCCCACGAGCGTCCGCAGCTTGGCTTGGGCCGCGTCGAGAATGTCGAGCTTGGGCTTGACAAGCTTGCGACTGCGGCTGTACGCTTCGATCGCAATGATCCACACGACCATCGTACTCGCCGCAATACTTTGCTTTTCAACCTCAGCCTTGTTGAACATTTCGTTGGTCAAGTACGGCTCGAGCTTGGTCAAGATGGTTTCCGGGACGTTGTCCTACAAAGAAGGGCAGTCCGCGTCGTGATGGCTCTGGACGGAGGCGCACCTTGTCATAGTTGAGCATGGACGTGATAAAGTTCACGTCGCTGAGGAGCTTCTTGGCATTGTCCCACGACGGGTCCACCGAGAAGAGAACACACATTGCATTCAACACGACATGCACCAGCACGGGCGGGTTCACAAACGTTTTGATTTCCATGATGTAGCGCCGATCCAGGTTGGCCACACACTTGTTGGCGTCATCGAGCACCTTAAGGGCGTCTTTGAGCTCGTGCTTGGTCAGTTTGTCCATGTCGGTCGTAATTTTGACTTGCTCGTCGACATCGGCCTTTTGTTTGCGCATGACGTTCCGAAGCTAGCACAAACGAACACCCCAGAGCGTCAGTCAGGGTCGACAAGCCCACCCCGCGGTTTGGAGCAACGTACAACTTCCGCTTCCGCTTGCATCTTTTCAAAGTGCAGTTTGTACTCGCCGATTTGGACGAGGGCGCTCTGAATTTGAACTTGCTTCTCCTGGTATTGCTTTTGCGCCGAGTCGACCTAGAACCATCGGAGAACAAAGGGATCGTTCAGGTTCGACTGATGGCAGCATCGACGACGGACCTGGTCGACGGCATTTTGGTACACGTCCAGGAACGCCCGCGACCGACTCATGAGGTGGTTCATTCGAATGCGAAGCCGCTTCATGGCGTCAAAGATGTAGCGAGAGTAGAGGGGGATGAGATGGAGCGAGATCACAGCGTGCGCGGCGCCGGACGCGAGCATGACACGACTCGCTGCCAAGTGGAATTTCGCCGCCAGCGTCGACACGTGGTTCAAGTTGGATTGAATCAAGTCCAACGAGTTGAGCAAGACCGTGCTGTCGAGGTGGCCTTCATGGTCTTGAAAGACCTTCCACTGGGTTTCAATGCGCAGATGGACCATTGGTTTGATCACGTCGAAGTCCAAACGAGGCAGGACACACATTTGCGTTTGGGCGAAGAGCTTTGGCACCCGTTGAACAAAGACTGGAATGTCAGTGGCGTCGCAGCACACAACGACACGGACGTTGCGTGCAGCAGCCTGGACGACCTCGTTCCAGATGCCGCTCACGACGCCAGACGGCTTGACTGTCGCCATCGTCAACGCCATGTTGATATCGACATTCGCCTCGAATTTCCGAATAAAGTCATCCATTTCGCTGTGCTGGACGCTGACCAGAGCGTCGATGCGTTCTTGGCCTTGCAAGTTCAAGTGCTTCTCCACCTCAATCATGGCCTCGAGTTCGCGCTCTTTGGCTGTTTTCGTATGCGACTCGCGCGAGTCAGCGATGAGCCGGCGCACGGCGTCGTGCTTGCTCTGGAGTTCCGAACGTTTTGCCACCGACAACTCGATGCGAAGGTTCTCCATTTGTTTGCTATGGAGCGCATTCAACTCGAAGAGCTTTTCGTCCTTGACACGACCCGCCAGCTACCGAGGTCAACACACGTGAGGGTACGTGTCCGAAGTCTCCTTTGTATACCTCAACGTGCTCGTCTGGCGAAAAGAGGAGCGGCACTTCGCGCGAATTCAAGAGCGACGTTAGCTGCTCCAAGCACGCATCGGACATGCGGTGGGCATTCTGGACAATGAACGTCACGTCCGTTTGTAACACGCCCGCGATCGTCACGACTTCTTTGAGGGCTGTCGCCCACTTGGTTTCGGACACGGCCTTGTCCATAAGCGCCTGCACGTGCGATACTTGACTTTCACTGGACATCCCAAGCAAAATCAATCGGCACTTACCTCGAAATGTACGTGCTGCTGGTCCATGATTTTCGCCGCCATCTTGGCAACGGAGTGTTTGGCATGTCCTGGAGGCCCTACGAGCACGGCCTTTCCGCCAGGCTTGCCCAAGATGCGACACAGTTGCAGCGTTGTGCCCACCTACCCATGAAAAGTTGATACGATGTGAAGCACGATGAGAAGCAAAGCGCTATCGTAAACGTACCATGGGTACGGACAGGATCAAGTTGTCGCTTTCGCCAAAGCGCAGCGTTTGCTTTTGCAGCGCCGCATGCAGTGATGGCAGAGCGTCGGCGTACTCCGACAGCCCATTGAATAGCTCGCCGTACACATGACGGTTCCAACCGAAGTGATCACAGCTTCCAGGCGCAAGGATCCCTCGGCTTGACAATCGGCGTGTCCCCAACGCGTCGTAGTCGAATGTCCCCGAGTTCTTGCGCTGAGCAAAACCCCCTCGCAAACTATCCGTCTTTTGCAATGTTGGGGCCACCTTGGCGGCTGTATTTTGTCGCTGCAGCAAGGCTTTCCCTTGGGGTAAGTTGCTGCTGTCCACAATCGACGTCATGCGCTCGAGCGGCGGTGGTGCTTTGTTAATGGAGCACCGTCGGCGACCCAATCCGATGGACGCCGCTCGGTCTTCGGGTGTCTGGCCGATGGGAGAGCCATCCAACGAGTCCTGGCGGTGGCGCATGCTGGGCTTCTCGTTGTACCCATGAGGGAAGTAGACCCACCGAGCGGTATGCCGCATTGCTGGTTTTTCCTTCATCAGGTCGCACAGCGATGCATATGCCGTGTCAGCGATATGCTGGACGGCTTCGCCATGGTCAAATGCGAGAGCAGTGTCGACGAACGTCCGTTCGATCTCGTGGTGCCACAAACGAAGGAGCACGGGCAAGTCTGGCAATGCTGGTGGGGGCACCGCGGTCAAGAACTCGAGCATGGTGATGAGTTTGGAAAATCCGAACGCCAGCGCAACGTGCGTACCAAGGGCGCGACATTTCACAAACACGTCGATTGTGACAGCTAGCACGTGCCCAATTTGATGGCGAATCGGCTGCACATACCGGCAGTGCAGGTCGGTGCGCTCAAAGAGGCCGACGACGATGGGCGTCAAAATCTGTGCACACAGTCAGCGTGTTCACTAGTTGGAAAGCTTACCTGGGACACGTCGCACGCCTCCAAGGCAGCTAAGCGGACGGGAAAAAAACGCGACAGGAGGCGAGCTTGGCATGCGTTGGGAGCTCGATGCCATGACCCCATCGCGTGGTCACTGGCCGTAGCAACCAGCAAAGTTCGCTCAATCGTCCGTGTTTTGGTGTCTGATGGCCTGTACACAGCTGAAAGGTCGATCATCGAGCGGATCCATGCGTGTGGCGACGGAAACTACCCAATGCATGGCAGTGAGAACGTTTGACGAAGTGGACGGAGGGTTGGCAAACGAGAGCTGACGCACCTCGCTGTGTAGGGGCAGATGCACGTCGTCCAGGAAGAGGATCATGGCCTTTCCTGGCGGCGGTTCGTACACTTGCTTTCTTTCGCGCTGCATGACGATTTCGACGGATGTGCTCAACGAGTCGATCGTCGTGGATGCCGTGCATTGAAGACGCATCGACACAAACGCCCCAGCTTCAAACAACTTGGTGGTGGCTTCGTCGTCCGGGGAGCACATGCGAACCGGAGGCCCTGGTTTGCCCACAATAGACGACCGTGGCGAACGAACCGCGCTCGTTCGCTTTGTCTTTAGTCGACTCGCCAGTGACGACACGATCATGGTGGTCGTGAGCCGCATGTTGGAGATTCGAGCGGCTTCTGCATTGTCGGAGGAACCCGTGGCGGTGGTAGACTTGTCCAGAGTCGTCAGTCCCTGCGACAAGAACACCGACGATCGCTGGAGGAACTCCACGACGCACGACGTCGCCCCGCAGTCAGGGGGGCCAAACACGAGCAGGGGGACGCCAGAGCGGAGCACTTGCCGTCCGACCAAGTGCACGAGGGTGCTGTCAACGCGGGGGATGTAAACCGAGAAGGGTGAAATGTCGCGTTGGCCCGTGGGAATGCACAGCACGTCTTTGCATGATCGGAACGTGGCCGACGCGATGTCCAGCACCCACGAATACAGTCCCATGTCGCCGCTGCAGTTAGCCCACGACTCTTGCAGGTGGTCGAACTCCCGCTGGAGAACACTTGTCACAAGTCGTTTGGTTTGGATCGACGCGCAGCTTCCGGCTCCCCAGCACACGGACCATAGGATGCAAAGCTCAATCTGTCGAGACAGCAACCGCCGCGGTTCGTTGTAGCCCAAGGCAGAATCGAATTCAAGCGATTTTGTCCAGAGAGTGTAATCGATACCAGGTTGCGTCGACAGCACGGGGTGGATAAGAGTCATGATGTGTTGAGCCGTGTGCAGGTGCGACAGCGGCGCGTGCGTCGAGCCTTCGCCAAGTACTTCAAGCAGCCTATCCAACAGGGACGAGTCCACCAAATGCTTGGTCAAGAGCTCGCAAACCAACGGAGGCACGGTCATTTGGACTCGAATCCGGCCGATGGAACCCACAAGGAACATTTTGTGCATTGGCAGCAGCTTGGCAGATACGGCCGAGTTTGTCGACTGCACCAAATCTTTCGACACGAGAGGCCGCGATGGTGCGTCACTCACGTGTATTAAGCTGCTGTTCAAGACGAGTGTGGGAGAGGCATGGCCGAGGTCGATTGTCTCCAAGAGGATGGTGACGTTTGACGGTATTGTGAAGGTGTCGCTGCCGAGTAAGCTAAACTGCCCCAGACCTGAAGTCAAGCTCGACGACGGAGCTGGCCCCGCCAGGCTCAAGATGTGTTCTGCCCACGCAGCGTCCATCGTTCCATCCAAGACAATCCACACGCGCTGGCGGTGTGTGAAAAGCGGCGCGACATCCTGGGGGACCGTGTCTCGTTCGTTCATTTTGAGCTCGTCCACACCAGATAACAACGGACAAGGCACGTTTTCGGTGGCAAGGCGCTTGATCAACGACGAATCCGAGTTGCCGTCGGCGCTTCCGCCGTAGAGCTGTGCCATCGACAGAGACTGCGCATTGTTGGCCATGAGAATCAAACACCAAGTAACGAACGTACCATCGGCAGCAACGTCTTGATCACGATGAATTGCGACTGTGGTGGTGGTGGCTGCGGAAACTGCGGCAACGTTGGGTTGGCCAGGTCCACGTCGAAAAACAGATTGTTCAACGCGGCAGCCAGCATCGCCACACACGTCGTTTTACCCGTCTTCATCGGCCCACACAGTATGACGGTTCTGTACGCCACCACTGCCTGGACTAGCGCCGCCGACACCTGCAGCAACGTCTCGGACGGAATGAATTGATTCTTGTCGTAGGCCGCCTTGAGGAATGACAAGAAAACGGTGCGGTTGTGGCCATCCTTGCTCTCCATGTCGCCTTCTCGCACCGACACTGCGTGGTCTTTTGCGAGCCACATGGACTTGATGTACGACATAGCATGTGCACGAATGCCCCCAGGTAGATTCAACCTCGTCGTCAAGTATTCGAGGAGCGTCTCCTTGAGTAAGCCGACTTCATCCGTGATGGAAGTTCCCCGGGAACGCTCAAACATTTGCTTGGCGCATTGCTTGGCCGTATGAATCGTAAAGAGCTGAACCATTGTCGGCTGTGTAGAGAGGCGGGTGGACACTCCACGCAACTCGCTCCACACAAAACCAAGCATTCTCGCCAGAGTCAGCGCATGCTCAAAGCCGTAGCTAAAGAAGATCGCATGAAGGACGCGCTCCAGGTCTGGCGCAACAACGGCAATGGATGACAACGACTCGCATAGCGCTTGAAAGTGGTACGGGGACACGAGGCATGAGGGCACGGATGTCGTCAGCATGATCATGCTTCCAGCGTCGACGACGTGTTCGCGCTCGTCTAGCGTGACGCAATGCTTGGCTGCCAGCGCCCCGTTCTATGCACGAATTCGCCCGTCAACTTTCAAGCTCATGGAGCTGTCGCTTTGTACCATAATGGTCGACACGACGGTGTTGATAAACGATAGAATCGGGCCAACCATCCGATCTGCATTTTGAAGGAGCAGCGTCCCGCCAGATCCGATGCCGCCCGTGATGAATCGATGGATTTGCTTCAGCGACGTATGGATGGTACAAAACGTTTGAATGAGGTCGCGGCCAAGCATCACGGTGGCCATTTGAATCAACCCCGTCTTGCCGCTGGACATACCGCCAGAGACCAGACCAGCCTATGCCACAGACACGTGTGTTGGCACGTCAAAGGCAGCCCCCACTGCTGCCGCTTTCACCGACCTGGTAGTATTGCACACAATTGAACACGGCCAACAAGTAGCGCTCCGTGAGTGGGGTCACGACCAAGTAGTTTTCCGTCGGGTTGTGATACGCGTAGCCGTACGGAATCACCATGTCAGCAATCGCGAGTTGGACTTCGTCGTCGGTCGTGGTGTAGTGGGGATGGTTCTCCCATGGAATAACGGACAAGTTGTCGAGGGTGTCTCGGAAGTAAAACTGCTGCATGAGCAGAGTCGTTGTTACTACTGGATGCAGTGTTCGATCTCCACTCGTCAAGGCTTGCGTGAGCTGCTGGATGCGCACGACAACGCCGCCTGCAACGTCATTGTTGCCCTCGACATTTCCAATCGTTGTCGACGTAACAACGTCGTTGGCGACAAGGAGGCACTGAACGGATGCGTCAATGGGGAAGCGTGTCGGGCGATCGAGTGCGTACCTGCAGCGGAAACTGGCGAAGGTGACTGAGGTCCCAACCTGCTGGCGGTCGCCCTGAAAAGTACACGACGAGCTCCTTGATATTCTTGTGCAGCCGCTCCGACAGCCGACGGTCCATGTGGGACAGCCACTGTTCCACATACCCTCTGGCCTTGAGGTTTTTGCCCATAGGAATGACTTCCTCGAACGGGTTGGGCGGCGACCTCACGGCGACGATGCCCATCGATTTGTCGTCCGTGTCAAAAGTTACTTTTCCAAGACTCGGGAAGCACGACGGCAAGTACTGCTGGATGTTGTGTGGATTTCGGCACGCTGAAATCAAGTCGGTAAGCTCCGAGTCGGACAAGGTGCAGAAGCGAGGGTAGCTCTGCCGTTTGATCTGTAGACGCAGCATTGGGTAAGTGGTATTCAAAGCATATGCCATACCTCCAAGTATCCCTCCAACGTCTTGTAGATGCCTTCGAACCCTTGGCTGAGTTGAATAATGTGCTCTTTTAGTCCTTGGGTGCGAGCAGTGCGAACAAGTGACGGGTTCTTGCTCAGCTTATCAAGCAGGACTTTCCACGTGCGGTCGAGCTCCGTGTACGCTCGCACCTGCCCTGGCAGGGCTCGCAGAAACTCTGGCGACAAAAACACCTAGGCACAACGTCGACGTCGTGAGCAACGTGGTTCTTGTTTGAACGCACGCACCTCCATGTGCTCCCAGTAGTTTTTGCACTCTTCCAACCGCATCATGATCTCCATCATTTCGTTCACGTCATGTTTCCATTTCATGGCCAGCGGCTGGATCGGTCGGATGTACGACGACGCCAAGATGGTTTGGAGCAGCATCTACGCCATCGCGTGATGTCAACATCGTCATCCGTCGCATGGGTCGTACGTCGGATTCCTCGAGCATGTTCATGCACTCGGTTGTGTCGCCCAAGACGACGACGTCGCGCGTGTCGTTGTCCGTCCAGTACGAGAACGCGATCTCTTGTGTGTCCCACACACGGATAGCATCGTGCAAGCTCTTGCTAATCGCAGCCTCTGTGGCGGCTTCTTGGACAATGTCGTTTATCTCGTCATGCTTGTCGTCAATGTGGAGCGAGACGAGATATTTGAACGAAATGTCGCCCTGCCGGACCAAACACCGATGGTCGGTGGCGGGCTCGACCTCGTACTGGAACACCACGTTCAGTTTGTTTTCCAGCTTGCGCCAGTGCCGGTCCTCGACGTGGGGGTTGCACAAGTTTTGCACGATCGACGTCATGTGCAGAAGCAGTGTTTGCAAGCCGTGGACGCGCGCCGTGACGGGACTGGTGGGGAATTCGACCGCGAGGACGCGGTGCAGCTCCGTGACGCGGCGGAGGAGGTCTTCCATGTCGGCCTTCGGCATGTCCTTTAACGCAATGTCCCCCCAACTTGCAAGTGATTGATCCGCGGCCATGATTAACGTCCACATGTCCTACACCCGTCCACACAGTCAGGACGCCAACTTCATGGGGGCAACCGACATGTTTGAGTTGGATGTCGCCAGTCAACTTGGGCAGCGACGCAAAGTGTCCGCCCTTGTTAGGGATGTCCGGCATGCAGTTGGGCAAAAACTCGTTGAACAGCGATCGAACGTATAGGAATCGCTCGGACCGACTGCTGTAGTCGGTCGCAAGCTGCTTGAGGTTCCCTGTGAATGCCAACGCGTGGAGCGCTTCCGTTTCGGCGTGAAACAACTGCTCTGCACACGACTCGGTTTGCAAGTACGCGATGTTTGCTTCCAGCTACACGTGCACCGAATGGTCGGCAACGTTGGAGCCGATTCACAACGTACGTGCTGCATCTTTTGTTCGAGGAGCACTGCGTACTCTCGGATGTCCATGTCGCGCCTCGCCATGCAATTCGTGACAGCCGACTTGAGAGTGCTCAGCTCAGGCTCCACGAGGTCGTACACGGCCTGCGTCTGGCTTGGTATGTGGAACCCCGAGTCCGTGATCAACTCGAGGTAGTCAGAGATCTGGGCAGCCTCGAGGTCTTTTGACGGCAGCTCGTCATTGATTTCCTACCGTCGCATGGCATGACAACCGTGCGAAGAGGCAACGACGCCACGATGGCGAGCGCACCTTGAGGTTTAGGATATAAGTGACGAACGCCTCGATGTCTTTAGCGGGCGGCCGTTGAATCTTGGACGCGACGAGCTCGATGTACGACAAGAGCCGCGCAATGTTTTTCTCGGCCAGGATCGGCAGAATACGCTCGAGTTCCTTCAGGCATCGCACCGGAGAAGGCACCAGCGCCGTCTTCAGGGCGTTTGTCTTGACGCGAATGAGCTGTATATACACAGTGAGGTCGCGAAGAACGCCGACTGGTCGAGACGGACCTGGATGTCTTGGGACACAACTACGTCCTCGAGCATCCATTTCTACGGGAATGGCGTTGTCCAAGCAAGAACCAAACGGGGTGTGAGCGCACCTGGTGCTGGAACTTTTGCACATCTTGCTTGAGCTGGTCCATGTCGTATGCGCCATCCAAGTGCTGCTGCGCAATCCGATCAAAGTCGAGTGCGTTGTTCCAGTCGTATTCGTCGCACAGCGGCAAAAAGCAGTTGGCGTAGGCCTGGCATCCGCAGATCGATCCTTTCACAATGTCAAAGATTTGTTCGCACAGGTGCATGTAAGCTTGGTCCTGCGATGCCCGTTCAAACAGAATGAGCGAGATGCGAGCGTCCTGTGGGTGGTCACCACCCGGCGCCGTGGCCACTTGTGGCGCACACGAGTCCAAGTGGGAAGTTCGCACTTGATCATAAAAAGTCAGCACTGGAAGGATCGTCGGATCCGTGATGAGGCGCTGAACATGTTCGTTGGCGTCGAAGAATCCACGAAGCGTCATCTCGACAGCGCTTTGGACGGATTTTAGCGGTGGCTCAAACGACAACCCGGTGCCGTCAAACACGAGCTGGACTTCAAACAGCGGCACGGGAATAAACAAGTTGGTGTGGGCCTACAGTTCGACGGTCAGTCCTCCCCAACCTCCACGGCATTCAGAGCGGGGTGCGCTACCATGCGTGTTGTTTCGTAGATGCTGTTGGCAGATGCATCGAACTGCTGCATGCGCTCAACGTCGAGGACGACATCAAGGCCCTTGGAAAACTCCTCAATGCTCACGTCGCCATCCCCGTTCTCGTCAAAGACTGAAATGAACAACCCCACGCGCTCTTCCAGCGCCGCACCGGTCAACTTGCCATCGAACACGTGATGGAGCAGACGCGTGATCTGCGCACAATCGAGCGCCCCGTTGCCGTAAATGTCAAAGCGGTGATACGCCCGCATGTACGCGTCCTTGGACAAGAGCAGCGACGACGACTTCCCTGCGCCCGTCTCGAGCAACTGACCCTACACGCCACACAGTCGTCCCATGGCAAACTACCGATCGCCTCGTTACCAAGGCCGCCGCGCTTCGGTTGATTACTCCGTGAAATGCATCAAGGAGCATGAAATCCACGCGCCGAATGAAACGGGACAATTCGCTGCAACGCGCTCGCTTGACGGCGGCGACGGACCACTTGATCGCGTCCATCGTGGGCTTTTCTTTGATACTTTCGCGGGACTTGGCGCGGACGCGACTGCGCTGGAGCTCGGCACGTATTGCGACCAAGTCCAGCTCCCCCGTGTTGTCTTCATTGCATGTGGCGAGGGGGGACAATGGCGACTTCTTTTGGACGTTGCCAAAAAACTGGTCCATGTGGAAGGTCGTGCTCTTGCGCGACGTCAGCGACACGTCTGCGTACTTGATCACGGCGTCCGTGGACGAGTACTGCGACAGGTACGTATGGGACATGGCGACAAGGATCTCTCGGATCGCATGGAATAGCGCGATGAATTCGTGGCCGAGCTTCTGGATGTGGATGCCCTAGTAGAGCATAGATGGGAGTGAGATACATGACAAACATGAGCCGGGAAGATGGAACCTGTCGACGCTGAAATTCCTCGGGGGGGATGACCGTGGCGCTATCGACATAGAAGAGGAGCTGCGTGTGCAGCACCGCCATCTTGGCTTGGATTTTCTCCATCGTGGCGTGGAAGATCGAGTTGCAAAAGTACAAGAGGTCGTTCAGTTGGTCTTTGCACCGCTGCCGTTTGCACAAAATGTAGTGCGACACCCAGCACTTCATTGCTTTTGTGCGGCGGTACCTACGACAGATAGAATTTGCTGGGGTGTTGAGTGCCATACTTGGTACATACGTGCTGAAGAGCGCTAGTGTCTTGAGCCGCTGAAAGATGCGGCGTTCGCGGTCCCACTCGGGCATGGACTGGAACGTCACGGTCGCGTGGTCCTTGTTGTAGTACAGCACGTTCTTGGAGCTCATCACGTAAAAGTCGCACGCGATTTGCTGGTCGATGACGCGGTCGTCGTCGGTGAATTGGAGACCGTGCGGGGCGCCATCAGTCACTTTGTACACATGATGCTACAAGCGACTCGTTCTAGTCACCGCCGACACAACCCACCATCGCAGATACACGTACAAATGGGACGTAAGTGATCGTGTATGGGTCGTACGGCGCCGACCGGTCAAAGTGGTGCGCTGGAACGGCATATCGAAACGTGTCGTTGGCGTCGGACAAGCACCGGTCCGTCGATCGGTCGTTCTCCCTGCGATGAATCCAATTTTCGATGCTAGTCCGCACGGTTTGCAACGTGTCCAACGGGACGATCGGTGTCGTCGAAGTGGGCAGAGGTGATGAAGACGCGACGGGTTTCGACGGCGACTTCATCGGTGTTTGACGAAGCGCGGTAAAATGTTTTGGTGGCGACCACTGCTTGGACTTGCGAGACGTGTTCTTGTGACTTAGCTCGACATCCACGGCCTTTTCGACAGTCGACACGTGCATTCCTGGCGCGTTGTCATCCACAGTTTGTTGGTTTTGAGGGGCGGGGGATGCTTCGTTGCTTGGTCGATTAGTTTTGATTCGTTTGGTGGGAGACTTGGCGACGGCGGTTCGGGGTCGATTCAAACCGCGTTTGGACAAGAGCTTTGTCGGCGCTGCACTTTGCGGTCGAGACAGCATCGGACCAGACGAAGGAGGCAAGAGGTCGGTCACGTTGGATAGTTGATATGCGCTGGACGGCGGCGCTGGGACTTTCACCAATGGAGGGGAGATTCCCGACGACAAGTGTTGGTGATTCTTGTCCGCCGCGCGTTGCAATGGACCTGCCAAATGCAGTGGCGACCAAGGAACTCCGTCGCGACGAGCTTCGCCCGACAAAGTGAGTTTACGCTGCGCCGTGCTGCTTTTTGGACGTATCATGTCTAGCTCAATGGTGTTGTTTTAGATGTCGAACACACGATGGGCAAGTGTATACTCCGAGGGTTTGATGTGGTCGTAGGACGAGTTGGGGCTGCAGACGCTGCACGTTCCTTCTTGGGTGACATCTACATCAGTCACAGAACGACGTCAATCATCTCCTTCTGTCGTATGCCGCACCATGCACGAATGGTGTGATTGTACCAGCGAGGAAGGGGCAGAGTCCATCGGTGATGCGTTGTTGTTGGTCCTCGGAGACACAAGAACAAGTTGCGACGCAAGCTCCTTCGTACATAATTGAGTGAAATCTTACTTCCGAATTGAACACGTACGTTGATTGTTCCGTCGAGAGCTTGATTCGAGAGCGCGCACGGACCTGCCGACATGGGTCGATGACTTCGATCTGGGCGTCTCCTGCGAGACGCAAAGCTCATGGGTAGCTCGCCACGCTGAAGCATTCTTTCCTCTGGTGTGGTTGCGTTGTAGTGCGTTTTCTCCGATCGTCGATTTGCATCGTCCTTCTGGCTTGCCATCGACTTCCAGCGCGCCTGGCGCAAGTGCGACCTTTCGGCAACAAAGATCACGTTGTTCGGATAAAACCAACAAGAATGGTCACTTGACCGAATGCGTAGCGCGATCGGTCACTGGACCGTGGAACCAAAGCTGCAACAACATCGGGAGCAGGAGCGAAAGCCACCAACATAGAGCAAGCTTTGAGCAGGCCAGACACACCACCGTCACATCCTCTGACACCGTGAAATGGGCGCTGTGCTTCGTGGTCACTCCTAGTTGTTTACGGGTGTCCCACCGCTGCACGTAACTATATGCCACGAACGTCGTCGGTTTGCGGTTCAGTTACAACGAAATCCTTGTCGGCATGGACGAAGGTGCGCCGCACGACACAGCCTTGACGGTTGACGACTCCACGGATAACAAGAGTGAAGTGACTGACTCAGAGGCATGCGTGTCGTTGCATGAGCTACTTGCAGTGCGAGAACCATCCGCCCCTGTGGTCGACCACTCGAGCCTGCGTGCGTTGTTTGATGTGGACGTGACATTCCAATCCAAAGTGACAGCCCTCGGTCATCGATCGGCGCATGCTGCATCCCTGAACGAAGTTTGTGCAAACCGCGCCGAGAGTCTCAATTGGAGCGTCACGAGGGTGGGGGCGGTGGAAATCGCTGCGCTTGCTGTCTACGTTTCGTTCACAAATCGCAACTTAATTGTCCTCAAGTACGTGTGACATGGGGGCGTTTTGAATGTGTCAAGTGAGCTCTCTAGTTTGTCGGGCAACCAAATTGGTCCTATCGGGTGCGCAATGCTCGGGAAAGCCCTCTTGACCAACAACACGCTGGAAGTGCTGGATTTGAGCTGCTGCGACCTCACGGGAAGTCCCTTTCGACCAAACTACGACGGTGTCATGGCGCTTGTAAAGGGGCTCGAGAGCAAGCGGTCGATGTTGCTGCATCTAAAGTACGAGTGTCGTGCGGTCACCTGTATGTACCTCATGAGGACCTGCTAGCGTGGCGAACACGGCCCTTCTACCCACAGGAGTCCGCCTCATTTCCACGTCCGTGGCATTCCACCCATCGTTGACATCGCTCAACATCTCCAACAACCAAGCGGGCCTCTTTCGGGACAAGCAAGGGTATTTGGGCATTGCCAACCTTCTGCGGTACTCGCCGCGGCTCACTTCGCTCGACATGGCGCTCAACCCACTCGAACGCAATGCTCGACCAGCCCTCGTTGACGCTTTGCAAGCCAATTGCACCCTCACCACGTTGAACGTAGCCAGGTGTGCCTTGGGCAAGTTGGACTGGTCTGACCAGACAACGTACCAACAGTTGCGCGTTCTCGAATGACGGGCGGAGTCGTCGTTTCATAAGTTATCGAGTTATTCTTACACTGTCGGAAGTCTCTGGCTGCTCCGAGAACTTGCTGACGCTTGCTTTTTGCGGGATTGAGGCACTGTCGTCATGGCGCGCTCCATCGGCGTGACGGGAAACCCGACGGATGATCGGTCTCCCAATGTAGACGGCGTGTTGTTCCAGTACAAGTCGTCGGCTTTCCTCGCGTTCGATTTCGATGGACTCCAGACTTTGTTGAGAATTTTCCACTCATGGAATGTCGAGAGATCTTCTTCAATGTACCGGGTGCTTGCCGACGCAGCACGCGACGCCACTGCCTTTGGTGGGTTCTTCTCCGGCGGGGGAGGATGCCGCTGCAAATCTTTGACCTGTCCTTCTAAACTGACCACCTTTTCGCGCAACTCCTGCTCACGGTCTCCATGGTCACCGTGCATTCGACGTGACTGCGATTCAAAATGTTGCTCTACCTCGATAATCTTGAGGGCTTCTTGCTCGCGCTCCCGCGACACATGCACGGCCTGCCACGATCTCTCGCATTCCTTGTCGCAACAAACGTCAGCGGCTATCGAACGAGCCATGGCCGACAGACCTCTTTGAAGAAGGCTAAGTTTTGTGCGGCGACTTCGTGGACCTGGAGCTGAGTTTGGAGCTTTGTCACTGGAGGCCACGTCAGGGCCCACGATGTAGGAAGGAACGGTATACATGCTTACCGTTTAGGAGAAGCTCTGCCCTCAGCTCGCGGCACTACGCGCAAAAGTCGTGAGATCGAAAACGCTGGACACACTTGCCTTTGCCATGAGCGTTTGTTCCCGCTGTACACTCGATCGCAGCGCTCCACTTAGTTGCGCGTACTGCGCCTTGAACCATTCGAACAGTTTGAGGACTTGTCGCTTCTGCGCCGCCTCGCTCGTCTCGCTTTCGAGGATGCTCACGGCCTGGAGAAGTTCCTCTGCTTGAGACTCTGTGTGACTTAAATTGGTCGTTGACATGGTGCGATGCATGTCGTTGGTCTCGATGAGCTGCGACACGGACGCCGTGGGCAATTCGGACGAGCTCTTGCGCAAGACCGAGCTAGTCCGTCGGGCGCCGCCGCCATGCACGCTCGACTTTCGCCGCGCCATGCCCGATCGACTCGAATGTAACAGTTTCGCTGCGTTACACATTCATCATTATGTGCAGGTACCGATCCATCCTTCAATGGAATGGTATTCCAGCTAAACTTGACAGTCATTCATCCCCTGCAAGTCGTTGCTCTCGTGCGATGGCGAGCCATCTTGTCTAGCGAGACGTCTTGAGTGCCTTCTCGCACGCGTGAATCGAATCCTGCAAACTCTGAGGATACGTCGCTTCTTTCTCGAACGCCTAAACGTTCGCCGAGGTGAGCCGGGTTGCTGCGGTGCGATCAAGTCTTACATTAATCTTGTCCAAGTTTGCGGCAATCGCATCGAGAGTCATCTCGTTCGGGGAAATCACGACGCCGTTGCTCCGTTGCCATCGGACCCTTGACACCCATCCGGCCCCGACTTCGTACACGTGGCCAGACACAGCGCAGTCTTCGTGGCAAAGATACCCCACAAATGGAGCGACAAATTCGGGCCGGAGGCACTCGAGGACGTGTGGCGACGCGGTCTCGATCGTTTCCGTCATTCGAGACATGGCGAGCGGGGCGACGACGTTCACCTTGATGTTGCTGCGGCTACCCTCCTTGGCGGCCGTGAATGTAAAGCCCGCAATGCCCATCTTGGCCGCGGCGTAGTTGGTCTGTCCGATGTTTCCATACAGGCCGGACGCAGACGACACATTCACGATGCGACCGTACTTTTGTTCACGCATGTGGGGCCAAGCCGCCCTCGTCACACTACGAGATCGATCATGCGCCATTCAGCGCCATGTTTTGATGGAGACACCCCTTGCCTCATGGTGCCGTTCAAGTGGACTCGCATGACGAGGTCCCAGTCGTTCTTGGTCATATTCTTGAGAGTCACGTCGCGCAAAATGCCTGGGCTCGAAGCATGAGATGTACCATTTTAGTCCATGGAGCATGGCCTCTACCTGCATTATTGACCACAATGTCCACACGCCCGACTACGTTCAATGGAAATCCAGTCACAATCATGGAGAGGAGAGGGGTGCGTACGTACACGCATCGAGCGCCGCTTGCACAACGGTGTCTCCATCCTCAACCGACGAGTAGCTCGGCACAGCGGCATCTTTGCCGTGCAAGGACTGGATTTCACGCACGACGGCGTCCGCCGCGCCCGTTTGTGTCCCAACGCCATGGCGGTCGCCACCAGTGTCGTTGACCACAACTTTCGCCCCGAGCTTGCTTAAATACAACGCATACGCTTTTCCGAGCCCGTTTCCAGCGCCCGTCACAATCGCCACTACGGCATTCTCTCGCATCAGTCATGGAGCACCCAGATGCGGCAGGAAATCCGTCGCACGCACCGCGCGGCGAAAAGTGCATTGCCATGACAGGGCAACCAGATCGCCAAGATGGAATCCGGATACGGTGAGGCAACTGGGAAAATTCCCAACGATCAAGAATGGGTGTATTTTTGACTTGAAACGCTTGGGAGTTGCGGCTTTTCACGTGGCGCAGTAGTGCGTGTTGGTTGTGGTCGTGGCGGCGATGGACATTGCGTCGGCGGCAGCGATCGTAAATTCGATCAATAAGCTCGAGAACAAGGGCAAGGAAACAGTCAAGGTCGTCGTGCGATGTCGGCCGTTGTTTGGGAAAGAGATCGTGGAAGGGCGGCAGTCGATCGTGACGATGGACTTGGCGGCGGCCGTCGTCTCGATCAAGTGTCCTGACACCGACCAGCTCAAGAACTTTACGTTTGATTCCGTGTACGATGAAAACACGGTGCAGGTAGGACGTTCGTGCAGGCCATCGGCACGCGTTGCCCACGACTGGTGTGGTACGGGTGTAGCGCCAATTCTACGACGAATCAGGGTACCCCTTGGTTGAGAGCATCTTTGAGGGGTACAACGGCACGATCTTTGCCTACGGACAGACCGGGTGCGGGAAGACCCACACGATGCAAGGCAAGGACAGCCCTCCCGAGCTCCGCGGAGTCATCCCGCACGCGTTCGACCACGTGTTCGACAACATCAATGCCGACACGGAGCGCGAATACATGGTCCGCGCCACGTACTTGGAGATTTACAACGAGGATATTCGAGATTTGCTCAGTGACGACTCGAACAAGCAAAAGCTCGAGCTGAAAGAAAGCGCCGACGGCGGCGTGTACGTCAAGGACTTGACTGAGGTCGTCGTCCGTGATGTCGTCAGCATCAACAAGTACGTCAACCAAACAGACGAGTCTGTACGTTGGGTCATGTATCTTGGCATGTGCACAGAGTCATGGCCAGAGGATTCAAGAATCGAACGGTCGGCGCGACGTTGATGGTACGGCGCGAGTTTGACGGTGGCTGTCACATGATCGTTTTGCGTGTTCAGAACGAAGGGTCGTCCCGCTCGCATTCGATCTTCACGATTGTGGTCGAAGTCAGTGAGAAAATCAATGGCGAGGAGCGGTTTCGAGCTGGCAAGGTGAAAACTATGGCAGCTACACGCATGTCGTGGATGCTCAGTGTAGTCTGTAGCTGAACTTAGTCGACCTTGCCGGGAGTGAGCGGCAGAGCAAGACGGGGGCCACCGGCGCGCGATTAAAGGCACGCTGGCGACGCAATCTTCATCTTGTCATGCTCCTTCTTCATAGGAAGGATGCAAGATCAACTTGAGTCTATCGGCTCTCGGAAATGTCATTTCTGGTGAGAATTCACACACTACCCTCCTCAGCCAAACCATGCGGAGCTGACGCTCTTCACTAGCCCTCGTGGACGGCAAAGGCAAACACATTCCGTATCGAGACTCGAAGCTGACAAGGCTGCTTCAGGTACCTCAGCACGATAGTCTGTTCGCCCTTCCGACTGCTTGTAGGACTCGTTGGGTGGCAATACCAAGACTGTGATGGTGGCAGCCATCAGTCCAGCAGATTACAACTTTGAGGAAACCCTGTCGACCCTTCGGTATGCGAACCGCGCCAAGAACATCAAGAACAAACCGACGGTCAACGAAGACCCGAAGGACGCAAAGTTGCGCGAGTACAAGGCCGAAATCGAGCTGCTCAAGCAAATGCTGGCGCAGCAACAGGGCAGGTTAGTTCGAGTTGATGGTGGCTCGATGTCAAATATTCAACAATCACAACATGCCGTCGTAAATAGCATAACGCCCCCAGACTCTGCGACAGCGCCCTTCGTTGGCCGAAGAGGTGGCTCCATCGCTTTTTCGAAGGACATGGTTCAAATATGTCGCCGTAGGTGCCTCCCCGCACACGCAACCCATGACGCTCGACGAGGTAAATGCACTTTATGTTGCAATTCATCAACTCTTTTTACTCGAATAGGAAGCAAGTGCAATCTTGGGTCGTGTCCCGACGCCGCCACATGCAGCACCACACAACGACAGCGCCATCCACCGCAGCACCACTGACCGCGAGCGCGAGCTGAATGTGAAATCGCAGGAATTGCAAGAACAGATTCAACGGGAGAAGGAGGAAATTCAACGGCAATTGAAGCTCGAACAAGAATCAATCGAAAAGGCCAAAGCAGATGCAGCCGAGATGATGGAAATGGCGCGTCGTATGATGGCCGACGTGCAATTGGCGTCGGCATCGTCAACGCCACAGTCGCATGTGACGCGGAGGGTACCGACACCGCCACTGCAGCCCGTTGTGTCAAGTCCAATTGTCGTGGAATCGCAAGAGTCGCCTCCGCCTCTGGAAGCCCCACTGCAGGAAGCTTCCCCCGTCATCCTTGCTTCGACCTCAGTCAGTCCTCCGGAGGCATCTCCGTCGCGCACGACGGAGCTTGCCCCACCAACATCCGAGCCAACCCAACATGTTGCGACCCCTCCTCCGCATGAACCGACACGAGATGTAGAAAAGGAACTCGAAGGCCAACGGCTTCAACAAGAGCAGGTCGACGCGCGTGAACGGGAGCTCCAATCCATTCGGGAAAACGAGATCGCGCGCACGCGAGAGGTGGAGGAGACGAAAGCGAAGGCTGCCGAGATGATGCGTAAAGCTGAGCGCATGATGGAGGAAGCGATGGCGCGGGCCGCTCAGCCGCCCAAGGTGAAAATTGTCAAAGAGGTCGTCGAAGTCGTCCGGGAGGTCGTGCCCGACGACCACGTAAAGGAAAAGGAAGCGCTAAAAGAGATGAACCAAACCATGCTCATCCATCGCGACCAAATGGCCAAAGAACTCGAGCGCACTCACCTGGTACGTCAGTGCGGTCACTTGCGACGAATCTAACATGTCCTCCCAAAGGCAATGGAACACCATTTGCGGGAAAAGTCCGAGCTCGCCAGCAAACTCGCCAAGATCGGGTCACAGATCTGTGGCACAAAGCATGACGACGACAAAGTCGATGCCGAGGTGGCAATTTTGAAGCAGCAGGTACCGCGAATCGGTCGCAGCTCTATAACACGATGTGGCCAACGATGTCGGCAGGTCGAGTTTCGACGGGCGCAGATCAAGCTCAAGATGAAAAAGAAAAAGGAAATGCAGCTGGAGATAGCGCAGCAAGCACTCCAGGCCGAGAAGCAGAGTGTCGAAGAAGAACTCAAGACGGCCCAAGAGCAAGCGCAGGTGAACAATGCTGCGTACAAAAAGAAGCAATCCAAGTACAAGGCAAAACTGGAAGCGGCGAAAGAAGAAGTCGCTGACTTGCACAAAGAGTTTGCGCGCGAACGCGAGAGCCTCATGGACACGATCCACCAGCAAACTCGCGAAGTCAAGCTCATGGAGCAGCTCGTGGAGCTCTTTCTCCCACACAATGAACTGATCAAAGTGTGGGAAAAGGCAGTGTGGAATGATGACAAGGACGAGTACGTTGGTGCATTCAGTAGCCCGTCGACGTGTTAGGCGCTGTTCTCGACATTTGCCGACGACATACGCATGACGGACACACCATTCTAGATGGCAACTTCCACGCATCAAACCACGCGGCGACTTCACCAACATGAAGCTTCCGTCGCTTGGAGGAGGCGGGTCGGCAGGCTTTGCCCCCATCGACCGCCCTTTTAGCGGAGGCGAGACAGGTGGCGCCGAGGTCTGTGGCACCGACATACCCATGAGCAATCGCTCCAACAAGTCACGAGGCAAAACGCGCGGAGTACGTGCCATTTCTCGTTGTAACACCGCGACCAACGTCCCCCATCGTTGTAGAAAATCGACGCCATCTCAAGTCGAGGGGAAGATCATGGCATGGACCTGTTGATTCCGCTGAACGACGTAAAGACCAAGTTACCAAGTGCGACCAAGAGCGCGCGGCGGGACAAGTGCGACGATTCGATCGAAGGCACGTCAAAAAAGGCAGCAGCGTCATCGTCGAGGAAAAAGGAGAAGAAGAAGAAGGACAAGCTGCCTCGAGACGACGCGCTGCAAAACAACGGAGGCGGACCTCTAAACAGTCTCAGCCCTTCGCTCGAGCCTTTGATTCACGCTGTACGGCCAAGACAATCCACGTTGAATGAGACAAAGATGGACTTGTAGGATGAAGCAACGACACCAAGCGACCAACTCGTGTGCCCAGTCGATATGGACTACCAGCCGCGCGACCGACTTCAGTCACGGCAAGGGTCTCGTCAAGGCAGACGCGTGGCGGATACAAAATCGTCCGGGCTCGGCGACACAGAGGACCCTCCGGCGCGGCGTCGGCGCAAGTCGGCGCATAAAACCCCCGATGACGACAAGGACGCCGATGGCGAGGGGAAATCAAAGAGGAAGAAGAAGCGTGACAAGGGGGACAGGACCAAAGATAGCGCGCCTCCCGTGTCAGCGCCGTCGGTCGATGTCAACCTGGCCCACTCCCTGGCGGCACCATCCCCGGAAGACCCCGACAACGACGACGTGTGGGAGGACTTTCCTTAAGTTATTGAGCCGTGTTGACTTTCATTGTTCGCGTCATTCGTGCTAAACCAACGGAGACGTCCATCCGCTCGCCTCCACACAACCGACCGTCTTGAGTTGACGCGTTAGCGCTTGGCAGTCTTTCGCGGATTCGTGCCCCCCCCTTGGCGCATCTTCTTTTGCGCTTGGAAAAACGCCAGCGAGTCGGGATCTTGCGCTCGGATGCGCTCGACTTCCATTTGATCGAACTTTTCACCTTCATCGAGCTTGTCTCGGTCGCCATCGTCGCCATCCTTGGCTTGGCACCCACCGTCTTGAAACCACTCTTCGAACTCTTGGATGAGCTGCATCCGAAGCAGCTCGATGCTTCGTTGGGTAAAGTCGAACTCGTTTTTGACTTCCTTCAAGTCGTCGTACAAGACGCGGTAGTCTCGCTTTGCCTCGCGCTCCTTGCGCATGAGTATAAACTCCTCTTCGTCAACGACTTCCTCGTCGTCGTCCTTTGTCTGCTTCTTCACACTTGCCAGTTTTCGTGCCACGCGCTTCTCCCCGAGCTGCTGCTTCAAGTCGTCAATCAGCACCTTGGTCGCGTTCAGTTGGCTCGTGACGTCCCGTGCGCGGTCCTTGGCTGTTTTTAACGTCTGCTTTTCCTCTTGGAGCGACAGATGCAACTTCTTTCCAGGCCCCGACGCAATGAAAAACTAGGTAGTGCACACAGGTCAGCTCGCTCACTTCATGCTTTCCCAAGCTCACTCGTTTACCTTGTACGCGTCGTCCTTGCCCACTTCCACCGGATCCCCCTTGGTGTCGTTGTTGCTTTTGTCGTCGGCGACGTCCACGGGTGACGCGTCGCGGATGGCGCTGTCGTCAGCACAGATTCCCCCGTCCTTTTTCGCCGCGGCATCCATGACGGCTGGCATGGCGCCATTGGGGGCGTGGCCCAGCACAAAGCCAACATGGTCCTCTGGATCGCCGACGAGCTTGTCGTCATCGTCCAACGTTGACCCGTCCAGCGTCCCATTTTCCCGGGACACGTTGGATGTCGACGATCGCGTGGCAAATGGCTGCGGCGACGCGCTCTCGGCGTTCTTGAGCAAGAGCTTGAACTGCCGAAACAACTCCTTGATGTGCCGCAGACTCGTGAGCTGGAGCATGGCGTCGTCGTCGACGGGGCTGTCCACATACGCCCGGACCATGCGCATGAGTTCAAACTTCTGCTCGGCCGTGTGTTCGTCATAGACGACGCCTGTCCGCTCGACGAGCGCGTCGTGCATCGTGAGCTCTTGCTTGAGCTCCTTGATCTGTTTCTCGTACTTTTTGATCAAGATGGTCGGGTCCGTCTCCACGATCGACGTCACTTCGTTTTGGACACGCATCATGCGTTGGGCCAACTTGAGCGTTGAGATCGTTTCCTCCAAGTGTTTGCTCTCGCCCTAGACATGTGCTAAGGGAAGAAATGCGTGAGGATGCCGCGTACCCACACACAGGCAAACATGAGAGTGTTACAGTTCCCTCCCAACGAGTCCTTGAGCACGTTGGTGAGCTTTGTTTGACGGTATGGGATGTGCCGCTGCTCGCGCGCCCCCAGGGCTACAATGCACTGCTCCAGGAACGTCAAGCTCTGGTTGATGTACATCGATTCTTTCTTGATCGTGGACTTGTGTGGGGCGTCTTCGTCCTGCATTGTCTTCTTCAGCCTCTCGCTTCCTGCGAGATCGACCAAGTGCAACTTGCTATGGATGACGTGTTCATTGCCGCCCGTGCGCGATTTCTGGCCGACCGGGACGATGTGCTGAGAGGACGACAGACAAGAGGGGAAATCCAAATACCTGGGAAATATGAAAAGTGAAGATGCAGTGCGATCGGTTCGACCGCTTGTTCAATTGATGCTCAGCCACCGTACGTCGCAATTCACCATTGAATAGCTGGTCCAATGCATCCTTCTCCGTTGCGGTCTCGACTTGCGTGAGACCTCGAACGTACGTGCCTTTGGAATCTTCAACGATCACGTATTCGTGCATGTCCGTGTCGTCGTCGGGGGCCAAGAGGTCGAAGATGCGATCGTTGTAGATTTCCATGTACGACACATGCACTGTCGACTCGATTTCGATGCGGTTCTCCATTTCTTGAAACACTTGAGCGATCGCGCGTGGCGCAATGCCTCGGTGCTGATAGTTGCGCGTGTCGCCGATCATGGTGAAGGTCTTCCCAGCCCCCGTTTGTCCGTACGCCATGATCGTGCCGTTGATCCCATCGACTATCGTACCATGGACGATGTCGCGTGCAATCGCTTCGTACACTTTATCCTGGCCGGCGTTCTGAAGCACTTGGTGAAACTTAAACTTCCACGAGTCCTTCTTGTTCGACGGCACCATGTCAACCTTGTTGTCGGCAAGCGAGATCTCGATCGTGTTCTCATCTTGGTCGATGTGGATCTGGTTTTGGGCGAAAACGGCCGTCGGTCGCGCCCGGATGATCACCTTGACACCGTTCCGTCCCATCGCCGCAGAATACACAATCTTTTGGTGAAGGGGCACGGACAGAATTATCCGGATTGGCCGTTAAGGGCGGTCTTTTCATTAAACGTAGTACACTAATTGCGTTTAACGTAGGGGACAGGCCGGTTGGATATGACATTATCCGGTCATGTTGGAGATGCCACAAGTTTGGAACCAGTTTGGCATGGTCGTGCGATCTACGTGGCGGCACTTGGTGTTGCTGGCACTCTTTGTCTTCCATGGCAGCGTTGCGGATACCGTCCATTCGACATTGAATGATGGAGAACAAGGGACATGCTCGTTGGAGGATGCCGCATGCAAGCAACTGTCACTTCCCCTTGATCTCATCGTCGGTGTTGGGTGCAAGCCCAAGAAGCTTGACTACGTGTCAAAGGCCAAGAACAGCAATACGGCGGAAAACTGTGGCGAGGACGCGTATTATGTTGTTGGAGACAGCAGTTTGCTGCGGTATGCTAGCGTGGGGGTTGCAGATGGCGTTGGCGGGTGGCAAGAGAACGGAGTCGATCCATCGGCGTTTTCGTTTGCGCTCGTCGACGGCGCCAAAGAATCGTTCTCACGAGTGACGGCATCTAAGGAACAGCCTCATCCTCGAAACATGATGGAAGATGCATTCGTCCACGTCAAGGCTGGTGGCGACAAAAACCCTGGAGGGTCCACCGCGGTGTTTCTCGTCCTCGATAAGCTCTCCAAGAGCTTGGAGACGGCAAATTTGGGGGATTCTGGATACATCGTCATTCGGAATGGAGCCAAGCACTTCCGAAGTGTCGAGCAGACTTGGGCTTTCAACGCGCCCTATCAGCTGTCCTTGTATCCGTCGTGGATGCGAAACGGGGGCGACCACTACCTTCCCAAGGACGCGTTCACCACCAAGCACACGATGCAGCATGGGGACATTGTCATCGTGGGGTCAGATGGACTGTTTGACAACGTATTCGATGAAGAGATCCTCACTGAAACAGACAAGTTTCTTGGCCACGTGCTGAAGGCGCATCCAGACTTCGCAAACCACCTCAAGTCGAGCAACGTGAACGCGCTTCAACCCGAGGTCGTATCGGCGCTCAAGAAGGCCATGATGGACTTGTCGTACTCGCTGACGTTAATGGCGAACACATTTGCACATGACAAGTCCCGCGAGTCCCCGTTCTCCAAGCTTGCAAAGGAAGGCTACGGGTATCAGTTTCAAGGCGGCAAAGTGGACGACACGACGGTGCTTGCCGTGTACATCCATGCGAAAGCCCACGACTGAGTCGGTCGCACGCATTACCGCGCCGACATCGCATGAGATGCTAACTATTTCTCGCTGGAAAGATTGGCGTTGTGCGCTGCTGTCCCTGGGGTCGTCGGCAGGAATCCTCTGCCGTCGTTCGTGTCGGAATAAAATTGTCTGGTCGGCAAATTATTATTTTGCATTATCTTGCCTTTTGCATGGACGAGGGATAAAAAGACGAATGTCGTTCCGATTGCATGCAATTTCATCGATTTTGCCATGGAGACATCGTGGACCAAGATGATCGAGCACGTGAAGGTTGCCGGTCAAGACTTGAGGGCAAAGGGGCGGAAAATGTGGAGCGGCATGGATGCTGCAAAGGATATGCTTGTGAATACCGTGCTGCACCATACGGCAGGACAATTGACCGTCGTCTCTGTCGCGGCGTACCTCAAGCGCAAGTCTCTGCTGTGCGATCTCGTCGACATGGATTGCCAGTATCTTCAGATGGTCCATGTTATGGCTGACGAAGAGCTCATGGAGAGTCTTCTGCGTTTCCACATACACGTGCCGACCGTCCCATCGCGTGAGTTGATGGTACAGGTTCTGTATTCTGTCAAGGAGAATTCGTTCTGGAGAGATCACTACACCATCCACCCAAATGCATACCGCGTTCGGCCGTGGCTTGCGTCGCATGGTTATATCCGACGCATGATGTGCGACGTCCAAGCCAAAGTGCGAGCGCTGAAGCACCTCGATCCACCCGCTTTGACGAATCCCATGCTCGATGACATTCGATGCAGCTTTCAATCGCTGCACTCGGCAGTCCAACAACACAACGAACTCGAAATTCGAGTTCTATTTCATGCGCTGGCGCAGCATGTACTTCATGACATCGGAGCTCTCGACCATCTTCTCTTTGTCAATTCTGACGCGTACTACCCCGATCAAATTCTCAAGTGCATCCGCCACATGCAAGGCGTCCTCACCAATGACCAAGACAATCCCCCGACAGCGTCCACTGGCACGTCCTCTTTCACAGACTGTCACGAAGACGACGTCAAGGCCCATGCGATGCTCGCTAAGTCGATGCCTGCAGCGAATGCTGCAACCCAAGACACCGACGCCATGCAACAATTCATGGACGTGTACTTTGACAGCATCGAGAACAAGCTGCGAGAAGAGGAAGTCGCCGTCACAGTGCGGTGGCTGACCCTTTCGTTCGAGGCACATCGCACAATTCTTTCACAGTTGCCTGCCGAAGCAAAACACTTCGTGTACCGTACGCCCTCAGCAGTGTGGACAGCGCCTCCATAATTGGAGCAGAAATTTCGAGTTGGGTTTCCACGGCATGGATTCAGCGACTATATCTCGTGTACGAGAAAACTCAACCATTTGTCAAGAAGTCCATGGTAGCGTTGTCGACGTGCGGGTCTGGCGCACAAGCGGAGTGCTTGCCCTTTCGTGGTGGGAGGTGCCTTGAGTCCGATGTGGCGTCAGCGACATAGCTTTCACCAAGGTTGCATTGGACACCTCGTGGCAACAGGCAGGCGCTCTCCATGACCGCTGACTTGACTATCCTTCACGCTTCTCGTCACGACACCTCTGCCACCACCACTGTCACGGTCACATCGCGCCAGCAACGACAGCCACTGCCTCCCCATCGGCCTCCCAGCGACCCCACGCTTTGCCCACCGCGGCATCTTAGTGTAGGTATGATGCCATGTCTGGAAGTCAACGGCCTCTTGAATGGATGGGCACCTCTGCATTCTCCTTGGACACGTCCGCCCTGCCAACGCATCAGCAGCACACCAAACACCATTGCCCGCGATACCGTCAGTCAATGTGCTACCATCGGCATATCAGTCTTGGGTATGTTGCCTGAAGAGTTGTTGCGTAGGACTGGACAACCGCCATGAAAAATCTCACGACTCCCGAAGTCTCACCCCCATCGCGACTACCACTACCGCTGCCACCAAAACCACCATCGCCTCCACCATAACGCTGAGGCTGATGAGACCTGGTGATGGAGAGAAATCAGGCGGCTGTGGTGGAGCTAGTGGCGGCAGCAGTGTCTAGGATGGACGGTAGCGGTCTTGAAATTTCATGCCATGTGAAAGATGCCGGTGACGTTGTGATGGTGTCTGACGAGGACAGCGCAACGGAGGTGTCTCGACGACACATTTTGGTTGCGCGATGCAATGCCGTCCAACCAAGCTGCATTTGCAAGGCAGCTGCCTTGAGGCAGCTCATTCTCGTACTGCTTGGGACACCTCAGTCACTCTTGTGCACATGAAGAAGCCGACCAAGTGAACAGCTTTCACCGGTCCGTTGTCTGCATTAGCGGCTCCTAACGTGAGGGTAATATTACCCCAGAGAAACCCTGAGTACCGCTGCACCATGAAACGAGGAAGGAAGTCCGTGTCAAGGACGCTGCCTGCACGTGCTTGGCCGACCTCTGCACCGCACCACCGAGTTTTCATGCCGAGTACCATTGGAAGCATCGGTTGGTCTGGGCCAAGCGCGGCCAAGGCCGTCGATGCTGCGCTCGATAAGCTAGACCTGTCTCGTTCCACGCAAACCCCCGCGCGATGCTGTCTGACAGTGAACTTTTGTACCAAGAACATAGCGAACTCGACTGTATTGGTTGCGAATGACACGTGAAAAACCCTTTGTGCCCAGAGCAGCGAGCGCAATCCTCCCAACACACGGGAACATTCCAAAATGCGATTCCAACTTCACAACAAGCGCAACCCTCTCCACAGCAAGCGTTCTCCACCATGATGCAACTACAACGCAACACCTTGTTCATATAAATAAAGTGTCCCCCGTTCCGTTCAAAGCATATCCGCTTCCTCGTCCGCATCACTGCCACCTTCGTCAAGTTCGCTGTTCCTGTTGGCGTTGTCGAAGAGCACCCGTTGGACTTGCTGTTTGCGCTCAAGAAGCGCCAGAGCACGGCGGATTTGGCGCGCCTCTTCTTCGAGTTCATTCGCTGACCACCGCAGCTGCGAACAGTGCGACGTCAACTCAGTCACGTACGTCTGGACGCTTTCCCATTGCGCAACATCGTCGTGTATCGCGGCGGCTGGCACTCGACACGCTGCGACGGTCGGTTCGGTCATGGCGTCGCTCTTTCAAGATGAGCCAAAATTGCGCGGGGAATTTCGTGCGTGGCAGTTACGTTTTCGGGGGTTGCGACGGTTGGGCGAAAACGGATGGAAATCCTGCCGCCAGCGGCAACGCGTCGTAGTTGACCTCCTGCCGCTAGTGAAGGAGGGCACGCCCGCAATGTACCGCAGGTGAGCTGCTGTCGCTAGGAAAGCAGGACAGGATGCTAATGCGTCGAAGGTAGTGCACATTTCTCAGGACTCCTAGCCCAGGAGACTCCACGCTGTCGCACAGGTTGGAGTTGATTGCACGCACATGGCTACGGCGGAGATACAGGCAAGTTGTGGTGAGGTACATGTGCATCTGTGGCCAAGCACACTTCGATGGTCGTGAGGTACAATGACCCGTTGGCGGAGCAAGCTGTACAGCCTCTCGTTCCCATTACGCCTTCGCTTGTGCATTTCAGACAAATCCTCGTAAGATGTGACGAGCTAGTAGGGTCTCTAAAGCAGTGATGGATTGTGGGCATTGGCTTTTTGGTGATGACTGCTACGTTGACGGAGAGGGTTAGTCTGCAGCAAGGACCGGAAGACGCCGCACTCGTTGAGGATGGGACCCTTCGCGTGCATGCGCTATGTGTGCAAGAGTCTCCAGTCGTCGTTCAACCATCTGCACTTTCGACCAAGCGGCTCTTATTGCTAAAAGTGCACACTCTCGAGTTCGGGTGCTGCATGTTGCACATTCTTCGGTATCCCGGTGTCGGACCTGGGTTCGTTGACCTGGAAGGTGGGTCGAGCAGTAAGTTCTTGTTGCCCACACCTTGGTGAATGCCCATGAGATAAAGTAGTCTTGGAAGACTCATTGCCATGATCAGGTCGTCATCGATAATGGTTGTGACGCAGCGGCAGATTCATGGAATGTGGCCCACTTGTCCGGATACGGCGCACATGAACGTTACAAAATCGCAGTGCAAACCACTATCTCGTATCCGGAATGGTCCACTTCAACTTGGTGCATCTGCCCTTTCTCGGCAAGTTGGTTGATGCGCTGGCACCATTCAAGCACTTGCCATGGCATACAAAAGCAGCAGCTACGGGACGCAACATGCTATGGTGGAGACTGGGCTGTTGTCTGGCGATCGCGCGTCCAAGACGAAGTCACACGTCACGCGACTCGCCTACTTCCTCCTGCTAAACGCGGTTGCTATAGCTGTCCTCGTCGTGCTGGGGATTTCAATGCACACGTCATATGTGCAGCGCGGCGAAGTGTTTCGAGCGTCCCATGCGCAAACAGCCAATATGCAGGCCGCAGCGCTTCGCGTGGAACAAGCGTCGGGAAGAGTAGCTGCCATCGATGTGTCGGAAGACGATCCGAACGCTGCGGTATCGCCCACGGCGGCATCGTCCCACTTGGCCGAACTCCAGCGTTTGACGAAACTACTTGGTAGCATGCCTTTTTCCATGCTGCCGACTAAGTATGCCACCAAGCATGTCACGCCGCACAAGGATCAAATCCGACGAGGAACGTGCTGGGACTTTGCCACGATCAGCTACTTGGAGTGGTCGTATCGGGCCAACGGCGTCGCCAAGGGATTTCTCGACGATCGGGAATACGTCGCCTTTTCGGAGCAGGCTTATGGGACTCGTGTCGTGAATCTGTGTGCCGGACCCAAGACATCCCCACAACAAGTTGTGTGCCGAGTCGCCGGTGACGAAGTACGCCTCGAGTCTATGAGCTGGGTCGTGAATGTGCAATCATGTAGGTGTGGAACAACTCAACGGAGGGCGGCGAGAGTTCAGCGTTGTTTTACATGGAGGATGGGTTGAAGGACTCGATTCTCCCAGAAGCCGTATGCCCGTACGTTGGCGCGCACGGGCCGTCCGAATTGCGCTGCGACGGCATGGACGAAGCGCTACAAGACAACCCTGTCCGCTTCAACATGAAGGTAAGCACGCCCTATTTTGCGTCATCGCCCACGCGATCTAGAAAATGGACACGTTCTACGACGACTTGACGGTCAAGCGAGAGCTGGTCAAGCAGAACGCCGCGCTCGACTTGACCACGTCGCTCGCGTCCGTCGTGCATTTTCTTCCGTGCTTGCCGGAGTTTTACGATGCAGGACATTGCGCTCCCGAGTCGTGCACGTTGTGTCCGGCGTCGTTGCCGCAATTCAAGTGCTGCATCCCGCAGTTCAGCATCAAGGCCATCAACATGGAAGGCGAATACTTCCACGACCACCAAATGACATACCTTGGGGGGCATGGCATGGTATAGGACGTTCCTTCGCCTGCGATTCGACTCGTCGACTGACCGCATTCGTAGCTTCTTGTCGGGTACAACGACGCGTTCCTGACGCAAGACGGGCACACGGGCGGGTTCATCCTCAAGAACTCGTGGGCCGATGGGGCAACGCAAGGCAGCCACTCGATCAAGTGGTGGATGCAGGACATCTCGGACTGGGAGGAGCGTGTGCTGTGCCCCAACAGCAACAGGTCCGCCCGCTGACACGATCCATTGCCATGGCTAACCACGTCGGTTTTCCCTTAGCCCGATGAACTTTTACCCGTGCGGCAACGCCCTCGCCGCGTCGACGATCCCATCCTCGATGGACCCGGCGTTTTTGCCATGTCTGGACCAAAAGACAATCATGTTCGCGGACGTGAGCAAGCAAGCCCTGCACCTGAAGTGCACTGACGCCACACAATGCAACACGGACGTCGCGTACACGTACTTTACGAAAAACTGGACCGACTACGGTGACAAAATGGTCAAATTTTGCTTTTGGGAGCTCCACGCGCCGACGAATGCGACGCGCGCTTTCTGCATGCGGCCCAACCGCCTCGTCGGCATTGCCAAGGCCATGCAGCCCATGAAAACATACCCCAACGACAAGGACGTGTGCGGGTTCTACTTTATGCCGTACGAGACGCTGCGTGTGTACAACGCTCGGTACAAGGGCTTTCGCGTCCACAGTTTCCACCTCGACTGGGACGATCGATCGTATGTGGCCAACAGGGCACGGTATCCGCAGCACAACTACACGCAGCTCGAGCTGTCGACCAAGACACAGCGCGACACCGCGTTTGCCGGCCCGTTTCCGTTTGCCGAGCACTTGGACTTCCACACTGGCACGAGCGAGGACTAAACCGATTCCATGTAATACCGCGCGCTCTTGTCGATATCACGTTTTGACACAGTCCGTGGGCTCGAAGCGAAGCAAGGTTGGCGTAGTCGCCGACGTTTGTCTTGTTGAGGATTGCGACTGTCTCGTTGGAAAAGCCGTCCGCATGGACTCGAAACTCCAACGCACAGATATCGTCGTTGCGCCACGTGCACGATTCCAATCCGTCGAAGCGTAGGACAGCACTAGGTTGGCCGCGACTGGCGCTGAGTTGCAATTGTGCCCATCCACGACAGATTGGTGCTCTTGTGGATGTTGGCAACAGCGAGCCCCGACGAAAGAATGGACCAAGTGTTTTGCAACGTGGAGGCGCACAAGCTAGTCGTGGTGCAGCCTCCTTCGGACGACATGCAGGCAGCGAATTGTCGTTTGCCGGGAGACTCTTGGATTCCAGCCACCGCGAAAGCCGCGGAACGACGGACGCATGGTGGAGGGCTCTAAGCGCGTGGAGGTGGGCGCTCCTATGGTGGTTCCATCGCAAACGTGTGGCTGCCACGCAATACCCGACAATGTTATGTTGACGACTGGTGAGGATGCATTGTGTCTACAAGACGAGGTTTTGGTGGCGACGGCGCTGCGATGGATCGTGTGGCTTGTACTGGCGAGCAAATGGAAACGGGCCATCAAAGCGGTCGGTCGCATGCTGGGGAAATGTGGACGCTTCCACGAGACTATAATCCAGGTCGGGATAGTCGGCGCGATGGGCGGCATACGACTGACGTGCCCACTCCACTTCAAAGCTGTTGACGAAAAACCCTTGGAACTGCGCCGACACTTGGCTCACTGTTGCATACGGGAGAAAGTAGAACCCGCAGAGGTCCGCGTCGTTCTCGTACACTTCTACTGGCCTACAAACGGGGAAGTCGTCGGACTTGGACTAAGCAGCAATCGAACGACGGCGTACTCGAGCGTGGTCGCCAAGGCTTCCTGGAGCATCGGGGGAAAGCATACGTGCTGGGACGAGTTGTCCTTGTGCTCGTACTCCCAAAAGCACATGACGTGCATGCGGTCGCCCCACGTCGTCCGGTTCTTGGCAAAATACGTTCGCCCTGGCACGCAGTACGTGTCATCGACGCAGGACAAGTGCAGCGGCTGGCGATTCAGCGCTGCGTACGCCATCGAATCGTCCGATAAGCACGCCGCAATGTCTACGACCCCGTCGTCTTCGGTCGGAACGTACCAGTTGAATGGACTAGGAAAAGCGCAAGGGTTCAAAAGGAAGCGACGTCATCGACGTACTTGAAGCTGTTGGGGCATACGACACGTTCGTCCCACTCGGAGATGTCCTGCATCCAGTACGCCATCGAATGACTGCCCTGCCACCCGTCTTGCCAAGAATTCTTGACAACGAATCCCCCCGTCGCGCCTTCCCGCGTCCGAAACATGTCGTTGTATGCTACCAGCAGCTACGCCAGGTGAGTGTGGTTGACAATCGAGTGGAAGGGTGGAGCAATGTACCATGACGTGGCCTCCATCCACTTGCATGCCCGAGTGCGCGAGGAATTCTCCGTCCATGGTTTGGCCGTCCGTGTTGTCCGCAGGAACGCAGCATGTGGCCATGGGTAGCTCCGGCGGGCACAACTGACACTTGGATGGGTGGCACCGGGGGTCCTTTGCAAGCCAGTCACCGACACACGGATACATGTGCTGGACTGACACGAGCGTTGTCGAGAGCGGCATCGCAAGCCCGGTTTCGACCAACTTGTGCTTGATGCTAGCTTGTTCGTAGAATGTCCCCATTGCCGTGACGTTGAACGCCAACGGATTCGACTTGCGAATGGACACGTTTTGAAGCCCAGAGCAGTCCCAGTCGTGACCTTCAGTTGGCTGGTACGGGCACACGCGGGTCGGAAACACAGAGTCCTTCAGGCCGGTTTGCAGATAATACAGCAGCGGCACTTCACCGCCTTCGGTTGAATTGCGCCACACCTAGTTGAACCAGCGATTCGTTGGATGCAAGTTGCCTAGACTCGTACACTTACGTTGTCGTCGGCAACGCGGCAAGCCCGTTGCTGTGGTGAGCCCGCGGACCCCGTGCAGAGCTCCATCACTTCGATGCCGTACGCTTGCTCGGAGAAAGACACATAGTCTGTGGCATTTAGCCACCCTTGCTCTACTCCATGCTTGCGGTACGATTGCTCGAGCGCGCCAATTGTACCAAAGTCCCAGCAAGTCCCTCTCCCAGCCTGGTCTTTGTACGGAGTCACGTGGCTCACAGCAAACTTGATCGGTAACATTGCTGCGACAACCCCGCCGCGAGTGTGATACCTAGCGACGCACACGACCATCGGTTATGGGTATGGCAGCGTGTGTCGTCGTACATGGCAGTCACCGCCGACTCGTCGATGTGGTTCTTCAACGAGGTGGACATGTGCATTTGCACACCCAACACCGCGAGTACCGTCATATTTAGAACCACCAGGACCGGGAAGCCAAGCTTACGCGTCCATGAGTGCCATCGTGAAGGTCGGTGGGTGAAAGCTCCTGCTCTCAGTACATCCACGGTCCCGTCTTGGCGGGATCCTGACCGCATGTACAGCGGAATACGTTCGTCGCTCTGAAGCATCGGGGCCGGCGGATCACTTCAGAAATGGAGTGAAGCTACTGCAGCAGCAGCGCAGATGGAAGTGTCACCCAACCAGACGTCCGTCGACCCGAGAGGCCTCGTGGGAACGGCCATGACGTGCATCATATGCTGTTCTCTTTGCATGTTCATGGCATGTGCCATGCGGGCGACCTCTGACAATTCATACATTGCTCTCGTATCCGGAATCAATGAGGACCGGCTGCAATCTGTGTCCAATTTCATCCAATCAATATATCGAATTGGCGACCTGGTCTCAAATCCTACCAATCCGCGTGGAGAATTTATCCGGAAAGAGTAGCTTGGGGATTTGCCGCCGCTTGCCCCCTCTGCCATCGTCAACGACATCATCGAGCGCAGCCATCGTCCCAGCAGGTACCAACGTCCTCGGCGGCACAGCACTACTCCGAGCAGGCTCACTGTCCATCTCGACGTCGTTCCCACCACACCATCGTACAAGCCACGATGGGCCCTCCCAAGGTAGGTCGAAATTCGAACGTGACGCACGGTGGCTGATCCAACTGTACACAGACTGACAATCTCGCCAAGAACCTCCTGGCCCGCCATGCCGAGCGCCAGCGCTTTGATTCGGCGGATTGGGCCATGTCCTTGGTACCCCTGCTCTCCGTCGCCCTTGGTGGAATCCTGTTCACTCACTGTCTCCGATTTCGACGTAGCCCATGAACACATCGCTGGGGAAAGAAGTCGCCGTTGCGCCACATGATGCAGGGTCGCCACGTGCCGACACCCCGCTCCACGAGCAAGGCGACACGGCGTCCATGTCATTCACCGCGCTTGCAACCTCGCCCGGACCAACCAAGCCCACTAGTCCAATGCCATCATCCCCACAACCTGCAAAGTCGTCTAGTCCGTCGGCCACAACATCCCCTTAATCTATCGTGTTTCGTCTTCACACTCGTTCGTGGCTGCGTTCGGGACACACGGGGCGGCGTCGTCTTGTCTACGGATGACGCGCCTGGAATTCTTTCGGCGCCACCACACGCGCATGGGGGAACGGGCCGTCGAACTTGTTGTGGTTTTGGTGGTGCGTGGACAGGTCCAAGAGTGTGTAGTTGAGGTGGGGGTACTTGTGTCGGTTTGCACCAAACGACTGCGTCGCCCACTCGATGTCGAAGCTGTTCACGTAGAACCCCTGGAATTGCGCAATGTACTGCCGAATGGTGGCGTACGGCATAAAGTAGAACCCGCATCGGTCGGGGTCGTTGGGTCGAACTTCGTGAGCCACGGGACTACCGACGCAGCGTCACGCCACTAGATGGCTTGGAACGTCGATGGACGTACCGCAGCGTGCGTGCAATGTCGACTTCAAGCATTGGCTTGAGGCAAAAGTCCCGCGACGACTCGAGCCGGGGGTTGTATTCCCACACGCACATGACGGTCATGCGGTCGCCCCAGTCGGTCGTGTTTCGAACAAAGTACGTCGTGTTGGGCTCGCGCGAACACGCTGTCGCGTCGATGCATTCCAAATGCAGTGGCTGCACGTTCACGTTGGCGTAGATGCGCGATTCCGCCGACAGACACGCGCCAACCCCTTCGTCAAATGCTTTTGTGCGGTTGAAATGCGCAGTCGACGGCGCCGTTCCGTTGTGCGGCGTCACGACCGGGGCCGCGTTGTTGCCGCACTGGTACCAGTTGAACGGACTACGTGTTTGTCAGCGACCACGACGACAGATGAAACTCGAGACAGCGACGTGCGTACTTGTACGAATTTGGACACACCACGCGTTCTTCCCAGTCGGACAGCTCTTGCATCCAGTACGCCAACGAGTGACTGCCCTGCGTCGGGCCGTCCAACCAAGAGTTCTTGACAATCAAACCGCCGGTGAATCCGTCGCGGGTAAGGAACGCATCGTTGTAGCCCACGAGCAGCTACACATGTCATTAGAGCAAACAAAGGGGGTATGGTGGCCTTCATGACGTTGTACCATTGCATGGCCGCCTTCGATGGTCATTCCGCGGTGGTGGAAGAATTCCCCTTCCATGTTGCGACTACGTCCGCCTTTCAACGGAATGCAACACGTCGTTGCGGCCATGTCCGGCGGGCACAACGTGCATTGATCCTCTGAGCAGTGCGGGTCCGAGTCGTGGCTGAAGCGCGACAGACACGGGTAGTAGTGGGTGACGTATGTGACCGGCGTGGACAACGCCATGGCTTTTTTCTGGCGAAACAACTCGTGCTTGATCGTCAAGTCTTCATACCACGTCTCCATCGACTACATGTGCCACTCGATCCACTTGACACCGACCTCGATCGGTGGGGTCACTTACATGGACAGTGAACGAGATCGGGTTGTCGGCGTGACGACGGGTCAACCCAGGGCATATCGAATCGCTGCCGTTGTTATCTTTGTAATACGGGCAAATTGCGTGAGGAAAGACGGATGCCTTGAGCCCGTATTGCAAGTAGTACAGCTCGGCCACTTCGCCGCCTTCTGTCGAGTTCTTCCACATCTGCAGCCACAGTCAACTCCGATGCGAGAGATGAATCCCTACCGAGTCGCCAGCCACGCGGCACGCCACTTGCTGGGGGGAGTTGTCTGGACCTGCACACATCTCCATAACTTCGACACCATACGCCTACGCGAGCGCAGGAAATATGAGGTGTGGGCAAGTTGCTGCTTCGATGGACCAATACTTGTTCCGAGAACGATACGTATTGGTTTTCCGAGAGATAGCCCTTGCGAATGGCTTCAGCGCGGTAGGACTGCTCCAGCACTCCGATTGTGGCAAAGTCCCAGCACGTTCCACGCATCGATTGATCCTTGCGCGGGGTGACGTGGCTGACGGCGAACTTGGGTGGAAGGAGGAGAACGGGTTGTCGGTCATGAGCTTGAAAACTCGTCGCTTGATTCGCCCTGCGTACGCCAGCATGGAAGGAATGTGGTGCGGTGGACGTAAGGACATCGACTTACAAGTAATTGTCGAGCTTGTCGCTCAAGGCATCATAACGCTGCATCGAGGCATGCATCGTCAGCGTCACGATCAGGACACACCCCATCATGGCCACGTTCAACGCGACTAGCCCATATTTTTGCATCAACGTGCGGGAGGTTGGCGGAGCTTGGTGTTTCCCCAACAAGCAGTCCGACGCGGTGGCACCGTAGGTCATCGGAATGGAGAGTGTGAAGGCAGCCACACAACTCCCCCACACTTTGTACGACGGTGGTCGATGGCTCGAAGTGGGTGGTGTATCTACGAGGTTGAAGTTGGCGCCCGTTGCCTTTCTACCGGTATCCGGACAAGTTGAACTTGGACCTTTTTTCGTACACAATGAACAGGACGGATAGTATTGCAATTCAACGACGGTGGTGATGGCCATGCATGTTGCGTGGGGTTCCTACTGTGACGTATGTGGTTGTAGTCACAGGTTCCAGGTCTTCTCCATAGCGGTTGGGATTGCGTTCGAGGTCGTCTTCGGGCGTGCTGCTTCGCCGACCGTGTCGAGTGTCGATCAACTCGATGTCGTCGTCGCGGCGGGAGTGGCGAGTGTGGCGATGGTCATCAGGAGGGCCGTGGAGTTCTCGGTGGCCCGTCTTGTGGGTGGCGTGGTGTGGGTCTTCTGGTTTCTTTGGGGTAGCGCCAACAACTCCAGTGACAGTCCATTGCAGACCAATGCCTGCAATCGCAACGACCAAGCTGGCTGTGAGATACCCCCACCATGCAGATGGAGTTGCATAGTGCCATGCTCCTCCCGCAAGGTACTGAGTACGAGGTAGCGCAATCACACACGGATACCGACCGGCAAAGTACCCGATGCCCCAGATAAACGTGAGCCCCCCGGTCAGCCCAGTGGCGACAACAAGTAGGGGCTTACCTACTAGCACTGCCAGTAGGCCCAACACAAGGGACAAGCTGGCTCCCCAGACGTACAACGCGGCGTTGGGGTTGGATGGCCAGAACAAGTAGTTGAACGAAATGTGCATCAAAATTGCGAGAGCCATCCCCCCCGACGCCCCGACAATGAAATTGCCGACTTGCTCGACAAGCATGCAAATCACCCCAATGAGAAGGCCACCAACCAAGAGCGATAGCCATGCCGCCAGCACGATAGAGGATGGATCAGGAAAGAGAATTGTTGAAAGGACGTAACTGGTAAGACCACCCACGGCAAAACCACATAGGAGGGCTGAAATGCGTAGCAATTTGAAGCCCAGGAATGCCAGAATCGCACCAGATACAATGGACAGCGCGGCCGCAATGCCAGACATCAAGTGCACCTTGCTCTGAGGGGTGCGCAGCAAGTCGAGGTTATTCTCGTCGACGGGATCTCCTTTCGCAGCTGTGTTTAACTGTGGCAAATTGGGCTCGTGCTTGAATGTCCCGCTGCCACCTCGAATACCAACATTGAGCATCAACACGACAGGGTTGTTGTCTTCACTGGCTGGGACAAGCGTCGACACTGGGGGTACAGGTGGTGCAGTCGAAACAACTCCTAGGATGTACGCAGGTCGCTGGGCAACTGCTTGCACTCCTGAGTTCAACAAGAGCACCAAGGGGTTGGAGATCACAGGCTGGGCGGTGGCCACAAGTAGTCCATAGCCCACAAGGACAAGCCGGCCGAGCGCCATGCTCCGGGTACAGATTCAAAAGTGCTGGTGAGCTTGCGCGCCAGCAACCATGTCCAACCTCTGCAGCATCGCTTCGAAAGGACACATGAAATTCCCTCTACCTTATTTGTAACCCCGCCAATGCTATTGTTCGACGCGTTCAAAACATGAATATATCACTGTACTTTGAGGATTCATACTTCAAAATCTCGTTGGGTTTTTCTCTATTTTCATCGGTTTAGGAAATATTTTATCGATACGAGTACCAAACGCTTCGATAATACATGTCACATCCTGGGCTGCATGGCGTTTCTTCGAATTGATTGGCTATAATTCAAAATTTCTGGTTGTTGATTGGTCAATCTAGCGTTTGTGCAGTACGGAGCGAACTGATTGGCTGATGTTTGAGGTGAGTGGGGCAATATCGACCGAAAGTGCAGTCTGTCGAGGTCATGGCACTTGAATCCCCCACCGCAACGGAACACGACAAGCTCATGGGTGCTGACCGCGAGGTGACTCTTTTGCAGAAGCTGTACCAAGTGGACTTGGCCGGCGCCCGAGCCATTTTCCAAACGTTTGAAGGAAACCGCATTGCGTTCTACGTGCTTGAGTTTGTCTCGTTGACTGGAGATGGCATCTTGTACGTGTTGGCGATACCTATTAGCGATGGCTAACTTTTATGCAGGTGGATCCTGACCGTGCTTCCTCTTCTCATCGTGGCGTGGGTGTTTGGGTTCATGAAGGCCATCACCCCCGGCCAGAGCCTCTTTCTCGTCTTCTTTTACTTGTGCCAATTGGTCCGTCCTTTCATGATTCTGCTACTTGTGCTTATCGATTGAATTGTAGGTGGATATTGTGTTCATCATCATCTTTAAGCTCGTGTTTCGCCGGGCCCGTCCGCCCCACCACAAGACGGACGCGCGCTTTGCCGGTCCTGATCAGCACTCGTTTCCTTCTGGCCACGCCACACGCACATTTTGCCTCGTGGGCTTGGTGTTCTACCTCGCTGCATGTACGTCGAGCCTGCTCTTGAATCGACTCGGTCTAACGGCATGGACCTCATGACGATGTAGACTACCCCAAGGCCTTGCATGACACTCTCGGGGCATGGGCTGTGAAGGGAATGCCAGTTGTGGCTGTGATGTGGGCCATTGCGATCTGCTTTTGTCGATTGGCACTGGGTCGCCACTACCCATCAGACGTGCTCGCGGGGTCAATCCTTGGGTTGTGCTTGGAATTTCCCGTCGCGGCGGTGCTCATCAAGTGCATTGCCCCGAACTTGATGAAAGGTGCGGTTGGTGTGTAAGCGAAGCGTTAGTACGAGGCAACCTCTATTTTCCATCGAGTCGATTGCGAAGGCATACGAGGTGGTTGGCCCGAGTGCCGACGTACACTGCGTCGCAATGGAGCACGGGAGACGAAAACGCATGGCCTCCAAGGGCCACCCTCGACTGCCACGTGGGTGACGTAGTGTCCCACACGTAAAACATGCCTGTCGTTGTGCATACACCGCAGTGTTCGCCTCGGGACAACATGGTAGGGGAAGCAAAAATTGCGTCATCTAGGTTGACCGAAGCGAGGACTTTGCCTTGAAGAGACCAGCAACGGCGAGTGAGTGCCACCGCAAGACTTAGGGAAAGAATCAGCTCACCGTTCGTCAAATCGACACATCGAAGGATCCCGTCATGCGAGCCGAACACGATGCGCGGTGGAGACGACTGGGGAACGACGCACGGTGTGCTGAAAATGGGCTATCTCGTGGAAAGATGAGAGGTCGCTTGGAACGGCACATGCAGTACCTTGGTTGTGCGAGCAGTCCATGCGGTAGCCCCCGTTAGCGAGGATATGCCGTACACGCAGCTGTCGGCACATGCAACGACGAGTACATCTCCTTCGGTTGCAACTAACTTGGCGAAGACGGGCGCTTGAAACTATTTCACTCACAGAGGTAAATGGTTCAGCCCTTCCAAGAAAGACTACCTGACGGGTCCAGATGGGAGGTGGCGGGTCATGGCCAGGTGCCGCTTGCAGCGACGACCACTCGTACGCTCGCAAGTCCCCTCCGATCGACGCACAAAACAGCATGTCGTTTGCAAACGCTGGCGTTGAGTATATCCTGCATGTTCACCGCAGTCAGATGGGAAAAATTTGTTCATATGGCCAAACCCGTTCTGAAAAGGCAATTTGAACACGCACACCCCGGAATGCACGTCGAGTCCGTAGACGTGGTGGTCGTGTGAGCCGCAAACCACCACGCGCTTGCTTGCAACGACGAGTGGTGTGCACTTGACTTGATCGGCTGTGGCGAAGGACCACAGCACCTGCGACCAAGTCCATCTTGCTTTAGCGCACCGTTTCATTCGACCGTCGTTACCTTGCCATCCATGCTGCGAAGGCAATAGAGATGCCCGTCGTAGCAGCCAACGTAGATGCGGTCGTCCAATGCAACGCACGACGACTCGATGCGATCGGGGAGCTCTGTCTGCCACAAGATGTCGTGTGGTGGAGAAATGTCGACGCATGTCACGTGATGGTCATGCGAACCCACGACGACCATCGGCCTCGGTGTGGCAATCACGAGGGGAGTCGCATCGATGCACTTTTTGACTTCGACCGACCATGCTACATACACATCCCAACGAGTCGCGACGACTTTGACGCGCTTGAGCCTTTTGTGGGTCGTGTCACCGACGTCGCTGGGCTGCTCGGACAACGGCCGCTGTCTCTCGTTATGTCGACATTTGCGTGGCACCATTGCTCGCAGTTCTCCGACTGTTTTCTGCACCTACGGAGCCAAAGTCCATGACAAGGCATGAAACGACTTTATCTTACGATGTCTGCAAGCTGCAATTCCACCCCGCATTGCATTCGAAGGTCGTGCTGCACCATCGTAGCAACGAGGGAGTTGCCGCCCAATTCGGCGAGTGTCAAGGCGTCCAAGTCGACGTGTTTTGACAGGACACTCTCCACACGGGCCATCAAAATGGAGTCCACAACGTCCTGCGGTGGCACACTTGCCGCCGAAGAGTTCACCTCGTTGAGGCGATCACGAAGTTGTCGTCGACAGATCTTGCCACTTGACGTGTACGGAAAGTCGGCAAACTCGATGGGAATTACACGAGTGGCGACAGCGACATGGGTGCGAAACAGTTGTTCCAAAGCGCGTCGTGTATGAGAAGCGGTAAACACTTCCGCGCCACCAGGGACACCGATGAATACCACCAACGCGTCCCATTGCAACCTCGTCGCGGTCATGGATCCTGCGATGGCGCCTACATGCCACGACAAATTGGCAAAACGTTCTGCCATGAATGAGTAAAAGCACGCCTGGAAGCCGCTGTCACATTTTGTTGTACATGAGCGAGCGAACGCCATACCTCGACAGCCTCCAAGTGAATTGCAATTCCTCCAATCTTGACTTGACTGTCGACGCGACCGCAATAGAAAAGAGCATTGCCACGCCAGCAGCACACATCGCCAGTCCTCAACCACACATTGCCAGAGCTATCCCACACAAACTTGGCTCTTGTGTCACTAGTTGCGGTCACACGAGTCAGTTGCTGTGAAATGGATGGTGGGGAGAGCTCGTCCGTACGCTGGATTCAAGTAGCCCAGCGCCAGCGGTGCGCCGGCCACCCATAATTCCCCTTGATTCGAGGCATTGTCTCCACCTTCTTGCGGTACAAGTTTGATTTTGGCTTGATGGATCGGTTTGCCGATCGGGACGCCGTAGCACTGCCACAGTTCTCGTTCTTCGGATGTCGTCGTCGCGAGCGAAAACGTTGCGAATGTGACATCACCACTTACTTCGGTGCTACCTGTCCCACAACACTTGAATCAAATGCTCTAGCCGCTGTCGCGAACAAGCACGCTGTACCCACGTACCATACAGATTGATGAATCTCGTCGTTGGGGCCGCTTGCATGGCGCGCCCAAGCAATTCCCCCGTCAGCGTCTCACCGCTGACCAGGACTGTGGTGATAGACGATGGTAACGTTTTCAACACGCTCAGCAGTACTTGGAGAACGCTTGGCACGACCGTCAAACGAGTCACCTGGAACGCCTCAATGATCGCCATCGTGTGCGCAACGTCGGCAATCAGCGGAGGCGTTGACGTCGCGTGCGGCAACAGCACAAGTGTTTGCCCGCGCCACAGAGTACCTAGGATCTCCCAGATGGCATCGACAAACGTGAGCTTGGTCGATCGAAGGACTTTCTCGTCGGGTTGAAATGGATACGCTTCCCACATCCACTGTAGACGATTTTTTGTTGCCCGACGACTCCCCACGACTCCCTTAGGCACCCCAGTGGAGCCCGAGGTGAACAGAATATACATCCCGTCTGGGTCCTGCAGCAATTCGTTGGTGGTACTTGGTTGGGTTGCCCCTTTGACCAAGACTGTCTCGTGCAGTGGTAGCGCTGCCACGACCTTGTCCACCAGCCCAATCAGGGCAATCGTCGGCGAGTCGGTATGGCACAGCATCGCCTGGACACAACCGTTTTGTAATATCCAAGTGTTGCGCTCAACGGATTGCGTTTCGTCTATTGGGACGTATACAGCCTGGGCGGCAATCGCACCACACATGGCGACAACTTGAGCCACACCAAACGGAAGGTCAATGGCAACGCACGTGATGCCCTCAAGAAGCAGTATATCTCGCATAGCCGCGATGTCCATGCCCAGCTGGCCGAAGGTCACATGAACATCAGGTCCTTCAATCGCGACCTTTGATCTCAATGGTTCTTTTGTAAACGCCGAGGCGGTGGCGACATCGGGATCCGCGCTTCCTTCCGTCATTCAAGTTCAAATTCCACTGTGAAGATTTTTGATAAAAACAACAGCAAGTACTCGAAAACATGTGAAAAGAACGTGAAAATTTCATCGAAAACATTCCATTTTCGGTATATTTTTCACCAGTTCCCACCATTGTAGAAATTGCGAACGAACTCATTGCAACCTCCACTTGGACTTGACCTCTTTCGTCATGGCATTGTACGCTTCCTTTGTGTCTGCTCGCTCGCAGTACGCGTTCGAAGGCAGGATGTATGCAAACACCTTCATCACGTCGTCCTCGTCTTTGCCGCCGCACGACACGCTCAGGTCGTTCGCAACGTGCTGGGGGCTTTGCAACTTGCCCCGCACTGACTCGGCGAGTGCTTGGGGCCCACGAAATTGCCGGCGCACTAAGTGGGGAATCAGGTCGGCCTTGATGCTGGCGATGTGTTTCTTTTCATGCAGCAGGTCCAAGACCCAATGGGGAAAAATGTACACGTGGGCATCGTACAGGTCCGTGTGCATGTTGATACGCGGTCGTCGCTTCAGCAGAGCCAACGGCATTTCCACGTCCTCGTTGCCTTCCATGTCGTCGTTCGCAAAGATTGAATGCGCGATGTGCACGACACGCGAGTCCGCCTCGACCAACCCGATGCAATCGATCATTTCCCGGTCGCGACGTGGTTTCTCCTTGGACTTGGAGCCCTTCGTAGGCTCTTCGACCATTTCCTGCTTGAGAAGCATCGTGACGCTCGCGTCATTGATGCGATGCAAGTCAGCCACATTCTGCAACACGCAATCTGTGACGAGGTCGCCAGCCACCACGATGAAGTCCGAACGGATGCGGTCCGCTACTGCGCGCAGGGCGTCCGCAGTCTCACCTCCATCACCTTCGACAGCAACCACATCAATTCCAATCTTGCCGCCATATTGACGAAGCGTGTAGTCGCAGATTTGATCCTTCATTTCCGTTGTCGTGATCACAAGGACATCCGAGAAACCTGACTTCTCCAACAATGCGAGTTGGTAGTACAGGAGCGGGTGATTGTTCACGGGGAGCAGCGGCTTGGGGGTCTCTTCTGTCAGAGGGTACAGTCGAACGCCGCTACCGCCGGCAAGGATCACTGCTTGGAACTCCGCCATCGTTTGCCACGGAAAATGCAACAGGGTTGGTTTGCCACTGAATATTAACCGGATCCGGATAAATAGGTAAGACGTGTTTTGGCTCTCGCTGTGCGCGACAAGCGCGGGTCGAACACTATGCGACCATGACCACGAAAGGCATCAATTGCCCCATTCCGTCCAACTCCTGGAGCTCCTTTGTCAAACGTGGGATGTCCTGCACATAGCGGTGGATGCTGGTGGTCTAAACCCTGCGCTCCTCGGAGCCTGCTGATCACTTCCAGGAATATTATTGTGGCCATGTTCGTTGTGGAACGGGACATGTGTGTACCACCAACAGCTACAAGTACAGGAAAATCTACGTGTTGGATTGCTGGACGAGCGTTGCAAACGTAGAGAAGCGATCAACTCCGACGCGACAGCACGTCGGTAGTTGGTTGATGCACTACCCGCTTCCAAGGCATCCACAACTACTCGATCTGTTGACATATCTGCAAGTGGATTTGTCATACGCTTCTAATGCGTCAATAGATGGCATACTGGCCTGGAACGAGGCACCATTTGGGTAGCGTAAACGGCCCAGCCGTGGTGGGTCATCTGTGAAGACCTCGTCGACGGGTACTCACCGAATCCGTGAAGAAATACCACATGACCGCCCCGAGCAACAATCTCTGTTGGCGAGACATGGACGTAGTGGAGGACGTCGCCGTGTTCCCCGTAAAAGTTCCTGTCTGTTTCGCCATGTTCGTGCATGAAGAACGTCATTCCAGTGTTATTCCGCCTCTACATGCAGCTTGGTGGCATTCACATTCGATGGCTCACTTGAAGCATATACATTATTAGGCAGGAATGTCGGGAGTGGACTTTGCTCGATATTGGCGACGATGCTGCACGCTTCATGCAACGAGGTCAAAGCGCGACGTCAGCCACGACGTGATGTGGTTGTATACGGCTCCGCGGTTGGCTTCGTTCAGGAGCAAGTGACCCATGTTGTCGAATACCTTGAGCTCTTTGTCTTGACTCGCAATATCGTGGTGATACGTTTCGATGCTGCGGAGGCACACGACCTTTTCCAGCGTGCCTAGAGCCATATGAGTGCGTCGCGGTCCCAGCACAATTACCCAACGTACCCACAACAATCAACACGGGAAGAGTAATCGAGTGCTTCAGCTTGTCCACGAGGTCAAACGCCAACAAGGTTTCGTTGCCGACACGGGTAGAAAGGTGCCCAGTTGTGATGAGATCGTCCTGTTCTCGTGCGGCCAGCACATCTGGCTCTGCCGACAAGTCTACACTGCATTTTCAAGCAATGCCACTGCAAAATAAGGTTCCAAAAAATGACCGTACCGCTCACTTTCACCCCAGGCACGACGCGCCACGTCGGACAGGTATTCGACAAGACAGATCCAAAGTACGCTTGGATGTTAAGCGTCAGAGTACGTGGAACGTTGATGGCGGGGGCGCATAGGACAGCCGCGTCAATTTGATGAGTCTTTTTCAGCAACGTGAGATTCGCGACAAGCCCCCCAAATGAGACCCCGACCACAACAATCGATTTCACGTTCGGGTGTGTTTCCTTGAGTTCATCCTTAGCGAAGTGGACAAGGCGGTCCACGTCGTCCACGACATCTGTGTATCGATCAAAGTACCCGCGTTCGCCTTCGCTGCGACCATGCCCGACGTAATCCATCGCGTAAACTGCAAAGCCAGTCAAGGCAAATGTGTTCAAGAGGTCGTTGTATCGCGACGAGTGCTCCAAAATGCCATGAAGGAACACCAGCAAACCACGCAGCTCGGTCTGCTGGGGTACATGCTTCTGGTACCACAGCCTTTGGTTGCGGTCATTCACAAGGGTCCCAGTCGTGTGCGCCACTTCTGCCATCGGTGGTGCGTCTTCGAAATTGATCGTTCGATGTAGAAAACGTCGAAATATGTTATCCGGATTGCTTTTCATCTGAGTCACAAATTGATGGAGAAATCGTCGACAACTTCAAGAAGTATAACCTCTGCCAAATCGTAGGGGGAAGTTTTATGTGCTTATCTTTCTATTCCAGGTCTTATCCGGATGTTCATAAGAGCCAACTATTATGCAACATGTCATCCTATACGTACTAATTCCAAGACGAGATATCGTTCTTGCTTGCTCCTACTGGAGTACTACGAGGCGTTACAGTACATGCACAGGATTTTGCATGCCTATTATGCAATCATCAAGAGTGAAATAGGGCAGGTGGCCAAAATTTGCTTTACCGCGATTTTACCGGATACCATTATAAAAATGTTTTCTCTTATATATCAGTGTTGTACTCCCTCCGTCCCACAATATTGTAATGGCGAAACTCAGAATTGTGATATACGGCTCCTTGAATAATTTTTTGCCCTGTAAAACATGATGTTGACTGTTAGATTGTACAAAAGTGTCTCACTAAGGTCCAAAACACACCATGGAGGAATCGATGAAATTGGACAGCACCATTCGATTCAGGAGGGGGATTCACCCCGACAACCATCGTGAACATCGCTTAGGACATCAACGAAGTTTTCCAGCTCGTCCGGGTCCTCCAAAACCAGATTTTCGAGTTGCGTTGAAATCCCGTCGAGCTCCAACGTCTCCATCAACTCGACCAATTTTGCAGCCTCCAGTCGATCCATTCGGTCACGACCAACATCTTTTGTGCAGGCTCAAACACATCTCTCGGACAGAACATATTTCAAGGCAGCACTACAAGCTGCGCATTCTTCTCCTCGGACATGTGAGTCATCTTGTACGTGTTGTCTCCACGAACTTTGAGTATATCGACTAGGTAACACTGAAGCGTCATGAACCTTCGATCCAATCGCTCCAACGGGAACGCTTCATACGCTTCCATGGGACAGGAGCCCATCAAGGGTCTGAGCAGCCTTTTGGTACTGCAAAGATTGAATTGCAGCGAAGAATCCGAGGTCCAGGAAGTTGGTGTCCGGGGAATTTGACGGCTGCGGCGCCAGAGTAATCGACCACCCTTCTTCTTGAAATGATGCTACTCCTTTGATAGTTCGGCGTAGGACCCAGTCACATCCGCACGGGCGTTGACTTGCTGGTTCAGCACTGTTCGACCGCCAGATGTCCATTTCGCGACAATTTCATTTATCCACAAGGTACGAACAGAAGTCATCCTTTGTAACCTTGATGGCCTTGGTTTCAGGTGAGCCTGCTGGGCGGCTGATGCTGGATCGTTGCGCGAGCACCGCCTCCACAATTGGCCACAACCCAATTTTGCCGTTCCACGAAGTACAGGTCTTCAATGAAGCGCGGCTGTGTGACAGCGGCCAGAAACATCGCTTTCGTGACGAATCTCTTGCTCCTACATTTGCGCTCGGGCTCTGCCTCTCCGGGAACAAAGTAGTGCTTGCGAGCGGATTTTGTGATGTAGAACCACTTCTTGTCGATATGAAGGTAGTTGAGAAATTCGTTGAAGTATAGGTCTTGCTTGATGAAACTGATGGCAAACCCGTGTCAAACTTGACACGTGTATACTTGTTGGCCTCAGTCATCAATGAACGGATTGCATTCGAGTGAGCTTGAAAGATCCCTTGCTTGAGGTACCGATGTAGGGTTCTCGACTGATTCCAACTTGAAATGCTAGCTTGCATATCACAATCAGTAGTGTACCAGTTTGTGCAGAGATTGCTCTCAACGTTGTTTGATTGGCAATTGGAGCTCTCAGAAGTTTGGCTTTGACCATTGGCAGTCTTGTTGAGTACTCCAGTACAGTACTTTTCAACAACGTTTCACGCAATACTGCTTCACGCTCGTTGCTCGTGAGGTCTCGCCTTCCTGTTTCCATTTCGTATATGATGTGAATTACTCCAGAGTATTGTCTGTTCTGAATTGTTGGTTTTTACTTGTAATTGTATGGGCGTCTTGCAGTTGCATTTTGATTACTTGGATGCAAATTTTGAGGTGCCGAGTGCATCATGTTAAAGCTCTTGGCGCGCTCTTTCTTGTAGTCCAATCGAAAGTGCCGAATTCAAATGGGGCGAGAAGGATTCAGTTTCAAATTTGGCATACTTAATTATCAGACATGTACACCCTCCTCAAACTCGAGCAAAAATTGCGGGACGTAGGGAGTATCGATTTCGTAGGCCATGTGACCTACGCCAAATGCACTCGGTTCGTTGGTATAATCTCTATTGTCCTCTTGATATGAGAAAGGTTTTGGTGGCACCCTTATCCTTGTCCCCATCCTCAGGTCTATGCTACAAAGCGCTGTAAGGATATGGACAAAGATTAGAATGTAATGTTTTGGACTCTGTCCTTCTCCTCAGCCATAGAACCATCCGGAGAACTGTATTCGGAGCTACACATTGTGCATTCTGCATCAATGACGGTCACCCAGAAGGAGATCCTTTATCTCTGCATTGCGGCTAAGACTAAAAGCCAGCATCTGCTTTTTCTGAAGCCCATGGCCATGGTTGTTGGTGAGAGACCACTCGTACTTGACATTCGGTTCTCCCTGGACATGATGTCGGACGCAAATGCAGTCCTTGACTTACGCTTTGACGTGGCGCATCAAAGAGTTGGGCTACATCCTTGGCTTGCCAGAAGTGGTGATTACCAACAACCATAACAGAGCCCATCGTGACGAGCCAATGTGTATCCTTCTAAGCCTGCTCACCTTTCTTGTCGGTTTCACTCCATGTCACGATTGTTTGGTCGGTCACGCTCAAGTCTGTGTGATTTATTCCTCCACGTTGTCAATGAGCTCTACAAGCACTGGGGTGGATTGCTGTACTTGACCGAAAGCTCGTCGAAAAAATTATTGAACACTACAGCAGTGCTGTTGCTGCCCGTGGAGCCCCCTCGAAAATATTTTTGGCTTTATCGACGGCACCACGGTCCAGACATGCCGCATTGCTGCGACGGGACATGGAGAAAATTTGTAAAAGCTAACATACAGCGGCCACAAGCGTGTCCACTGCTTGAATTACCAGTCTGTGTCCGCCCCTGACGGAATTTGCGTGCATTTCTTTGGCCCAGTTGAAGGGCGACTGCATGACACGACGATGCTTCTTCTGAGCGGGCTCATCGATTGCCTTAGTCGATACTCCTCTGTGTATAGGGGAAAAATGTTGTATGGTGATCCGGTTTACAACTCTGGTCCGTAATGTTTGTCACATTGACTTTTCGATTAGCGGGATTTTTCTAATTTTGGCTGTATTTTCGATCTGATTGGTGCAATCGAAAGCGCAAGATATGCACTTTGATTGGCTCTTTTCAGAACAAACCAATTCGTTTTACTTCCCAAGATATAGACCACCAAAGTGGCGGGAGCCAAAGCAGCTCAACATTTTGACCTGTCTGTCACTCATTCATTTCAGAATTTCCACTCGCTTAAGACACGCACACGCATCCCACGAGCCCTCTACACACTGCCACAACGCCAGCGTTGCCATGAGCCCATTAGCTGACAGCGTCAAACACACAAAGAACCTCACGGCTGACCAGAGGCGCGAAGCCTATGAGAGCCTCTTAGAACTCTCTGTCGGCGGCAAGCTTCCGTGTGGGGCTTTCAAGGCTTAGTCCCAGCTGTATGACTTCCACTGGCGTACCATAGCTCGCTTGTGGAAGCAAGGACGCAGCTCCTTAGTCGATGGACGCGCCATCGCCGCGATCGGGTCAAGAGACAAGAGGTTTTCGTGCAACAAGACAATGCCAGCCCCCACCGAACAGTCACAACATCGGCGCTGGAAACTCGAGGCGTCCCAGGCATCAAGATTGCAAATCAACCACCAAATAGTCCAGACTTCAATGTGCTCGATTTAGGATTTTTCTAACTCTATTCAAAGTCTACAGCATCAAAAGTCTACTCGTTCGATCGAGGAGCTAATTGGTGCTGTAGAATGCGCGTTTGATGAGTTGCCTGTTGATACGCTTTCTAAGACTTTCATCACACTTCAGAAAGTTTTTGAAAAGTGTATTGAGGTGCACGGGCGCAATGACTACAAGCTTCCACATATGAAAAAAGGTTCTATCATAAAGAATTTGTCTTTGTTCAATGTTGAATGTGACCCTTCCAGCATTGAAGAGGCATTGTTTCGAATGGAATGCCGCTTTGGCGACGAATCTCACTTGGACGCTATGGTCAATTGCCCTGATGAAGTAATTTAATTCGTTCAATAAAAACACATTAAATTCACCTCGTCCAATATGCGTTGTTGGATACACATACAAAACCCAATACACTTCGATCCGAGACTGTATAATGAAACCAAGTTAAAACAATGGCTCAATCTTTATGGACCAGAGTAGTATGGTATTTTGCCATATTTGATTTCAGGTTTCAAGGGTTCGAACTGGTCGGCGAACAAAAAGAATTCAACAAATGGATGAGTCGTGTGAGGCAGTCCGTCGAGAGGAATTTCAAGTTGTTGAAATCGTTATGGGCATTTATTTTGTACAAAATGTTGTCGAAGATTCGCTTGCCACCCGTGGCAAAAATCGTGCCTGTTTCCATGCTGTTAACAATCGCCACTGCTGCTATTTTGGTGGAAGTCAAATCAGTCACTACTTCCATTGACCCCTCCAACATTACAAGAGTACTTGGACACATTAGAAATTATTGAAATCCAATGCAGCACAAATGTAAATTTAAATTTATCCAATACAGCCTTAAGCAGCTTTGACATGGTCTCATATTGTTGACAAACTTAATCCCGTAGGATCTGACGATATTCTCTCTTTTCCTCGAGCTCCTTTTCGAATTTATCTCCTTGGAACTGAAGTTCCGCTTGAGATTGTTCATGCATGCGAGTAAACATCTTTTTTGAGTTTACCTCAAAAAAGATGTTTACTCGCATGCATGAGTTTACCTCCTCCATTGCCACCTTCGTCTTCTTCTCGCCCTCGTTTGCGCTTGCCCATGGACTCCATGGCCTCGGTGCGAATTTGTTGACCCATTGCAGCGACATGTTCAGCACCATCGCGTTGGTCCTCTGCGCGTCGGAGCTCTGCATGCTTCGAGTCGTCGTACGCTGCAAAAAGATCTCTTGAAGTGCCTTGGCGACTGCGCCCCAACGCTCCATGACGAGTCCTCGGCTGACTTGAAATCGCATTTCCAAAGCGACTTGACGTAAGAGCATGATGCCGTCCTCCTCGGTAAAAATGCGACGTTTGCCACCGCTGTTCATGGGTTGTGCCTGATGCGATTCTGGTGTGTGAGGTTAAGGATGGTTGTCCGTACAATTCGCCATTTTCACTGACAAGGAATTGAGTTCTGCAGTTTCCGTAATTTGTGCAGGGACACGCCGGATTTGTCACTTCTTTGTGGGGGTAAGGATAAGAATGAGTGCCAAAATCTTTCTATTGTTGTGTGTATTCAAACTGGAGCGACGTGCCGAATGAATTGACACGAGAAAAAGAGCAGAACAATAATCACACGAATCCACCAATCAAAACTAAAGAATCCAATCTCATCGGCAAATCAAAATAGTCCACTCCACCCGTATTTACTGCGAATTGATGCTTACAGAGGGTTGGCTTGAGCCCAAAGTCGCCAGTGCTTTATACGCTTGAACCCAAGACGACACAGTCTAAGTGGACCCGTGGCAGAGCCTCGCGGCATCATCTCGCTACATGCCAAAGCAATATACTCATACAGGGCATGCATGACCGTATTTCTCGAAGCATGTTGTCTGCGGACAAAGTCGACGATCAAGTTAAGGGACGTTACACGTAACTTTCTATGTTATACAAACACATCTAAAAAATCGATAGAACTAATTGACCAATGGCCACTCAGGTCCGAATTCTGACTGACAGGAAATACCACAAAGTGGCGATTTCTCTGGAAGATATTACTCAATGCGTCTGTCGTGCATTCTTCGTCGTAGTTCTTGCGCTTAAACAACACCCATGCAAAATGCCGCCGAGTATCGCCAAGCCCATCGAGCCTGCGAGTGTCGATCCTTGCTTGTGCACTATAGTGCGCGCCACTTGGATAGGACACCCCTAGTCTTTTGCGTCTTACAGTCGATAAATTGCTTTGTGGTTGAAACAAAATACACCGAAGCAATCGTAAGACGAGCAAACCCAACCTCCAAGCGCTCCTTCACGACATAAATTAAGGTACTTCCGTCATGATGACGTGACCACTCGCATTTCACTATCGTCCACAAAAATTTGATAGGTGAATATCGGAGTGACTTGGAGGTGTGAAACAATTTCAGGCATCTTGCCTGCGCCATAGTCGCGAGAACAAGCTTAACAGTATCGGCAATGTGCTTGACAATTCGTTCGCATACTTTCACTTGCAACTTAACCTCGTTGTACGGAATGCTGTAATTCTTGCAAAAATTGGTCAGTGCTTACCTGACAATACGGTGTATTGTCAGGTACACTCACTAATTTTGACATTGTCCATCACGAGTTTTCCCCATGGCATCCAATTGGCCAAGCAAAATACCAAACCATCAACCGAAGCATAGGTGGTTGAACATTCCATGATGGTCCTTGGGTTCTTTTACGCCACTTTCCGCCTTGAATTTTTTTGGTAAGCGAATAGCTTGCAATTTTCTACACCATCGTCTAAAATTCAGCAACAAAGCTACTTCGCTGCCCCTTGTGTTTAGCTCCACTTGCAATTCCCTCTCGTCGTTTGTGTCGTACTTGCTGTCTTGGGTGAGTGCATAGTGATGGTGAATGTAGGATTCGTCCAAAAAAATCTCCGGTGCTGCTTTGTATGATATAATGACATCAAGCAATCTCAATGGCCATCACCATTTGACGACATTCAGAAAGCATGGAGCTTCTACCATGTGTCCAATGTTGCTGACGTGCTAGGTACTCCCAGTGCTTCTAAAATGTGATTCGTGAGAAAAACACGAATGAGCATATCTACCCAAATCTTTGAATGTGGCGTCCAAAGTGTTGTAATGGAGTTGGACCATGCGACTGCAGTCAAAGGAGTAGCTGGCCATTGTCTATGTACTATAAAATAATTTTCAGAAATATCCAAAGATTATGTGTTGTACCTTTCTAGGTTTTTGCGATGTCATGTTTGTAAAATGCGAATCCGCTTGCTTGGGTTTGTTTCGTGATGTACACTGGAACTACTCGTACATTTGCATTTGTACGAGTAGTTCCAGTGTACTACGTGACTGAGTTCGACGACATCACCAACGTTGTCGATGCAATTTCGTGGACCCTGCACGGGTTGTTACTTTCTTCCATTGACGAATCAACCCTAATTGACATGTAGCCCCTGAGATATACGACGAAGTACTTTTATTTTTACTTTGACGTCGAGTGACGCATTGCGTCACGCGAGCAGTTGAAGGACTCGGCAAGGCAATTGTGTCCCAAATGAAAGTATTTTGTTCCGCGGATGCCTGTAGACAACGACAAAGTGAGAGCTTCCAGCTTGTGGTCATTGGAAGGATCGGCATGTGCTGCTGAGCACATGCAACTTGCCAAAGCTTTCTGCATTGAGAACTTGTGAAAAAATTGCAATAGTACGTATCGGAGTGAAGCATTAAAAATCTTCCATCGCCGAACGATAACCTGAAAGGGTTTGAAGTGAAACCTTGGCTATCTTGTACTTGTAAAGGACAAATTCGGTGAAGTCTACGTAGTCAAAGATGGCAAGGTTGATTGTGCCGTCGGTGTTCACCATGTGTGAGCGGCCGGACTCTCGAAGCCAAGCCACGATCTGGTTATCTAACCCCACTGCGATAGCCCTCCTTTGAGCTCATGGCGAGGCAGTTGCCTCGCAGTTCCTGTACTGTTGTTGACAGCTGGCGGGACGTGTTGGTTTCCGAAGGATCATGTGTTACATCAGCCAAGCTTGGGTCTTTGTTGCCAATCAATGGATACAGGATTTCCGTCCGACGTTTTTGTGTACATTGGAATTTTTTACTCCTTGACTTGCATTTTGTATTGAAATTACATCTAAATGAACAAAAAGTCGGGCGCTTCGTCCGACGATTGCACTTGTCGCATTTGGGGGGATTGGTGCTACAAGGCATCCTGCTTCTTCGGTCGCCACCTTGATGCCGCCTTCACTGACATGTGGATCAAAGTTGTCAAGGAGCAAGACAGACGGGGCGCGAACTTGTGGCTTTAACACAGAACGGAGATAGTAGGCCCAAACCCGAGCATCCATCCAAGCTTTCTCTTGGACCGCATAGTAGTGCCCAATTGGAAATGAATCAAAATCGCTAGTTTCAATATGTCCACTAGGAACGCCACGCATAACAAACAAAATTGGTAGCTTCTCTCCATTCGCCCTGACCGAAAGCACGGCGGTCATTCTGTAGGCGTGCTTCTCCACGCTTGAGATCTTGGAGCTGCCACCACGTACGGCCCACATCGCGTTCGGTGGCATTTCGTAGTGCATTCAAGTCTCATCTACGTTGATAACACAATCAGTCGAGAAACCACTACATGCGGCATGGAAGTCAAGAGCGAACTCCGCCCAAATTTGGTCAAGGTCCTCCTGACGTCGTTTCGCCTTGACAGGCTTCTGGCGAGTAAATCCATGACGGGCGCAAAAACGCTGAAGCAAGCGTAGAAGAGACTGGTAGTAGCCACACCGACGCTGTTGAATATTTGTCGAACCAGTCGTGGTGGTGCCGCTTGAGGTAGTTCACGAGGTGTGTGCATGTCACTGCCCTATCGGTGTTACGCATGTGTGACATGTAGGTTGCCAAGGCCTCGGTGTTGGGAATCTCTTCGGGTCTTCCGGCACCGTCGAGGTTAAAGCGCATTAGGTTACCGTTGAATGTTAAAAGGGTGGATTTCTGCAGGAGCCATCGCGACAGGTTGCTCTTGGGGATACCAGTGGCTGCTTCTAGCTCACGTGTTGACGCTTTTTCGAGACGTGCAACCTTTTCTCGCTTTGTCGCATGCCTGTATCGCCGGCGAGGCTTCTCGTGTTGACTTACCTTGTCTCGTTGTACTGACTGTGAGACCATCGAAAAATGACTCGAATTCGTGCAGACATTCAAATTTGCGCCAATATATCCCGCCAACTCAGTATTACATCCAATCAAAACTTGTGTGCTTGTATTGTGCGATATTATTGGTTAAAAAAACAACACTGCTTTTCAACTTCGGTGTCCCTTAAAATCCGTCGTTGCCTGTACTTGAAATTTGCATACTGTATGCTGTCCGACTTTTTTGCACTAACGTAACATTCGTTTTTTCATTTTTGTTGACAACTGGGACGATTCCGTCTGCGACTTCATGAAATTCATATTTCGAACGTTGCTGTTCGATAGAAATTTTGATTTATCTCGAAATTGCCAACATGCGATCAAAACAATGTTGAGCAGCCAAACGACTCGGACGGTTAGGATCCCTTTGCCGCCTTGTACTCCACGCGCATCTTGGTGAGAGTCGACGACAGCATTTGCACTCGAATACGGTCCTTCTCTTGCAACCTACGCAAAGCAACAAGTCATTAAAATCTCTACCGCAGTTTTGAGCGCGCAACACGCACAAGTCGATTTTCCACTGCTTCCTCGTCTGTGGAGTTGACACGTCTGGTAAATTCGACTTGATTGCCTTCATGAGTTCGTTGGACACATCGCACGTGGCCAGCATGCTGATCTGGGGCTTCACGTCGGCGACCAGCATCTCATGGACACCACCAAGTTTGAGAGAAATCTGCTGTTGTGGCGCGGGCTCCATCGCGGGTGGCTCGCGTGCGATCACATCCGCATGGGACGCTACAAGCTGATGCAATCGCTCCAAGAGTTCTGGGATGGCATATTCCGACGGTCCGTTGCTCGAGTATTCGATCATTGACGTCGCGTAGTTGTGTGCCTTCATCTTGCACCCAGGGGATGGCCGTGTTGAAGCAGCAAAGCGCTTGGCGCCGCAGCAACTGTAGCAGCTGTCGTCATTACTTGTTGGTTCGTGCGGGTCGTGGTAGTAGCATTCGTTCAGTTCGGTGCCAGTAAAGTACACGCGGCAGTCAGCACAGTACAAACACTGCAGCGCGCCCCACACCTTCCAGAACGCTTGTCGCGTCGGGAACGATATTGTGAGCGACTTGACCCATGCATCTAACTTCCAATCTGGCTTTGCTTCATGGTGTGCGACGATGTTGCCGTGTACCCCAATCGACAACTTCGCACGTCGACATGAAAGGAATTTTCGATGTCCAGCGTAGTACACCACAGCGCAATGTACACAGCACTCGACAGCGGCGTGAGGGCCAGAACTGATACTGTTGCTGTCATCTTGCTCTTTCAGGGCCGACACAATTCGTTGCAGCCGCTTCGAGTACAGTTTGTGGCACAGCTTGTCCTTGGTCGCTTCGATCGCGTCAAGTTGTTCTACGGAGCACATGGCGGCAATTTTGTCGAGAATCGCGTCGGATATGCAAAGCAAGTCGCCTGGCATACCCACGACCTCTTCCAAGTGCTGACTGATGAACGAAGCGCACTCGGAGACGAGGAAATCCATCTGAAGAAAGTCCGACGAGATCAAGATGGACGTCACGTTGTCGATTGCCAACGTCGACGTTGATTTGTTTGCGCCGTCAGAATGGATATACTGAAACAGCCACTCGAAGATGCTCACGTCGCAGTGCACCGAAATGTCAATGTCTTCGTGCGTGCTCGCGTCGTTGAGGTACGCTTTAAAATACTTCATGTTGTCCAAAAGGAGCACTTTGTTGCACACAAAGTCCTTGTTTACTTTGCGGAATTCATCGCACACATGGATCACAATCGTTTCCTCACTCGCCGCGGAAAACTTCTTGTGTTTGTGGCTTTCATCCTCCGTGGCGCCTCGCTGGGACGTCGCCGACCCCCGCGCCGACTTGGACATGATTGTGCCGGTTTGTAACCGGACACCATGGCGTCTGAAAGGTTATCCGAAATATGGATACATTTATCGAATTTACTCGAAAACGAGAAAAATATACTACCTCTGTTCCATATTACTGGCGATATTTGAAAATCTCACATTTTCCAAATTACTGGCGACATATCATTCTTATTGGCTAGAAAAGATGCATACATCGACTTTATTGGATAAAATTCCCGAGTTTGCTGGAAAATCGGCACTTGGGATAACCGATAGCGGCTCACCGCCGCGTAGCTGCTTCGATAGAGCTGTGGATATGCGCTTCCTAGAGGAAACGATGCGGGATGCGATAAGCAATTAGGAATTAGTGACTAGGACTCTCAAATGTGGAGT